TTTCTTTCATTAAAATCTATTCAATTTTCTCTTCTTGGAAATGATTGTGTTGATTTCTAATTTGAAACTGGATTTTTCTGGATTGTGTGTTCAAAATACATATCAACTCGATTATTTTTTGAAAAATGATACTTCTTAAAGGAATACACCTACTGTGCCGATATTGATGGCACGCTTCGATGATTCTCCTTCCTCCTCCGTCTGTTCTCTTTCCGTTGTTCTAATATCTCTCTCCTATATATACGTGTGTTATGTATGAAGTTGTTACACTCTGGATATGTGATGAAGCTAATAAAAGTCATTGTCTAGAGTGGCTGTAAGCTACTCCGCCTCTATCCAGTTTGTCTTAATACATCAACTAGCAAGAGTCCTATTTATCGTTACACCTACCACGTAAAAAGTTAATGTAAATCGTATTTTTGATCTAAAACAAAGAGTTAATGGTCAAAAGAAGTTTTCTTGGATATATATGAATATTACAAGAATAAACATTTGTAATACAAATAAAAATCTAATATGAAGATACAAACTCTTAATATACTTTTTGAGTCTTTTTAATATATTCTTGAATAACACTTGATGACAAACCATTTAAAACTTCATCGACAGCATTTTCTAGTTCACATTGTGATTTAGGATTTTTGTTTGTATTATCAATATCTATTCTTGTAATATTCATATATAACCAAGAGAACTTCTTCTGATCATTAACTCTGTGTTTTAGATCAAAAATACGATTTGGATTAATTTTACCCGTGGTAGTAAGGTTGTGCTACTTTTGGTGGAGTAAAATCGTGATTTTCACACGTAAGTGAAGTTAGTATTGTATTCGAGTAAAACCTATCGATACTCTTGGGAGCTGATGTTCCAACGCGCATGCGCATGTCCCTAGCGAAATTTCATATGTTCTATCAAATGATAATTTGAATTAACTAGATCTCGAAGCGTTCTCCTACAATTTCGAAAAATCCAAAGAAATCCAAAGAAATCCAAAGAAATCCTGGAATTCCTTTTGTTGAATCTGTCAATATTCATTCCAAGAAATATTTCAATTCTCACACTTGTGTATCAAACAGATCTCAACAAATGTCATCGAATTGTAAAATCAGATTTTTCGTCTCCATGATAATGGTCCCAAACTCTCAAAATACTGTATTTTTCTATGAAATTCTAGCACCATATTCGATAAAAAGTTGCCAATATTCGTTAAAGGCCTTGCTATAAGCGTTTCACTCATGATATAAACACAAATCTAGGAGATCTATTTAATGATGTTCGTAGATTTTTCATAACTCATAGTAGGATTTTTTAGGTTTCTTTGAAATTATTCTATCATCGCTGAAGTCTGATTTCAAGCTGCAGAAAATATGTAGATTCCACTGGATAGAGTTCGTAGAGTTCCATTTGGAACATAGGCACGAGAATGGAACATTGGTAGAAGTGAATATGACCACATTTTACAAAGAAGGATACCCGTTTTTTTTGAATTTTTCAAAATTTTCGGAATATTGTTCGAGATCTCGTTAATCGAAGTTCTAGTAGTAATATGACTATGGACGTTGGAAAATCAGCTCAAATGAGCATCAACAGGTTTTACTCGAATACGATGCTAAATTCACCTACACGATGGTCACTTAATACTTTTCACTGCGATAGCTTGTGTAAACTATAATCTAAAAAATGCTACTATACTTTAAGCGAACAGCTAGTCATCGTAAACGACCGTTTATGAAAGTATACGATAGAAAAACGGCAACCGTTTCCTGAATCATTTACGGTCATCGGTTCCGACCGTTTACTGTGATACCCGACAGTCGTTTACAGTTAGCGTTTTGATTGCGACGGTCGTTTACGGAGATTTTTCACGATGCTCATTTATGACTACCGTATTTTATCGTAACACTTCGTTTACGATAACAGTAAGCGACTACAAAATACGATCGCCGTTTTTCACCGTGAGTGATAGGTATACGGTCGTTTACGACTCAGGATGATCGATCTGGGCATTTCTTTTTTCTTTAGGTATTCTTATTTTTGAACGTGTGAACTGTCAGCATAAATTTAATTTCATTCACGCAATCATGAAGTGTTCAATTGATACTTGTGGATTTACACATGATAGCATTCCACTATGTATTACTCTTCAACAGTCTGGCGCAATTATTGAAAATGACAATAAATTTGGTGAATTAAATGATCTTCTTCGCGCTGAAATAAAATCATTTTACTCTTGCCATTTGTGTCATGACAAGCATGAATCTCTTTTCACTTTGGTCAAATAAGTATTTATTTTTAAAATAAATGGAAATAATGATATTGTCTGTTTTCCAATTGTTACACTTGATGATAATCAAACATATCCTCCAGAATATTGTTCTAATTGTAACTACTCAATTAAAAATATTGAACTACCCGTCCATAAACAAGTGCTCATTAAACGCCCAATATATTTAATAGTAAGACTGCGTGTGAATTTTTTGTTTTGTTTTTTCGTATGAGTAGAAAAATTAACTGGTTTAGAAGATCATCTTAGAACTTTTCAAAATAAGAAACAAATGTTTGTTGATATATATATTGAAAAAAATATTATATCATTTGCTAAATAAAATATTTCTTAGACTTATTATATTTGCTCCATACTGTTTTATCACCACTACTATTTATCTCTAAGTTACTAAATATGCAGAAACTAGCGAATTCAGTACATCTCTAAGATTGGTTGCTTCAATATTACTCTTATCAAATAATCATTAATTCTTTTCTATTTTTAGTACTGTGCTGATCGAAGTATTCGATCAAAAGATCTTTTTAAAGGTGGCATCACATTAACAGATATCAATAATGTTCAACATTCATATACTCCAACATCATGTTTTATGATTCGCCGATATAGTGATACACTATTATTGTTAAAAAAGAATCCAACAAATTATTACAGTATACGGGTGATGCATATTCAATTGCTGTTGATTTACCATACTCGAAATTGAATGATATTTTAGATACCAGTAGTACAATTTTTATTTTTTATCGTCAGATATTTGAAGTTCTAATACTAAATATAACTATGAGTTGTTGAGTATCAGTCGATCGTTAGAAATATTCTCATACAAACTGAAGTCTTGTTTTGTTATAAAAGTAAAAGTTGTGTTGATTTTTTCAATAGAAGCTTCATGCATTTCTTTAAATGAACATTTTTATTAGCTTGACTTAAATGATTTCTTTTTATCAAACTATATGAATGCTTTTTGTTTAGAATCTCAATAAAACTGCTCAAGGGAAGATGAAGATCGTCTCTCGTGCCGATGTTGATGGTGCAACACATTTACTTATTCAAGACGGTGATAGGTTCTTTTCGGCAGGATTGCTAGCTGTTCAGGTCCCAGATGGGGTAAATTGATTTCGGAATGAGGTACACGTTAGGCACAACTTAGTTGAAAATGGGGTACATTCGTGAGGTACGCAGTTTACATCTTGCACACTGATCATCGACTGCGGAAATCAATTTCAAAAACTATCTTCAATTAGGAAAAGGCATTCTCAGTTTTTCGTTTTACTATAAAGTCTAGCTTTCAAATTGAAATTTTTATTTTCTAATAAATATGTTCACAATAAAATTTCATTCTGACATACATATTTAAGTCAATCATAATAAAACAACGCTTACTCAAAGTGAACCTTCTCGATTTATATTTACACTAACTGTTGCACGCTTTTTTTCGAAACTGTGTTTTTGTTCACTTTTGGCACACTTTATCAGTTGCGGTTGTGCTTGAGCAAAAGAAAAAAATCTTCACATGTCATAGTACTATTAAGGGGGCTCCCTTCTAAAAACTTTTTTTTTCTACGCATTAGATTTCGATGAAATTTCTGGAAAAGATATATTTCCAGTATAGTATCTCACAGTAAAAATTTCAACTCGATACATTGAGTCTTCAAAGAGTTAGCTAACGATTATAGGTGCAAATATAGGTGTCCGTGCGTACCAGATTTCTCAGCCATTTCAAATGTTAGGAAGCTCGGGTTAGTTTTAAAATGTAGCCAAGAGGTGGGCTACAACTTAACAGGGCCCGATTTTTCAATTAACTCCTAGTTTGGGTTTCGAAAAACTTCTCCCACAAAATTATGAAAAATCAGAGGGATTTTTTCAGATCTTTAGTTTTTCAAAAGCAATTACGGTTAGACTGGAAAATCGGACTCTTAAGTTGTAGCGGTGCACTTGGCCTACGTTTTAGCACCAACCTCAGATTTCTAGCGTTTAAATTGGCAGAGAAATTTGGGACACACGAAAGCGTAAAAACGAAAAATCCTATTTTGAGAAAAACGCAAAATAAGTTTAAACACTGAAAATCAGGATTTTTGCTCTAATAATTAACTTTAAAGGAGTATAAGAGTAATTTTCAATATATCAACGATTAGGATGCATTAAATAAGCGTGAATAAAAATTTACAAAGGCATTTTGTTTTTGTTGTCTCATGATCTATCAGGTCTACGAAAGTATCAATAAAAATCATCTGATTGAAAAAACCTGTAAAATCATCTAAATCGATATGCATCATGTAGAAGTAAAATGTTAATATTATTTTTAACACTTCTCAGTATGCTGTAGTCATCATGATTGATAATTTTATGAAACAAAACAAAGTTCATGTTTATTCATGAATCCATGTATAGTAGTTTCATTCAATTCTGAGGTTTCTGAAGTACTGTATTCACCTATCACACTTGGTTGTACGTGGTAGTAAGGTCGATCAATATAAGAGGTCAAAAGAAAATCTAGAAAAAATTTACAAGTCAATTTTTTAGAAGAAAAAGTATTTTTTCTCTATGGGTTTTCTGAAAAACCTGTGTAGTTTCCTGAAATCTTATAGGAAAATCAATAGACTATAATGCAATCGATATTACACACTCAACTCTATCTGACTAGACATAAATAAACAAATCGACAAATTTGACCAAAATTAAATTTTTTAGAGGGGGGTGCCTTAAATCTGATTTTCAATTCAGCAGCTTTCATTCACCGTCAAACTGCGACTGGCTGTTCATGCGCTTTTTCTTTGACTAAAAACGCCTTCAACAAATGCATTCGAGCAAGGAATTGAGTACACATAAGAAATAATTTTGTACACTTCAATACGCATTGGTTTCGACTTTACAAGAAGAAAAGCCCAAAATTGATCAGACCGAAATTCCACTTCTCTTTCATTATTTTCGGTCGTCGGTTTGTGAATGAGATTATCTTCATCATGGGACTCATTGCATATATCACTATTGAATTCTTCATAGACATGACCATTAACAGCCAACCAATATATTGACGCTTCACATCTTTATCAATAGTAAATGTCGGATAGAGACAGAAATTTTCTTAGTTTCAACCAAAATATGGATGATAGTAGTCGTAACATTGAAAAATGCAGATGGGGTACAAAATCCGTACCTCAGAGGTACAATTTTTTTTAGGTACAAAAGGCTCAAATGGGGTACGGCTGGCAACCCTGCTTTTCAGTATGTTTTTCCTATCTCTATTAAATCGGTCAATACTTTTAATGTTTCATTTTTTAAGATTAAGCCGATGACAAAAACAGTTTTAGATAAAACACGTACCTGAAGCTGAAGGCTCAATGATAGTCTATTTATTTTGTTTTCATTTGCTTTTTGTATTATTATTTTTTTTGTTGATTATCGTATTGTTGTATCTTTTTTGTACTACACAGATTTTAAAGCATCACAATAAAACACCAGATTTTTAAAAAACTTATCATAAACTTCTTTAATTTTAATTTGTTGAACACGTAGATTCAATACTTTCTGAATTATGCTAAAATAACTCATGTAACTTATATATATTTAGAGAGAATATACGTAGTGACATCTATTGCTTTCTTTCTGCTGCATACACAGAAATATAGATAAAATATGGACAATGGACTACACTCCAGATGGCGCTTACTCCAGTTCACTTTACATCATGACCTCATTGATATTATATAATTTAATTTTTGAAACACCAATAGTAACTGATGCGTAGATATCCATGAAATGCCAAAAACAACCGCGTGTTTAAGAAATCCATCGATAAAGTTTCTTTTCTTTGTTAAGAACTGATTTGTATGTAATATTATTTTGAATTCGAATTTTATAGATTATCGATGAGTAAAACTATATTGAATAATCGTTCATCATCAGAATTAATAATATTAAATGATCAACCGTCAAGAAAAAGACGCATTAATTCTGAAGAAGTCAACATCGTAGCCAAGAAAAAAATCAAGCATTCTACTGATATCACATCACATTGGAAAAATATTCATTCCAAATATGAAAATAATGCAATGAAAACATTTGAATGTAAATCAAAAAATGATTGTAAGATAATAAAAAAAAACTATCTAATCATGCATGATTAAAAGAAGAAAAAACTAATATTCTTTTTAGATCTAATTATAAACGATCCACTTGGTGATCGATCACGTTTTATTATAGCAAAATCAAGTCATTATTGGCTTAACGAATCGATACGTCTTGTACAACAACATGTTGAATATGGAACAACATTTCATGCAGCTATCTGTGGAGAAATACTTGAAATTGAACGAAATCTTAAAGCATTAAAATTAAATGTTGATAAAAATGGTATTAAAAAAACATTTTTCTATCGAGCTGAAGGTCTTCTCAATTTTATTCGTCTATGCTGTACATTTTTTGGTAAAAATTTCATTTAACTAAAAATATCCATGATTCTGTCTTCTGTTTTGTTTTTCAAATCTGTTAGACAATCCACTAGAGAAATGTCATCGACGTTTACATGCATTATTTAATCTATGTGCGAATTGTTGGTTATATATGTTGGATATAATGTTACCAATGTCTATTGTACGCGTAGAAAAAAGTTTCATATTTGATGATGATCACGGTGATTTTGAAAATGATTCAATACTTCGACATTATCTGAAAGATGATCAGCTAAAAATAAAAAGTAACTATGTTATTGTCTTGTGATAGTTTTTAAGTTTTCCTTAATTTTTTCATGAAAATAGAAGCACATAGTGAATTACCGAATTTACGTCATATACTATATACGATTATTTTAATTATTGATAAATTATATAAAATGCATTTAGTTGATCGAATCTATCTTGAAAGATTTCAGATGATTTATGAAATTTGGATTCTAATTGATAATGAAATTAATTCGCGTGAAAAAATTAGTTCTACAATTAATTTTAAGAAAACAGCTAAAATTACAAATGAAAATCAAACGAAAAAAATTTCATGGAATTTTCTTGGCGAATGTGATAAATATGAAAGAATCTTTGGAACATTTACTACTAATATTAAGTAACATTGTTCTTGCTATAGTAATTTTTTAGCTATTTATGCTTTATTTTATTATGAATAGTTTTTATTTATTATATTGATAAATTATGAAGATTATAATGTTTCTTGTATAAATTAATAAACATAATTAAGATAGAGCATTCCAATTCTTTATTGAGTTTAATAATCTAACGAATAGGCCGTAAGGAATAGCGTGTTAAAGATTTCGTCAATATCTCTCTCAGTTTTTAATGGTTCCACTTGTAATATTTTTCAAAAGATAGACCATAGAATTCACTATAAAATCACGTAAGAAAAAAGCTTTTTAAAAGAATATGTGGAAAATTATTTTTGAACTGTATTAATTTGCATTGAAACGGCGTACTTTCACAGTGGTTTTTTTCAAGAAGTAATTATTTCTGTCCATCTTAATAAACAGATTTTAGAATATTCTACCGAAATTTTCCTATGTCTTTAAGTTTATTGGTTTCAATAGAGCTTAGAAAAAAGATCCGCACTTTGAAAAAGACAATCATTTCTCGGAAGAGATATAGTATATATCTGAAGCCGTCTTCGTTAAAAGTTTAATTTAACAAAATGTACTGTTCGGATAGATATTCAATATATCGTACAGCGACGATTTCAACCGATAGAGGCTTGCTTGGATTAAAAAATCAGAATATTCAAAATTTTCATTTGTTGACCTAGCAGTTGTGTAAAATTGTAGAAAAGAAAAATAAATAGAAGCTCTAAATGAAATATTTTCGGAGCATCGTGTTACTTTATTTAGTTTTACAGATATTATTTTCAATTCTTCTTCGTCTTCTGGGGATTTCTAGAGAATTTCATGAAATATTTGTTTTTAAATGTATTAACTCAAGCCATCGACCATTGAAAGATATATTCATTGTGCTTATATTGAAATTGACGTAAATGGGCAATAAATTCTCAAACATGGTAGCAAATTATTCTTTATCATTTTTATTCTTATAAAATTTTAAAATTCTTCAGAACCCATTGAAATCATCATATGATGCATAAACTTACCTATATATCTAAAGATTTTAGTAATTTGTTGAAACGTCTCGTAATCTTAATAACCATAGACTATGCATCCATTTTTCTTATTTTCTTGTACTGTAACAGTATCAAATCGAATACTCATAATATTTTTAGAATCATAAGCAAGGCTGGTGAATTGAAAAGCCGCCTTTATTCATATATCGTCTTCTTTTTCAAATATATTTCAATATGTAACTCTTTGATATGAGAACTCTTATTTGAAATTTATCATTAAGACGATTCGATGTGATTCAAGTTGCTTTGACATTACTCATTAGCCTTGAGAGACAATTTTAATCATAGAAATTTTCGAAGCAAATCATATAGCATCATCTTTAGCTAATCTGTTAAGATTGATTTGTCAGCATGATGAAGATGAAAATATTCAACAATCATTTAGATATTAATATTATATCATATTATGGAACTAGTTACAATGTTTTTGATCTCATTAACCGTCAAGTAGTTCAACAAACCAGAGCTGTAAAGTGTTTTTCGATATAAATTTGAACCAATACTATCAAATATTTCATTATCTATCCTTCGAATCGATTTCTCATGGAAAATAATCATATTTTTAGATAGTAATGAGACAATTACTTGTCAATGTACACAATGTTTTCAGATCCGTTAAAGTTTGAAATTAATATTAAATGACTTTGATTTGATACTGTACTTTTTGTTTTAAATCAACTTATTGTTTTTCATTGATACAAAATATACAATAACTTTAGATTTTCTCATGAAAAGTACTAATAGTAACCTTGATATTGAATTAAAAATCATCTTTCAAAGTAAAAATCATAGCAACTATATACCTACATGTCCATAAAAAAAACGATGTATTCTCGTTGACAAGAAGAAGATAGTATTTTTAATAACTTTATTGTAGATCATAATTTTTAAATGTTCGCAACAATAATTTTCATAAATTTTCTATTATTTGTATAATCATTTCATACATTTATATAAGTAAGAATGATTTTTTTTATATCATATTAATAATTTACGGAAGCAAAAAAGAAAGATATTTTAATTTAAAATTCACTCGTTGTATTGCTTGATGTTGTTGTACTACTGGATACAGATGGAGATTGTACAAATGATATTTTTTTCGATGACATTTTATCATATAAATATATCAATATTCTTAGCATGAAGCTACATAAAATACTAATAAGAGATAGACTACCAATAATAAAACCAAGTAGACTTAAGTCTTTCTTTTCAATCGATGCATTTGCAAGAAGTTGATCGTATGTCCATGAACTAAGAGACAGAGAGAGAGAAAGAGGAAAAAAAGCAGTTATCTTATATATCGAATGAAAGATTTATGATGATACATGCATTGTTTCATTTTTATCACGTAATATATATGTAGCACTTGACATTATTTTATTATGAATTATCTAACGTATGCGCCAAATATGCGTTACAAGAAGAGAAAAGAACGAAATGATGATAATATTGATGTTTATGAGTCCTTGCCAACGTACTAATCACAAACAAGCATTTAATTACATGATCGATAATCTTTGGTCAAGGCTAATGTATCTATCGAAATATATATGCTCTTTAAGAATTTTTTCTTGAACCTATGCTTCAATCATATTTTCTATTTAAAATGTTGTATTGACATTTTGAAAATCTAGTCAAGGTTTGTCTATAAATAAGACACATATAAAAACATGATGAATGACTCGATTAAATTTCATTCATCTGTTATAGTTTCAAATACTAATTATTATCAATATGTTAAAATCAATTCTAATCATATTTACAATCTTCATTAAATTTATCAATGCACAACAAAACATTCTGGATGATCGGTATGGCAATCGAATTCCACAACAGCCATCTTATTTTAGTGCTGGATATGGTGTAAATCTTCCAAGTAGTAATATTAATATGAACAATATTAATAACAACAATATGAATGCTATCAGTAGCATGGATAAAGATGGTCTCATTGAAGAATTCGGTCAGTGTGGTGGTCTTGATTGGGAAGGTCCAAAAATTTGTAAAACAAATTTTATTTGTATGAAACGTTCAAAATATTATTCTCAATGTTTATCAGCTGAAGCAGCTGCAATCGCAACTCGACCATCTCCACAAGTTATTCCACCTGGTGGTAAATGTCATGGTGGAAATATTCGTAGTCCATTAGCTTGTGCTACTGGTACAGCTTGTTTCATTCAAACAGAAAATATTCATGGTGAATGTAAGACACACTGCCCACAAGGATGGTTTTGTGCTAAGCAAACGTTATCTGAATGGGCACCGTGTGGCGGAGAAAGTTATGTTGGTTTGACGAAATGTAAAGAAGGTCTTCATTGCTATCCACATTCAAGATGGTATCATGAATGTCGATCAGAATGTCCTGAAGGATGGAGTTGTTAAATAACAGTCTATTTTCTGTTTTTTTTCTATTTTATCTTTTTGCTTTTTTTTTTCTATATAAGGAAAAAAACAGATTTATTAATAAAGTAGTCAACAACATGTAGATTAACGTCCACATCTTTTGATAGTCAATCTATATCGAAGAAAAAATCATTGCCATTTGCTCGATCTGAGTTATTTGTTAGATTCGATGAACCAAACTGATCATCAGGTTTGGCACGATAAGCTTCCGATCGACCAAATAAAGTATAAGACATGAAAATCCAACCAGATATACTTAGAAACGATAGAATAACTATGGTAATAATTATACTGAGAGACGATGAATTATAAATTTCTACTGTTGAATTAAGATATAGATTATTAGGCGTTGTTGATGTTGTTGTTGTTGTTGCCGTGGTGATGGTTGATGATAAAAGAGAATTGTTCAAAATAATCATTTTAATATAGATTTTAATCAAGGACATATAATCAAGAAATGATTCACATTATATGAATATTGATTAGTAGTAGATTGTAGGTAATCGATTTTGTTCTGTTGTTGTAACTGAATGAACTTTCATTTGACAATTTATGATGCCATATAGTCGTCTAGTATGAAAGAAGAAGAAGAAAAATATAGAAGATAAATGAATATGTACACTCATATACAAGTGCAAATCAATAGGAGGGATGTTTTATGTCAAGGATGCAATGTCGGCAAAAAAAAAGAGATCTGTATGTGATAAATGAGCATGATGCCTTCTGAGAATGAGAACGATGTGATACAGATGATGATAATGTTTCTTTTTTGTACATAGAACCTAAATGATTGCCAATATTGATTAGTTTTGGTCAGTTATTCATTGTGTAGCTTTAAGATACGTATATAGGATCTGTTCGTTTATTAATAAAGTAGAAAGAAAAAAACAAGCCTTGACTAAATGCAATGTGAAGATAATGACCCATATCTAATAGAAGAAATTAGTTTTACATATTTCTCAGACTTTGGTAAAGGTCAACACATAATCACTATCATCATATTTGTAGCTATGCGTATCTCTCCGACGGTATACTCAAACAAGGATTTTTTGCCAATCAGTTAAATCAGAATAGAAAAAACATCTTATTCATGCGATATTTAGATCAACGATAAAAGAAATAGACGTTTTTTTTGTGGATATTAAACAGCTTATGCTGATTTGATTTGTTTCTTTTCAGTATCATAACAGTTATTTTCCTGTTTGAGTACAAAATGTCTGATCTAAATCAATAGATCTCTATACCATCAATGATGATGTATAAAATTGTTAACATCATGAAAACATTGCAAAAAAATAACGGTAGTTTCTAAATAAAAATGTAATGATTTATATTTATCCATCTATTAGACTTTGATTAAATACTGATATTGTAAAAAATAATTATTTTATTTATGATTTTACTTCTAATAGTTTGATCTTTTCTATACAACGATCTTTTGCTTTTTTTGAAAAAGAAAAATAATTAAATATACAGTATAAAACTTATCACCATATTTTGAAACTATGAATCTAAAGTTGAAATGTGCATTTTGGTTACTTAATACTAGCGTAATTTGAGAGCTTAATAAGCTATCTATTATCGAGAGGATCAAAACTAGTGCTTTACTGTAAAATAAGAATGACGAAAACAAGGATCAAATAAGTAATTATCGCTCATATATAAGGCACTGTTAAAAATAATTCAATACCAGTTACAATTCGAAAAATCGCATAGTATCAATATGGTATCAACACTTTTAACGAAATTAGTCTTATTGGCTACGGTCATAGATATTGTCTATTCAGTAGCTATCTATGAGCAATGTGCTGGTGAAGGCTATGGTAATTTTCCTTGCGACAATGGTATGGCATGTTTTCGTCGAAATAAATGGTTTTCATCATGTCAATACAGTTGTCCATTGAATCTTGGTTGGGAATGTGAAGCTTACATTACATTAGCACCAGCCTATGCTGCTGGGTGGGCCCAATGTGCCGGTGAAGGTTGGGGTAATGCAAAAGCATGTCCAGCTGGTTATGCTTGTTATGCTCGAAGTATCTATTATTCTCAAGTGAGTGATTTTCTATAACAGCTTTTTAATTAGCTGAACTTTTGATTATTTTAGTGTCGTCCAATTGGTGATTGTCCAGCAGGTAAAACTATATATTTTATGCTGATAGTTGGAAAAAAAGAATTTTTTTGTATTATTAAATAGATTGGGGATGCTATGCATTTATTCATTCAACCACTCCAATTCCTCGTCCAGTTACTTTACCTGCTTATACAAAATGTAACGATGTTGCAAACGCAGTCTGTCCAACTGGAACAGCATGTTTTCGAAACAATGCTTTATATGCCGAATGTCGTCCAGCTTGTCCACCGACATGGGCCTGTGAAACAGATGTAGCCCAAGACAAGGAACAGTGTGGAGGTATAAATTTTGTAAAACGTTTGAGTGTAAAATATTTTTATCTATTTAGGTGCGGGATATGTGGGTCTAACACGCTGTGCTGAAGGCCTTCGTTGCTATGTACGTAACCAATTGTACGCCCAATGTGCACCATCATGCCCAGGAGCTGATTTTATTTGTTAAAAACAATAACGAAGAACATTGAAAATAACTCATTTTTTTTTCTACTTTTCTTGTTTACTTCAAAAAAGAAAGAAAAGAATAATAAAATGAGCGACATATAATGCCCTGATTGCTGAGTTTGATGTCTATCATGTATTTTTTCGTCTACGAAAATGTTTCAGACATTGAAACTTTATCGTGATTATCGTCAACATGGAGAAAGAAAGAAAAAGAAGTTTTTTTCCTTTCTTACGAGTACGAATAAATGTGTGTTTTAGATATCTGTCGTAAATTTTAGCATTCCAATGACTGCAAGGCGTTCTGTTGTATCAGAAAAAGCAGCTTCACTCGGCGACGATATTCAGTCGTATCATCATCATTTGGTTTGGCTAGATCAAAATATCGAAAATTATGGAATTAAACAAAATAGACTACCATGGTTTGAGTTGGACGATAAATTGAAACTTTTCACCGATACAGAAGAATGTGCTGATTATATACTAAGACAAGATGATAGAAATGAGAAATCTTACATTATATTCATTGTTTCTAAATCACTTAGCGAAGAAATTCTACCAGTCATACATGATTGCATTGGTATTTTTACAATTTTTATATTTTCTCCAAATGTAAAATATTGTCAACATTTAAAATACACGAAAGTTCGAGCAGTATGCACAGAAACAACTGAATTATTTGATAGAATTCGACATTGCATGGAGAGAGATAACGTTACAATTGGCTTTAGTTTATTTAATGATCGAGACAATGCTAATACAGGTATTTGAAATTGAAATAGGACAAAACGAAAAGTATCAATTGATATTTTTTTTTCTAATAGACACATCCTCATTAAAATCCTCATTAAAAGATACACCCAATGAACAATATCCGATTCACTGCTTAAAAGAAGATCAAGCACGTTTTCTATGGTTTTATAAGTGTAGCAGTTTTATGATTGACTTAAAAGACGATGATATAAATGCTAAAGAAGAAATGATTGCCTGTTGTCGTAACACATGTAAAGATAAACGATTACTGATACCAATAGATGAATTTGCAAATGAATCATTAGAAGAAAATGCACAAAGAGCTGTTTGGTGGTATACGAATAATTCTATCATATATCTAAGTATTAATGAAGCATTAGTTTCCGGTAATATTTCAACGATCTATTCGTATCGTTATATGATTAAATTACTGTGTCGACAATTGAAAGATTTACACCAAGAATTTAAACTATCAGTATCCAATAGAATACTTCATCTTTATCGTGGCCAACGATTAAAACTATCCCAAATTCTCTCGATTTCCAGATGTATCAATGGTATTATTTCACTCAATAGTTTTGTATCGACAACACAAGATAGAGATGTTGCAAATAAATTCAATTTTGGTCGTAAAGAACAAAATGATGAACCTGTTTTATTTGAAATCGATGTTGATATGAATAATGAATACGGCATTGTATTTGCTGATATCAGAGAATTTAGTCGGTATAAAGAAGAAGAAGAAATTCTCATTTCGATCGGATCTGTATTTCGTATTGAATCGGTCGAATTTATTGAAAAAAATAAATTATATGTTATTCATCTCTCATTAAGTCGACATGATCAATTAAGTGTTAATAACTATATTGAGCAGTCATATGCAACAGAAATCGATTCAAATGAGCATTCAGTTCTTTTTGGAAAACTTCTTTTTGATATGGGAGAGTATCAATTTGCCATAAAATATTGTGAAAATCAAATTGCTCGTATATCAAATTCTAATAATAATTGTCGGCCTACCTTCTTGAACAATCTTGGTGTATGCTACGATGAAATCGGTAACAGAAATAAAGCGCTTATCTATTACAAAGCAGCACGTGAAATGTATAAAGCGGTGGGAAATCAGCGTGGATTAGGTGCATGTTATCATAATGTAAATCATTTATTTCTATTTGTATTAGGTTTTATTTTCGATTCATTGTAGATGGCGAGTTCTTATTATAACCAACAAAACTATGATGCTGCTCTTCTATGGGCACTTCAAGCTTTGGATGTACGAGAAAAATATCAACTAGAAAAAGCATCAACTCTTGATTTACTTGGTTGTATTTATTTAGCTCAACATGATTCAAGCGCAGCGGCTGATAAACTTAAAGAGGCTTTGAAAATACGTCTAAAATGTTTAGGCCAAACTAATTCAAATCATCCAGATATTGGAATAAGTTATTTCAATTTAGGTAAACTTGAATCAAAACTATTATCATCAATTGAAGCACATACTAATTATTCACGTGCTGCAGAAATCTTTCGAGTCAACTATCCAAGCACACATCCACTGATTAAAGAAGTTACACAATGTTTAGAAGAAAGCAAACGATTATGATATCGAGAATTTAATTTCCTTTTTTTTTTCTTATAAATGTAATTATTTATTTTATTTCGAGAATGTATTTATTCTAAAAGATTGTAAAAATAATACAACGAGCGTCATGATCATATTGAAAATTTGAAATATGTATGTCGATTTCAAATGACTCGACAATCACATGGAAATTTGTAATCAGTATATGAGAAGATTTAATACATCGAAACAAAAATTATTGACTGCTCGGCTGATGTTCAACTACTTCAACGCTCTCGAAGTTTCGACTACTCGAGAAACATTAACATATCGAAAGAATTGTTTTTTATGCATCAATCGAAGCAATTTTAGCACAACAATATTTTCGACTGGTAAGCTGAATTGTGCTCACACGAAAATTCTCTAGAAATCGAATAATACAGTTTACGCTAGTTTCATCATTTTCTAAAACCAACTAGTAAGAGTAAAATTCATACGTATTCTAAGAATAAATTGCCGCGTTTTAATTCTTGAAACGAAGTTTTTAAATATTGCTTTTAATAATTTTCTGTACAAATTCATTTTTTATCAGTTAGATGGTATGAATTAATTGAGAAAGTTTTCGTACTAATATGAAAAATGCAAAGTTGAAGATTTAATCGCAATAAGGTTTTAGCGGACAACTGTATCAAATGTCGGAAGCTACTGATTCTTTCAACTTTAAGTTTTTGTTGCTTCGATCTTTTATATATTATGTGAAAAATAGAAAGTATCAGATAATCAAATTTCTTGAAATTTAAACAAAGATGATTGACAATTATTTTGATCCACGTAATAATCAAGAGTCATTGCATTGAATTAAAGGATGCAATGTATGCCAACTTAAGTTAAGTGTACATAGAAAATACATTTGTTGATCTAGAGAAATTCACAAAAGAAACAGCATGATCAAAATAGTAGTGATGAATAAAAGATAAACTAATATCTTTTACAGATAAGCAATCTGAAGGCAACAAAATACAATCACAAGCAAGATCTTGGTTTTACGAACAAATTATTGTTATTTCGTGTTTCTAGTTGATTCATACAGCTGGATGTGTTGCTTTCGTTGATATTTCACCTGAATTCACCATAAAACTGGATAGTTATGAAAAGAAATTCTCGAATCCTGTAGTAAAATTTACATATCAATTTTAAGTATCTTACCTAATGTTTAAGAGAGAAAAAAACCGAAATAGATAGGAACAAAAGAATCAATTCTAGATCCTATAAATAATTTTATTTATTTAATATTTCAAATGAATTATGTTGTAACAAAGTTCCATTGACTCAAGAACATATCAATTGTCTTTACATGGGATAATTTCAATGGAATTGCCACGTCACATAGCCAAATATGAATATGTTGAATTTTTTTAATTTTATTTATCAATCAAAAATCTTGCATATATGATTCAAATAAGACGATGGGATACATATCATATCGGGAATCTGTGGAGTAATCACTAATTGAATTTCGTAGATTGAAAGCATCTTTGTGCATTCGTTCAAGAGCGAAAACGAATGATTCGAAAGTATGATTATTCATACTAGAATCATACAATTACATATGGATTTCTAATTCTTACGTAAGGAATTTTTTAGCAATCTAAGTTGAATATCGAAAATAGATTCCCAATTCTATTTTAATTGCCATCATTCTTTTGATATCACAATGACACCCTACAGTCCCATTTTTTTTGTCTTCTCAAGAACATTCTATTATACAATAAAAATAAAAAGAGATTAACCCGTATCATATTTGATCATTTTTCCATTGATAGGTCGATACAGTGGACTATCGTCAAAATAATATCTAACTCACTTTTGAGTTTGATACAAAAGAAAAAAGAAAAACAATATCAAATTTCTCTTATATTTACTAATAATTATTATTTAATTCTTCAAGTACATAAACTTGACAAAATGTAATATTAATTCCTCCAGATAATTGTTTTGGTTATGAAATTAATCATTCATTTTACACTTGATTGTGTATAGGAAACAAATCTCTTTAAGCTAAAGGCAAAAGTCAATTTAAGATTTTCAAATGAAAATCACGTTAAACATCTAATCATAATGACGTTAATACATGGTCGGTTACCTAATCAGTATCCATCATCACTAAGATATGAAATTGAGTCTTAACTATTAGGAATAAAACATTAACTAAAATAAAATGGTATCTTCTGCTTACTATTGATTCAGCATATTATTTTATTTTCGTTGAATATTAGTGAAATTTCTCATGTTCATCAATAGAAAATACAGTTATATAACGAGGATTTATTATTTGAGCTAAACGATCTGTTTGCTTAGTATATTTTAGAAAGAGAGAGGGTCAAGAAAGTGTATCAAGTAGAAATATATATGTAATGGCATATCACATTGTGATTGAATAAATAATGTCATATAGATAACATCTAAATCAAGTCTATCATTAATAATACAACATTCTTTTGTATTTAATTAAGCGTATCGACAGAAATGTTTTGGATATATCTAAAAAAATTATTTTGAAATAAGATTTTGCTGACAACATAAACTATTCATTTGTTTTGAACCGTGTAGCTATACCATGATTTCTATTTTCTCAAAAATTCGATTACTTGTGTAGTTAATGTATAATACAACTGCATAAATCGGTTTATCAAATAAAAGAAGAATTTTGAGTTTATGTTTAAATCTATTTGATATATCTGCTAGTAATATCTTACATGAAAGCATATCAATGATAATGTCAAATAGTTTCCTCTTGTTTGTCATTTTATTTATACCAATCTCATTTGTATCTCTGACAACAAACTTTCATTTGATCTAATCGAGTACATAGTTCAATGTTATTTACTAACTATCTGACATTTCATCGTATATCAATGAATAAAATACCGAACGAAAAGCAAATTGGATTACTCAACATTTCAATAAATAATAATTATGCCAAATTTTTATTGCCAATTTAATTATATAGTAACTTTGTTAACAGCTATGCAGTAAAACTCAATGTTATATTAAATTGATTCATAATAAAATCAAAATGAAACTTTTAATAAATAGAAATCTTCGTAGAGAATGAAAATATCTAGTTCAATTATTCATCTTAACTACATATAAATGTACATAATGACCAGCCGATACAGTTTTTGTGATTCTCATTATTGTTCTTTCATCTATGAGATATTTTGATTTGAAAATCTTATCTGATTCTTGCTGTTTGTTTTTTGAAAGAAGGAAAAGAATGAAAGCTTTTAAATAAATTCAAAAGCAACAACTTCTATGAGTGACGGATCGAGCTGTTTTATTATTTCGTCGTTCATCATCATATTCTTATTATGTTTTCTTTTTTTCTTTCATGTACGCTCATTTGAGAAAAAATAACAAAAAGCGAACAACAAAACAAGTCCATCCATATATTTAACGGTATGATTTTTGATATTTGGCACGAGCACCTGGACCACCAAATTTTTTCGGTTCACATCGTCGTGGATCAGAAACAAGTAATGATCGATCATATTGTACGAGTATATCACGTATTTGTTTTTTGGTTGCTTCATCAACAAATTTTTGTGTATAAGCAACAACTGATTTTGCTAATGCTTGTCGAATAGCATAAACTTGTGCAATACGACCACCACCTTTAACACGAATACGTATATCGACTTGTGCAAATTTGTCTCGACCAAGAAGATAGATGGGTTCTTCGAGTTTAAAACGAAGTGCTTGTGGTTCAACAAGATGCAATGGTCGACCATTGACACGGATTGAACCATGACCTTCAAATGAAACATTATTTTTAATGATTCAATAAAATAAATGATTTTTTTCTGTGTACCTTGTTGGCATACGGCTACAGCTGTAGCTGTTTTTTTTCTACCAAACGTTTGTACACGTTGTTTTTGTACTTTCGACATGCTGGGAAATTCTTCGCAATTTAGTGTCGATCTTAAATAAGACAAATATAGATATATATGTATAATAAGAAAAAAAAGAACTTCTATCGATGTTTGTAAAATATGAAATAAACAATTTAGTTTTTCGAATGAATCATGGAATCTTAACAATTGGTTAATCGAATTCATCTTATATTTCTACGCGTCCTCCATTTATGTTATTCCGAAGATACTTAGCGACATCTATTGTTTTCTGATTAATGACTCAGCATTTGGCTTGTGGGAAATTGAAATTGAGAACAACAACTTTCTTTATCTAACTCTATAGTTTTTAAGGTTATTTCTGTTAGAGCGATAAAATTTTGTCACTATTTCATATTAACTCCACAATAGTATCAAAGGGATGTCCATTCTCTTGTAGATTCACAAAAACACCTGTATTGAGTCAATGAACATCACCAAATTTGCTCCAGGATTATATATTGTTGCTGGATATACTAACAGTAAAGTTGTTGACATATATTTCACTGTAAGATTGATTCCAGTGACATTTTTGTTCATTATAACACGTTGAAACATCAATTCTACCTCAACATGGGTTCATTTTGCAGCGATATTCTTCTTTGCTTCAGAGAAGATTCGCGTTCACGTGTAAGACATCAAATTATGACTGAATCAGTTGTACACATGTAAGAAACTCTACCTGATTATGACGACAATATAACATCAATTTTGCTAATTTATCATTACTAGTTAGAAGAAAAATCTACGCAATATTTTACAATGTTTGAAACTTGATAGAAATCTCAAATTGTATTGATCTATTGATATTAACCATGTTATACTGTAGGCATGTTGTTAAATTGTTTATGACTTATCACAAACCTGACATTTTTCTTTTCGTAAAATATCCGTAGAACTTGGAACAAGAATTTGTTTTTTTGTTCTCAGCAAAATATTCGCCCTAAAATTTCTGCTACTCTTGAACTGGCCGAAAATCAGTTCTATTTTGTATATAGTAGCCTTTTTTAATATGTACTTATGCTATTGAAACGTCGGTAAGAACGACAAGCAAATATTTTGATGCACGAAACATAGTGAAACGATTGGCAGATTTATCGTAGCATAAAATATCAAGCACTATGTATATTCAATATAAAAATCTGTAGATATTTAACTATTGAAGTCTATTTGAAAAACAAAAATCAAAACTGTTCTTCTTTTGATAACTAAAAATTAATTTGTGTTATATTATTGTAAAACTTTATTTATTAGTGTCGTAGGGAATAAATCATGGATAGTAACACAATGCTTGACGGCCTTAAAGTTCAACCGTACAATCTCGTCTCAATGATGGTAATTATTAAAATTTTTCTTCTTTTAATAGTAGGGTTATAACGATCAGTAGTGGTAGGGTAATGCTGGGTCTAATCCATTGTCGGTAGTGGGACTAGGACACTTATTGTATTCGTTTTTTCTTTTTGATTTACGAAATCTGGACAAATCGAAATAGATGTTCCCTTGTACGAAGAAATCTATATAATTATTCATGAATCAATCATTAACAAAAGTATATAGAGTAGAAATAGTGTTTAATCGGTTTGCGATGAATCTATTGATGATTGACAATTTTTTTTAAGGGTTTTCATTAATATTCAACAACGTCCGTTTGATTTATTCAAGAATGCTATCGATTTAAGTGCGTATATACTTGAAGTTAATGTTTAGAAACAGTTGATGAAAATTAAAATGCTTCATAGATAATTAATTTATATCAACAGATGTCTTCATGAAACAATTTATCTAAAGCGCCACATTCCTTATCTTTAGTTGCATTGCTATTTGTTGAACCCAATCGAAGATTAGGCCACTATTATCATCGTTCATCATAATCTTGTCTTTCTTTATCTGTATCTTTTCCTTTTCTTTTTCTTTTTACTTATTTGTTTTTGTGATCGATTAAATGCCTATGCTAAACAATTTTATAAGATTTCAAAGATATTTGTGTAGTTTCATCAAGTAAATGCAAACAACACTTTAACGATTATATGTATATAGATTTTTTCTTATTTGATGCTTACTTTTGCAATGTAAACATGATCGGAAGTTTTTCTTTTTCTACTCTTGAAAAGAAAAACTTCTACTTTCATAGAGCGAACTTATTCGATGTTTATATTTATTATCAATATATTGACTTCCTACTGTGCCTACCTCTTCTCCTCTTAGTTCATGAACAAATGAACGTGAGTATTACACATCCGGTTCTGCTTTGTTCTCTGATGATTGCCTCCTTCTGTATTATATTCGATGACCTTTGTATCCTACTCACTCATTCACCTCGGTTTATCTATTTCTTTCTTCCATCCCATTTTCTTTTGTGCTTTCATATTAATCGGAGCCCTTTTGTATTCTGAACATAGAATGACGGTAACGCTTGTCATAATGACATTCATATATCATATTAGATCAGTTATACGGTTCGCACATATATTTATCTATAAATATAAGCCGACCAAATCGGCTCAATTCTATTGAAGCCAGCAGTTGTGTCAACAAATCTTTTACTGATCAGTTCCTTACGTTCTCATTCAGTATATTCACTCTTTTATGTTTCTTCGCCATATATATATATATATATATATATATATATATAAGGGAAGTATGACTTTTCTGGCAAGATGATGATGATTTATTATTTGAGTGCAGCGTCTTTTTAACAATAAGATTTATCAAGGTCATGCTCATCTACTAATCGGCAATATTCTTCTAGTTAGATTATATGTATCCATAATGTAGATGGTCAATATAGTTTGAGTAAATATTATCATGGATAGAATACGTTATCTATAGTTTTGTAATGTATTTAGTACCGATAAAATATTCCTATCGACAGTAATCTTGTTTTAACTGTAACATGAACAAGATGTTTTGATTAGTATCGATGATATTCAACTGAAAAAAATAGCTTACCAAAGTCGTACAAATATCGATAAAAAATATCTTACCGCTCTTAGATTTGGTTGGAGAAACATCAAGAAATGCGAAGATATATTCGAACAAGATGTTTAGAGTCTATGTCTATCAAGCACTCGTCGATAATGCCATCATCACCTTTTCACTTTGGTCTACACAGGTATAGAAGAAGAAAAAAAAATCGAAAAATAGTGTACTGTATTTTTATGACGAGATTGTGTTCGCTTTATGCTTAATCGATGTATTATTGTATACTAGTATTTCCTTCGACGGTTTTTTTTTTCTTACGATTTTTAGTATTACTCTTAATTCCTAGTTTTTCTTTTCTTCTTCTATTTTGTTTTATTGTGATCTAGGTAAGAAAAACTAAAACGAAAAGAAAAAAAAAAGAAATGCATCATAAAAATTAAACAACCGAACGAAACACTGATGACGATGAAGAAAAATAGAAAGACAGAGAAAAAGGGAAGAGAGAGAGAGAGAGAGAGAGAAGAAAGATCATCATATTTCGATCGTCAATGAGAAAGATGGATGGATGAAGGTGGTGCGGCCTTCGCTCAAAGGTGTGTACGTTTACGATTTGTATGAATGAATGAATGAATGAATGAATGGAAAAAAAAGAAAATCGTAATCAATGATTCATAATAAATTTATCAATATTTTTTAATATCTTATTATGTTCTTCAATGTGACGAAATGTCTGTTCGTCTTTCTGATATATTTATATTGATACCGCTTTCAATTAACCTTAATAATGCATGAGTCGTCGGTGAGTTGGTTATTGAAATGATTCTTACTTTTATAATAGTCTAGTCATACTAATAAATACAAGAACATATTATATTCAAACAGCAGATTTCTTAGACGAGAGAAGGAAAAAAACATGTTGACAAGTAACTATTGATGATTGTACTATTTCAGTAGTTAGAGATGTTAATAGTAGATATTTCTTCACGTAGACACAATGTTGTAATATGAGTAACTAGACCGATAACGATTGTCATTGAAAGAGGCTTCACAGAGACACTTGATAAATATATATTTGATTAGATCCGAAGCATTTTATTTTTCTATTTAAAATCAATGTCACAGTACAATATATTTTCTTCTTCAATAGAAATATATATTCAAACGGTAGTTGAAATCCAAACTGTTTATTTAGTTTCAGTCCTCACTTGTCAAAACATTCGTGCGTTTTTTTTCGCATCTCGGTTGGATTACCGAGTATTATGTCTTATTTCTTTTTCTTTAATGTGTAGTTTTTTGTTTTATTTCAGATGCTTCTGTTTTTTTTCTTTTGATTATAAAATAAATGCTCTTTAAACTGTTTTTGTTGCGTTGAAATGCAGAAAAACATCTTTTCGTATACCCTTTCAGATCGAATTCAAGTTTTTTTTTATATATGTAAAAAAAGAAACAGTCAGCGCAACGGAGACGAATAATAGTTTCAACGGGACGATATCATCGTCCGAATGGCAAACAGGAACACTTCCCATTCGATCAGCATTAAGCCTTAACACATCGGATACACTACGAAAAGTAAACAAAAGAAATTAAAATCTTTGTAAGAAATCATATTGATAACTGTTTCATTTAGAGTGTTGGAAGTCTAGAAAAAATGAATCAACTTCGACCCGATGACCGAACCTTAGAAGAATTATTTCGACATACGATCGTAAATAATACACTTAGTCATGTTTTTTCTTTATTTGACATATACTTATCTTGGCTAGGCTGCAATGGATTTACCACCAGATAAAATTAAAATGTTAAGAGAATTTTCATCGGATAAAAAGTGGGATATTATTCGAGATAGAGTATGTGAAAAGATCCGATTAATATTGATTAGTTTTTTTGCTTTGTTTCTAATAATGAAATAGGATCAAGTTATCGCAAAACATCCACCACAATATTATATTGATGGTTTAAAAACATATATTCGTGGTGCTAATCTTGTACCAAAAGCGTCGACTTTAGTAATAAAATTCAACTTAGAAAAAAAAAATAGTATGCTTTCATATTTGTTTGTTTCTAGAAAAAGAAACATCCTGCCGAGCCATCTACTCAATTACTTTCAAGCTTAGAAATTTCATTACGTACAAATACTATTGGGTAACCAAATCATTTGATTTTAGCAAAACAAAACAACATTATATATTGAAATCTTTAGATGGGTTCATGAATTCCTTAATTCATACAATAATGGTCTTGGTATTTTACTTGATTATTTAATAACATCATTAGAAGTAATGCGGTGAGTAAAAACAATTAGTCTATTTTGTGTCGAATTTTTCAATTTATGAGAAATTAGATTTGAACCTGCTGTTCATGAATTAAAAAATAATTCACTCATAAGAAATAAACGTTTTTTCTTTTGCGGTTTTCTGAGGTGAGAATAACAGCTCATTTTGTTTTTCGCTGCTCGGTGTCATGAACGATAAACTAACTTTATTTTATTTATTAATCAATAATAAGGTAAAATTTCTGATTAACTTTTTTTTCTAGTGAAGTTGATAGTGCACATAGTATTACTCCCTTATCAAATTCAAATGGCAATCATCATTTGTTTTCAGTAGCAATGTTAAATCATGGAAATTTAAATTATACTGATGAAAATTCAACATTAAAACGTTCCACATTAGGACGATTCGATGCTAAACGTTTACATAGAAAAATTAAAAAATATCAAATTGGTGAAGCTACTGATGATGTTCGACTATGTATTATGTGCCTTCGAGCGATTATGAATAATCAAGTGAATATAATTTTCTATTTTTTTTATTGAATACGTATTGTCGCTACTAAGATTATTCTACTTTGTCTATTGATAAATATTAGTAAGAGCCCAAGTAGTGATTTTAAATGAGATTATTATTTATTAACGACAAAATCGAATGTTATTTACTCAAGGTTAGACTGTCTGTCTGGCAAATAAAAGATTTTCAACTTCGATAACTTGTTTTTAGAAATCTTTTGAAAGACTAGTTTAGGATTTAACCGTTTAAAACTGTGTTTGTTGTCCGAAATTATTGATTAGTGTACCTTGACGCGTTGATTTGGCAAGAAAAATATCATGAATTTAACCTTCATGAATGTCATCGAAGAAACGTTATACATGTACGTGTGGATTAAATATGTATAGTAAAATTTTGATGTCATCTACGAAGGCTAACTCTTTTCAATAGCCTAATGAGAAACGAGATTAAAGTATGATTAACAGTATACATGAACTGCACACGCTGACGTAAACGAAACCATTTCAATTCGCTGAACTATTTCAGTCAGAGTTATACAGGAAGCAATTAGACAAAACAAAAATCAGCTGTCTCTCGGTTCATTTCAATGTATATTGACCGAAATATATTCATCTGATGGAATATAGAAAAATAAGGTTTCCATATGGCTAATCAGAAAAATCAACCAATTGTTTTGCCTCCAATAATGTTGATGTAACTAGATCAACTGTTATCGCAATCAACCGAGAGACGTTTCATTTGGCAGAGCACGTTTATTCTTTTAGCCTTGATCATTTGAAATTTACAAGGAAAATTAAAACAAAATAAGTTTTTTTCGAATAGTATTCGAAAACGTTGAATATTATAAATGCTAAACGTAAATTCACAATTGAAATGGATTATGTAATCAAAGTTAAATTCTTGATGAGAAATCTAAGAATACATAAAATACAGTCGTGATTATTAACTAGTATTAACGCTCATTCAGATCATAAAAGACTCTAATAAACGAATAGCGAATTAATTCTCTTTACCATTCATTAAAATCGCCGATAATTTTACTCTCGTGGATTAAAGTTTTTACAACAAAAGAATTCTGTGTTAAATCACATCATTTTAAAAATATATATTCTTTTTTTCTAGAATGGCTTTAACTTGGTTATTCAACATCCATCTGCTCTTAATTATATCACACTTAGTTTACAACATAAAAATTATCGGTAAATTATTTTTAATACTCTTAAACAATCAATTCTTCATGAATTTTTTTTTACAGATGCAAAGCATTGATATTGGAATTACTTGCTGCTGTATGTTTGGTCGAATTAGGTCATGATGCTGTATTAGGAGCATTCGATAATTTTCGAATCGTAATTTTTCTTACAGATCTAAAGACAATATAATAATTTTCTTTTCTGTTAGGTATGTCAAGAACGACATCGATTTGAAATACTAATGAAATCATTTACTCAACCATTAGAATTCAATGTTGATTACATGGTAAAATAATTTGAATAAGAAGTTGCCTTTTTTAAAAATACTCTGTTCATACGTAGATTGCGTGTATGCAATTTATTAATATAATTGTACATTCAGTACAAGATATGAATTATCGTGTATATTTACAAGAAGAATTCAAACTTCTTGGCCTCGATGAATGCCTGAAAGTAAATATTATTTTCATTTTTTGCTAAATATGGGCCTCTGCTGTTTTTCAATGAATAGAAATATTTGGAGATTCATAGTGAATGTGATTTATTTATATTACAAATCAATGCGTTTCTTGATAATTACTTTGATGTTGGTCAACTACTTGAAGATTCAGAAACAAAACAGCAAGCAATTACAAAAGTATCGGAATTAGAAGAACAATTAGGCGCTGTAAGTTGTTTTTTCTATTTGCATAAATGTTCAAATGGATGTGTTCTAATCTGATTTCGTTTTTGACAGGCAAATGAACGAGTTCAAGAATTGGAAACTGGAAATTGTAGTAAAATGGGTAAAGAATGAGAAAGAAGGATTTTTTTTTCGTACTGTCTTATCGTTGTTTTATTTTAAGCGGAATTACAAAAAGCACTGAGCTTTGCTGAACAACAAATGGAAAATGTTAAAGTAAGAGAAGACCATTTTTGAATGTGAAGTATATTGAATCATTTTTTCTTCTATAGAAAGAACGCGATGATATGTCACATACATTGAATACATTAAAAAGAGGCCATCATGCAATAGGTATGCATTCACGCGAGAGACCTAAGCGTAAATATAATCAACATCGTTATAATAATTATGCTTTTTAAATCAATTCGTAGAAGTTACGAATTTTTTTCCTATATTAACCTCCATCAGAGATACATTCATATCGTATAAAAACTCTAGTTCTATAATGCTACGCTTTCAGAATATCAAGTAGAGTTCGTTCGATGTATGTCGGCTTTGTTTGTAAAAACGAGCGCATTTTGAAATGTAGAACATAAAAGAATTCTGTGTTTTAATTTCATTTTTTAAATTAGAAAAAAGTCAAACATTACAATCTGATTATAAAGATGTGATCTTGGTCTTTGTTATCTTAAATTTATCTCAATATTAATCTTTTTTTAAGGCAGTTAATCTACCCTATTCCACCGTTCAATATGGGCCACAAGAAAAACTAAATTTAGCATTTTCTAATTTCTGTGTTTATTTCTTAGGATCTTCAAATAGTTCTACATCATCAATATCATCAGCTCCTCCTGGTGCGCCTACAAGTAGTGGATCCAATATACCTCCAGCTCCACCATTACCACCTCCCAGTAATGAGCCATTTATTTCATCTTCTCTCTCTTTCTATATATATATATATATATATATATTCTCCAACAATTTTAGACTTTATTCCACCACCACCACCTCCAGGACCAGTATGAGAAATTTGTACTTTATATTTGTATCCTTTTTGTTTTCTATTAGCCTCCACTCATCAATGGTATGCCGCCACCACCAGGTATGCTAGATGCACCTCCTGGTTCAATGACAATTAAAAAGAAAATTCAAACAAAATATAAATTACCGAATCTTAATTGGACGTCCTTAAAGCCTGGACAAGTTCGTGGTACTGTTTTCTGTGAACTTGACGATGAAAAATATTTCAAAGTAAATTTTTTTCCTTTCGTTTAATTATTTACTCACAGAAGTCTTTATTTTATTAGATAATTGATTTTGAAACATTCGAAGAATTATTTAAAACAGGATCTGGCTTACCAATTAACCAAGGAAATGTTAGTCCACATTTAAAACAGAAATACATGAAAATTCCAGAACGATTAACATTACTTGATGCGCAACGTCAACGAAATTTAGGTAAGGATAAAAAACAAGATTCATAGCAACATTCAATTTTGACATTGAATTTCGTCAAAATCGATTTATAATATTAAATATTGTATAGATATGCATAAGACATGAGCAAATATATTCGAATCATTGATTTCAAATACTGCATAGAGAAAGTTGCTATTTATTGAAGTGTCAATTTTGCGAGCTATTTTTATTTTTATGTGCAACTATTAGAAGTTCTTTTATCGTATTGTTCGTAACACGAAATGTTTCTAGTCGATGCGAGCGACAGCCAATAAATTTTAAATCTATATAATATACACGAGCCGCCTCGACATTATTCTCTGTACTATGTTTGAAAATGGAGTCGAAAGTATTAAAATCTTTTTTTAAGGTACCTGAGATTGATTATAACCTATTTATTATACATACTCTTGACGTTATGATGACAAAACATAAAAAGAAAAACAAACTTAGATGAAGACATCAAGAAAAGAATCGAAAAGAAGTTCCTTTGAAAAATGCAATATATTTAATTGAATTTTAATAGGCATACATTAAAAGAAAAAAGAGATTTATTGTTTTTATGATCTATAGCTTTAACAAAGCAAACAGGTTTATTGAGTAAAGAAAACATAGAAGTATAAGAATTTATGATATTTAAGAGGGAACATATTAGAAAAAATAAAAGCCTTGTCATACAGCCACTTGTACTTAATCACGCAAAGGAAATGTCTCAACAATTCTATTTCAATGATTAATAATAAGCGATTGATTTTTTTTTTCTACAAGCCTATCTTTGTATGTTATTCTCATTTTTCAGTTTCAAACAAATCGATACGAGGATACCAAATGAAATAGAGATTTTAGTAGAAAAATTACCAAGGCTTATGAAGATTCTAAAGAAACAATAGTCTCTGAATAAGCAGAAAGGCAAGTTTTAAAGTTTATAGAATCAGATATGAAAATTCTATTCACCTTGTGTCAAATAGTAAACGAAAGAATTAAAAAATTGTCCTTTACAGCTGATAGATGCTTCATTAGCTAGAGATTTGCCACTCGATCATGTTAATTGACTTCAAGAACATTTTAACTTTACAACTTGAAGAATTTAGTTTTTGAATTATTCAGCAACTCGTAGCTGGTTGAAGTAGCCATTATTTTTCTCGTTAGTAATTCTCAAAAGAAATGATTTTTTCCATTCAAAGCATTATTTCATTTCTTCTTCGTTCGTTAGTGGAAATTTTTTTTATATCGTACTGAAAGTATATACATAAATTACATGAATGAAACATGAAAGAATCGATTTATAAAAGCTTTGTATAGATTTTGGTCTTTTAAATCCATTAGAAACGAAAGTTAAGAAGTATACATCATCTATACTCACGTCGATTTAACATAATCGAACTATCAAATAACTTTTCAATCTATCTCAATTTTCTTTCATATAGGTATTGCTCGACGAAAACTTGATCTCGATGTAAATGTAATATCACGAGCATTAAATAAGTATGCATGTCAAATGATTAAAATAATGATTTATTCGAAAAATTTTAATTTTAGTCTTGATTTAAAAATTTTAACATCTGATACAATTGATATTTTACAACATTTTATTCCAACTGAAGTAGAAACAAAAGCATTTGCATCATATTTATCCGATGGGAAATCATTAATGAGCCTGTCGGATGATGATCAATTTCTTTATGGAGTAAATTTTAATCTAGATTACCAAATGTTGTAGTTGCATTTTATATTTTTTAGCTTTCAAAAATTGAAAGATTATCGCAAAAATTAAATGTTGTTTCATTTATGGCAAATTTTAATGAAACAAATCAAAATCTAATGCCACAACTTAAAGCCATCATAGCAGCATCAGCATCATTAAAAAATAATTCAAGATTCAAAAGACTTCTTGAAGTAAAACAGAAAAAAAAACATATATATATATATATTTCAATGTTGAAATAATTCTCCTTGTTTTTCTTACATTAGATTATTCTTGCTTTTGGAAATTATATGAACAGTAGTAAACGTGGTCCAGTGTATGGTTTCAAATTAGCAAGTTTGGAAATCGTAAATATTTTTTTCTTAGTTGTTTAGTTGTACTAATTGTTTCTATTGTAATTAGTTGACTGATACACGTACACATGATAAACGTCTAACATTACTTCATTATATTACACAAACGATTGAAGAACGATTTCCTGATGTACTCTATTTTCATACAGATCTCCAAGCTATTGAAAAAGCTGCACAAGGTAATGAAAATTTTTCATTTTAATATACCAACGAAATTATTGGGATGAAGCGAAGAGTAGATTGAAATATTGCTAAACAAAATGTTGTTTCATGTAGCACTTTTTTAACGAGTCTGTGCAGAATATCGAAAAATTCGGATTCGAATCAGAATTCTAAGGTATTTATGAATGTCGGTACAACGCTGTTGCTAGGATCTTGGTTAGGTAGTCATGGTATGATGTTACTAAAGAGTTGAGGATTAAATCCAGGCGAAGATAATTGTTATTTTTGTTATTGCTATAGCCTTCTTCATTGAATACCATATACAGTCCATCTTGTCGCATGGAATTAAAACAACTAAGTCTTTTTCCTGGAATGAATGTAGGAAATAAGAATTGTAAAACAATTATTTAGGAGCAAGGCCAGCGTATTTTGCAAGTGTGTTCTGCTTATATGCTTAGAATACTGATTAGGGTGACGCGGTGTCTTTTACCAAAACATTTTTTGTTAGTTGATGACTTACATACATGTAGCTAATCATTAATATACAATTGTATCGAGAATTGCGAACTCTTTTGTTTTAGATCTTTGAAATTGTTTTTCGTTCTATTCCAGATAATCACTAGAGCACTAAATTGATCTTATGGATCACTACCAGTTCATCAGATAGTTTCTAAATTAGATGCCGTAGAAAAACAAATTTCCCGCTCATTCGAAAGAATACAAAAGTCTAGTTTTAATTCGACTTTTCCATTGAGCAATATTAACTTTAAAAACTATATTCAATGGGTTTTTCTATTAATAGAAATGATTCGTTTCGCGTTTCATATGCAATTCCTATAAGAATTGTACTCATAGTATTATAATCAAAGAAATCTAACTCTTCGACGAATCATTGTGTAGTCAACATATGCAGCATGTCATGGCTGGTTTTCTTCTAAATGACATTTTAGCATGTTTCTTTTTTTCGGTAAAATAATACTCAGTATGTTAAATTATCTTGCATGACACATAATACCGGACAAATATTTTGAACCCTATTCTCTTCGAACAAAGGAGTATCTATAAGAGTGCATTGAATTCATTATCTCGTAACAATACAAACCTAGTTTGATAATAGATCTTGAGACCTAAGAATAGCTTGACGACAACTTTAGATCGTTGATAAAAGATTAATTAATAAAGTTGAACTAAAACATATTTTTAAAATAATATTTTTATTTTCTATTGAAATCGAGCACAAATTCGATGAAAAACAGCTTAATTCTTTATGAAATGCAGAAGATGATTTAGTTTTTAAATAGATAGAATTAGAAAAAAGACACGTATAAAAAGAGTTGTTTGTTCAGTATATTCCATTATCAAGGGAGAAAATAAAGAGTTTTCATAGAAAATAAATCCGATCTCACAAATTCAAAAAAGAAACAATAAGAAAACATGACGTTCTTATACGTCTATTGTCAACGTTTACAATTGAAGTATATACATGTAAATTATTTTGAAGTTTTTCCTAAAATTTTTGGCATAAAAACGAATTTATTAAAAATCATAACAGAAAACTCTTTATTAGATCAAACTTTTTCTCTGCAAAGAATATCTAGTTAAAACAAATTATTACAGTCCAATATTATTAATATTACACTATCTTTATGGATTAAGAAAACAGAAATAAATTCTACATGAATCATAATAATAATATTGCAAAAAGCTGCTCGTCACGTTTAAACATATCTTGTAAATAAAGTCAAGTCTATTATGTTACACAATCCTTTACTTGTGAATTATTCTGTCATATGCAAATTGACATAAATATTGTATTTATTAATCAAAATAGAGAAGCTCTTTGAAAAATAACTTATTGCACTCAACTAGATTAAGGTTCTTGAGCATATTGAAATATTTACTCTTTTATTCTAGTGTCCCTTGAAAATGTTCAAACTGATGTTCAAGATCTAACACGTGGTTTAGATAATGCTAAAAAAGAACTTTCTGTTCGGCAAACTATGAAGGTTTTTAATTGATATCGAATTTTTTTTTCTCTTTTTTTTGAAACTAAACTTGTTTCTTTTTTTTACAGAATGTTGAAATACGTTCATTAGAAGAATTTATTAATTTCGCTCAAGATAGAATTGATCGTTTAGTAAAAGATGCTAAATCAGCACAAGATGTATTTAATCAATGTGTAGAATATTTCGGTAAAAACAAACCACAGCGTATTGACATGAAATCATCCTTTTTTTAAATTTAAGGTGAAGCGCCACGTACCCAAACTCCATCGAATTTCTTTTCAATTATTGTTAAATTTCAAAGAGCATTTCAAGTTTGTCTATTATTTCAAAAAAATCTATTCATTCAGTTAGAAAATTTCCAAATCTTTTCCTCTTCAGCAAGCGCACAATGAAAATGAAGAGCGAAAACGTTTGGCGCGTGAAGCTGCAGCAACTCTTGATAGACCAAACAAACGGCAAATAACCAAACGTTCACAGGTAAAATAAATTGTTTCTTTACATAATTAAATATTTTAAAAAACCAATACACATAAATCGAGCAGGGAAATGGTCATTTGACATTCCAGGTAAAAAGTAATCTTTTTTTTTCTTTATTACGCTTGCGGTATCTAATTTACTTTATTTTTCTGTTCAACAAACCCCCTTTTTATTTTCATTTTGTTTGACTTTGCTTTCATAAAAACTTATTTTTTAATACTGTTCGATCTTTCGTTCTAAATTTATTTTTATTTTTTAGGAAGAACTATTAAATGAATTGAAAGGACGAAAAGAAGCAATTAAAGATCAAAAATTAATAAAACGTGAAGCATTGACGGATGGAACTATTGAAACCTTATTGGATGGTAAGAGATGCCTGAAAACATAGGCGAATATAGTATTAGAGTTCCAATTGAAAATGTTCCTCACGATCTTTTTTTTCAGTACCTGGATTTTTTTTCTTCTATACGACAATGATTCTTGTTTATAGACAAATACATTTCTATAGGTTGACTAAAATAAAATTTTATTTGCTTTTTTTATGTATTTAGATTTGAAGAAAGCGCCCTATTTACGTGCTGATGCTGCCCGTCGAAATCGTCGTAAAACTCAAGAACTTATGAAACAAATAAGTCGTGATGTTCATGCCGGCGTTACCAATGGAATAAACACGAATAACAATACGCCAACTGAAGTTCATTTTTGAAAAACTTCCATGCATGAATTGTGTTTCTTTCTTGTTTTGTGCTCTTGAACGGGTCAGATAGATATCATTCAACGACGTCTAATTAATTCTTAACATGCGAACGAACTTTGTTTTTTTTTGTTTACTTCATTCAGTCAGATGTACAAAAAATACAAATTAAACGAACTTTTTCTTGATACGTTTTGCGTATTTGTACATAAAATTAAATCACCGGGATGAATACATACATACATACGAAAAAAAATTAATAAAAAAAATTAATTAATAAAAACTAATGATTATTCTAATAGCATTTATATGTAATGCGTTGTACACACTCATGTGAGCATGTAGGAGGGGATCAGATGAATAATGTACTACAGAGGGAAAAAGATACAAAAATAGTCATGGGAAATAATTATTACTTTAGAGAATATCTCATTTTTATGATGACAAGTGCGTCCTTTAATCAATAATTTTCGATGGCTACAGCCATTAATACGATTAAAATATAATGTGACAAGAATTTTTTCAACTCGTCAGTTTTTATTTTTATTTTTATTTTTATTTTGTTTTGTTTTTATTTTTACTCTTCTTGAGACAAACGCTGTCAAATGCATCTTAAATATTCTAACTTCATAGTTAAATGAATTTGAGCATTATGAAAAGAAAACTACAAAAGAATTGAATGCATTCTGTCTAAATATCTTTGATATGAATGCAATATTTTCTTGTTCGCTCTTTTTCTCTATCTTCAGTCTGAGTACAATAGTGCTTCTTCTTTTTCTTCTCGAGTCTTTAACGTTGACATAATTATCATCAAAAGTAGTAAACGCGTAAGACAGCCTGCATGCGTTTGAGCTCCGTTCAATTGGTTGAATTTGCCTTCTTCAACTAAAAGAGAAGAGACTAGTTCTACGCAAAGAATAATGGCCAGATTATTATGATGATAATGAACTGTTTTATTCCTTCTCTCGTTTTGTTTTCCTACTGATTCAAAATCATAATATACTATATCACTCATTTACTTTCATATGCGTAACATGCACAGTTATTATTAACGGTCGCTAATGTTGAGAACAATTATCATTTAATGAGAATGCATAATAATCAACTAGATTATACATCTTGTAGTTGATATAGATATCGAGGTTTGTTTATGAAAAAGAAGAAGAAGAAGAAGAAGAAGAAGAGAAAAAATGAAGGACACACGCTAAATTAGTACACCTAGAATTGCATTTTAACTCTAATTGTTATCACCATTTTTTAAATATAAAGTAAGTTATATTTGTATTATGACACATAGTTATTTTACATAAGAAACTGATATATAGTATTCTTTTGTTTGACTAAGAAGAAAAAACAATTAGAATCTAGGACTAATAATGAGAACAAAAAAGGAGGATAAACACTTGACATGAAATAAGCCTTATGTTACTGACGCTTCGCTATAAGTACAACGCTATGTTTGGAGAAAACTTTGATTTATACGTCAAAACACAAAGATTACATATACTAATCAGTTTGCGAAATTTCATCAAACAAAATTTCAGATTTTATATTGCACCATAAGTAATATTAAAAAATAACATAGAAAAAACTCCATCTTTAGATTCATTTCTATTCGCGAGTACGAATATGTATATAAGTAATTTATCATACATTTTACTATTCTTATTCGTTTATCACTGAGAGAATATTTCAAAACTCATTGAGTAAGAATATATGAACATTTATTTTTAATTTTTACTTTTAAATAAAAATTTAACCAATTAATCCGTGTTCTTTTAATTTCTAAGGAAGGTCACCGCGAAAAAGAGGACTTTATTTCTTTTTTAACTTTTTCTCTTCTTGTTATTAATATCTATAGATAATCATAATCAAAATTATTCGCGTGTTTCTTTCCAGCGGAAGTAACGAATACAGTCAGTCTGATTCTATGTAGATTCCCCTTGTGGGCTTCCTCAAAAGTAATCACTAATATTTATGATTATTTTCTATACATACATTGAATGCTACTTTTTTTTTATTACTACAGCATATAGTTCAATTGTAATAGACACAATAATAAGATTAGGCTAATAATAATCAATCATAGCAAAATGTGGCTGAATGTGTTGGTGGTAAATTATTGAGTGAAAAATATTTATAAGTATTTCTATTAATAAACTTTTTTCATTATCGTTAAGGAAAGTGAAAAATAAAAAATGAAAAATAAATAGGATCCCATATAATATGTAATTAAGTCATTTATAAACATAATTACAGGTCGATAGTTAGCTATTTGGTGATCTCAATTAGCTTGAATATAGACAAGAACTACTAAAAGAAGAATTGACACTGAACACAACTACTGAAAGAAGAATTGACACTGAACACAACTGTTGAAAGAAGAATTGACACTGAACACAACTACTATAATCTATGTTTGAATTAGAAAGCTTTTCAAGAACAAATTATGAGAAAAGATAGTCTTGCTCTTCTTCTGCCCCTTCTTTTGTTTTATTGACTACATTTCGCACGCACTGACAACGTATCGGAGTTTGAATATGCGTGTGCATGCATTTTGCCATTCCGGTTGTTTTATCGATTCATCAGCTTAATGCAAGTATACACTCTAGTTTTCTCCTTTTTCCTGTGATTTCCTTGAGCATTCGTTCCTTTGGCAAAATGGCGGTGGAATAGAAAAAAAAGTAATTGCCAGGCTGCTAAAAGAACTAAAAAAAGAGAATTAAATGAAAAATAATTGAACTCAATGAAGCATTTGTAGTCTATTCACTTTTTTCTTTTTTTTTAATTAATCTTATTGAATTCTATGACTAGACGAACATGACATCAATCGTTTTTCTCCCCAGTTCAATCTCACACTTATATTAACTCAATCAATATTTGATATCTTATTTTTGAAGAAAAATTTAGCATCTACTTTTCATTTCTATCTAATTAATAATGTTGGTTAGATGATAGATGACATACTAGAGAAACCGGCTTATGACACAAAACATTGACACAAAGAAAAATAAGAAGAGGAAAAAACATCAGATAAATAATAAAAACAACAAAGATAGAAGAAAAAAAATTTCTTTGTGGAGTCATTTGAAATCTATTCAACTTAATTATTTGATTTCAGATACATTGATTCAACGATCATTATGTTAAGCAATGATTCTCCTCAATTAACCAATGCAATTTGATTATTCTTATGCCTTTATTATCATCATCATTATTACTATCAATGCAATCTCAAAATAATAATAATAAAAATAACAATAATAGTAGTTCTCAACAAAGCGCACATAATACACGTACTCGCATGGCATCATCTGATTCTTGGTCACCATTAAAAAAATTTCCGACGATCTTAATGACACGCACTTCATTTAAAGTCAACGAAGAACATCTATTGAGTTTAGCCATTAAAGCTAGATTAGAAAATCGTGAATGTGGATATTTATCAAGACGTGGTGGATCAGATTCATCATCATCACCAAATAAGTGGCAATTAAAATGGTTTGTTTTATATCAAAATTTACTTTTTTATTATGAAAATGTTAATTCACCTAAACCACAAGGAGTTTATTTTCTTGAAAGTTGCTATGCATCGAGAACAACTCCAAAAAATAGTAAAGATGGAGAAAAATTAGTAAGTTTATTTATAATTTTTTTGCTAATTTATCTTATAAAGTTAAATAAAACATTGATACGAATATTCTATTTTAATCTAAATGAACTTGAATGTTTCGGGAAAGAATTTTCGAGTCTAGTGACATTACAAATTATAGTTTATTCTGTATTATTAGGAACACAAATGCTATTCAAACTGTTTCGCATCTAGTAATTGAAAAAAGTAATAAATTTTAACTATTAAATAAGGCAAAGGCAACTGTTCTACTCAGAATTCTAAACAATTATTTTGAATGCATAGATATGAAAAATTGGATAGCTTTCAAAATGATTATTTTTGTGCTTTTCCAAAGTAACATAATTCCAAATGCTATCTTGGTCATAATTTGTCGGTATCAATGCATTTTGCAGATTGTTTTTTCTCTTCCGGAAGACGAACATCTATCGTGGACAGAATAGACATAGAGGACGTGCTAAAATAACATCAACTCGGGAAGAATTAATTCGGTCTTTGAAGTCGTGCTTTGGACTCGACTGACGCACGGAAGACAACATAATTTTCGACATGTTTTTTTAAGCTATTTGAATTTTGAGTAAAAATAATGCGCCAGAGGAGAATTAACGACCTCGAAATATGTAGCATAATAGATATAATCATAGCAGTATGTTTTTTGTTTCACTTATGTATTATCATGATTTTGCTTGCTATGTTAAGAAAATAGTTACTGTAAGATGATACCCGGTAAGCATGACTTGCAGCATCATGAAAAAGTACGTGGTTGATTCATTCTCATTTTCAATAGCTTTTTGCCGGGGCTCTGAAATACGCTGCGAGTCATGCATTAAAGCAAAACTAAATTAAAGAAAAAAAACATAGGTATCGTCAATTCTCATTTCTTACAACTTTTTTATTATTATAAATTAACATATCTACGTTGATCTATAATATGATGACGATCATATCCCGAGTTTAGAGAGTCTACATTAGACTTTATATGATTAAGATTCACGGAATAGAAGAAGAACAATTTTTATGTAACGAATTCTAGTGTTAACCAACACTAGTATATCATTTTTTGCAAAATCTTTTATAAACTTCATATATCTAATGTGTAAAAATTAAATTTTTCAATAACGCATGTGGCACTTATCGTCAAAAATATATACTACAATGTTTTGTCGTTGATAACAAAAATAAATATCTTACATTATTGTTCATATAAACTTTGAGTACTTCTTTACATGTATATTACTGATAAAAAGTTCAACTGGTTGAAGCTAAATGAAATAGAAAGATTTAAATATTTTACTCTCTTGCTAAATATTGTCAATCTTGTAATTGAGACTTATAAATTTCTATTATATATCCCATTTTTATTGCCTTATTAATAGCTGGTAGACATGTTTTTTCATTAATATCTTAGAATTGTTTTTCACTGTCCTATACACGTGATGGACGCAATTCAACGGAATTTGCTGCTGAATCAGAAACTGACTGTCAAGTCTGGATCGAATGCATACAAACGTGCAGGTTAAACTCATTTAAAAACACACACACACACATATATATATATATACATAAGGTGCACGTAATTCAAAAATCGAGTAGAATTTGTTGAACTCACATATATTTTCGAAGAAAATGGTGAGTATAAGTTTAAAAGCGAGATTTTTACGGCTCCCCACTACAGACATTAACGAGTTAAAAATTGTGCTAATTAGGAGCTTGACTAATTAGGCTGCTGTTTCTCCCTTTTTTAATTATAGACTACACGAAAAAAGCAATGCTAGACCTTAGTAACTAGCTTAGGGTACCATTACAGACAATAACAACTAGTCTCTATCATTTTTAAAGATACGAGCTAACAATTAATACTCCATTACAGACACAAGCAAATAGACAATGACCTAATTACAGATTTTGGAAATTAAAGTAGATTTTTCACATGAACTATTTTGAATTATTTTAGTAAGCCTAAGGGATATATGTGAGTTCCACATTTTAGTCCCAAAGGGGCTGTGCTAACAAGGTTTTTCATATAAAAACATTTTAAGTTTGCATTTTAACTTTATTAAAAAAAAACAGTTACAATTTTTTTGATGTACACAGTTTTGTAGAGCTCGTTGAGCTCTATCCAATCATGTAAAAAAATCAACAAAACAAATTCTACTCGATTTTTGAATTACGTGCACCTATTATGGATACAAATATTTATTCTGAAAAAAAATGAACAAATTTTATCTTTCAGTTATAATCGATTAATGTCATTAAAAGAAGAAATCGACCAAAAATATCTTCATTTATCACAAGTCTATGAAAGTGAAGCTAAAACAAAATATCAATATTTACAACAAGTTGAAGAACTTTCAACTGAAGTTCGAGAATTACGACGTGAAGTAAGTTAAACAAAAAAACAAAAATCTATGCATTAGAAATCCTGCTTTTAGCTGTCGCGTTATCGACGTCAACATCGTCTTCTACGCACAAAAACTATTGCTGAAGAAGATACGAAAGAATTACGGAAAATAAAAAAAGTTCAAAGTCTTTGCCGTGGTTGGTTATATCGGCAAAGATGGAAACGTATTGTTGAAGAATATATACGGTATTATTACTTATAAGATAGTTATCATGATTAAAAAAACATTAATTTATTCCCATGATAAATTAGAAATAATTCTTTTATTTTATTTCACCGCGCAAAAAATCTTTCAAGATGGTTAGGTCTCGTTTCGTCGAAAGCCTAATTGATTTTCTTGTTCCGTCGGAAATGTTTTTTTCTTCTAGTCTTGTTTCGTGGCAAAAATGAATCCTAATTAATTGATGGAAAATAGAATATATCAATTGATAAGATGCTTTCCCTACTAATCAAAAGTAGTGCCCGATCAGCTGAAGATAATTTTATCTCGGGTATAACAAAAATTATCGAGAAGTAATGTAGGTTTTTTACGCTCACTTTCAACAATAGTTGGCATTATTCTTTATTTAAATTAAATATAGCATAAACAGAAAGATTAAACATCTTCTTATATGTATATATGTATTTTTTTTTGCTTCAATAACTTGAGCGTTTCAATCAATTTATTTAGAAAAAGAACATTTTAAGACAATCAGAACAATTAATATGGTCCCTTTGATTTTTGCTCATATTATTACAATTTCATTTTCGACGAAACAAGAATGATGACAAAAAATATATAAAGTTATTCCCCAGGAGAATGAATCCTAGCCTAGGATCCGATCGGTTCCTATTGGAATCCGACGGAGCTCTTCGGAAGCCGTAAGGAAACTATTGGATTCCTGGTTCTGGAATCGATATCGGATCATGATATTGGAAACTAATAAAATCGACAGTAATCGTCAATCGGAACCGGAATGCTTCGGATTTCATTGGTTCCGACAATCGGATACCATTGGAAATACGACTGTCGGATCCGACATTGATTCCTCAGCCAGCGATCCAACGGGATTTCGTCGGAAGGTAGGATCCCATAGAATCCGATGGGATTCGGTACCGGATTGATTCGCCTGGGTCGACGAAACAAGAAAATCAATTAAGCTTTCGACGAAACGAATACATCTTTCAAGATGCTATCTAAAATTAGAGGGCGTTGTTTGAGATAACCGTAACTTCCTAATTGTGGGTAAAAATTAAACCAGTTAGTGAAAAATGCCAGCAATTTGGAACGAGTGAAATTTTTTTTCTCATTTCTATTGAGTTTCCAAATTGCGGTCACTTTCCAATTAAGCAATCAACAAACATAAAATGATTGCTACATATGTATATATTTATTAATTGATACGACCAATACATGAACGCAAAAAATTACATTACTTCTCGATAATTTTTGTTATACCCGAGATAAAATTATCACTCACAAATCTTTTTACTTCTTCGTAAGTTTTGCCTATGGACTGATCAACATCAGTTATTACACGACGTTTTAATCCAGTAAATACATTTTGTAGATCCTTGGCAAGTCTTGGGTCATGATTATGACGTGTAAGATCACACTGTATGATTGCATCGTTTTTTAAAGTAATAACACGAGGACAGGGCTTATTTGTACAAACATATACGAATGAACCATTTTGGTTTTCACGTCGCAATCGATATAAATAATTCTTGTACAAAAGTGCTTTTTCTTCTTTTTGAGTTGATGACCAAGTGAACTTAGTAGTATCCATTGTATTAAATGAAATATCACTCTCTTTCTCATCCTCTTATATTTATCAATCATAATCCGATTTCGCAATAACTAATCAATTAGAAAATGACCGAAATTTGGAAACACAATAAAAAAAAAATTTCACTCGTTCCAAATTGCGGTCATTTTTCACTAATTGGCTTAATTTTTGCCCGCAATTAATATGTAGCCGTATTATAATTAAGCGATTTTTTAGCAATCTCATTCATCTTGAGCAAACAAGACTAAGAAATCTTTTGGGCCGCTGTGAGACCAATACATTTTCTAGTTTTCGTTTTGTTTCCTCTAACGCATGAACTATTTTATAGCTTAACGAATTGTCATAGATGCGTGACTTCATACACCGAAAAATAGATTAGTAACCAATGACGAACGAAACATGAAAAGCATTAAGTATAAGATCATTGGCTTTATACTGTTTGTGCATAAGTCAGATGTGTAAACCCAGGTCGACTGATCCGACATCGGATCCGATCGGAACCTGGAAATATCCTACAATCCGATACAATTCTATTGGATTCCAGTCGGATCGGATGGGTTCCGATAGGTGCCTACTGTCGGATTGCTCGATCTGGGAAGGATTGAATGAAAAGATAGTAGTCTGCCTATATCTCTAGTATGTAATTCATGCCTACGAAAGTAGAAATATTGGAGAATGGCTTGTATCGAATGACCTCTTTAAATTCTATCCGATTGAAACTTCAATTTATACAAAAACGATTTTAAGATGTCCATCATGATTCCCCTTCTAGCAACGTCTACCAAAGAATTCATAGTTGAAACATCATTAAAACACAATGCATCTATAAGATTTCTCGAAGTATTAGAATCATTTCATTCATGTGTAATGAAAGATAGCCACCAACAATTCTAATATTACTTAGTGGCTGCAAAATATATGTTTTAAGTTCTATCTAACTTATGTTTAATTTAAAAAAATGAATATTAGTTTTTGCTCTCTCTCTCTCTCCTTCCCTAGACCAATATCTTCTACCTTAAAGTATTCATGAGTTTCCTTTGCATGTTAGTATTGTGATGTGCTCTATTAATGACAACGTTATCTATGCTAACAGCCTCGAAATATTCTTATGAGCTATTCTAGGAAAGTATCTGAAACGACTGAAAGTACCCCCTTTGGAATATGTTATTTCCTTTGTTTGACAGAGCTATCATCGATCATTCATGAAATCTTAAAACGCTCAAGAGTTTTATATTTATTTCTTTAGTTCTCCGCATGCGGAAATGATGCGTAAACGTAATAATATTATATTTAATTTGGTTGAAAGTGAACGAGAATACGTTCATCAACTAGAAATTCTGGTTGCGAATTACGTTCGACCATTTCGAATGGGTAAACAAATATATATTAAATAATAATAATAAAAATAATAAAGGAGTTGAATAATTATTTTTAGCCGCCAGTTCAAAAAAGCCACTAATCACACATGAAGATGCTAATTCAATATTTCTGAATAGGTTTTTTCTTTTTAAATTTATTTATTTTATAGTAAACAAATAAATCTTTTAATTAATTTTCTAGCGAAATAATTCTTTTTCTTCATCAAATTTTCTATAAAGGATTATCAAAAAAATTAGAACAGTGGCCAACATTTTATACCGGTATAAGAGAGATTAACGGCAATTTTTACTTTGTATACATTTTCCATTTGCTTTTAGGTGATCTATTCGATATGTTTATATCGATGTTACATATTTATTTAGAATATGTTCGCAATCATCACTATAGTTTACAGGTAGAAATAAAGAAAAAGACATTGATAGTATTTATCTATTGATTTTGGTTGATTTAGAATTTAGTCGAATGTAAACTTAGCAATCCAGAATTTAATAAATTTCTAGAACGATGTGAAACAAAAGCAGCATGTGAAGGATTAACACTTGAAACATTATTAGTTTTACCTATGAATCGAGTTTGTTATTTCAAAAGAAAGATTATTTTTCATATATATGATTTTTTCTTTTTGTAATTAAATAGATTCCATATTATATCATCACGCTGGTAAATTGTCTATCACACACACCACATGTACATGTTGAACGAGAAAAACTTGAACAAGCAAAAGATAAACTTGAAGAACTTTCAAAAGTAAATTAGATTATTAATAGATTTTATAATTGAAAGGAATCTTCATCTTTTGTTCTCTTTTAAAATTAGATCATGCATGATGAAGTATCAGAAACCGAACATATCAGAGCTAATTTAGCTATCGAACGATCAATAGCTGAAGGATGCGATGTTTTACTGGACGTTAATCAAGTACTTTGTCGGCAAGGTAAATATTTAAAAAAATTCTAGATGATGTAAACGTTTCCAGATAATTAATCAGTTTGGAATCAGATTTTCATGTCTGCTTTAAATATAAATTCAGAATTTGTATGAAATTCACTGGGAAACAGTAATCAGTTCATTGTGAGAGACTTTGACAATAAAATCTGGTCGTAGGAAGTTGAGTTAAGCGATTAAGAAACGGCAAGTCTTATTCTAAATCATTTCAAATTAATTGTATGCTGTTGTTTTCCTCAGCGCTTTCTTACTGTCATTATAGAAGTGATTGATTAAGCTTAGTCATACTATGTTTTACAGTAAACACTCTTGAGAATTATACTTTCTATTAGCACGGTGTATTTTTTTGCTAAATGAATAAAAGAGTCCTTTATAAAATTAGGGAAAAATAAATGAATCAACTAGTAAACTTCTAATTTCCAATAAAAAATATCGCAAAAAAAAATATGATAAGTTCATTTAGTTCAAAAGTATTTTCTATAGATTAAATTTCTATCTCAGACGTTTTTCTGTTCCCTAAATATTTTTCTTACTTGACTTTTTAAACTTTCAGAGCTACCTTTACAATTTGTAATCTAGAAGTTTTATGTCATTGGACGACTTTTATTCCAAACAAGTACAAAGTTCTATTTCTAGTTGAATGCTTTAGATTTCCAGTTTACTCCCGTAATCGATCAAAAATAAAAGAATATATTACGCAGAAAATTTCGCATCACCGATTATTATAATTGCGTTTTTTATAATAAGTCATTGTTTGCAATCGAACCATGTCGTTTAACCGAGTTTCGTACAACTGATAATTTTTATTCATGACAGAAAAAGAATTATTTATTAATCACAAGCATGATTAAAAACATTCATTGATTACAAACAACTCAGAATTAAGCCAATATCATCAGTTAGAAAATCGCTGATAAAAAATTTCGAATAAATTTTTAAACACGACAAATGAGATAGAAGTGTCTATCTGTAAACATCATAGAATGATACTCAAAAATAATTGCATTTGATAGAAAACATATCCTTGATATTGCATGATCTATTGATATCTAATAGGAAAACTTCTTTTTGACGTTCTATTCTATATTGAACTTGCTTGAAATATGTTTTGGTACATATGCTAATTTTCTCAAGTCAAAAATAAAACAATATTTTTCGTAGAAATATAACGTTATTGAAATTTAATATTTTATGGCATATAAAAGTGCATAATCTTGACAAAACTCATTGATTTCATTCAGAAAAGATTGACTAAAATAAAGTTCTACAAGAACAAACTCTACACCTCCTTACTATCTTTGTTGCGCGGAGATAAAACAAAAATGCTGAACTGTTCGAGTTCGTCTCAGCCATGTGAAATGTACTGTCAGTTTGGATAACGAGCAAAAGCGACGTTTAAGTTGATTTAAAAAGAAAAGGTATGTCACTTGTCAAATTTATTCATGATAAAACAAACTCAAATTGATATGAAAATGGCCCATATTTCTAGTACACTTGTAATAATTAAATAACGTACATAGAGGTGCGACATGCTCTGTGAATATACTGAATAATAATGTTTTTGCTTTTAACTTGTCAAATTAGTTCAATTACTAATGTATCGCAATAAAAATTCTACTGTTCTAGTCTTGAAAGATAATCTAGAACAATAAGTTATATGATTTTGTTTCGTTTCGTTTCAGGTGGTCTTGTATTATGGACTGGGGATAAAGTTAAACAAGGTCTTAATCAAAAATTATCTGCACGAGAAATTCGTCGAAATGAAATAGTTGTTCAATGTTATCTGTTTTCTAATCATCTTATTATAACAACACGAGCTTCAAATGGAAAATTACATCTTGTTAAAGTATAATTTTCTTCATTATATTTTTATGAATATACATATCTATATTATTAGAGTTGTGGTGTGATTGCATTAGCTGAAGTAACACTTGTTGACGATATCAGTACTGATCCACAATATATACCATTATCCGTCGCCGACGATGAAGCTACCGATGATTCAAATTCTACTAGTACAATAGATCTTAAAAATGGTGAATTTGATAGTTATATAAGTCGTCTATTTCGTTTGATTGTTGAACCACGTGATCAACCATCGTATTCGACAACATTAATTGCTAATGATGAAAATCATAAATCTGAATGGTGTAGCGACATAGCACAATGTTTACAAAATCTTCGTTATAGTAACTTACTTTCAGGGACATTTCGTAATGAATCATCTGTTATTGCTCCTGAATCTGTCAAGTAAATAAAACAAAGCTATTTTTCTTCATATTCGATTGTCTTGATTTTTCTAGATTTGATGCAAAATTATATAAAGATGATTCAGGAATCAAATATTGCAAAACACTTGATTCATGTAAAATACCACAGGTAGAAGAAAAAAAGAATCAATATTTCTCTTATTATAATCGATCATGTTGGTTTTTTTTTGTGTTTTAGATTCGTCATGCAACAGTTGAACGTTTAGTTGAACGTTTAACAGATTTACGTTTTTTATCAATTGATTTCTTAAATACGTTTCTATTAACATATAGACTCTATACTGACGCTTATACAGTTATGGAAACATTAATACGAATCTATAAATCATCACCACAAACATCTCTTGATCATACCACTGAAACGGATGGAACGACTACACAAAAAAATGATGAACAAAATAAGTAGGATTTACTTAAAAAAAAAATCATTCAATTTATTGATCTTTTCCTTTTGTTTTCTAAGAGCAAAACAAGCTAAAATAAATGAACAAGACACTGAATTAACACGACAAGTACCAGCAGGTTAGATTGTCGAATTCTAAAAAAAGTTGACCATTCTATTTGATTTCTGTTTACATCAGTTCCTGAAACATCTGTCGCTGATACTTCGGAACAAGATCATGATCCAAGAAGGCTTTCACATACAGGTACATTTTGGCGGGGCCAAAATAAAACTTTACATAATTATTTCATTTAATATTCAACTGTTTTTTCAGGTATTGAACAAAGCGAAGCGACTATAATGGCAACAACAGCGAAGAAAACTATTGATAAAAGTAAATTTATTTTTGATACATTTTTTGAGAGAAATTTATTAAAGCATAATTGCACAAATGCAATCTACTAGTTTTGTTTTAACTTTTCTCTTCGAACTCTCGTATATTTCCAAATGACGTTTGTGACCAATTATAATCGTGCCGGAAATTAAATTACAATATTTGAGAATAGAGAAACCCTATTAAAAATATACTAACACAATAGTCATCAAAATCGAAGCTTTTTTTGCTCGAGACGTTTTCAAAATATGATGAACCTAGTTTTTTATAGGATACTTTTATCATTTTTTGATTTGTTGTTTAGAATTATTGGTAAAATCTAATGAAGGATTTTCTCTACTGCCAACGATTCCATCGATTGATATTGATGATTCAAACGATCAATTACACCCTCCATTGGCACCACTAGCATCATCGGAAACATTTTCTGATGTAGATGCGCTACATCGTGATACTCAATCACAATTAAAGGTCAAAAAATTGTCAGTAGATTTGAAACAAAATGGCACTCATGAAGAACTAAGTCGTAAAACCACCAAAAGTGAATTTGACTCCTTAGAGAAACTCTTCGATTTCCCATCATCGGAAATATCCAACGAACCTTCGTTAGATATCGAATCAACATCGCGAAATTCAAAAACTCGTATACGTTTTTCAGACACTAATCAAATAATCAATGCTAATAAAGTATATTTGACTAAATTAAAGTTTCCATTAATATTTATGTTTTATTTCTCTCTCTCTCTCTGTGTGCGTTTAGGATGAGAAAAGTGTTTTACATACGGAAAAAGATGACAGTCCATCAGTGCAACAGCAATCAAGAGTTGATTCAAATACAGCTGCAACTGCTGCACAAGCAAATCAGACAGCGTCACAAAATGTGATTTGGCTTTGTAAGAAGCTGACAAACGTAAATAAAAATATTTACATATAGAATTTTATTTAGCTAAACGGTTAAGTGAAGTTCTTTCCTCACCACGTCAAAGTTTACGTAACGCTGCTGAAAGTTCGTATAAAAAAGTTCTACCTGGCGTTGTTGTCACATCATCACGCTCATCTCGTCGCCGTATAAGTTCAGCTGCTGCAACACAAGCATTTGCTGTTGCAACATCCGGTGAATCACCGAAAGTGATGCGCAATGAAAGATTAGCGAGTTCTCCAGGTAAAACTGTATAATTTCTATCGGTGATTTATTTTAATAACAATAATAATGTTAGGTGGAAATTTATCATCGCCACAATCGGCAACGACCGGTAATCCTCTAGCATCGATTTCGAAAGAACAAAGAGCCAATGAATGTGCAATTGCTAATACAGCGTCTACAATGAGAGTTTTAAACGTTTTAAGACATTGGCTTACAAAACATCCTTTGGTGAGTACGAATTTGTTTATTTACATTCAGTTGTTTTCATGAGAATTAAAATAGCTGAGACAGTACTGTCGGATATTTCGAAAGAGTAATGTGAAAATGATTTAATCTATTGAATTGTTTTATTTTTTTCTAAATAGGATTTTCATAAGAATCCAAAATTAAAAGAGGTAAATTGAATTTTTAGACAACTAAGAAAATGATATTTTTAATTAACTGAATTCCAGATGGTCCTTGAACTTCTTCAAGATATGTTAGTCAATGGTCATTTAATTGCTGCTGAACATAAAGCAGCCGTTGGAATTTTAAAACAGCTAGAAACGAATGAAGCCGAGGAAAACGCTAAGCAATTATGTATAATTCTTCATCCCATACAAGTATAGAAAATAAAAATTTTCTTTTTCATGTATTTATGTTTTTTGTTTAAATTTATTTTAAGAATCCAAATGCAACATTTGAACAAATAGCTGTTTCCGATTTAGCTGAACAAATGACATTAATCGACCATAAATTATTTTGTGCATTAGATAGCGAGTAAGATAAACAGGCAATCGCTTACTGATTAGAAAGATACATATCTTAGCAAAGTGCAATCGGAAGCAAGAGAACGAGACATGCGTCATTCCATGATAGATCAAGACAAGACTTATAACATGAAAGCAAAATATTCATTGATGAAACACTATTGAAAATTTAATATTCATGAGATACACAACCAAGATCCTCTTTTCATCTAAATTTGAATAGTTCGGTGTATTGATAAGCGGAAGAAAGCCATTTCTTTGAATAGCTGCTGTGATAAAGATAAAAATTCTCTAAATAGTTTTCCTTGAGATTAATATGAATCTTCTAGGCGGTGTAAAGCATCATTCAATGTGTTGATTTCTGATTAGATCTGATTCACACTCAAGGATTCTGATATTTTTGTTCATATGTTGTTCTCAGTGAGGAATTGAGCATTCGTATTTGTATGGATTCGAAAGAGCTCTTGAAATTATTTTCTCTATTTTGTTTTATGAGTTTTCGTTTGCCCAAATGACCAGAAAATTAATTTGAATTTCCACTGTAGATTCTAGTCTGTTGATATTTTTCTCTCATCACAGAAAAAAGAATTAACCTTTATTTACTATTAACTAAACAAACTATTTCTCTTTGCTAGAGAACTACTTTTACAAGGTTGGATGAAACCGGGTCGTGATGATTTAGCACCAAATGTTGCGCTTATATCGCGACGATTTAATGAAGTAAATAAATAAATAAAAATTGTTTCCAAATACAAAAGAAAATCGAATGATTTCTTTCGTCACTATAGATGTGCCGTTTGGTTATAACCGAAATCTTATCCCAATCAACAATCAATGATCGTATTCAATGCATTGAAAAATGGGGTAGAACCTTAATTTCCTTAGATTTTTTCTTTTCTATAATTCTATACTATTATCAGGTACTGTTGCTGATATATGCCGTTATTTAAGAAATTTTAATGGTGTTCTTCAAATAATGGCTGCATTTGTTAATAGTTCCGTTTATCGTTTAAAACAAACATGGGACCGTATATCGAAACAGAGTAAACACGTTATTAACAAACTTCAAAGTCTTGTTCATTCAGATGGAAAATTTAAGAATTTACGCGATACATTAACGAAGTAAATAGACTACTCTCAATAATAAAATTTCTAGCGAAGAAGTGTTTTTCTTTCTTTGTTTCATTATATAGAGTTGATCCACCATGTATACCTTATCTTGGTTTATATTTATCAGATTTAACATTTATTGAAGAAAGCTCACAAGATATATCGGAATGTCAATCAGTTAATTTTTCAAAAATGCGAATGGTTAGTACATATATAGAAAATAAGATTTGTTTTTCTGTGCTCTTTCTCATCTAAAACAAAACGGAAGTGAATATTTGTAACAACTACTAGTATATATTCAATGTGGCGACGGATGTTGTTAACGGTTTAAGTGCATTCAAGTGCTGACAAGAACTTCAGTTGTTTTCTTACTTAAGACGCTCATAAGTTTCAGAGATATTATAGTGAAATATTCATAAGTGCAATTGAAGTAGGCCTGAGTTTTTTTCTTTCTTTCTACTCCAATAGCATGATCATGAAAGAATAGAATTAATTATTAATTTCGGTTAAACCATGAACTCGCAAATCGTAAAATATTAAAAATTGTTCATTATTGTATACAGACACTTGTTGCGTCTGAACAGAAAATGAACAAAACACAAAAACGTTCATCCAAGAAAAATTATTTGCTAGTTGATTGGAGCTAAAACGTATTTAAGACCGAGAGATCATCCGGTGGGATTTTAATACTGTTCACACTAACAAGATGTTCACATTACGCAGAAGTTTATAATGAACGAATTTTCGCTAGATTGAATATTTATGAAGTGAACACTCGAGACATTTCATATAGAAGAATTAGAAAATTGCACGAGTCTCGGAGTCAAAAATTTTGCTTACATTTTTATAATTGAGAGTGAAATGATATTCCTTAATGAATACATCTGCAAGACGAAACGTCCGTTTGAAATTAAGTTGAATAAACTCAAGATGAAAGGAGACGACGAGTAAGAATAACTTTAATGTTGGTACTAAAATATTTAACTAATTTATGCTATTCAAATTTCATCCTTGAAAATTAAATAAGCTTCATATATTTGTAAGCAAAATATATACGACATGTAAGATTAACCGCTCATATCAACGAAAGAAATTCATTGACCTACCCTATCGCGATCACACCGACTTACTGGTCTGCCACGGGTCTATGATTCTTCACTATTTCATATTGTTTGACATAAGTATAATCAAATTTGTTCTTGTTTTTTTCGTTTAGAAAACACATATTATCAGTGAAATACGTCGTTTTCAATCAACACCATTTAAAATCAAACATAATCCCCGTGTATGTGCCTATTTATTGAATTCATCGCAATTATTATCTGAAGATCAATGTTATGGCCTTTCATTAAAATTAGAGCCTCGTGCATCTCGAGCTGGAATGACAAATCTCGGTGTTTAAATATTTTTTTTCTGCTTTATTTTTCAATAATATCAAATAAATATGATATCGATTAATAACACACAACAAAAAACGAAATTTTTTCCTTCTCCTTTTACTTCTTTCGCGGTTGACAAAATATGCATCGAGTTTCTAGAAAATAATAACACACAAGTGTCTCAAATGAGTGAACTATTGATGGTTAACAAGTTTCTCAGAAAAATCTAGTTAAACCAATGCTGATGGTTACTAATAAAATTCTAATATAAAGATTCATAATAAATAATATTAGTAAATCAGTAATATATATGTATGACATGATATGAATGCAAGCTATTAAAAAAAAAGATTTTTTTTCTTCTTCAAATAAACCACGTCCTAAAGTTCTTCGATTGATAAATCAATTTTTAACTCAATGTATCTGTATTCTTTGGATTCAAGCAAATTTGTGGTCTTTGTACATTGCTGAAATAATAATGCAATTTCATAGGATGTTTTTTTTTTATGAATTCCGTATCTTTTTTCTTTAAAATAACTGATCTTCTAAATTCGATGTGAACTTTGTATTGTGACAAATCTTAACAAGAATAGTTCATAATGTGATTTTTTTTATGTCTTTTCGGTCGCTTTTACCTTGAAATTCGACTATCAAATGCATGGGTCTTTATGAATGATGTAGAAGACAAGCCTATGTGAAATTTCTATTCTTCCATAGGAATGACGAAACAAGATCTACAGCATTTGAAAAAATAAAAAACACCTATACGCGGTAAAGTCTATCAATCGCTGTGCCAAGTTTCAAATTCGAAATTGTTTTTATTTAGGCCTCTTGAAGAAGATCACGACGTTCATTTATCTCCTTTACAATAAGTCAAGGACACAAACCCTAGATTTTTGTCATGTAGAGATGTGTAAAAAATGAGTCGCTTTTGAAAAGTTTTCGATTGTACGAAAATTACATAGATACAATAAAATCATAGTTACGACTATATCATCGTAGATCGTCTTGTCGAAAAATACAATTGAATCTGATAAAACAAGAATCTCAATGTACGATGTAAAATCTCTGGTCATTCTATAAGAATACAAAGACAAGTATGAATTCATAAATTTAATGTTGATATTATTAAAATGATCAATTTTATGAAAAATAAACACAAAAATCATTTTTGTGATATTCACTCATTGAAACGTCTCGCTAGAAGAGTCATCAAACAGATGAATGATTCAGTTTTGCGTCATCAGCTAGCGATATTTCCCAACAGCAACATCCAACATAACTTTCCATATCCTTCATTAGAATATCTGACGAAACCATACTCTCCTATCAATACTAATCGATAGCCATAACATGAATCTTTTATTAGAGAAGAAAAGTAAATTTGACCATAAATATTTCCCCTATTAATATTCTATAAAGAAAATTATCCAATAACCTTCTGTCGATTTCTGTGATTCACATTTTTTCCGTAAACTCTCCATGTTCGTAAGCAACTGATGACTTGTTTTTACTAATTATACAGATGTTTTACAAATGATAATGCAATAGATTTCGAACTTCCTTCCTCTCTATTTGCAATATTTTTGTTGAATTTGAAACTAACTAAAAGCAAGGCTCTTCTTCTTTTTTTCAAAGAGACTAGTTGCACTTGTTTCTAATCAGTTGTATAATATTTTAAATATTGTAGAATCTCAAAAGGAATAAAAGATACATATTTGTAGACGATACAAATGCTTGCTTCCTTTTATTGAATGAACATAATAAGACAGATTAATAAACTAGAATTACTTCCGGTGTAGTTCTTGCCTAATGTTTATCGTATAAACCGTTAATACTCGAAGAAAAACATGTATAAAACAAGCACGATAAATAAAACTGAATAATATTAGTTAAATGTGTAAATAATAATTCTATAATGATCAAAAACCATCCATGCAAAATAAAATTCGAATTTTAAACGAGATCGAATGAATAAAATAAATAATTTTTCTCTATACGGTAAACTGATTATGGCATGAATTATAAATAATATAGTTTTAAAGAAATATGTTTAATCAAAATAGTAAATTTGGTAAGCAGATTTATATCCGTTAATGGAAATTTATGATTGAATTGTATAATCATAGTTGTACTCGAACGCTTTTTTAAACCATAGTGCACTAGTAGTTGAAGAAGAAGCTATTTATAATCTGGTGGTTCGTCTTTTTTCTTATTGTGAAGAATCAATAAAATAAGTTCATTCCTATTCATCCTACAGTTTGTCTCTCATCGGTTAACTTGCGCACTCGTGAAGTATCAAACAAGCTTATCTTTCAATTTCAACTTCATTGAAGTACAATATATCTTTAAATATTCCCAATCAATGCGATTGATACTTTTCATTTTAGTTATTCTATCAAACAGCGAATCAACAATATAAAAAAAATACCTAAGGTCTTGATCAAACGCAGTTTTAATCACAATGGCAAATGTTCGACATTTATTTCATTACTCTTCAACGCTTCCCGTCTCTGCTGCTGCTCTCTCTCTCTCTCTCCCTTTTGTTTGGTTTTTATTTCTTTCGTCTCTCTTTCAGTAAGTTTAGATTTTTTTTATCACCATATGTACACTTTCTCGTTTTTTTTGTCGTTCGGTTTTAGGTGTCTCTGCCGCCCCGATTATTTACAGGCAATGAGGTGGCTATACAAGTAAACAGGAAAAATAGCTTCGTTGTGCTCTATACTGATAACAGCATATATTATAGTCTAAAAGAGTATTTTATTGTGTCAACCGTCTATATATATATATATATGTACATTAAATGACATCACAAGCGCCTACGATGAGTGCAACTGGTTGTGGTAGTGATCATCCGATCTTTTCATTTTTTTCTTTTTTTTTTTGAAAAGAGAGAAAGAGTTGTTTGATTTTGTGTGTGTGTGTGTGTATGTATGTTTGAGTCTTTTCTTTGCTATAGAGAAAGAGAGAGAGAGAGAAAGAGCAAGCAAAGGCTCTAATATAATGTCAATGTATACACACGTCATCCGACAACTTCATTCATTTGCTTGCTTTTGAAATTGATGTGCTGTAATGAGTTGAATTAGTACTATTTATCAGGTAAGAATATAAGCTAGGTCGAGTCTTATTCTTTTCTGACAAATTATTTATATGTTATGATCGATATCGTTTTTGAGTACACAAGATGAGAAAAAAATGAGACGATGAAGTTTATACCTACTTCATTTGAGATTTTCTCTCTGCCTCTCTTGTTCCCTTCGTCATTTATTTCTTTTTGTTTTACTTATCGACAAAGTTAAATCATGGTTCTCGATTTTTTCCCTCTCTTATCAGCCAATGTAAATCCCTGACTGACAGAACAATTGTGTGTGTGCACGCGCAACGGATGACAAGTTCTCAAATAACTCACTCACTCATGCTCTTTCTCTACATCCACACGATAAAGCAATTATTCTTTCGAGTTGCTGGCGCAACAAATTTTTATAAAAATAAACATAAAATGAGGATTTACGGCGAATGCGCGCACGTTCTTGCACTCCGAAATTTGATCATAGTAGTCAACGATGGATTACAGTTCCCTTCAGTATTCGTATTCTTAGCCCAAAATATTTAAATGACGATGACGATGAAGGAGAGAGAGAGAGAAGTAAACACACATATATGCATACAGGAGAGACGCCATCTGCTTTTTTCAAACAGCATCAGAACAGAGAGAGAGAGAGAGACAGACTTTTGATGAAAACGCACACAATTTACACAAAGCTTTATCAAACAGAGAGAAGAAAAAAGTGGATATTTCGACAAAAAATCTTCTTGAGTTGGTAAAGAAGGAAAAAAATCGAGTAAGAGGAAGAGAGATATCGCTTTTTTTATGTATATTCGATTAGAATGACAATAATACCATGTAAAAATAAAAAAAAGAAAGAAAGAAAGATGAAGGTTGTTCTTTTTTCGATCGACAAACAATATAGGTAGACCATTTCCAACAAATCAAACTTTTCTCTGTTTCTACCGTATGTACTGAAATAAAATTTTGAAATAAAATCTTTCAAACAACTTATCATGTTCAGAATCCGTCTGGCACAATTTTTCTTAATGAAAAAAAAAAACTTAGATAATGTTTGCTCACGCACATTGCTGTGTGTGTTAGTGAAAATAAACAGTACCTGATGGTGCTGTTTCCCGTATGTTAGAATTTTTGTGTTCCTTCATCACGATTTATAAATAACTAAATAAAACCATTTTCCTTTGATTAACAATTTTTTTTCTCCTTTTCTCATTCTTTAGTATTCGTTTTTTCCTATACAATTCTGTAGCCTGTCATTATTTTTGTTGAAAGGAGAAAAACATAGAAGGAGAAGTTTGTTTTATTCACATTTGTAAGTCTGATTATATTATGTAAACATCCTTCTCGTTCGCTTTCTTGCATCCATTTGTCAAGCACTCTTGACAATTATCGTCTTTAAGAGTTTGTTTACTCATCATCATTACTTGTCTTCTCTCTTTTTTTTCTTCTCTTCTCTCTTTCTCCCTCTCTCTCTCTCTCTCTCTCTCTGTCGTCTTTTATTTGCACCTGATATACATTTAAATAGAAACAATTCACAGTTCCTTCATTTGTATTATAAATACATTTACACTAATTCGAAGGTAAGCTCTCCTATTGTAAGATGTTTATTAGCGAATGTTCAATATTTACTTGTTTCGTGCTATTATTTTTTTAAATTATTCACTATACAAACATTAGCAAACGACCTATTATACCTACATCAACGTTATCATTTTTTTAAATCTATTCTTCTTCCTTTCTGTTTAAAGCTGTAGCATAATATATCGTTGATCAAGTGAGTATAAGCATTGAATGATGATTAAAAATTTTTGCATGCTTTGAAATTGATCCATACATATAACAGTATACTACTAGTAAGAAGAGAAGAGATGAAGCAAACGTGCATATATATATATAAATATATCGACCCTTTTCATGTCTCGAAAAAAAACGAAGCAGTAAGAATCTAAACTAAGAGTCGTAGAAAAAAAAAGAAGAAGAAAAGAAGAAGGCGTCGGGTCTTGTTTGCTAAACTGAGTAAACAAACCACGCGCAAGAATATAATAAAAATGGGGTTGTATACAGAGCAGCAGGAATAGTAAGTAGTAAAAAAAAGAAAAAAAAAGTAGGCGATGAATATGTTGATATTGGACTGTTATATTTTATATGTCGTTCTACGATACACTTGACCACTTCTTGTTGATCTTTAATTATTATTTTTGATTTTGTTTTTCGTTAATAGAATTTTAGATCATGATAGTGACACACATTTTGACAGATGATGAAGATAATAATAATAATAATAATGACAATGTTCTTGATTTAAGTTTCAAAAAGAAATCAGCAACTAACAATGAGATTATTCTTAAACAAAATCAAAATTTATCCAGTTTACTTTCACCGCCATCGTCGACATCATCCTCGTCAGCATCATTCATGACATCACCAAAACAAAATCAGTCAACTAATAAGCGTATATTAGAAATACCAAATACAAGAAAAACAAAGCAAACCGGAACAATACCATCAAACAAACGACCACTTCGTTTTCAATGTAAACATTGTGATTATAAAGCACCATCAACATCACTTATGCAAAATCATATTTATCGCCATACAGATTTAACACCATATGCATGTGCATATTGCGGTCATAAATCGACAACAAAATCAACAATTATGGTGCACATTGAACTATGCCATCCAAATATGGAAGTTAAAATAAATGAAAATCGTGTGCGCGAACAAGACTTCTATCGAGATTTAAACAATTCAGAACTAACATCTATAGCGAATTCAAATACGCCACCGCCAACATTAGCGCCTCCGCCTCCACCACCACCACCACGGCCGACGCCGCCGCCGCCGCCGCAAACAACAAGAGCAACAAATGGTGAACCACAAGTTAAAAAATCACGTCGATCAAATCAATATGATAGTGAATCTGCACCAATCAATGGTGTTGCTATATCATTGAAAACCATAGTTGACGATGGCAATGAATCTTCGCCAGCAGCAAGTGATGATGCAAGTGAAACAGAAAATCTTGAGCCAATACCATTTGATGATGATGAACACCCAGTAGATGTAAATCTTTTCGATTCATCACCTACTATGGTTAGACCAACACTCAAATTCAAAATAGGACCACATCAAATACCTATTGTTGATTCATCAACATCTGCCACAAAAGAAGCCGAATGCGAAGGTACGCCTATTAACCATATAACTATCGATTGCATTATACATGCTTTTTAGATGGTTCTGAATATCTTCTTGTTTATAATCGTCCTAAACAGTATTATGGTTCATTATATGAACCAGATAAACAGTGAGTAAATATTCTTATAAGTTTTCATCATTTAAAACATTTTTTTTATTGAAAAATCAGGTATGCATGCAAACTGTGTTCATATACAACAAATCATCGGCCAAGCATGGAAGATCACGTATTTGTACACACAGATGAAAAGCCATACAAGTGAGTTGCTTTGATCTTTTTTTTTGATTCTTCTGTTAAAATATTTTCTATTGACAAATAACGGTTGATTGACTGTCACTTCATCATCATCACCATCACCATCCTCATTTTGTTTTCCTATTCTTTCTTAAAACAAATATAAATATCCGGCTCCATCTTAGTCAAGTTAAAAGAGAATAGACTTAATTATTTGTATTATTCATATTACCGAAAACTATGTTTGATGTCGCATAGGAAAATCACTTATGTTTACAGAAATGTTCAATTCATTGTCAATAGAAAAATCAAATACAGTCTAATCATTAAATGGCACGTGTGAAATGAAATTCAATCATAAGCTTTTCGTTTCATCACAATAGTGTCTATCGATTTAAAGAATTAATTTTAATTTTACGATCGACTCGATTATAACAGAAGACGAAAAAATAAAATTAACACAATGAAAGACTATACATTCAAATAGAAAGATTGTATTTACAATTATCAATTGTTAAAATCAGCTAATGTACAATGAGCAAGTTTAAAAGAATGACTAATTGTCTTTTTCTTGCATTAATCAGGTAATCTTTCATTCAAAAATGTAACTGATACCAAACCATAATAAATGATCGAATGTATGCTTTCGTATCACAGTCCTGTGTCTGATCCGATTTGAGTTCGCATTCGATTCTGAAAATTTTTATCCAAATTGCAATTATATAGATTCTTTTTTTTTAATGTTCAACGTATGTACATAAAGTATGATGTAAAATTTTAATAATATTTAGATGTGGTTATTGTGGTGAAGACATTTTTACACGTTATGCAGCAACATATCATATAAAATATAAACATGCGGGTATGCCACGTAATTTTATTCAGAATAAAGCAGATGTAACACAGTATTATGTTAATCGAGCCAAAAAAGATGAAGAAAAAAGTAAGTTTTATCATTTCCTTTTAGAGTCTCTTTATTTTCAATTTTATTTGTTTAGATCAATTTAAAGTGATTGATACGCGTCGTGTTAAAGTTCCAACCCGTCATGGAAAATCAGTAAATCATCAAAAAAATCAAAATGAATCGTCAGTTGAACTTCCTATTCAACTACAACAACAACAACAGCAGCAGCAGCAGCAGCAGCAGCAGCAGCAGCAGCAGCAGCAACAACAACAACAACAACAACAACAACAGCAGCAGCAGCAGCAGCAGCAGCAGCAGCAACAACAACAACAACAACAACAACAACAACAGCAGCAGCAGCAGCAGCAACAACAGCAGCAACAACAACAACAACATATGCCTTCACCTACTCCTACTCCATCAAATGTAACAATTTCAGCTCCTCCACAACCACCAGTATCAAAATCAACAAATTCATCTACAAGCAATTCGCAAACACCAACAGTTCCACCGGATTACCGATTTTTATTAGCATGGTCGTATTATTTAGCATCACAAGCTGCTTGGCTTTCGCCTATGTTACAACAGCAAGGCCAGATTTCACCTTCTTTACACAATGATCCTGAAGCAGCTGCAAAATTTTTGCAGCAAGCTATGCAAAATGTTATGGAACCCTTGATAACAGGACAAACATTACAAAATAAAAATAAAACTGAAGATGATAATGATGATGATGAACAAACTGACAATGTTCGTGAATCAGAAACATCAGTTGTTATCAAAGAGGAAAGAAACGAACATTAGCTATAATGTTCTATCTGTCTATTCATTTAATATCTGACGCACAATAACCGGTGATTAATCCGCTAATATTGTCTATTTTGTGCTTGATATCATTCATCTAAACGCAATGTGGTTTATTCGTAAGTCTACTTCATCTTCTTTTGTTATTGTTTAACTTTTCGTTTTTTCATCCTATGTTTCTCACATCTATGTATTCATTGATAAATCTTTTCATTTCTTTTTCGTTTTCGTTTATTTGCTTTCTGATGATAAATGGTTCTTTTTTCGCTGTGTTGTTCGTATGTGACATTTGTAAAGAGAAATCAAGAGAGAAACAGAATTGTGATGATTGTTTTGCTTGTTTTATTCGATGTCTCAGTGTATGTTTGTTTCTTCTGTTGTTTTTCTGGGAAAAATAAAATTAGAATGAAGTTTATTCGAATTTAATTGAGATAGATAAGTAAGATACTATTTAGTAGCTATATGATAAACAAACTTGCGCAGACGACTGATATGATTCACATTGGAAAGAACCATCAGTAGACACTGTTCGATGTGATGTTTGTTGTCATGACGGTACGCGCTGTTGCTGATAAAAATTGGTTGACATGACGACCAACGACTGAAGTATATTGATATTTATTCTCCGACAGAGAATCAATTGTTAGTTCTTTGTCGGTACTTAATGGTATCGGGTTAATGCAAAAAAAAAACGTGCAGCATGCGTCATGTATTGAAAATTTTCTTAAACTAATTTAAAGCGCATATTCGGGAGTTTTATTGATGTGTAATAGAGCAATCAAATGAATTAACATAATGATGACCTAGTTATGTTAGGACTCATTCTTAAAAGAAAGAGAAAATGTAGAGTTTTGTTAATGGGATGGCCTAAGAGTAATCATACGACTTTTATTTTCCGTCGTTCTCGAGTAGCTTTCATCGTTGAAACTAATGCTTAGTCGTCAGAAGACTCCTGTTTTTATTATCTAAAAGATTACAATGCAGCGTGCAATCTTAACTTTTAATTTGTAAAATTAATTGCAGGTTATACTGTCACTTTGAATTTGTGACAATTTTTTACCCGAGAATAGCTGTTGTTTCAATATCGTTCGTTAGAATGTTTTGGGCTTTCAAAGAATATGATTTCTGACTTTATAGCCGAATTCTATGTTACGCTAGTTGCTCATAATAATAACTGATGATTGGACAATGATAATGGAAATATTGTGCAGTTATTGTTTTTAACTTTTAAGCCAAAATTTTAAGAATTCGATTGAAATTCGGCAGAATATTGATAGATAAATCTTCTGACACGAAGTATTAATTTCTAAAATAAAAAACTGCTGAGAAAAACTATCAAATATTTCAAGGGTGCCTATATGTGATTGCTCGCTTCCAATTTTGTTTACTGTCGAAATCGATTACCTTTTTGTTTTTGTTTCTCTACACTTGTATTTATGTTTGATTGTTGGTTTCCTTTCAATAAAACCATTAATAGAAACAGAAAAGACACTCGTTGAATGTTTTAACAATTATTTAAGTGCCGATAAAATGATCATTCCAATAAAATAAAACTTTAAAAATCATTACCTGGAGTTTTCTTTTCTTAATGTGTATGTTAGTTGAATTCATTTTAATTTATAAAGTTGCCTTCGAAAGTATCTTATGTGATAACTACTCAATTGATTAACATTCTTGGATTTATTTTTTCTAGAGTCGCTTACGTTTTTCTTAGTCAATTAGTGAAAATTATTTAAAATGAATTGTATCATTGTCTATCGTTCATCGTAAGGTTCATATGATGAAATTTATCCCTGGTCGAGCCTTTTTATTCATGCGCTTGCAAGACTTAAGCTCAAGATGTGCCCATAGCGCATGACTTTCTTGCTCAAGACGAGCGCTTCAATGTTTGCATGAGTCACCAAAAAAATGCAACTATCATTTTTTATTAAAAGTTGAGTTATTGTGAATGTAAAATTGAAGAAAAAAGTTGAAAAAGTTCTTTAATAACAGAAACACTTAGATAAAAATTCAAGCACGTGAACAAGAAGTTTAATAACTTGAGTTCACCGAAAGGATTCATGCCTTGCCTTAAGATGTGTCCATAGTTCTTGACTTTCTTGATCAAAAAAGTCAAGAATTGGATGCGCTTGCAAAAAAAAGTTTGACTAGGGATGTTTGCGTTTTATCCTTTACAAAACAAGAAGTACCATACCGAACTTAGAAAGGTTCGACCAACAGTACAAAACCTAAAAACATTCTTGCATTGGGCACACGGGAAGAATCTTTTTGAGGGTTTCGCAAAAAGCCTAAACATGTCTCGTATCAATTCAATGAATGTAGAAAGGTTTCTCACGAAAGTACAAATCCTCAAGGTTTGGCAAAAAGCCTTGTAAGTTTCTAAAAAATACTTTTCTTAGAGTGTATGTCAAAGACAATTATATGTCTGATTTACAATAGAAGGATAATACTTATATGTTATAAATGTCCGAACATAGGAGAAGATGATCTATGACAGTGATCGATTGTATATCAAGAATGCACTAATACTCGAATAGAAGTAAAAACCGTGCGTGTGCCCATAAAATTATTGATACATAATAGATAGCAACTGTTTTCAATCGAATATACTAATGTATCTTACGAAGTTATTGATGCATATTTAGTTGATTTATTTGACATATTAGTGAATACTCAATCCAAAAACTGCATTCAAAGTATTATCAAGGATGTTCACGTTTATGTAAATCAAGATGTGTCGCCGACTAGTGTAATTTGTAAAAGCATTATGTTTAATACGAATATGGAAAAAGACACAAAGTTATTATTTATTTGGCTCATATTTATTGTTATATAATGTGCTATGCCATTGACTTAATGTACGTCAGTTACGATTAATGCTACTAATATAGTATTCTGTTTGAATGACTCTTGACCCATAATAGCTAAAACTATCGAATTTGATTTTTCGTCTTTTGATGTAACGAACAGGAGCGACTGCCTGTTTGCCAGCCATCGTGGTAAAGAATGTTCTCTTTCTCTCTGTGAGACAACATCTTTTTCGAGACATTTAACTCCCATAGCTATCACAGCAACAGACTCGAATTACATCGAAATTTTGCCTTACATATGCTCTAGCTACCATAAAATTTTTAATACCCTTTCACTTTTTCCTCAAAGAGTAACAGTTTTTGCTGGATATTAAATATCATGTTTTTCTGCATACTGAATAAATGTAAATACATGTTTCCGACGGTTACAGAATCTAATCTCAGCAGTATTTTCAATTGTAAAAGCTATCGACACATATTGTTTCACATTTAAGAAACTTTTGTTTGCAGTTCGAAATAGTAAAAAGAAGCCTTGGATTGTATTTCTTTCTGTAGAACTGAGTTAAGAAAATCATTTTTTTCATCGGCAAGCCATCAAGTATCGATATCAAAAAGCAAAATAAATTCTCATTTTCTCCATTGACAAACATTGACATATGTAAAAAAATATTTTCTGATTTAGGCTCGTTTAAGAAGTAATACGATCGAAGATTTTTTCTATTATGATTCATAACTACAAACGAAAATATATATTTTCATATTTTATTTGCATTCATTCTGGATGTAGAAAAATCATGCTATTTTTGTTGTGTAAACAGCTGCAACAACTCTTTGATGAAAACGCCGACATGATGTGACAGTTTTATAGTAGTTCGAACAAGTGCCAGACAATAGTTTAGTGCAATTTAAGCCTATGTTGCTATATTTATTTCGAGTCATTGACACACAGTCCTGCACTGCAGGATCAGTTTATCGCGTGTCTAAAATTCAAAACAAATAGCCAGCAAAAATCATGAGCTATTAAAAACCCAATTACCGGCTGACTTTTCAAACAAACTCTGACAATAATTACAGTATTTTTATTTGACCGTGATAAATCCTAGATGGGTTTATGATATGCTTATTTCTGCATAGATACGAACACCTGCCAGTTATGATTTCATTTCGACACGATGAGACTGAATAGTTGACATTGTGTCTCATTTCATGAACGAATTGTAACCTTTTCAAATAATGTTTGAATAGCATGTCATCATTAGTTAATTGATCACATTGGCTATAAGAAAATTGCATTTGCCGACTCACGAGTGTATCCAATTGCAGTTAATTATAAGATTTTCGAAAATAACATTGCCAAAATAAATCATTAAACAAAAGATTAATCGTCATTGATTCCAAGTGAGGATTATTCGAAAAACTAATTACAACAAAATTGTTTTTTCAGAGACAGTAATTATGTAGTGGAAGTCATTTTTTTATTTTTAAATTTCAAACTAGAATCTTCCTAAGAGTTTGTAGTGAAGTAAATGCATTAAGATAAGAAAAACTTCACTAGGGTGACATTTTCTACTATCGTGGTTGAATTTTGTTTTTCGACAAGACTTGAAAAATATGAGATTTAAGAAATTGTTTTTTACTGTTTATTCTACTAAAACTAATGAGACTGAATCAAACTTATTTGGATTGTTGTATTGATAAAACCTTGATATTTTACTGGTGTTTTTCATTTCATTTTTACACGGCATGATTGATTCTACTCCTTGAATCAATAATGATGAGACAAAACATGCCTTCTATTAACTACAATTTATTCCCATTTTGTAGTCAATAGCACTGTGTTTAACTGATTTTACGATTGGTGTATCCAACAACGTTTCATGGCAAATAACTTCTTTATTTAAATATTAATAGAAGTGTGTTAACCAATAACCTTGGATCAATGTAAATTGGTTTCAGCGTGTTTACAACGATTTCATAGTCAACATAAATAACAGTTATGCCGGCGTGATGAAAGAAAAGTATATTTTCTCTTTCGTGCGCCTTTTCTTATTTTTATTTGCGAAGAATTCTATCTTGTAATTTTTTGCTCGGCTAATTTACGGACAAAAACTGTGAGTAGCATATAAATGTCTATCTCAACAAATCGACCCCAATAAAAAGGAAAAGACGAAAAAAAATATGAATGAAAATACTTAGTCATTGATCGCCATCAGTTTTTTTTACGATTTTCATAGTTGTTTAAGATAAAATAAGTTTGTAGTCTTGGATGAATAAATAGCAATGAACGAAATTTTTACAAGAAAAACAAGAATCGTTTGAAATGACTTGTAATTTCATATCTGATCTATTATACGAATAATTTCGTTTCTAATCGTTGTTTAAATTTTTTTTTATTTCATAATAATTCTAGTATGTAATATCAAGCCAAGATAAATATTGAAGATTATTTAATTTGGGACGACGATTTTCGTTTATATTTATACATTGTTTCATCGTATGATATATTTCTTTGCTAACCGAAGTTAAATATGGTAAATTTAGTCGACCTTTTATAATATCAGCTTTTGAACGAAATGGATATTGTCGATATAGTAGAAAATAAAGACATACACCGATAGTCCATACACATGCTTTTTCACCATTATAACGTCGTTGAAGTATCCATTCGGGTACCATAATTTCTAAAGTACCCTAAAATAAAATACGAGCATTTTAAATTTTAATTTCGTACAGGGAAAAACAAATCTACGAATCTAACTTGAAATTCATGAAAATCTTCTGATTGTACAGGCGCAGCTGAACCAAAATCAATGAAACGTAATGAACGATCATTCTTACAATAAATTATATTCTCTGGTTTACAATCTCGATGCCATACACCATACATTTGTAATGTTATATTAATATGAATTATTTCTCGAAATAAATGACGTAATAATTCAGTATTACCCAATGCAGGACTTTCCATAACCAAATCAAATAGTGTACATGAATTTGGAATTTTCTCCATGACAAATATAAAACGGTCAGCTTCTTCGAAATGCTCTAATATTCTTACCACACCGGGTACACCTCGAAGACGCCATAGAATTTCTATTTCATATGGTACACGTTCCTATAGAAAAAATTGTTCGCTTTTTTTTTCATTAAAAGTCGAAAATGAAAAGCAAAAAATAAAATTATTTTACATACGCCTTCAAATGTTCCCCAATTGAGTATACGATCTTTAGGTAAAAATTTAATTACAACTGATGAATTATCGGAGCGTCTTTGACCTTCGTACACTTGACCGAAACCACCTTTACCTAGGCAATATAATGTACGATATTCACGACTAAATGCTCTTTTTATTTTATTTCTATTTGATATAACATTTGGTATTATTGACGATCCATCACTATAAAGTTTGTAAAAATTCAGAATATTATTATCCATGTATGTTGGTGTCTAATCAAATAAATAGAGGTAATGAAAAATGATTGATTATTCTTACTAAACGTTCGATTGTTGGATAAGCATAGTCACCAAACGAATGATAGGGCGAATTATTATTCGATTGAATAAGTTGCGGTGGTGGTGGCATTAGCCAAGCAGCAGATTCGTCCAACCATTGCTCGTCAATCAACCAATTATTCATACCTAAGTATGCAAAAATAATACGAAAATAATATTGAGGGTGCACTTATTAGCGAAACGACAAACAAAGAGAAGAGAATAAATTATTATAGATAAATGCATACATTATTTTCGAAAATTTTCTTTGTAAAAAAAATCAAAAAGATATTGCTATAACTCAATTTTTTTACATCTATCAGATGAAAATTAAACTTTTATTCACCAAATATAGTGAAACGGTCATGTTTATATGCTTCTGAATCGTATAAACTGATCTGAACCACAAACATTCATCCGTACGTTTATTCACGCTTCAATGAACACTGTACGAACACCGTCTAATTACGTTTATAATCACACAAGTACACACATATATTATGATATGAAGAGCTATGTACATACTTCTTATTTTTGCACTGTCAATACTGATAATGGTTCAATAGAAACTCGAAATAAATTTTGAAAAAGAAAAGCTTGTGCTATTCAGTGATCAATTGTCAGTAGAGCGTCAGCGTCATTAAATTTTTCTCTTTTTTTTTTAAGTTGACGCTCTTTTTTCCTTCACCTTATAAATGATCGATGAGTGTGACGTAGCAGCACATAGATAAACATCTATCCATTTATATATTCATTTTCTTTTCGTTTTCGCGCCGTATTCAATCATACGATTTGTTTCGTTTCGGCAGGCCATGTTCCTACCATTAGGCATAAGCACATGACATTTTGATGATGAGACACAAATGAAGGTGTCTACAAAACCAAATATTTTTTTTCATGCGATTCTCTCGAATGAGCAAGAGAACGAAGCAAACGAAACCACAATTTGAGATTTACGTCAGCATAGTGCAAGATACACCGTGATCTTGTCTTCACACGTAACCACTGAAAAAGCATTTAGAAACGGTTGATTCTATTGAAACGCATACCTCGCATTTATTCAATTTAACCTCAATCGTGATATTCCATTTAATAAAAATACAAAAGATATATGTGATAATTGATGTCTGCGCGTTAAAGCATTTCACTATTGCCTCCTCCATACAAGGATGTCTTTTCCCTATCAGATTGTTTAGTTTCTATAATACGTTATCAAGCGTCAGAGTCCTTGTTTGACTATATACTGACTTTGAGATGACACAACATAGCTATTGATCGATTTTTACAATTAGAAAAACGATCAATTTAAAGCCAAAATCGATTATAAATCGAAATGAATATATCCTATTGTGATTTTTTTCCCGAGAAAATCACGACCAAATTGTACTGGCAGATCAAAACATGACAGTGTATAGGTAAACAAATAATTGTTTGACACAACAAAAAATAAAAAATCATCGGCAAAATACGTTTTCGATTGTATTAATCTTATCGCATATGATTGGACTATGAATAAAAAGATCGCCGTAAAAATAGGTCATTTCAGGCGCAGATATTCAGTAAAATTATAGTTGTTTTGTCATAGGAATCACTGTAAAACAAAGTTTCATGAAAACATTATCAACTTTTGTCTCACATAATCTTTTCTGATATAGAATAAAGGAATGAATGAAGAATTTTTATTTGTATTCTCAATTTTGATATTAAAAGATTCTTTTTGTACAATTTGTAAATTCAAAAAAAACGAAGTGCACTAAATAATATGAAAGTTTTCCGAATGTAAAAAACAGAATGAAGTATGACATAAAATATTCAATAGATAATAGTCGTTCATAATGAAAGAGAAAAATATGCTGAAATTTATATTTTCATTAAAGCCTATTTTTCACGGTAACTGCCAACTAGTATAATCACCATGATAAAATCCGATTAAATAGAAAATAAAATAAGAAGCATTCTAAAAGTATATTTGACCAGCAAACAATATTGTAGTTGAACAAACTTAATAAAAAGTAGATTCCTCTTCAATTTATTACAATCGAATATTTTCAATCGATAATATATGAAAAAAGTTCATTTCAAAAGTTAGATATCTCGATTACATACTAGTTGTATTTTACGCAAGATAGTATTGATTCTTGTTTTGAAAATATTTATTCATTTAAGTATCGTAGAATAGGGTTGATTGCTATAATATTTTATCTGTCGTCTGAAGATTATTAATTATGATTTGTAAAATGATTAATGAGGCTTAATATGACAACGTTGAAAATATAGAAAGGCTTATTTTTTCATACAAATAATTATTATAGTATATGTTTCGAATAGCTTTGTCCGTTTGAATATCTAATGTATGACCCGATAATATCTCATAAAAGTTAACTTTCCTCGTGAATCAAATGAGAATTAGTGAATTTATGTAAAAATTTCAAGGTTAACAGTTTATTCAGCTTGTTGTGTTAGCAAATGAATAATTTCCACAGTGCAAAATAGTGTTGAAATAAATATAACAGTCAATATGTAAAATGAGATTGATCATTTGCAAGTACAATGCTAACATGAAAAATATGAATCATAAGATTGATGAATAGAACTTCGATGTTGTTTTGTTTTTATTACTAAAAATAATTATGTAATTCATCACGCGTCGCTGTGTAAAAATAAAATCAATAGTCACATGATTTCTTTTGAAGCTATTTTTATTCGACGGCGTAAACTTTATTTTATTCTGATTAGAATAGACTTTTGTTTTTGTTAAATAATTGAATGAAAATGAACTATTTGTTTTTTGAAGAGAACAGAATAAATCTCGTCTATCATTTAAAACACTTTCGGAATGTCTTTGGTGTATATATATGATCGATGCATTGTTTATAGGAGAAATACATATCGAATCTAATGTTTCTTGATGATCATATCTGGTTTTATTCTTCTTTTATAGGAAAACGAAATCGTAGATTGTAACGATTAATCAGTAAATGAGCTTTTCTCTTTGATATTCCAGGCATATGTGGAATGATATCGTATAAATTTATGCCGGATATACATATGTACTGTATGTAGGTCACCAGAGAGCTATTGTCCTATTTCGTTTTCACCACTGTAACAGGCCAACTGTTAAGATAAAGAAAAAGAAAAAAATTCTTTATGCGTTTTCTCTAGTTACATGAACACATGATTTTTATAAATCATAGAATCAAAATCATTTTTACTGTTTATTCTTTTTTTCTATGTTGGTTGTTGATCTTTGTTATAAATTTCGTAGAATAATTATCTGGATTTACTAGTTGTTCAATGGAGCAAGTCACATTTTCACCGAGTAAAACTATAAAATTGAATGATATTCATCTAAATGATGTTGAACACGAATAAAGTGCATCTGCTTCACCTCTATGTACTCATGGAAATAGTGGCGGTTTGTCTCAAGTAATCACTTAGATCGAATAGTGATTGTCTGTTAACCTTATCAAATCTATTGATCGAACACAAGAGAGAATGAAAGTAAGAGACAATTGACTGATGTACTCATGTCCATGATTGCATATGTTCCTCTCCGGCCATAAATGATAATACGTCTGCTTGCTTTCCCTATGCCTATACCGAAGGTGTCAAAAATACAAGTAAGTACGAATGCATTATTAAATTCAATTGATTGGAACATAGGAGCTTCGGTAAACAAAACAAAAAAGTATATGATTGATCAAATTGTGAAAATTATAATAGCTGAAATAAAACAGAAGCCGTTAGACTGACAATTCAATCGGCTGAATAATATGAATGACTCTTTTGTGTATAATGTCACACGAAGAAAATCAAAATAAAATACATATATACATATCGATTGGGATAGAAGATATATTTCAATACAAATGAATTTCATCTTCCATCAGTTTAGACCGTTTTTGCTAATTTAGATATTGAAACCTGTTAAGTTAGGTTAGAAATGAAATCTTATACTGTAAGATGGAGCTTCTAACACAAATTAGATTCATCATTTCAATTTCTTAGTTCGTACTATTAGTTGATAATATATATATATATATGAAAGCAGGCTGACTTGATAGAAAACAAAATCTATCGATTGGTCTGAAGAGAAATATAATCAACCAATGTTTTAATTTCTTCGCCGGCATTACGATGGCCATATATATGTACATGTATAATTTTTTCCTCGTTTAGTGGGCTCGAAACTAGGCCATATTCAGGGGAAGGTCGACATCAATCAAAAGAGAGGGAAAAAACTAAGGTACGTAAATGAAGCACTCTCATGTTCAGCGTATTTTCAGAGAAAAGAAACGTGCATACATATTCAATCCAATATTAAGTTATTTGATAGTCCGCAAATTGATCCCATTTGAAAATAATTAGTTGGTCAAAGTTTATCTAGCATAGAAGGAGAGAATATTGAATAATTTCTAAAACTATTTTCGAAATAAATACAATTCTTTCATTAGAATACTAATGTCGTTTTGACGTGACCGACATTAACATACAGGTATCAGTATCTCAGTGAATTCAATTAACTCCAAACTTAGTTTGATCAAAAGAAAAATAGTTTTAACAATTTATTTGATAGAAAACATAGATTGACTTTTGATGAACTCATTCTACATTTCATAACTATAATAATCTCGTTTTTTTTTAATGTATAAGAACAATTTGCTAAAGATGAAGTGGACCATCACTTGACGTAGAGATTTCACTTGCTTATTTAAACACATTATCCTAGTGTCCTAAAAAACATCTAAGTACAATGTAAGTAGTTAAGAGTATTGTGTATATCACATCTCAAAAACACATGATACTCATGATCACTATAGAGAGTAAGCTTTATGGGAGGATGTGCATCATTTAGAATGGGTGGATGGTCTATATGGACCAATTCACATAATTAATATAGAGAAGAAGAAGAAGAAAAAGAAATGAAGACGTCACGACTTTATCATAATTGTCGATAGTTTCAAAATAAAAAGCGAAAAAGAAGTTGATTGTTTTGTATGTTCTTTTCAAAAAATAAAAGATCTGTTTCTTTATAGAATAGTAAAAATACATTGAAGATGATGCAATATGATTTCGCTAATCAATCGTCTATGACCAATGACTTGACAATGGAAGAAAATATTCATTCATATCCAATCTATCAACAAGAACACAAGTATTATTCAGCTGTGTCCAATAGTATGATACCAACAAGTGATCTTTGGCAATCATCGTTATCAAATAGTAATGCAAGTTATCAACCTGTATATTTTCCTTCATCAGTGGATTTTAATAATTCAAATCAATATTCTTCAATAGATAATTATAATTTCGATTATCAATCATCATCGGATATTTCATCAACTCACCTGTTTGACCCATATTCGAATACATTACCAGATAGTTATTCAATAGACCCGTACTCCACTCAAACAACATATAATTCAACACCAACAGAATCATCGACATATATAACACCAACGGAATCCTATCAAATTCTTCATCCAATGTATGCACATTCGAATGTAGCTGCTCCATCATCAACATCATCATCATCTATGGATATAGAACTTGATTACTCATCAACAACAGCAAGATCATCGTGGCACATAGATACAATGAAAATGCCTAGTCATGATGGTAGGTATATAAACTCATGAGGGTGTCCTTCATCCAGAAATAGATGCGAACTTGTCGTTTTTTTTTGTTTGTTTCGCTGACCTAAACAAGACACCAACGAGAGAGAATATATCTGTCTTTTTATTCTCTCATTCTTAGTTACATCAACACCGAACTCAAGCAAACAACCATGTCTTGTATGTCATGAACAATCGTCTGGATATCATTTTGGTGCATATACATGTGAGTCATGCAAAGCATTTTATCGACGAGTAACTAAAGGTAAAAATAATAGATCAAAATAGAAATCATTCGAATCTCTGTTGGTCTCAATGGTTGATTTCATTAGCTTCTTTGTTATAAAAAAAAATTGTTGATATAGACTCATATTCTGTAAGACCATCCTTCAATAACAAAAACAATAAAGCATGGAAACTCTATCTTCTAAAATTTCTATCGATGTTTATGAATATTTTTTTTGTCCCCATAGATCCAAACATTGAAATCAAACATTCGTGTGAAGTTCCATTACCAAATATAACCAAATCAAATCGAAAAGATTGTCGTGCTTGTCGTAAAGCTAAATGTGTTCGAGTAGGAATGACAATCGTATCAAAAGATCGTTTATCGCGAACCAAAACTCCATCGAAATCATCATCCTTAATGCCAATAACTAATCTACTTGAACAACTTGCATATGATCTTACTTATAATCAATTATCGACATCATCGGCATTAGAAAATCTTCTCCATTTACTTGATTTACCACCAATAATTACAATCGATTTCGATTATCATTCTCTTTACATGAATGCAATACAAATTTGGAGAAATCAATACAATCATTTTTCACAAATTTTCACTAATATATCATTAAATGATACATTTGCTGTACTTCTTTTTCTATTCTATTCTCTTATGATAATGAAAGAAACGAATGAGAATAATTCTACAAATAATATTAAATTTGATAAACTTGTTCATATACTTCAACAAGAAATCAATCGTATAACAGGCGAAGATCATCGATTGGCTTGTCGAATAAAAGCTTTATTTATGAAATGTTACGTTGCACTTGCTCAATATTATCCAAATAGTACAAATTCATTTAATAGTAATTACAGTTCACAAACACAATCCATTCAATAATATTCAAACTATGATTACAATAGTAACTGTTTTCGTATTGTGCTATTTTCTTTTTTCTTTATGTTTTCTGTCTGTTCGTTCATTTTTTTGCATTATATTTCATTTAATAGTAAAATATCTGTTGAAATACAAGAAGTAAAATGAAGGCTTTTCCGTAGAAATTTGTACTTTTATGCCACGAGAATATTTAGTAATCCGCTTATCATCAGGGTAATGAAATGTCTTTTTGGAGTATTTGCTAATGATAATGTTCTTAATCATGAAATCTCAAAAAGTAGGCTAGAAAATGTATTTTTTAATGACTTGTGTCACGTTGATCCACACATCTGAAAATATCTTACAGAATAGAAAGTTCTTTTAGACTAAATGTAATCATATTTTCCATTGAATATTCATATTTCAAGTTAATATTGAGATTATTGGCTCGATTTCGCCAATGACCTCAAAGACTTCTATGAAAACTAATCATCAATCATCAGACCTTGAACACATATTTGTTTTTATACTATTTTAGCCCCATCAATACCAAATGCCTTCTTTTGTTTTAGTTATGATAATGCTAACCATAGATATACGATTGCTAACAATAACAAAAGATGCATTTGCCTAAAAACTATATCTGCGTGATTCATTTAAAAAGAGCAAGAAACAATACAGGCATGTTATCGTCACATTCAGAATTTCATTGAATAATTAATTAATCATTCATTTTCTGCTCTTAGTTTTGTTTTTCAAGACCAAAATTTTTACTTGCAAATTTTCTATTAATAAAATTGAAGCTTTTCAAATGTAATTCACCATCTTCGGAAGAATTTTACTTTTCACTTTCATTTCTATTGTTTTGAATTTTTTATTTTTTACATATTCATACTTACTTCTAGCCCAATGACACCCGTAAAACCCAACGGTTATTTTCGTTCTATATATAGATGTATAAATAAGTTGGTTTTTTTAATGAAAACCTTCAATCATGATAGACTGTTTTATTTTACAAAGAAAGCTACAGTGAAGATTTCACAGAAGAAGAAAAACTAGTTCTATCCGATGAGAATAAAAACAAATGATTAATCAGAGTAAGATAAAAAATAAAAAATAGTTTTTTTTATCTGTCCTAGAATTATTCAATGCATTTTTATTGTTTTGAAAAAGAAAATAAAAAGAGACATTATGTTCAGTGCATCAACTATATTATTTTTTGGCCTATGTTATCTTTGATTCATCAGTCACTAATGAATCAAATCATTTTTCATACGAATTAATATTTTATTATTATGTAACTAATTCAAAACGATCTATTTTTTAGTCTATTGGTTTTTGACGAAAACTTTATCGCTCCTAAGAATATATGCTATTAGAGATCTTCATAAAAACATTTAGCTGACGTCAAACAGTTTCAATATAAAACATCTGAGCAAAATATGTTGCGCGTTTCATGATTCTTGAAGTATTTGACAATCTGATTCATCATCTTATACTGAATTTATCTGAAAAACAATATCTAACCTTCAAATATTTATCAAGTCTAAAGTAGTAAAAAAGTGATGATCACTAATGATCAACAATATAAATATTATCAATACGAAACGAGAATGTTGACGATCGATTTGCTTTTCGTTGTTTTTTTCTATTGTCTATTAATGAAGACTAAAAATTGGAAACAAAAACAAAAACAAAAACTATTCATTATATATTTATGTATGGCACTTGTACAAATAGGCAATATTACATATGCAAGAGCAAACACATTGAAATGTCATGCTTGAATAAGTTTCGTAATTTGTTTATGGGAAACTGAAGTAAATCTCAAAAAATACAATATTTTGTAAATATTACATTTTTCACGTATTTCTACTTTAAAAAGCTTATCAAAAATTACGAACCAAAAGGCTTTTTTATTATTTTTACTGAAGCACATCATTGCATTAGTATCGATACAAAGAAAAATAGCATAAGTCAGTGTATTATTTGGTTTGACGTCTCACCCCGCATTTTCTTTTGATCAATTTATTTAGAGAATAACACAAGAGATAAGAAATACGTTTAGCGAAGGATTATCTAACCGCATTTATTTAGTTTTTACGTAGTTTCGTGTTTCATTTTTTGCATCATCATATTTTGTTGCTTGTGCATATTTCTCGTTGACACATATCGACACAACTAGCTGCACATTCTGGTAGGGTCTTTTTTCTTCTCTATCTCTGTGCATATCACACGTTTTAATGATGAGACGGCGTCTATAAACAAAATATCGTACAGGTGATTATGAGTATTTGTCGCCAATTCGTCGCTACGCCAATGTCGAATCATTTGAAAGAATAAAAAAATACGCCGAGTCAATGACGCACACGACAACAGCTACCTCCACTTCCACTGCTTCGACGATGGGTAATGGAAATAAAAAATCTAATTCAAGTTCATTCTCGTCGAATGATTTACACGAAAATTCGACAAAAGTCAACAGTAGTGACATAATAAAATGGACACTAACAGAAGTACAAACTTGGGTCAAAGAACAATGTAAAAAATTTGAATTAAAAAAGAGTACAGCTGAAAATTTCCAAATGAATGGTATGCGAAATACAATTAAAATTACTGTCGTCCTATTTTTGTTTTAATTGAATTTTAAGGACAAGCTCTCTTGTTGCTTACTAAACATGATTTTATTCGACGTTCACCACATGGAGGAGAAATTCTCTACTATGCTTTACAACGACTTATCAGTTAGTATTGAAGTTCATTATAACATTAATAAATAATTCTTTTTTGTTTTCTTAGCTCCAAATAAAGCAGTAAATCTAACTAACATTAATTCAAGTCCGTTAAGAAATGGATCAACTGATGCACATCCTCGAATAGTAGAACTGAGTGAAGATCATGTCGAACAAAATGGTGCAACACATGCATCCTCGCCACAACCGATCGTTGAAGAGCCTGATGACCCACCGGCAGTTCGAAGATCAAACTCAGATATAGACCAAGGTAACTATCAACAGCAACAATATAATCAACCATACATTTTTAATTCAGCAAACATTCCACAGACTGTTCTTACAATGCAGGCTGGTACTGCTGCTGCCTTTTTTCAACTGCACCATCAACAACAACAACAACAACAACAACAACAGTACCCGAATACTTATATGTATGCACATCATCATCATCATCCGCATATGCATATGCATCACCAGCCTGTTTTCTATCCACCTATGTTTCAACAATATTATCCAATGATGTCTGCTCAAGGAATTCTTATCGAAATCATGGATGATGAAGAAGCTAAAAATGCCAATTCAAATGAAGCCAATGGGCCAACACATGACACTAATCATGCTGCTAAAGAACTATTATTTATGGTGACTGTGAATGGCCAACGATACATCATGAACGAAGCACAAGTTATACAATTAGTAACTGACGTTTATCAGCATCAAAATTATCAAGTACAGCTACAACAACATCAACAGCAACAGCAACTTTTTCAACAACAGCAACAGCAAATTTTTCAACAACAGCAACAACAACGAGTTTTTCAACAGCGTCAAAATTTTCACCAAAAATAATAACAATATTCTTTCCTACGAAAATACTCTCTTAAGACAATGACTGTTACGAATATTATTATACGTGTAGGCTTTCTTTTTCATAGCAAACAAATCCTATTAATCAAATATATGCAAATTTTTCAATGTGAAAATAGAAAAATTTTTATGTGAGCTTTTCGAGTTTCTGTTTTATTTTTATTTTTTGTTATAAACAAATCACTGGATGGATGACGTTGCTACCGATCCCAATGATTTACTTAGGCAGTGAGTTAACTAGTTTTTTTTTCCAATGTTTTCCTTTATTTTGTTAATTTTTGTAATACATAGACCATTATATTTCAAAATATACAAGCATTCAAATAGCATAAATAGAAATTCAATTGAAAAAAAAAGAAATACAATGCTATGCAAACTTTTTTTTCATGACTAATCAATAAGAATGTGCACGATATGCACATTGATCTTTTGTTTTGATTGATATTTATTTCTTATTCTTAAGTTATGTGAAACAAACCTACAAGAGCTTGTTTTCGATAAAGATGCATTCATCAATGATAAAAGTTTGTTCAAAAAATTCTCCGGTAGTTTATACTAATCTTTGAGTAAATATAATAAAGCAAATAGAAAGCTTTTGAAATTTCTATTTTCGGAAATCCGTTGTTTTTCTGGGCAAGTCACTTTCAGCTAACTTGCCTAGCTATATTTTATTTAGAGAAAATCTATTCTAGTCGATGATTTTCACTAGAAAATACAGATATTAAATAAAATACATTGCCCACAGTACATTAAGAGTAACAGTAGTAGATGTGAAGAAATGTTTAATGTATTGTGTGGATTGAGAAATTAGTTGAACACAAAGATTTCGATTTTCTCTTGATCATTAAATGTATGACATGAAAGAATAAAAAGTTAATTAAAAAGATTATGAGTATCATTTTTTTTTATTACCTTCGCGACTTTTTGTTTCTTTCAAAGGGTAATACTTAGTTAATAATCATACTTCCTTTTATGCTTTCTATCTTCACTTCTAACGTGTGAGATAAAAAGAAAAGATACATCAGAACTAATAGAATAAGATATATCAGATGTAATTTAAAATGAAACAAGTTACTGGTAAAATAAGTAGACTATATGGTACCTCTCTATCAATTCATTTGATATTGTTCTAGAAAATTTTCAATATCTTTTGTACGTTTTCCAAAGATTGGCTTCGAAGACTCTTGATGCAGACAAACAAAATTGCTTTTTGGCAATTTTTATCATTAACAATAGTAAAAATGCTTTTTCCAAAGCAGATTATTAAAACAATATTCCATCAGCTAGTCGATAGAACTCCGCAAAAAGAGTAGAAAAACAAAAATGAGATGAATAGGCTTTGATATATTTCCTAAACGGGATTAAATCTATGCCATCAACAAACATCATTCATTTATAATACTTTCTATCGTCTTCATTTCCAAGACAAAAATAATTCGGCTGCATCAATTCAACATAAAGTGAAAATGTTGTAAAAAAATAATAATTTCCATTTCGTTTTCTATTCGAGAAAATCCGAATGATGAATTTTTCTTTTCTTTTCTAGGGTTGAAACAGTATCTCGATCTCAACGTGCACTCGTTGGTGAATTCGAACGTCAACGCAGCCGTCTTGAACAAGTTGTCCGTGCGTATAATCATCAACAAACAGCTCGCTGGTCAGAATTGCGCCGGCAATCTGAACAGATTATTAGAGAATCGAGAAAACAAATACAGTTTCGATCAAGTGTAGCAATATCAGAACGACTTCGTCTACAGCATGTGCTCGATAAAGATATGACGAAATTGTATTCATCTTATAATTCGGATTCTATAATTAGTTTAAAAAATCCTCAAGAAGATAAAAAACGGAAAGTTTATGGATGTTTACTACCACAACTAAAGTCCCCAACGAAAACAAATCTCGACAATGAAAAACTGTTGACACCACGTTCTACATCAAGACAATCAAGTTTTAAAGCTCATCTTGAACATAAACGAGGTTCACTTCGAAGGCCTATTGATTCACCTACAGAACAACGAAATCAAATGAATAGTGTTATTAATAAATGTTTATATGAATTAGAAGAATGCAATGGCGATGGCTACGATCATTTTCTCCAAACAAGTGAGCCAATGCGAAACGCACAAATACTTGCACAACAACATATTAACCATTAAACTTTAAAACCAAAATATTTGAAACAACAATAAAATAAAACAAAAAGAAAAAAAAAAGTTTGTTCAATTACAGATATACATGCATGATTAATAATAAATTTTTGTTCTCGAAAACTCTAATTTTCACATTTATGCTATCGACAGAAAAGAAAAAAATAAATACTTGAAAATTGATTTTCTATATTTTAATTTATTTCAATAAGAGATATTTGCCGTCGTTGAATCAATTCGATGAACCATAGGCGACGTTATCGTGCTGATGAATTGACGCTGTTTGACTTTCTTCAAGTTGGTTAGTTTTCTTGCTATTCAACAATACGATGGTCACAATAAATGATACAAAACTAACGAAAAGAAAAAAGATTGATGTTGGAATGATCGCTTTATAACTTCCTGTCATGTCAAGAAATAGACCTAAAAATAAAATACAGTCATTTTGTTCTACTATATTCCCAATTGACATCAAATGAACACGCATACCTCCAACTACAGGACCTACGATTGTTCCGAGACTCGTAACAATAACATGATATATATAACCTTGTTCTGTTCGATCTTCTTCAAAAATTCGATTTGAAACTGTATATTGAAGTGCAGTAACAACAGCCGGTGTAAAACTAAATACTGAAAAAAGAAAAAATATTTGTCATAAAATTATCGCTCAAAGCCTTTTTGGTTATTTCACTCACGTATTATCGGTAAAATTGCAAGTACATTTAAACTGGTGTAGAGTAGAGTAAATATTAATGTTAAAAAAATAAGACCAGTAAATACACTTGCCGGAAATAAATAAATAATATCAATAGGATAAAATCGAAGAAAAACTGGTATTAAAAGCCGAAACAATGCATCGAATAGACCATGTAAACGAAACCAAAGATCGGCACGTGCTGCTGATATAAGTAAATATTCCAAATGGCTATGCTGAAAGAAAAAGCAAATTTCTTAATAGATCATCTTGGAATTATTAAAAAATAAGAAAAATTAACTCTCTAGGATCCTTTTCAAGAATTATATTTAACAGAAACCTACCAAATGAAGAAGAAAATTATTCACAGCACACAGAGATGAAAATATGCCTAACATCCAATAAATAACCGGTTTTGAATAGTAAATTTTTCGATTGGTATCTGGAACAAGTGCTGTCGATGGATACGGATATGCTAGTGATGTACTTGGCAGAAATTTTGTGGTGAAAAATGGACCAAGTATACAAGCGGCAAATAATTCAATTACTGCAATATGTCTTTTCGTTGATTGCCAACTATTTTCTTTAAGTGTAGAAAATATCGATGCACTCATTACATGATAACCTAATGGAAATCCCATTGAAGTAATGCACATAACAAATATATGTTTCGGATGTTGTCCAGCTGGATAATAAAGGCCACAAAGTAACGTGCCAAGAATAAATATAGCTGCATTACCAAAACCATATGGAAGTGAATAAGTTAATAGAAGCCAATGCAACTTTTGAACAATTGACGAAATGAATAGAGACAGGACACAAATGAAAAGCGACACAACAAATGAGATTTGAAATCCAAATCGACGAGCAGAAAAAAGTATTAATGGTGCAAGAAGACCACCAAAACTTTGACCAATACTACCAATCCAACCTGAATAAAGTTCTTTTTTTATTAAAAAAAATTAAAGTAGACTACATACTCATTTCTGTATCGGATAAAGTTGAATTCTGTTTTTTGAAGTCAACAATAATTGTTCCATAGCTCCAAGAAAATCCAATAAATATAATTCGACTTACAAATGTTATTAAAACAATTAAAACACCATAATGACTTTGAAGTGAGTCTAGATTCTAAATTTTGAATAAACCTTTTTATCTTGAAATGCTTTATATTGAGCAAACATTCTCAGAGATGGTGATTATTTTATGTCATCAATAAAGGCTACCATTTAAACGATCGGTAGAATAAATGAATGAGCAGTACATTATTTGTGCGGTCAGTTATTAATATATTTCGATTTATTGATATATTTAAAAATCAGCAAATTAGATTATAGGATCCGTATAAAAATTGAAATGTGTTATAAGGTGATTTACTTCTTTTTCATGTTTGTTCTTTTGGTCTATTTATCTTACAGCTGGCAAGTACAACATATATAAATGTACTCTTTGCTTCTTTCTTTCACGTTCAGCTTACTATCAACGAGTAAAAAAGATGGAAGTCGTACAAGTTGCTCAACATGAAAGTGATATATCAGACAAAGAGGTTCTGGAAGGAAATGATGGAATAAATGGAAATGAAAGAATTTCAAAAAAGGGTGTGAGGGCAGTGTAGATGAGCAGAAGAATCACACCCAAACCCACATTTCGATGTTTTTAACTGATCAATTTTATCTTTTTTACTGGTAATTATATTTAATAAACTGATCATTTAAGTGCTGGCCATTCAATATTTATACTGATCATTCATATTCTTTTTCACTGATCATTTCATTTATTTTATTGATCAAATATTATGTTCGCATTAATAAATAATGATACCGTGAAACGACATGTTGTCATTTTTTCCGTTCTGATGAATATACTTAGTAGAAATTTCCTTTTTACTCAAATCTACATTAAATCTTTCATTAAAGTATCAAATCAAAGCATTGCTGAAATGTATCCAATCGAATTTCACCTTAAATATACAGTCATAGTTCGTATTAATTCAGAAATAGAGCTAAAAAAAACATAGTCATCCAAGCATTTTATTCTCCCGAGATGTTATTTTCCTATTTCCGAAATAAAATGATGTTTGATTGCGTTTTTTTGTACATCTACGAAAATGAAGAATTTCGATACGTACCATTCCTTTTTTTAAATAGTATAGAAGAATATTTGTAATGATTTTTGTGTCTGTTTAACCTGAGCACATAATAATAGTGGCAAGCAATAGAAGAGAAAACGTTTCTCGCATACTAATATATAGCGCTAGTTTTTGCTCTCGCTCCTATCTTGCGGCCGGAAATGCATAAGAAGAGCGAAGAACAAACGCAAAAAAATACGGAGGCGGATCGCTGTTCCTGTTTTTTTCTTCTTAGTGTCACCCAGAAAGAAAAAGAATTGTGTTCAGCATCATCAGTTGATAGATCGATTAGAAAAGGAAAAAAAGACCGAGAAAGAAGAACAACGTCTAGAAATGATAATTAAGATAAACGAGGAAAGAGATGGAAACTATGGAGCAATTTTTACATCAGCATATTTCTCGAGTTTTTTTCTTCTTACTTTAATCATTAATAGATGTGTCATTATTATTATTTACTCTTTGTTGCACACAACTTCTTTTTCTGCACATCCGGAGACCGATAAAAAACTAGAACGCAACACGTATACGAGCATATAGAATATTTATTATTCATTATAACATCCATGAGGAAATTTTTCCTTCAACCTAAATTGAAAAAAAATTCATTAATACTCTATTGCCCTATTTCATTATAGTTCTCTGCCATAATTTAGCAATAATTAACTAAAGATCAATTGAGTTGACCGATATGTGGCCTGAACGAGTTTGACTAGTATTTGAATTCTTTTCTTTTTCTGACACTCCAGGCAAGTTAACAATAGTTGAAGGGCATGTTTTACTAACCAATAATTTTCCATGCATAATTAGATATATTGAATAACTTTCGGGAAATGTCATTATTTTTTATTAAATTATAAAACAAAAGAAAGAAAAAAAATTCACACGAATTCCTGCTAGCAGATAAACTAATTTTAATGGTTTTTCTCTGCATAAAAAAACCAAAGAGATAATTATGAACAAGGTATGGAATTCATAGTAAAAAATATTTAGATTTATCCTGAAAATTCAACTATGATTTTCCGCTTGATTGATCCCGAAAAACAAATTCATTTATTTTAATCCAAGCATAGATGCTAATTTTTCTTTGTTGTATTGGTAATTGGTTTTATTCTTTTTCAATAAGATGAAAAAGAAAATTAGCAAGCAATATAAATCTATTTTTCTATTGACAGTAACATGAGATGGAAATATTGCATGTTGTCATCATTTTTTCACTAGATACGAAAATACGATGAAATCTAGGCTTATAGTTGACATTTGGCTTTTAAAAATACGATGAGATTTGCACTGAAATATCTTGCATGTTGCAACAAGTGAAAGAAAACAAATAATAACTATAATCATGTTAACAAATACAAATTTAAAGAGGCTTTCTGAGAACTTTATATAACATAAGAAACGATCGTATCGTCATTGAAAAAGTCGACTGAAGAAAAACTCAACATTATAGTAAAAATAACCAATTCTATCAGTCATATTAAAATTGAAAAATCCGGCATCAACTAAATAGGTTATAGAACTTTCAATAAGCTTCAAAATTGAAAAAAATGAAACTTCTGTCCAATCGTCTTTGAGTAAGATTTGTGATTTAGCAAATAGTTTGATGCACTTTTGTATTGAATCAGTAGGATTGATATCTTTCTGATTTTTATGTAGTACACAATTGAACTTCTTAAAATTTTCTTCACAACGCATATGAAAGTTTTATTTTTCCAAATAAGTTTGTCATGATTCAATAAACTAAGCTATCACTACTGTTATAGAAAGACTATCGCAATAGCTAATAGTCGGTGTTTTCGCATTGAAATAAAAACTGAAGATTCACTGTTTCGAAAAGAAAATAAAGATAAATGATTATAGTATGCTCGTAGAAACAAAAGATCTGATTTCAATCCAAAGATAAACTTGCTAGCAAGTATCTCTACTATGGATCATCTTGCAGAATAACTCATTTTTCAAAGCATAATGCACAGGTTTCCCCTCTTCAACGAGATAGAATGACAACATTGCAATAAAACGGAATCAAATTAATAATGGGTTCCATGTTTAAGCTATTCACGACGGGTGGATCCATTTTCGGTGCATTCTACATGTATGTTTATACTGAAACGCATGAATAAAAATTTAGTGATGACCTTGTCCTGAGTAATACCTAAACTTTAGGCAATGTAATGATTTGATTATGTATCATATTTATTTAATTAGTTAGGGGAATGAAAATAATTAAAAACACTACTCTAAACATCATTCATTCGGACAAATCGATATAAAAGCCTGAATAATTTATTGAATTGGAAAAGAACGACTTGTAATCATAAAGAAAAATTCCAAGGTCTTTCAAAATATGTCTAATGACATTTTTGTGTATGCTGCTCATATTGTTGATGAATAATATGTTGTTGGCATGTAGGACAAATTTTACAACATGCCATAATATGTCGAATATTTGGATCTGTATGACACACACACACATTGACAAACGTTCTTCATCTTATGGAAAACTACGAAAGGAACCGTGTTTCTACAAAAATTGATTGACGAGTCCACAAAAGAAGTGGCGTAATCACTTTACATTCAACTGATGCTTGAATAGACCAACCGTGAAAGGTAAGACAACACGCATGAAAAGGTATCATATACTATTTATTGTCGCACATATACAAATATACATTGGCCTTTATAAAAGAAAAGAAACAAATCTTATGAAAAAGTCCATTATTAGATATTGTTTAAATTCATAACATGGCAAATAAAGGCAATCGTATATTTACAGATACCATTTAAATAGTGATCACAAAGAAAAAAAAAGAAAACTGTCTGTATACTTAAATAAGATCATACATTTTTCTATCGTCATGATCCATAATTGGTGATGAATATGCAATAGCTGTTGAATAGAGGGGCGATGCTAATGGTGTAAAATCATCTGTTGAATTAACGAGTGAAATACTGCTTGATGATAATGAGTTTGATGTAATTAATTCAAAATCATTTGTTGATCTCTTATTTACTGGTGTTTTATCCACTGAAGCAGTCATAGCAGGTGCATCAATTAATGTGAAGTCGTTTGGTGAAGAGTTTTGTTTACTATAATTATTTAAAAATCAGTGACATCTAGGACAAAACAGGAAAGAAAAAATAAGAAACCTATACATACCGAAGTGCTGGCACAGATGGATAAAGTATTTCCTTTGTTTTCATATTAATTAATCCAAATGAAAAATGACGCCACATTGGTTTTCCTTGACTTAATGGTTTAACTGATGAAATAATATAATTATATTCTCTTGGTATACATTTTCGTATATTATAATATTTTGAATTAATGACATGTGGTCGTGCAAGAATAATTTGATCTAAATAATAATATTAAAAAAAAACAATAATTTGTCTTATTATCAATTTATATTGATTAATCGTACATACCAACACTATCGTAATCAACAAAACGCAAAAATGCATAACCTGTTTGTTTAGAATTTGGTGAATAGGAATTAAATACTCGACAATCAGCTATAGCACCGTAGGATTGAAAATAATTTATAAAGGTCTCACGTTTTTCACCTGAACATAAGCGACTAATAAATATTTCATTTACTGTTAAATTTATTCCTAAATATTCAGAAATATTATTATTATTTCGACATTGATATGGTATTGCACGTTGTACATGAATTTGTCTATTATCAATAAAATGTGGCCGTTTTGACATTAAATTATTCACAGAATTTGTTTCTCTATAAACAACAAAACCTTTACGTAATGATTGATCTTGATCATCTTTAGGTAGATATAATTCGTCTATAGGACCATATGCTGATAAATAATTTGATAATGTATGTTCCGTTGTTTTATATGATAAATTAGAAAATAGTACTTTTTTACCGATAGTTGACGACATGATTACAAGAAAGAAAAGCCAATGCTTTCAATATTTAACTAAACATATTTAAGAAAAAAAGAATGGTTTTAATAAGAAAAAATAAATTGAAAACAGATAGACTGTATTACTTTTAGTTTTTGAAAAAATTCAACTAACGCAATTCTGTTTGAATAATCTGATGCGAAAAGTTTAATATAGATGAATGAATAGACGCAATTAGAAAGAGAAATATGAGGGGAGAATAAATACAGCCTCGTCTAGCCAGTATGCGGTAATGTATATTTTTTTCTTTTTTTCTGTTATGCTCAAATAGGCAGTATTCGTGTATTTAGATAACCAAAGGCGACGAATAAATGAATAAAAGAATATAATAACAACAGAATCGGTTCTAAAGAAAAAAGAAAAAAGAACGAAAGGCACACACATATCGGTAGATCACGGCTACTTAAGCTTTCTATCATGTACAATGAATGTTGCGATTTTACACTTCACAGGAAAAATTTTGACATTGATGAACAAAATGTCAATGTTCAGTTGTTTTTTTTCGTAGAAGATTAAACAGATACAAACAATATTTTTATTAAAATTGATTCGAATATTTCATAAATATCAAATACGATGTCAAAAATTTACAACAAATGATTCACGCATATCTTTCTCTGCTAATCATGATAAGCATATATTGATTATATAAGACGTAGACATTGATTACAAATATATATATTGAATACTAAAGGCATGTTATGGATATTATTATGTACTTAACATTAAACGTGTGATCAAACAAAATGTCAAATCAGACTAGTATTATGATTCCGAAACAAAAGACTGAATAATTTGGTGCTGTCTGGGATTGAATCATTTGAATCGTTTTATTGCCATTTTTTGAGCTTGAATTAAATCAAACGTATTTATTATTAAAAAAAAGCAAACCCTAACTATTTTCATCATTTGATCTGTCGATTGTTTAAAACAAACTTGTCAATTTTATTCGAAAACATTCATTATTAATATGTAAAACTGTATTTAACAAAAACAAAAACAAGATCGAAAATTTAATTTTTCGCTCATTCATTATCATACCAACCACTACTTGAGGTTGTCAAATAAGTGTTGGCATTTTCATCCCATGCAATGAGACCTATGCCATGTCGCCATTTTTCTATCCATTGAACACATTGCTTTTTATAATCAAAGTATCCGACAACACCACCATGAAAATATGTTTTCCATTCAACTTCTCTTGTGAGCGGATTGTATACACCACCAACTCCTGTATGAAATGCTGATTTCCATTCAACAATACCTTTTGACGGATTATAAACTCCATGAACACCACTATTATAATTTGTCTTCCATTCAATCATATTAGATTGTGGATTAAAAACGCCATAGACACACGAATGTAATGCTTGCTTCCATTCAATCGTACCTGCTGTGGGATTGAATACACCATGAATACCACCATGCCAATACTGTTTCCATTCTGCACGACCAGTAATGGGATTGTAGACGACTGCTATGGATCCATTCCAAAATGTACGCGTTTCAACAGGAGCTGCTTCAAGTCTAGTTTCAGCAAGTAGGGTAGAAACGCGTTCGGCTAGATCTTTTCGTCGATGGTATATTTCTTTTAACGGCAATACAGATTTCGTTTCATGTTCAGAAGCTGCATGAGTAATCACACGTTTTAATATATTATATTCTTGATGATAAGCTTCTTTTGCATTTTCATATGCATCTTTATCTACATTTAAAATATTTTGTACATCATTATTTAAGTGTTCTAATGGTTGAATAAATGTTCTTTGATTTTCTCGTCTGGTAGTTAAATGTTTTGCATGTAATTGTTGATAGGCATCAAGTTGAATATTAATGCTTGATTCTGCAGACATATTTCTGTATTTCAATTTCAACTGAGATCATCAGATTTTTCATCGATTCTCTATATATAGAGCATTATTCATACATTCTACAAAGAAAGCTGATATGTTTTTGAGAATAGCTTTATGACAAATATACGCGGAGGAACGAAAAAAAAAAGGTGCAAAGGTAATAGTGACGTTTGTCAGAAAAACAAGATACAAATGATATGAATCATTATTTATCAGCGGCGTTTTTCCTACCAAAAAAGATGTTGAATTTATATTCTTTTTGAAGCATTTTTTTGTAGACTTCTATATTAATTCTATTAGATAATAAGTGATAATTATAGCGATGACTCACTTTTTGAGTTCTGATAACGCTAGATGTCTCAACATTCTTTCATAAAAATAAGAACCCTAAAGACTAGCGAATATAAAGCAAAATTTAACAAGCAATAAGCTACTTAAGTTATGGTAGTTGAAGATCATTTCGATTATTCATGATTACAAGTGATATCAAAAACAGTTCATAGAAATGCAGAAGACTTTAAATCCAAGAGTATTTTGTTAGTACATCATATTTTAAGAATTGCTTCATAGAATAGTCTTAGGCGACCTTTGAGATTTGTTAAACCGCACTCAAATACCTGCTTTAGATTAAGAATAAAGTTTCTAAAACCAGGATCAGCATCTACCTTAATGAGTCATATTTACTCATATGGATCGAAATCTGTCGGCTATACATTGATGAACTATTCAACTGTTTTAATTAGATAGCGACTAATGATTCAAGTGTCTGTTAGATAATCACACGATATGGGAATAACTGATGTGCTCTCTTGAGACTACATGCACCGATTCTCTAAGTGGAAGAGAAGATGATGCTTGTAAAACAGATTGAACGAAGGAGATAATTGAATCATTAAATACAATATGAAAATCCTGTGATGCAAATAATTATTGAAAGTCATGTTAGAAAGATATTAAATATAATTCATCATTAAACAAATTACGGAAAATATCTTCTAACGAAGAGATATGTTTTATTAATGCGATGCGAAGCAGAAGCATTTCTGTAGTCCGTCGCGAGTTTTTTTAATGCGATGCGAAGCGGAAGCATTTATGTAGTTCGTCGCGAGTTTTTTTAATGCGATGCGAAGCAGAAGCATTTAAGTAGTCCGTCGCGAGTTTTTTTTTTTATTTTTTTATTTTTACTCGCTTGACATACGCATCACAAGTCGTCGTTTTGCGACGCGATGATCTCGAAAATCGCAGAAAACTCGTTGAAACGTGAGATCGAAGTATCAAGATCAAAGCTTTTACATCTGCTTTCGAATCTTTAAACTAAAGTTCCGTTCACTCACAAATGTGGTTCCAAAATGACGAAAATGAAAGAAGTTTATGAAGAGATAATTAAAGTGCCATCATGAACATATGTTATCCACTATAGACTATTCATTTCCAGCTGATCTATGATAATGAATCATGGAGATAATTAATCGATCAATCGAAATCGATCCTTAAGAATGTATCGCTAAGTAAGAATAGAATTTTCTGAGTGATGAATTTCATGTTGTCGACATAAAAAATATTCAAGATTTCTCTGAATTGTAGATTTTTCCTGGATCGAGATTCCTGCTTCGCATCGCATTTCGTATTCGAGTGAAACTCGAATACCATCTAGTTTAATAAACATAGTAAATTAACCAACGGTTAAGATAAGTAGTATGAAATTGATTTTCTCAGTTGTAGTCCACTAGGAATTTCTACTCTGATGGAAATATGAAAAGCAACCTTGCTAGATAAATCCCTAGAATATTCAAGAGAATATCGGTACTTTGTATCGTTCAAATTAAAATGTAATTTCAATGATAAGTATTGATTTCGTACTAAAAAGTAGAAAACATAGAAATTAAAGATTCACTCTTTCATAGCTCAAGAAGAGTGTGTCGAGAGTAGAGATTAACGATGAGATTTCAGAATTACTTTGAGAGCTTCATCATGAATGATATTTTATTGATCTTGCTTAGAATGTTTTAAACTTAAGTTAATCCGGGTAACAGACAGAAATGAAATTTATGATCAGGGTAGTCAATTTGTTTTTGAAGAATGGGAATGACTAATTTGACAGCAGAAACTGAACGATAAATTTTAAATTCACGGAGATTTTCCGAGAGATTTTGTTAACACAATGTGTTGTTTTTCGATTTCCTGTCAAAAATTACTAGAAAACTTTGAAAAATCTGACAGAAAATATTAGGAAATTTCGCAGCAAGTCTGAGAGGTTTTTCAAATTTAGAAGAGATTAGCTCCTCTCACTCGTCCCCTAACCGACAAGCCTGGTTTTGATAGTCAGAGTAGATTCATCTGACTACACAGTTCAATTGCTAAATATATCAAATAGGATGCTGAATCGTATCAGTTAATGATGTTCTACTCGTATATACTCAGCAACAAACCACATCGCAACAATCAACGGATTTGCTCATGATTTCAAATGAATTTAAAGCGTATCGACCATATTCTATTCGATTTAAGTACTGGATTATAACTAAAATATTTATGACGGCCAATTACGCAATTGGGATAATACATAAGGACCAAAACTAAGTCAACTTTTTAGTACATCCGAGTATGCAATTTTGTATCCCGCCAAGAAAAATGACGAGTATTGATCAGTGGTGTAGCCACTTTTTATGTTGTTACGAAATTAGATAATCATTTTCAGGTCAGTTAAATCTCTCTATCTCATTTGGAATATCAATGTAGGTATTTTCTCTCTGGTAGATCTATCCCAAAAGGACTAAAGATTTAACAACACTGAATCGAGTAACTTCACGAGAAGGATTAAAATAAAATAAAAACAGTGGAAATTGTACAAATTTTTATCAGAAAGTAGCGTCATCTGTTGCTCTAAAGATGTAAAGTAAACAAATGATAAAATGCATATATGCACACTGTGGTAACCGTTATTTGCCATACAAGAAGCCAATCGTGTTTATCACCTATTGGCTTCCAGAAGCGAATCAACTAGAAGAAAATGAGCTTATTTCTATTTAAACTTGGCCGGCTGATTGTGAAATCATTCAACTTAAAATAAATCTATTTGAGCGCTTCTATATATTGTTTATTTTTCTTTGAGATCATATTTCAATTTTGATGGCTGAGTGGGGCAAAGGTGATCCACGTTGGATTGTAGAAGAACGTCCTGATGGTAAGGAGAATAAAAAATGAATTTCACTATTCTTCCTTTTTTTTGCTCTCTAAACAATTGTTTATTTTTATAGCCACAAATCCAAATAATTGGCATTGGAAAGAAAAGAATGCAACACAATGGTCAAAAGATAAATTGAATGAACTATTGGTAGGCCTGAAAGTTGAAAATGAACAATTTACCTGTGAAGTAAAAGAATTAAAGCGATGTGAAGGTGAAGCATCAGCAAATAATCGAAAAGCTAAACTTGTTTTTCTAGTAAGTTAATGATAATACGAAAATCGTTTTTCGTAATCTTGCATTTCATATTTAGTATGAATGGCATATAGAAGGTAAATGGGAAGGATGGATTAGTACAGGCGAAAATCGAACAAAATACGAAGGTGGATTTGAAGTTCCAAATCTATCCGATGAAAATGAAGTTCATGAATTAACTATAACATTTTCTGTTGAAAAGACGAAAGGTGAAAAACTAAAAGAATTGATGGTCCAAAAAGGTGAATCATTGATACGAGAGAAACTTGGTGAATATATTCGTTCACTCAAAGAAGAATTTTCTCAAGGTCTTATTTTACCAACAAAAACTTCTTCAACTACAAACAATAGTAAAATAACAACAAACGTAAATGTTACGGCAACAGCATCAAAACCTTCTTCAAATCCTTCATCATCAACGAATAAAACGTCCTTTGATACACGTGAATTAACTCTCGAAGATACATTTAAATGTTCACGACCAGAATTATTTCAAACATTTACTGATCTTAATATGGTACGATCGTTTACTCAGAATAGTGTTTCAAAATATGAATGCCAACAGGATGGACAATTCTCATTATTTGGTGATAATATAACGGGAACGTTTCTTGATATAGTACCATATGATCGTATTGAAATGTTATGGCGTTTTAAATCATGGCCAAAAGAACATTTTTCACACGTTTCACTACAATTTCGAGATGATATAGAGCAAACAAAAATAATTGTACAACAAACTGGTGTTCCAGAACAATTTTATGATAATACAATGGTGAGTTAAAGAGATTTTTCCTATTTGACTATTAGAATTTGCTGACTTTTTTTTTCATTTAGGAAGGATGGAAGCGTTTCTATTTTGAAAGTATCAAAGCAACATTTGGTTATGGAGCTCGACTACTTTAAAACAAAAGAAACAAAATCACTTGTAGTTCAAATTTCGTCTTTGCAACATTCTCTTCGTGTTGTCAAACCGTTTGAATAAACTCGCCATTGATAATATTATTTCTTATCATTTCTCTAACAGGTTTAACAGTAGAATTTTCATGATTATTCTAGAATGTTCTATAACGAGAACAAAAACATCTATGTATTCCATTGACATACAAAACAAAGAATATTGGTATCTATGAATGAATAAACCATGCCAATGATATTTTCTGTATTTCTACCACACTAAGATGCATGTATTGAATATTGTTCCCCTTTAGAAAATATGATTCAGATTCTAGCTACTATTTACCAAAGGTAGTTTATCGATGTTAATATTACGTGGTCATACAAAACAATCAGCTGCTAATTTCAGTTTTCATAAAAGAATTTAGATACACGAAGTACCGATGTTGTTTCTAGTATCATTAGATGTAAAATGTTGACTATTTTGGGAACCACCAGATTGTACCGTTAGTTGCTTTCTAACCCACAGAAATTCAAGATCGATCTATAATTAATAGGATACAAATAGTATAGATGATGCAGATTCACATCAATATTTTGTAGAACTGGCATATATTTTCGAAGAAAATGGTGAGTGTGAGTTTAAAAGCGAGGTTCTTGCGGCTCCCCATCCGCTCTCCATTACAGACATTAATGAGTTGAAAATTGTGCTAATTAGGAGCATGACTAATTAGACTACTGTTTCTTTCTTTTTTAATTACAGACTAGACGAAAAAGGCAAAACTTGCCCATTACAGACCATAGCCATTAGTCTCTGTCATTGTTAAAGATACGAGCTAACAATCAATACTTCATTACAGACATAAGCAAATAGCCAATGACCTAATTATAGATTTTGGAAATTAAGGTAGATTTTTCAGATGAACTATTTTGAATTATTTTAGTAAGCCTAAGGGATACATGTGAGTTTCATATTTTAGCGTCAAAAGCACTACGCTAACAAGATTTTTCATTAAGCAACGATCATTTTAGGCCTAACATGACATAGAAAAGGTCACAGGGAAAAGCAAAGGAGTCAAAGAGCATTTGCTTGAGTAATAATACAGTGTATATGCACCCGCGCATAAACCATTTATGAGTCCATTTAACATTTTCACTTTTTTTTCAATCATATGACTTCATGAATACTAAGTTGCGTATTGAGTCAATTTTAGGAGAGGAAATAGAAATCATGACATGATTATTTAAAATTATAAATGAATAATTGCAACATCCGAGGCTAAGTATTGGGTTGCCGAGAATAGATTATACTGATTGCATTTTAAATAATTCTGCAATTTCTTTAATTATACGCGATTAAGTTTTCTTACTAAAAGAAAATATATTACCAGCTTTATCCTTGAATCAAAACGTTGTAAATTGCATGCCAAATTATTACCAGTACCAATGTGAAGAGATGTTAAACAGATAAATTGTCAAAAGATCTTTTTATGATTTTATTCCATTGTTATTAGATTTATGAAATACAGATGTAGTGTCGCACCAAGATTTTAAGATGAAAAAAGAACATTTTAATTTGCCTACTATTGAAGATTTTACTGTTTCATCCGTCTTACTACGTTTAATAAGACTAGTCTCTAATTGTTGATGTTCTAAATAACTTGTCGATATAGATAAGATTAATCTTGCATTGAAAGCAATGAGTTCTAAGTGAAAATCGCACAATTATTTCATGAAGAAATTTTACTATCATTATCTCTAGTTCTCTATTGGTCGGTTGGAAATTTCTATTTATTTTCCAGTCACATTTGCTACATAAATTGGCATACATTTTGTTAATGATGGCTTTTTCCTACGGCAACTCATCGTAGAATTTTCTAGAAATTTTCACTAAAAAGTGCATGGTGAGATATTAAATGATTTGAAGTTTCGGGTAAAAGTCTTTCCAGAATATGTACGGTTTACATCGATAATTAATTTCGAAAGATACGAATTTATCGTAAGATATGATGGAGAGACATTGTCGGAAAAGATTAGCACGATCTTTTAGAGAACAAGATTAACTTGTTTCAATTAGAAACTGTATCAAATACAAACTATTATCTCTCATAGACTATGTTTCAAGTAGGAAAAATAAACCGCTCAAAATAATCACTTGATAACGTTTTCGAAATCTAAATTGGCTCTCACTCGATACTTGATTTTTGCAATTGAGATTGTCTTAATTTTTATTTTGCGTTCATTGCACAAAAAAATTATTTAACTAACTTTTCTAACTTACAAATTTAATTCAGAAATCATAATTTCATAAATATTAGCTATTTATATTTATTGAAGAATTTTGCGCATAATTTTTTACTAATATGCCTTTACCTCGTTTAAATTCTGAACAAAAAAAACTCGATCGAGCATTTCTTTCATCGTTAAATTTTGATGAAACTGGCATTGAAATCAATCGACTAAGTTTAATATTTAATAAACTATGTATAAATAATAATTATCAATTAACACGTGAATATTTTCGTGATTTTCTTTCAAAAATATTTGATCTCAATGATGAAACTATAGTTGAACGTTTATTTATATTAATTGGTCAAGGTGAAAAAACCTTGTCATTAAAACAATTTCTTTCTGCAATTAATTTATTATTATATGCATCGTATGATGAACAAATTAAATTTATTTTTCGTGTATACGATGTAAGTGCTGATGGAAATTTACAACGAGAAGAATTATTTACATTCTTACGTAAAGATTTACTGATAGTCAATGAAAAAGAAGATGCCGATATGATTTTACATGAATTTATAACATTATTATTTAAAAAATTTGATAAAGATCATGATGGCGTTATTAGTTCTGATGATTATAAACGAACATGTCAAGAAAATCCAACACTTATTCAATGTTTTGGTCAAGTTTTACCACGTCTTTTTCGAAAACAAATGGTTAAATCAATGTTAAATGGAAATATGTCGATCATATCGAAAAATGAAAACAATTTAATTCGAGAGTAAAAAAAAAGCAAATTTTATTTGTCGTACCTTTAGCGAAAATAGTATGTATGACGACGCACAAGTATACCTTATAAAATGAAACACGTATTAGTTTTACTAGTAAATAAACAGAAATTACTTAATTGATTTTGTTCATTAGTAAAAACCACACAACATCCACGTTTTATATCAGTATTAGTAATGAAACAATGCGAAAAAGAGAAAAGCGTAGATCATTGCAACAAATGAGAACAGACTAGAAACACAAAGAAAAAAAAACAAAACGAGTATAGAGGTGTATAACAAATTCGCTAGAATGAAAATATAGAAGAAAAAAAACAAAAAAAGTCGAAAGAAATAAATTTCGAAAATGAAACCGGATAGCTTGAGCATATTACTGATTAAATTAAATTACGAATGGCATATATCGTCTAAAGATTTCTCTAATGTTACTAATGCAGTCTACTCAAGCTCTATTATGCACATTTCGATATTTTTTTCTTTCAACGCTGCTTTTGCTTTGTTACTCTGCCAAATTTATACCATACCACGAAGAAATTACTGTTTAAATGCATCACCGGCATTGCTCTATTTAACAAACAAATGCATTGTTACGAGCAGGTGGCAATGAATCATCTTCACTTGAACTTGAATGTTGTTGAGCACATGATGATGATCCATATGTTGAATTGAATAGATCGGAACATGTATTATTATTATTATTATCAGTACACGTTGCTGGAGTCTCTAGACTATTGATAAGTCGGTCAAGACTACTTGAAGTCATCGTAATTAGATGTTGTTGAGATGACTGCTCGACATTACAGAGATGATTTGATTGACCATTACTATAAGCGGAATTTGTTAATATAGGTGCTGGTTGAAGAAATTGGCTAATTTCTCCTTCAATATTTTGAACCATTTGTACTTGATGAGGAAGAACTGGTGGTACTTGTTTTTGAATGAGCGATGGATGGCAATGCGTATCATTAAAAATCATTGATGATGGCTGTTGTAATGTTGTCATATGATTTATTTGTTGTAACTGACAAGGTTCAATACGATTCGAAAGCATAGATTCAAGGCGTTGTTTTTGTTCTTGTAATTGTCGAATTTTTTCTAGAAGATTTTCGTATATTTTCGATTCCCTATCACATTGAGCTTGAAGTCCTGCTAAAACAATTTCACGTTTTTCACGACATTTTGTTGCTGCTAAACGATTACGTTCGCGACGCATACGACGTTTTTCTTCCTCGTCATGAGATAGTTTTTCATATTTCGAACGGCGTCCTGTGAATAATGTTTTCGAAGGTTGTTTACGAGGATTTACCGTTATTGGACCATATCTAATTAGTAATATATATATATACATATATACGATATATGCGCGTGTGAATTTAAAAAAAAATGATTTACTTGACACGACCCGAAGGCAAAACTTCAACTATTTCGCCTGCATTTATTTGCATAGTATTCATGACTTTTGCTTGTTCTTTTTCCTTTTTCCGGCCTTTTGTTGATTTCAAGGTATTATTTAATTGTGTAGAACCTGCCGTCGATGAAGTAGTTGATGATACAACTACTTCTGGTGGTGAAGGTTCTCGTAAATAATTCACTATTGACGCAACACTATCAAATGTAGAACTAAATGTTGTCATTGATGACAACGTATTGCGATCGATGTTCGAATTCATCAGCTTTTTAATTTACTAAATGAAAAAAAAAGAAATAACGAATTGCATCATCCAAAAAATGTTTGTCTTAGAGACAGAAAAATATTTGTCGAGCGTAGTAAAAGAAGAAAGAAATATACAACAGATAAATAACAGAACGAAAGGAACTCATCTATACCACCCACGTAATCAATACAAATGCCGATAGGGTTAGAGAAAGTGGGTGTGGGTGTGGAATGACAAAGTTTATTAATCACAGGTAAAATATTTCGGCATTTCCTTAAAGAAGTATTCTATCATATTATAAAATAGGTCCTGTGTATTTCGAGCTATTTAAAAAATTTTCCCACTGAAAAAGCTCCCGTCAACTTTCACATATATATATATATATATATACTATTTCGAATATTTCTTTCTTTATAGTATGTAGATACAAGTGAAAATCATACTATTAGCCGTAATATTACAGATAAAAAAAAGACAACACTCGGCTTTCTTCCTCTCAATAATATTGTTGACGTCATGATGATACAGCAAAAAAGCAAGCACATATTGATGAAAACTTACCCGATACGATGAAATAATAGTGCACAAAGAAAAGAACAAATATACTTGTTTAATATAGATTTAAGTTGAAAAACTTTATTTTCAAATATAATAAGAATGAATAAGTGTAATAAAAGGAAAAAGGAAAAAGGAAAAAGATTACTTTCTTATGTGAATATTTATGTAATGCAGTGAAAATATATGTATATGTATTTTTATATGTTAAATGGTATGGTAACATAATTTTTAGTTTTTTCGTCTTTTTTTCTTCTTTCCTTCAGTTTTTCTCCTCGTATATGCGCACATACAGAAGAGAAAAAGCAAGCAAAGCGAAGTTTTTTTTTGTTTTGTTTCACGGACAACAGCGAAGAAAGCGACATCACTATCGTTGTACCTTAACGACTTTTCTCTTCCTATCAAAAAACTACATAATAGTTGGAAATATCCAACTTATTTGTAGTTATGAAATATCTAATTCAAGATGTTAAAAATTTAATATATACTTGAATAAATTGCAAATAGTAAATCAAATATTTAATGAAAAACAAGTTCAAAGACAAATACGAAACGAATATTTATACAAATGAGAGAAAACACTAGAAGTTTAGTTCTTGATGTCCTAGTTTTATTATTGAATTTAATGCTTTTTATCATATGTTCCTGCTCCTTTATACTCGCCAACATAGCCTGAATTGCTAACTACATCAGTGCGACCATCTTTTCCTTTTCCATGACCAGATTCATCAAAACGTTCTTTATGTGCACCTGTGTAGTGACTTGTATCAGTCATACGAGCAGTTGTATTCGCATTAGCAACTCCCTAAATGATATATATATATATATATATATATATATGGTGAATAAATATTTTCATATGCCAAATCCCTTACTGTAGTATTTGATGTACTCGGACCACCAACTGAACTAATCAGCGCAAGAATTTGATCAGCCGATGTCTTTTTGGATTCAGCTATTTGATCAACAAGTTGTTTGAAACCTTGGAATTCAAATGTTTTACTAAAATAATAATCATAGGCAAATATAAATAGAAAATTGTTTAATTAACAACAATTAAAACTTACATGCCCTTTGTATAAGTTCCCGAACTTGTAAGTTTACCAAGAACACGAGCCATATCATTATCCAGTAATTGCGATGTATATTTTCCATCGACAACACCAGCTTCTTTCATTAGTTTTTGAACATTTTTGGATTCAATTCGAATATCTTTTTCCTTAAGTTGAGATTCTGATTTACCAAATCTGGCAAATTGATCAAACGCTTGTTTCAAACCACTGCTACCGCCCGTTGCCATGTCGTTTATTTTATTTTAATGTAATAAATTGGATCTGAAATAAATAAAGAAAACTAAATCGATATGATCTTTGCTTTACGTCGTTGATGGTCTATCGTCCGTAGAAATTCTACTGTAATGAAATAGCTTTTACATAGCATCGAGTATTTAACTATGCATTCATTGCGCGAGAATGAGTGTTGAAGGTGACGTTGTCTTGGTAATTGTAGAGAAAAAAATCAGTAGAGAGAATAAAAGCGTACCCACTTATATTGTTGCTTTCTACTTGTACGATCGGCTTATACACCGGGCATTTAGAAGCAATTCATTCTTTCTTTTTACTTTCTAATATTAAAGCATAGTTCGAAATGAATGATATGGACGCTAAAATCATTGTCAAAGTCAATAGTTTTCATCGTGCACATTAAAAATAGTGAAGAAAAGAAGTTATATCTTAACCTACTCCTTTTCTTCTTTAATGTTGTTTGATGTCGCGAATAAAGTAACAAAGATGACAAACATAAAATAGCTTTCACATTTGTCTTGCACTTTCTCCAGTTACTATGGCGAATGAAGAGAAAGACGCTATGCAGTTTATTTTATTTTCATAATTTAGAAGTACCTTGAAAAGATTTTCTAACAGGCATTCATTAGAAATAAATATTCATTTTTCAAGATTGAAATGAATTGATTGACAACGTCAGTATAAACTATATTCTATTGAATTAAATTCTATTCTATTCTATTCTCATGCTACATAAGAAACAAAGAAACGATAGACTAGTATTATAATGAGTAGAAAGTAATTTTCGAGTTTAAAAAGCACACACTATGTTTTTTAAACATATAAAACATAATTTTATATATAGAAATTTTCTCTCTTTAGATTTGATTAAATATTCGATTGAAAATTTTTTCGAATTCAAATTTAAAACTGCAATCAATGCTGTACGTTTCCAATCAAGTATAACGACCAATTTTTGACTTTCTAACTATACTTTTGTTAAACAGTAGATATACTCTTTCAAAACATAACCCGTGCAATCATATCTGCGTCTGTTTTGTTGTAGGAAGAATGCAAGGCGTTCCGCGATATTTTTTCAAAATTCGATATGATTAGATTGACACGGTTGTATTTGATTGTCAGATCGAATTTTTCTATAGGATTCTATTTTGATAAGATTATATATCATAAAACGATACCAAAAAGTTTCATTTGGAAATGGAGAAAAAAGACTTGTTTGAAAATATTTATCAAATGTCGTAGTAAATCATTCGATGTCGAAATAGAATCGATCGTTTATAATTTGCGTAGTTGTGTTCTTTATCTACGACAATTTTTTTTTACATAAATATTACAAACATTATTGACTCAATGAAAATTTCAAAGTCATGATTTCCTTATCTGTTTTTTTTTTATTTATATGACTTGCCTATACCGAAAGAAAAATCTAAGCCTGTGCACTTTTCTTGTTTAGGTCTAGGTCACATCAAACCGTTTAAGCGGAAGCGAATAGTATCACATGATGTATTTCTTTCTATAGTCATGACTATTGAAAATAACCTTGAAGAATCATGATTAAATGAAATCATATTATTTTCAAAAGACACACGTTTTCTGTCAAAGTTGAAATTATTCTAAGACATATTTGTGTAACATTTCGACAAAAAGTGACTTCGTTTTTCAATGACTGAAAAACTGAAATATTATACAAACCTGCTGAATTCTATCGAATAGTGCTATAAATGACACGTTTTTATTCGTCGTCATCTCGTTTTTTTTTTGTGAATGACATACAGCTGTCGTCATCGATGAATAATTCTCAGTTCGATTCATTGATCAACTCTCTTTAGCTAGAACATAGATTCTCTGTTATATTATAACAATAGGAAATTTATTCAATAATATTAGTGCAATCAATCAATCGATCACTTGAAATCCAAAGCAATATTTTCTACACGACTAATCAATTATTCCAATTCAATAATAATAAAATTTCTATACGAAAGCCCGACAATTCCATAGATTTCATCATTTGAATAGCATTAGTAAACGTTAAAAAATAAGTTAGGATATGAGCACGGTAAAAGATGCATTTATGCGTACATATCTTGTTCGCAAAGTGCTTTAGGTAACTTGGTCGAATTTCTATGAGTCCTCTTGAGAACTATTTTTATTGTTGAACTCGTTGTTTTTTAGGTGATGATTCATTGTTTGGCGAAAATCTGATGCCATCGATTTTTATTTAACGCACTTTCAAAAGAGGATTTTCGTTGTCTTTATAAGAATGTTTTATTATTCTTAGCACATATTTACTATGAATTCTGGCTCGATTTCTATATTATCTATTCGGAAACAAATAATATAAAAATCATTTAATGAGGGTACATTAGTAGAATAATTGCTGCTAAAACTCCAAATGAGATCATACAAATGAACTGATCGACGACACTTAATCATATGGATAGAGCTGATAGAGACAGGAGGAGTGCACCAAAAACATTTTTATATGCATAAAGATTGCAAATTTTCGCCATGAAAACCCCGCAAAAACCAACCAAATCTTTATACACATAAAAATAGTTTGGTGCACCCCTAGACAGAAAATATTTTTGCTTGCTTGAATCTTCTGATAGATTCTAGTATTATTTTCCAAAACCCAATTCTCTGATTTATTCTAGATCTATAATTTAATTTTTATTCTTTTATCTCTCCACTATTAACATAGTCTCATTTTGTGTCAGTAACATGCCCCTTTAGGACAGACAACGTCAGAAGTTTAATGTCGGGTAAAAAAGAAAAGCTCAGAAAAAAATCTCTTGATTTACTGAGTGCGAATCATGTTTTGATTAATTTCTTTGGAAAATCTAACAAAAGAACGAAGCAAAGCAACTCATGAAAAATATAGATTTCTTGAATATAGACGAATGAAAGACTCGTACGACAACAAAGCTTTTTTCTAGAAGTTTCGGAAGAGAAAAGATAAACAGGACGATATCTAGTATCATGATCTATCTAAAACAGCAAGAAAGAACAAGAAAAAGAGATTTTATTAACAATCTGATACTACAGTACTACAAATCTCTACTCATGTTTTCTTTGTAATTTTAGTGTGAAAAAAAATGTCGAATCGATAAGCATTTGGCGACACCTTTGATTCTGTATGAATGGCAAATAGCCAATGAATAGTAAATAAAGCCAAAAAATAAAAAATATACAAACCAAAATAAAACCAACAAGTCGTTTCGATCATTTCGATAAACGAACTGTATGCGTTGTTTTTCAAGGTTGAGTTCTTTTGGCTATTTTCTTTTCATCTATAAATTTTCCATTTTTTCTCACGCAATAAATTACCGTTTTGAATGACAAGAGCAAAAAAATAGGGCTTCAAATAGAACTAATCTTTATTAATCCATTAGCAAATAAACGAGCGTCGTAAAAACCAAAAATCTTTTCATTTTCTTTGAGGTAAAAGCGATTTCGGAGACAAATGCTGGTTCTTTCCGAAAGAGAAGAATTCTACTCATTAGAATCGCATTTAATAGAAGATAAACTACAGGATGACTTGTCTGATGTTGAATTGATTTCAATTTGACACCAGCAGACAATTAGTAAGTTAATCAAATTGTTGTTATTTTTTAAGAAAACTTCTGATACATGTATGCATGCGTATATAAGTATCTCATAATGTCAAAAAAAGGTAGTCATTAAAATGAAAATTTATTCACGTATAAAATTTGTATGTTTTTAACGAGGAGGTTTGAAAGTAGTATTAACTAACAAATTGTACGATGCTTAATTGAAATAAATATTTTATTAAAAAGAAAAAAATTCTTTTTTTTAATATTTGAATAACTTCATGACTAAATTGTGCAAAGAAAAGTTTCCTATCGTCTATATTTTCTGTTTTCATTTCTTACACCCACGTCTTCGTCTATGCAAGCCTTTTTCTTCTCGTTTTTTTTTATTATTATTCCGTCTCCTATTATGATTATCAAGTCTTAACATTCATATTGTCTGGTGCAACATTGAGGTCTTCCGACTACGAACAGCTAGTAGAACAGAACACAGAACGACAAGCAAGTTTTCTCCTTTTTTTTTACATATATTCTTTTCTTTCTTTTTTTTCGCGTCATCGCTTTTCCTAGTAGAAAACAATATCTCTTCTTTGCCGGTTCGGTAATATACAAAAGAGAGATGTGCGTCGTCTCCCTTTCTCGTTTCCTGAACAGCCTAACAATTTTTTGAGCGAGAACGCAAACGACAGGAGCCAACACCTACGTGACATACTTCCGTCCTATAGTAGACTATTTTTTCATATTTATCCCATTTTTTTCGGTATAGAAGCTGAATGCGAGCTAGCCGACGTTCTAGCAAACGTGACACATCATCAGGACTTTATATACAAATGAATTTCTTTTTTGTTCTTTTTCTGTTTTTCATACCATAGATGAGGAAGAAAAAAATGCAAGAGAAAGTAATTGGATCGTCTAATCCGATTTGAATATGTATGTGTGCTGTTTCAACTGACGTAGATCTTTCGGCTTTCTATTTTTCTTCTAGTGTATTATTTAATAAGCAAAAAACAAACTAATCATTTGTTAGTTAGAAAACTATATTTAGATACTAGTCTGGCAGTCATCTGGTAGTTATTACGATTGTCGAAACAAAAAAGTTGGACACAAATTAGAAACTACTTGTCGCCATATTTTGCTGTTTTATATTCTGCTATTAATATCTTTTTTTTCTTATCAGAAAGTATAACAAATACGGCATCTAGTAACAGGCGAAAGGCGAAGGAAATATTCAGACTTTTACAGAGGTGAGAATCGTATTATTGCGAGTGTTATATGTGATAAGAGCAAAAGCGTACTAGACCATATGTTTTTTTTCCCGATTCTAATGTTGATATATACTACTTCAATATCTGTTTGTTTACATGCTTCGTGTGGTCCAATGGTAGAAACGTATTGGAAACTATGAAAATAACAAATAGTAGATTCATATAAGAAGGAAATATGAGTCGAGTAGTAGCAATGTTCAGTGAGTGTTGTTCCTTCGCTTATTCTATCTCTTCTTGGTCTTCTCTTTCCTCTTTTCTTTTTCTTTGTTATAGGCATTTTATATTCCCATTTTTTTCTTCGTTATCGTGATCGTTTTTATGTATTTTTGAAGAGACAGAGAATATTCATGAATAAAAGCAAAGAATACAGAGAAAACGAGACAATGCAAAAGCATGATTGGAAGAGAATCTCAATAAAAATATTGACACAGAGATACAAATGCATAGTTAAAAGCTGACGACACTGTTTCAATTGCATATAGTCCTGATCTAACATATGATTATTTGAAGGATATTGTTCGAACTAACGATGCAGTATTAAAGGAACAACAGCATCAGAGAAAGAGAGAGAAAGAGCCGGGAGAAATAAATAGTAAAGCAAAAGGGCGAAGGTACTCGAGATTTAATAGAACAAAAATATTGAAGTCACGTTCCGCCTACAATCTCCATCATTTATCATTAAAACCTCTTTCATGTTGACTAGTTGCCCATGGTTGATTGTCATCGTTAAAGGTTTTTTTCTTTTTTTCGCTTTGATTAGCTCATGTCGTCATTCACTAGCACAACATGCATGAGTTTTTTTTTATATATATGTCTATGTTCTCATCATTCTAAAGAATAAGAGGAAAAAGAGAAAAAGAAAAAAAAACAGAAGAATAAGCAAAAAAAATGATGATTGTGATGACGAAGAAAGTTCAACGCAATGTCTGCAGTTTTTTTTGCATCATTCCCACAAACTCTTTTTCTTTTATCTCTATCATATTTCAGATGATTTTGGTGGTTTTTCATAATCTTCGTCGTCGACGGCGTTATTTAATTTTTTTCTCGTGATTTTCTATCGTTCAATTCACAGTATTTTTAATGACGTCTACGTTGGATTCGTCAGAACATTCGAATCATATTGATGACAATGATCAAAATGTCGTCTCGTCATCAATGGTACCGTCGGATGTTGCTAATTCGGACGAAAAAATTGAAGAACCACTAATAGTTTCCGAATCCGAGCAAACTGATATTGCAACTGAAAATACAATCGATGAATTATCAGAAACAAATCAAATGCAAACATCTAATATGATCACTGCCGAAGCTTCGTTTTCCGAAGCAACATCAGCCGATTTACCACTAGGAACACAACGTTCTTCTATTGCGAGAATTCTCGTTAAACCTGGACAAATATTTCGTGTTCAAGTTGATAATGAAGTCAAAGAAGTACATGGTAAGTGATTTTACTTTATTAATTAGATAAATAAAATTTAAGAAAAAAAAACGATGCTATTGATCCGGATGTTAATATTGTTATTATTCTATTCTATTATTATATCTAATCAAATAAATCAGATAAAATCATTATTTTTTGTTTAAAAATAAATATGCGAAACAAAAGATCTTTTCTATTTTAAAAATAAATATTATATTCATATTTTATCTCGTTGTTTGTACGTCATATCTGATTAAATGTATCATTAATAAATAAAAATAGTATTGAGAAATATAGTTCGACAAGAGATTATGTCAAATATTACTAGATATATATATATATATATTTTTTTTCTATTGATTGATCAACGAATTGCATATTTTATTACTTTTAAGCTATCATATTCTATTCATTATTTATCTTTAGCTAGTGTCATTTTAATGTCTGATGTCTTAGATGTTAGAGACATATCTAAAATGACAAATGACAAGGTTTTTTGTTTCTGTACAATTAGTAATCGATAAAGTCTTTGTGATAAATACTTTTCTTCTCTTTTCATTCTTCATCAATGTATGAGTTCTTTGTCTTTGATAAGGATAAATCTTTTTATACATACATACATGCACATAGGCACGTACATATATGTATACAAATATCTGATCGTCAGCTGTATGAATACACGTACGTGTGCATTGTTCATGTTCTCTCTTTTCTTTCTTCTATTTTCTGCTAGCAAAGGGAAGAATCTTTCGCGAAAACAAACATCACCATTAGTTGGTAGTAGTTCAACTATTGTATGTTCGTTTGTGTTTATTTTCATACGGTTATACCCTACTAAATGGGAAGTTTGAGAGAAAAGAACAAGAAGAAAAAAACCTACGCTACTAGAGGCGAACGAACAGCACTGTGGCAGCGGCAATGAGTGTTCCGTTATTCTTTTTTTTTATTTATGTATGTATGCATATGTGTAGATGTGTGTGTGTTCGTTGTCGCTCGTTCTACAGTTATTCTAATTGTATGGACAGCGAAAAGGAGAAGAAAAGAGGAGGAAAAAAGAACGAGCTAAAGTACACACACATACACATACTGCAGCATTGCACATTGAACAACTACGACCTATGGCCGAGACGCATGCATGTCGAGAATATCATCCTGTCAAAAGATAGCCACTCTCATTGTCATCGGTCGACTGTCAACAAAAATAAAAGCAAACATAACAACAACAACAACAACAACAATAATCATAATCATAATCGATATTGAACATTCATCTTAAATCTGCATTGTTGTTGTTTTTTTTCACTAATTATACATACATCATTTAACGAATCATGTATGATACGGGATGTTTTTCAACAAATGGATTCTATCCAACAGCATCATCTTGTTCATCTAATACTTCGTCACCGGATTCCCTAAAACATCAACGTTTACTAGCTACTGCAACTCCTTCACCACCGAATGTATCTCATCAATTTTTTCAACCACCACCACCACCACCACCACAACAACAGTATCTTTTCGATCATCATCGTTTTCGTTTTAATCCTAATCCTAATAATAATAATAATAATAATAATAATAATAGTAATAGTAATTTGAATGGTAGTAATGATATACATTCATCATCGTCGTCGTCATCGTCAACTACGTCCAGTCATGATCAATTACATCTATGGCTTGCTGCTCAATCATCAGGGCAGCAACCACAGCAATCGAGTAGGTTTTCGAATGACCTTTTGCACTTTTGATTAGATGTAGTTTTTCTTCTTTTTTTCGCTTTCTTTGAAATTGTCTCATCTTAATGTCGACATATGAAGGCGAAAAAAAGTTTTCTCTCTTCTTCATGGTTTTTTTTGTTCTCTAAATCGAACAGAGAAAGTTCAATTATTCTACTAGACTTTCTTTCTCGTCCTCTTATACTTCTATACGCATATGTATGTATGTATGTATGCATGTGATTCATCATCATAATGTGCTGTTCGTTTAGTCTCCGTAGAGAAAAAAGTGAACGAAGGAGAAAGGCGTGATCATGATTGATGTGGGTTGCGCGTGGTTGCCGTCGATGATCTGACCACAAGAAATGTAGAAATATCAGTAATAATGTTCTTTTACATAGAAGAAAAAGAACAGCAACAATGTACGACTCATCATTCTATAACTAATGGATCTATTGAAGAGTAACAGTACCTAGATAAAGATTATCTTTGGTATATTGTTGTTCTTAGAACAATATAATAGGCTCATCACTTTTACCGTTCGCTAGCTTACTATCTGACCAGTTACAAGAAACAGCTGGTATTTTTTTTCTTCTTTCTGTACTTTTCTTTTAATATGTATACATATATATATATATATTATATCGCAAACTTTTTGCTTTTGTTCTGTAGTTTGAGTACACCAGAAGAGGAAAGTTGGGCAGTTTGTCATTTTTTTTCTCCTTCTGTTTCTTTTTTATTTCTGTTACCCATATAATTACCATTGCCATGTGTCATATCTGGAATGATGAAGATATAGCAGGTCGGTTAGACGTGTGCTAAGGATAATATTGGCAGAATTTGATTCGTTCGTAATATAGTCGAAAGAGAATGCCAGAATATATATCGTCTAATATATACACACATATAAATATATACATATATGAATAATTTGTATGACATACATGTTTTTATTCTTAGGTCCTGCAACAGTGAGAATGATCTCAGAAAATGGACCAGCATTTCCATTACCTTTACATTTACCACCTGGACATATGGTTCAACAAGTTCTTGATGAGAATGGTGTACTAACACATGTTATTATGCCACAACCTGCACCACCACCACCTCCACCGCCGCCTCATCATCATGTGGTAAGATGGAAAAAATTCAAAGCCTAAAGTTTATTCTTGTTGAATTATTTTAAGCATACCGGTTATTCTCCATCGCCATACAATGGATTGTATGGTCATCCACATCAATATCATAATCCAAATGTATACGGACCTTATACAGGCGATGCATTATCGTATCCTCAACGTTCTGCTTGTAATCATGCATCATCACCTACAAATCGTATGAAAAAAAAATAGATCGAAAATTCAAATTTTTCAATTTTTCATTATTTAGCTTCACAATGTCTATTACATCCGTCTGAAAGCAATAATTCGTCAACAATAACAACAACAATAGGAGATGGTGTTAATACATCATTAATAACAACAAATAATTCAACAAATAATCATCAACGTCATTCACCTGTATATAATACAAATGCGAATAGTTGTACAACAACAGGAGGAACATCTCATCCTCGAACACTAAATATTAGTGGACAAAAACGACGTATACCATCTTCCCATACGAATACCAATTCATATGTCAATAATGTCAACATGAGTAAGTTAATTCAAATGTTTCTGTTTTTTTTTAATCAAACTTTTATTTTTAAGAAAAAGTTTTGAATAATTTTGATGGTTCCGATAAATCTCTACATCATCATCATCCACCATTGGCAACACATTATTCACCATTTTATTCAGAAATGGTTGTTCAACCAACAACTGAACCTGTTGATTTAGCTGCTGCAGCAGAATATGATAAAGAACGACAAACGATTGAAAAATGTCTATCGAAATTATCTCCACCAATCGTAAGCAAAAGATTTAGTTTATTTTTTCGAATATACTTCTATTGGTCTACTACTATTTTAGATTCAAGATATTGAAAGTCGAAGTGCATTAGTAAGAATTCAACCTCCAACATTGACACCTACACAATCGGACTATTCAATTGATTTTACAAATCTCATTTACGAATTATTATTGTCAGATAAAGGCAAAGACGCTAAATACAAACAAGTTTATTGGTATGATTGATAGAAGTTTTTATTGAAATATTATTTAATTAATATTGTTAGTCTAAAAAGCGAAACACAGTCCAAAAGAAAATGTTCTTGAAATCATAAACAATGCATTTATCATTTACATCAACACTAAAGATAAATAGAATCTATGATTAATTACAAAACAGGAAAGTTTTTCATTCTAATCTAAACTATATGCCCACTCGTTAGGGAATATTGTAATTGAGTAGATCCTGTTCTTTGTAAGAAAATTGCTTAACATTAACCGAATCGATGAAATATATAAATGTTGAATGCAAGTAATCTTTGATGGGAGATGAGAACATATGCAAAATTACTATATTCGAATGACATTGCCATTGCTCTTGACATGAAGAATTACTTATATGGGGCATCCTTCAACTGATAAATTACTTTTCAATCGAAACTCTGTAGATGGTGTAGGTCCCAGTGAGCAATAAATATCTTAAAAAAACATTCTTGACCTTCAGACTTCACTACCACAATACTTCATTTTTATTATATTAATATATTCAACGCGTAGAAACAATTCGATTCAAATTCTGACTTGAAATTCAATTATAAATCTTGCACATCCTCTTAATTTGTTCCTATCCGGAAATACGAACATAACCTTTCTTGGTTTATATTGTCAATGTTATTACTATAATTGTATCTAAGAATTGGAACAAAGGCAATAGTTGAAACATTCCAAAGAAAATCAAAATCTATTTCAATGTATTTATACAAAAAATAATGTAGAAAAAAAACGTAGTTGATTAGCAAGAGAATTACTTTCATTTAGCAAAGATCTGGAATTTGGATAACTTTTTAGTTGTATTTTAATTGAACAATAAATTTTCTTTAGTGGTGATGCCAATGAAATAACTCTAAAAGATCTAAAACCAGCAACTGAATATCATCTCAAGTAAAAATTTAAATAAAAATCATTCATTTTTTTAACATAGAGACGTCTAATTTTATTTTTCAGAGTATGCGCATGTATTGATTCATGCAAAGGTGAATATATTTATCCAGTACCATTCACTACCGAACAATGTGAGCCTGATCGGCCTCTACCTCCAAAATTACTTGGGAGTCGACTAAAAAATTCTTTGACGCTAAAATGGACAGCTGCAAATGATAATGGATCCAAAATTTTAAATTATATTCTTGAATATGATGAGGTTTGTTATATATTCATATTTCTATTTCGCTGTGTAGCCGTGAAAATTTTCACTATCATTTAAAAACTATCTGAAATATAACTTGATATGAGACAGCTAAATATCTCGCATCTACTTTTTGAACCACGATCTAAAGGCAGTGATGAAATATATGTTAGAAATTAGCATCTACTTGATGGCCTCTATTGTACAGATCGTGACAGATGCTATTGGTAGACGATGATTATAGATCCTCTATTGATCAGCTTCTTCCATTATCGTTGATGACGTTGATTCACTAACACGATGGTGGACTAATCTATTTTAAAATAGCATGATTATGAAGTTCGATGAGTCGAAACTATTTCCTATATAAAATTTTCTTCCTAGTGAATACTCTGGTGTAATTAATTAGTTTTTGTACTTATTTCATGATCATAGTCTATCATAGGTCTAAAATCGTTATGGATCATAGAAAATTTGTTATAGCTCTAGGCTAACATTGATAAGAGTTTCCTATCTGGGACACCGGAAAGAGATGTGAATTCCCATTTATCAATAAACGCATGAATATTAATGTTGTTTTATTTTAGGGTAAAGGCCGAGAATTCGTTGAAATATATCGTGGTGTGAAAAAACAATATCTATTAAATAAGCTTACTCCGGCAACATTTTATGGTTTCCGTTTGGCTGCTGAGAACAGTATAGGACGAAGGTACGAAAACTTAATAAAATCCTTCTTATTTTCATTTTGTGTTTCGTTTTCTAGTGAATTTAGTGACACAATTCAATTTAGTACATTAGGTACAATTCCACCTGAACCTGATCCACCAATGTTATGCGAAAAAGGCGTTAAATATCTAGCGTTGTCATGGACAAAACGACCCATTGATGAAACATTTACATTGCAAATGAATGATGAATCGAATTACTTTCGAAATAAATATACAGGCTCATCATCTACTTATACAGTTACTGATTTATATCGAAATACTGAATATAAATTTCGAGTAAAATTAAACTTTTCTTTTTCAATAGTTTCTCTTACTATGAAAAATTTTCTTTTTCTTTTCCAGTTATCCGCACATAATCAAGAAGGTCAAAGTAATTATTCACCAATAGCAACATATAGAACATTACCTGATAGACCTGATCCACCAGCTAAACCAAGAATAAAAGGACAGATACAAGCAACACAATGTCGTGTTGTTTGGGGTAAAGAAAATATTGATTTGTATTCTAATTTTGTTCTTTGCAATAAAATAATTTTTCAGATCCACCAAGAGATAATGGAGGTGCAGAAATTCAACAATATCATCTTGAATTAGAAGAATCAAAAGGTGAGTAAAAAATTTTAAAAACCAAATAAATAATAGTGTTCTGAATGAATTTTACTATTTGTTTCTGTGTTAGCTGAAGATGGTAGGTAGAAATATATTAAATTGTTATTTGTTTCGTCATGCTTAGATATTCAAAAAAATTCATGATTAACTATATCTGATATATATCATTTTTTTTCTACTAGGTTTTCATGTTATTTATAATGGTTTGGATACAGAATATTTACTTGAACAACTTATACCCGGACATTCATATTCTCTTCGTTTATCATGTTCAAGTATTGGTGGCCATAGTGACCCATCTGACATAACACAAATACGCACGACAGCTGTTGCACCAGCTTCTTGTCATCCACCGAAAATTTCTGGAAAACCAAAAGCAAATTCATTACATTTACGTTGGGGTAAGAGATTTTATTCAGTTTCTTTTTTTTTAAATAATCGTAGTGTCAGTAAAATTTCTGGACAGTTAAAATACGAAGAATCATGTAACTGATGCTGATAGCCATTGTGGATTCTATACCATGAAAGTATCAACTAGACATACGTCATTGTGATCGCCTTCTTGAGTTTTAATCCTTTTGACTTAAGCTTTAGTTATTTAAAGGATACTATTAAGAAATTTCAATCTATGCACTATGTCAATTTTTCCTTCCGAACGTTTTATTTAACCTTGGGGTGGGAGGTTACCACTAAACTGCATAAAATACTGCGTTTGACTTTTGTGAAACCATCAATTGGTTGTAAACAATTCTAGCAAATTCGAATCATTTGTTTTCTTCTATCTGGACAATAATCTGTGACAATTTTGAAGCATAGGATTTTTCTTGAAAGAATTTAAACATGATCCTTCAACCTTATTTTAATAATTATTCATAATTTAGCATATCCGGATTATGACGGTGGTTCATCCATAATTGATTTCGAAGTTCAAGTAACCAATCCTGATAGTTCATCACGGATTGTTTATCGTGGGCGGGATCTTGATTGTACTGTTGCTGGTTTATTACCAGGTCGACCATATATATTTCAAGTTCGAGCATTTAATCGTGCAGGAGTATGTTTTCTTCAAAATTAAAAGAATATTCTTATTTTTGTTTTCTGTATTATTTTCAAGGGCGGTCCGTGGTCAGAATATCTTGATGTTCTCTCTGGTCCAGGTGTACCTGAAGCACCACGGAACTTTGTTGTTGAATGTCAAAGTTGTACTAGTGCATTAATACGTTGGGAAGAAGGTGTTAACAATGGTGCAGCTATCACTGAATATCGTCTTGAATGGTCACGAAAAGAAAATGATTCATTTATGCAACTTTATTGTGGAACAAATTGCACATATGAAGCGAAAGGTCTTATACCGGTTACACATTATTTTTTCCGAGTACAGGTAAAGAAACACAAGCAAATATTTTTAATTTGAAACAAAAATTTGATCTTTTTTCTAGGCAGTTAATACAGCTGGTCCTGGTTCATATAGTATGCTAGCATCATGTGTCACACCAGCAGCTCCTCCGTCGATTGTCACTAGTGTTAAAGTACATGCAAAATCTACATCAATGGCAGTCACATGGAAACAACCATCAAATAATGGATCACCTATTACGGGTTATTATATTGATATTGGTGAAAAAGAACTTATTTTTGTGAATCCAGAATTAATTGAATACAATATTGATGAAGTATTACCTGATACAATTTACAAGTTAGTTTTTAGCTGTTCTTTTTTTTTCATATGATATTTTATAATTAAAACGTTCTTTTTTTTTTGTTTTCTGTAGAATTCGTATACGAGCTGTAAATACCATAGGACCTGGCCCATTCTCTTCAACAGTTAAATGTCAAACGAAAAGTTTACCACCTGATCCTCCAAGACTTGAATGTATTGCTGTAACATGTAATTCAATTAAATTGAAATGGAATAATGGCACAGTCAATCATGCTTTATCATCAGCATCATCATCATCAGAATCAACAACAGCAAATCCTCGTTCTGTATCATATATCATTGAAATGGAAGGAAAAGATGGAAAGTAAGACAAACGAAAATTATTCTATATAAAAGATTAATGTCGTTTTTTGCTTTTTCTTCATTAGTTATAATTGTATTTATACCGGTACTACGTATTCACATAAAATAAATAAATTACAAGAAAACACTCAATATAATTTTCGTATATGTGCAAAAAATGATTCAGGTGCTGGGCCATGGTCAGACATTTATACATTTACAACAACTAAAGCGCCACCAAATGCATTAAAAGGTTTGTAATATTTATGATTTGTTTTTTGTTTCACTGTTGAAATACAATCAAGAAGAATCCTTAACATATAGGGATACAGAGTTCCAATTCCCTCATAGGTGAGGATTTTTCAAGGACTTAAAAAAGATTGATCTAAAGCCTTGAATAATTACTTACGAATGACATTTCTCAAACTAGTTCTCAAATAAACTAAATTCATCATAGAAGAATACAAGTTCAATTTTCTAGTTAATATTCGTTTTTACTTTGAGCAGATTAAATAAAGGAAAAAATGGTTTGCAGAAATAGATTTCATGAAGTAATCTTCGTGTTTCATATTTTAGCTCCTAATATCAATGAAATAACTTCAACATCATGTGTATTTAATTGGCAAGCTCATAAATCGCTTGGCAACGATCCAATAAGTTATATTCTTCAATTACAAATCTATCGAAAAGAAAACGAATATACAGAAATTTATCATGGCGATTTAACATCATATCGTGCGACAAACTTAGAAGCTGGTGTTGACTATCGTGTGCGTATTTGTGCTATACGATCGACGAGTGATGGCTTAACATTGAATAGCCCATTTAGTCCTGCAACACACTTCGTTTTACCTCGACCGGAAGATTTGGCGGCATCGATATCAGGATCGAAAGCATCAAATAATCATTTGCTGTCTCACGATCATCATTCAGACCAAAAGATTTCATTCATAAATCGTTATCGTTTATTATTAAGTCGAAAATTAAAATCTATAGAATTATTTGAAAGTCGAACATTAACTGATCAACAATGGGCTATTGTTATATTTGTTGGTTTTACATTATTAGCAATATTTATTGCCATACTTGCTAATTTTATGTATTCAAAATATAATAATGGTTCGTCAATACCAGTTGATAATACCTTTTCTTCTTCTTCTTCTTCGTTTTCTCCCGGCATAAAAAAGTAACAGTGAAATAATTTCAAAACAAAAAAAAAATGTTTTCGTTTTTTTATATCTATTCTTCTTTTCACCCCTATCTATTCGAATGTCTACGTATTGGGCTCGGTTTCTTTTCATTTTGTTTTTGTTTATCCGTTGTTGTTTGCACTGTTAAATGTTGTTGATTAGCGATCGGCTATTGATTATGAGAAAAAAATCCATAAAACCGTTTTTTATTTATCTGTTTCATTTTTGCTGACATACAAATATAATCTACATATAATACGTATAAACAAGTTTATTCTTCTTGTTCTTTACTCTGTTTGTTTTCTGAATATTTCATGTAAGTTTGCGAGCAGCTGTTACAGCAGCTATTTTATTTTTTCTGTTGTTTCTCTTTTTTTTTTCTTTCTTTTTGTTTTTTGCTTGTTCTGATTCTCTGTTCAATTACTCTATCTTTCTCTCTCTTTCTCTTCTTTGAATGTTGTTAAGTGTGTAAAGCAAGTGAAAGAGAGTGACAGACACAGAATATATTGATATTGATAGAAAAAAAAAGAATACATTGTAAGTATATTGATTCGCCCACGTAATACATATATGTGAAAGAGATGTTCGCCGGATTTTGGGTCTGCAATAAAGTAAGACAGCTCATACGTTCTCCTTTTCCAATAGTATATAAATTCTCTTTTATTTATCTCATTTTATCTGGTTATTGTATGTAAATGTGTGTATTTTTTGTGCGTAACGATAAAATCCTTAATATACGCGCATTTCCGATCGTATGTAGTTTTTATTCGTATTTTTTAATTCAAGAGAAAAACGAAAAAATGATTCGTGTGTATATGTTGTTGATAAAAAGAAAACCATTAATCGAAGTCTAGAAAAGAGAAATACTAAACATCGATATGCCATGAAGTAGGGTCAGCTGTTTCATAGATCTGTTCCGATTGATCATCATTACAAAATGGCATTCGATCTATTAGAATCGGTGGCGGCAGTGGCGGTGGTAATAATGGCCGATTGAAATTTTGACGTTTCTGTTCATCCATCATTGTAACATAACATTCGATAATATCAACGGGTGGATCAAGTGTAGTTCGAGTTACACCTGAATTTACATCATATACAGTCAATGGAATCTATAGAGAGAAAGAAGAAGGCATAAGTTTAAGTGAAATTTTTATAGCAAAAAACAGAAGAACCTTTTCTGCTGCTGTTAAATTATGAATCCACATGCTTGGTTTACTTTGTAGCCAAGTTTGAACTCGTCGCATTCGTCCTAAAGTTATACGTTCTATAAGAAATTAATTGTAGATATCAATTGAAAAACAACTCTGATTTTTATACTTTGATCTACTTGAAAAGCATGATGACAACATAAATATGAAGAAAATAATATTAAACTTAATAAAACAAGTAAAGTGAAATAGATAGCAATTTGCATGAGAAGATGACTACCTAATGAAAAACAAAATAATCATAGCTATCAAATTTCAATATAAAAAGAAATAATAATAAAAGAGATGTACTTCGTTTTTCAAGGCGAAGGCGAGCATATTCAGTTCCATATTGATTTGTAACATGACATTCATATTCACCGAAATCGTTTTTTTGTACATTATGTATAATTAAACCCATTTCATAGCGTGGAATTGTTTTAATATCTCGTACTGGTACTACAGTATATTTCATAGTATTTATGAGTGTTACGTTTTTAAATATCCAAAATGAATTCTAAATCGAAATATTCAATATAGAGAATAAAGTATATATAATTGCTGTTTAATAACGAACAGTTAGTTCAATATGCTTTTCTAATTGACATTTGAGCATCACTTCTGAACCACGAGAAGCAAGAACTGGCTGTGGAGGATAAAAACGAGGTGGCCCTAGAGAATAAAACAGCAGAAAAGTAAAAAAAAATGGCAAGAACAATATCGATGTGTATTTATTATACCGGGCGCGACAACTTTGGTCGATGCAACAATTTTAGTAAATTGTCCTCCAACGGTTGCTATACATGCATAAACAGCATAGTCATTTTCATGTACTTCAGGAATTTGATATTGACTTCCACCACCAACAAACTCTCCATTTTTTGTCCAAAGAATATTTGCTGGTGGATTTGAATCAACATCACATGAAAGCATTAACAGGTCACCCACACGAGCAAGTGTATACGGCGAAGGAAAAGATTTAAATGTAGGAGAATCTATTTGGAAAAACAAAAGACAAAACTTTTCACATAAAAAATAAATGCAAGAACAACAGCAACATACAATTGATATTAAGCACCATCACATCTTCTGCTATTCCGGCACTGTTCAATGCTGAACATGAAAGATGTTGATTATGCATTTGACGTGTAACAGTTAGATGTAACGGATATCTACCGTCGGGTATAGGTGATATTCTTTGAAGTATGGTATCATTTGTTTTCCATCTGTAAAATGAAGCGAAAGAATTCCAAGTTTTTTTTATGTTGTACTTTACATCACTCTTGTTTCAAAGAAAAAATAATCTAGCGATGAATTCAATAACTCATTATCGTCACTGTGAAATACGTGTAGTACACTGGTAGTTTGATTCAAGAAAATTTTGCTGAACAGCCAGTAAATCATCTCCTAAGACATATACCGGTATGGTATCGGGTGACTTATGTGAGATGAATCGATGTTATTGATCTGTTCAGAGTCATTACATGGTTGTTGATAGTAAAATTTAAGTGCACTAATCTATCGATACATATCGAACAACAAAAGCACTGAGTCATGAATTTCAAATCTGATTTACCTCAGCATACTTACACAAGTTCCGTGATTGGTGGTCGAGATTCGGCTGTACATTCGAACCAATAATCTTTATCTTCATACATTTTTGTTGGCTTTAAAACTATTTTAACAACAGGTTGATCTAAACAAAAATAAATTGCAATTGATTGGACAACTATCGGAAGAAAATAAAATTTACAATCAATAGCAATTATTGCTGTTGATGTCAACGATTTATTCAATGCAACATGTGCAGCTTCACATGTTATTTCTTGTCCATGTTGGCTAATATCAGCAACTAGTGTTATAATTGAAATTGATGCCAGTAATTTACTATTTGTTGTCATAGGTTCATTGAGTTGTGAAATATTTACAATATGTGTATTCGTTGGTATTTGCCACGTAAATGTTGCTGATGGTCTTGCATTAAGTACTTCACATTTTAATTTAAATTCTTTTCCACTAATAGCAATACCAGGTGGTACGTAAGTAAGAGAGATTTGATTCGGTGGAATAAGAACAGTTAAATTAGCGAAATTCGAAAGAACCTCACGAGCTTCAATTGTTCGGCCTATTTGACATTGATAGATGCCATCATCATCAAGATTAACATCTCGAATTTTTAAACTATTAATACCTAAGAATAGAATAATTAAAAATATTTCTGTTCATTAAAAATAAAGCTTTGTTTTTTTTTGAAAAATACCAGCTTGTTTATCACCGATGACTTCATATCGAGGAATGAAATATAATGGTCGTTCTCGACCCATCGTACAATGACCATCTTTACACCTATATTTTTAGATATATACGAAATTTTCTTTTTTTTTTTCTTTTTGTTTTAATCTGTTCTTACCAAGCAATTTCACCATACTGATTAAATACAGTACAATCAAGAACGACGGTTTTACCAAGTGGAACTTCAACAGATTTTGGTTGTACAAGAATAGTCTGTAGATATTCTCCACATCCTTTTGTAAAATTAGATTAAAATAGAGACGAAGAAAACAAAAACAAGCAAAGATCTTTAACCTCGATGAATTCTTTGATTTAAAAGAAAAATTAATAAGAATATTCTTGACCAGCACATGTGTTTCTCTGTTGTTGATGATATGAAGTTAACATTGTTTCATTCTTTTCTTTCGAATGAAACTCATGCATCACTTACTTGTACGTACATGAAAGAAAAATCTTGATTGACAACAACACATGTCTGAAATATGACGCAATTCTTTGACTACAACCACTGATATACATCGATAATTGTACAAAATGCTGGAGTATATTAAATAGTAATTATTATGCTTTATACCAGACAGTATAAATGTACGAGAGTTATTTTACAAAAGAAAACAAACGCACATTCTACACTGGAATAAGTAGTTCTTCAACAAAGGAAATTAATCTTGGTTCATGCCTTGATATACATAGAACATTACTCCAACGTTTTATTTCGAAACTCGATGACCAACAACCAGTTAAACGGAATATACCGGTTTGACCTATTCTATAGCAGAGATAACCTTTGTGACCAAGATCGTTTATCACGTGATAGAGTGTTGTTGTTCGCCACATATGAATACCATGATATTCAAAGAGGAAGAGTCTAACTTGATGTCGATTAAGAATATTTTCTGCACCTTGAATAACCAATGGATCGAAACCTTCGGTCTCAATTTTTTGATAAGTATTTCTTTCGTCTACAAATTTATCTAAAGAAGTAACTACTATTAGTGTAATATTTAGTGTTACTCAAATTAGATGTTGTTGGTAATGCACATTGTTCGAATTCTGCAGGACATTTTCGTAGAGCACGAATTTCACTCTGATTGCTTAATGCTACTTTATGTATGTGTAGAAATGACGAATTCATCCATCGTTTCATTTTAGTTAATACTTGATATGTACTTGGTTGTGGTTCAAAGGCATGTATTTCAATAGCTGTATGAACACGTTCATCTCTTTTGAAATTTATGAATCCTGCTTCTATACATTCATTGCATATACCACAGTCTTTCAATTTTAATTTTTGTCGTAAAAATTCTCCTAAAATGATTCCATTGATGCCAAGGTGTGGCATCCAAAGTGATAACCCTTTTGCGATTGTATATCCTTTATTGGCACCAACATCGAAAAATAACATTTTTCTATGAGCAAACATATTAAGATCAGCTAAATAGAATTTAGCTAAATAAGCATCTGAATAGCAAGCCGACCAAAATATTGATTCTTTTCGTAGTTGATTGTATTTTTCACCTTGAAGATCAGCTTCAGTTTGAGTACAGAATTTTGTATATGGTAGATAATGATGATGATGATGATTAATAGGATACTGTCTTCGAATGTTACCACGAAACGTATGACACAATCTAGTAAAAGGTCTAACCATTGAAACTTGAGTGCTGTGGAAATATGCAATTGACAACAGCCAAAATACGGCTAGTATTACAATCATCCGTACGCGAGAGCATCCAATCATAATTCACGCAATCTATGGATATTGAAATAATGAATATAGACAAGAAGCATTCTAATGAGAATATTGTTTGGTTATTTTTTCTTGAAAGAAATACTATAATTACCCGTGCTGTGCTTTCAATACGATTTTGAAATAAACGTAAATAATTGAAACAATCACAGGCGTGAATCTATCAAGGGTTTTCCTCCGTTCTACTTCAATTATGATGCTGTTTGTATATTAATTTGCCGCATTCACCTGAATTATCCAGGTACAAGCACATATATTACTAACAAACGAAAAGAGAAGAAAAGTATACAGGTACGAAAAACGATAGAGAGCGTTCGGTAGCACTATAAAAGGTGAATACGAAATATTAACTTCTTGTATTTATTTATCATTAAAATTTTGAAATATTCATTTAATCTACTATGGCAAATGAATCCCTGCAAGATGCTCCCCAGAGACACTTACTCCCTAACTGTATTTAACAAAAATGTTAATCAGCACGAGATTAAGATATAAATTTATTTATTTGAGGGTATAGGTGTATCGGTGTGAGTGTGTCAGTGCAAGTATGGGCAAATGGTTATCCTCTTCATTCATCCACATCGACGCATCTACACCCAAGCCCACACACCCACATTTTTGTACGAATCATAGAAAAATGTGGAATCTCTGTTCTGAGAGCCAATATTGCTGAGGGGCAAGTGTTCGGAAAGCAAGTGTCACTGGGGAGCATCTTGTCGGTTGCCATAGCAAATATTTAATTCTGAGTGATTCTTCTTTTGCTTTCATCATCTAAATAAATAACTTTATCTTCAATCGATGACAATAGTATTAACATAAACGAAATGTACTTCTTAAAGCATTTTAATGGTATAGATAATCCTTAGAGTTGAGACAGATTATCATTCTAATGATCGATTTATCGTCTTATCATATACAACAAGTAAGCAAAAGTAAATAGCAAATACGTATCCGTTATTTGCATGAACACAGAAAGGATAAGATTTTTTTCTATCAAGAAGCACGCCTATTATCAGCTAAATAGTAGACTCGATCATATGGTTCTTGTTGAACTTTTGATTCGATCTAAGAATATTTGTATGTATCTGACAGGAAGCTTTTATCATTAACAATAGAATAATATGTCAAAAAAAAAAGAAACATTTACGATGATGACATATCCAGATGTTCTTATACTTTTCTAATTGAATATACACTAAAATTCTAGTTTATAATCTAATAAATGTTCTTTACTATTGTTAATCATTTTACCAGTTAAAAAATCTGTATGTTCACGGCATCGACATTCATAAGCATCAAGAGAATATTCTTTTATATGAATAAAACCTTGACTATTCAAAATATTTTCTTTGCTATGAATGAATTCTTTATGAATATCTGTTAATGTTAATGTTTTGGGTTGAAACTGTGTTTCTTGTTTGAGTGTATCAAGAGAAACTAAATATGAATGTTCGTGTACTCGATGAATTTTCGTATTCCAATGATTTCCTTCTGTTGTTGATCGCATTTGTGGGCTTTCGTTTATTTTCATTGATAACTTCAAACGAAAATCATAGAATATTAAAAAGGCGCATAATCATTTTAGAATGTCAACTAGTAAAATTAGACATAGAATTATTTTTGCTGATAGAGATAGTATTACACCAAAAGAAAATGATTTACATATAAAACAATTATGGATTGATATATACAATGAGAATATAAACGAAGGTGCCGTTAAATCTAATGGAATGATTTCATGGGATTGCGCATGTTTGGGTACACAAGCGATTGGACCTTGCTCGAGTCAATTTCGTGCTGCATTTTCTTGTCATCAAACTAGTAACAAAGAGCCCAAAGGTAAACACATTCAAAAACAACTATTAACATAATCTCTTTGGTTTTGTTTGGTATTCTTCAGGTTCTGAATGTATGATAGAATTTATGAAAATGCAAAACTGTTTTCAACGATATCCCAAATTATACAACAATAGTAATCATTCAAATAAAATTCCCTGATAAAGAAATTAGTAATGAAGCGCATCCGGCAGCACGTCACCAACGAATGAATGAACGAAGCGAAAGAACGATTAGATAATATCATTCCAATTCGATATTTGCTGTATCAATTTGAAATCAAATACCTAAACGAAAAACTATTGACGTTGATAGCCATTGACGAATATCGTGTTGGTACACTGTTTAAAAATAAAGTATAAAATTACAACGTTTATATATTTTTTTCTTTTCGTCATTATTTATTTGCAAATATTTTCTTTTTATGATGACATAAAGGTGAGTGACGATTTTCATTTGCGTCATAGGAACTTTTCTATGAGACTTTTTTCATGTTTGAAGATGGAAGCATGAAATTGTAGTATTTTCCAAATCTTTTATATATATATTGTTTTAAGCTGAAATAAAAACAAAAGGAAACTGCATAAAATGATCTTTCACTACATAAACATAAATAAATGAAGAAAATCAATTGAATTTTAGTCTTGTTATGATTAATTATTAAAAGCCTCCACCACCTTGTTTCATTTTAAAAAGACTTGAAAGTATACCCTTAGCATTGACAAGATCAGATGGTTCAATAGTACCATTACCATTCGCATCTAATTGCTTAAATATATATTTCGATAAGATTTTAGCTGCCATTCCATTAATACCGAACTGTTCTAATAATGATTGTAAATCTTCTTTTGTGACACGACCATCACCATTTTTATCCAGCATACTAAAAGCTTGTATTGGATTGCTAAGTGCCTTCGATAACCCGTTCATATCAAAATTTGATGGTAAAGCATTAGCAGCTTCGTTTGCTGAAGACATGATGCTGTCGGTTGTTAAAGTATTTCTTGCTGTTTCAAAACGTTTGTGCGTATGTTGTGAGTAAGTCGATCTATTGACAAATGTTTTTGCTTTTATATACTCTCTGCTTCGCACACATTTTTTTATCGTGAATCTTATCCAGGATTTTTTTCTTTCTTTATATATTTGCTTTCAGAACAGAAAAAACAAAAGAATAGAAAATAAAGAATCAATACCAGTAATAAATTACTGTGAAAATTTATGCAAAGGAAAGTTTCTCCATATAATTAATAGCAAGATGAAACCACTGATGTAAAAAAGAGGGCCTGCAGAATGCCTAACCAGCAGAATTCAGAATTTTGTTATTTCGTACATAACGAAAAAGTAGCATAATATAAACATGCACACTACCATAAGTGGAAAATAGAATTCTATCGGTAGTAGCAGAATTATAACCAACTATCAGTAATTTATAAAAATACGAAACAAAGATAACTAGAATGAATTCTTATCGAGAAGTTAAAAAGACCAGCAGAATATAAAATAGAATTCTATCGGTAGTAGCAGAATACAAAGCTCAAATGCTTATTTAAAAATGAAAGGTTTTGTGTGATTTATCGTAGTTAACTGTTGAGGAATATGCTTGTAAAAAGATGTTGATATAATGATGGTTGTTTGTTCATCTCTAGATTTCTTTTTTTGATCATGCATATCTAGAGAAGAAATTGATACACATCGAAGATAGTTGATCATGATTACATCATGAAACGAGAGAAAAGAAGAAACATTTACATTGGCATGTATATTAAACATGGAACAATATCATGCATTATTGACAATGAAATATTTTGTACACGCTAAAGTCAAGATTGTAGAATTAAACAGGCTATTTTATGAACAAGTTGTTTCGTATTTTTGTAATTTCATTCATTTCTTTTTAATAAGATTGCATATAGCTTATCTTACAAAAACACTTAAACAGTTATACAAACAGTTTTTTATATTATCAATAACTTGGAAAGTTGCCTTTGAATTGACGCACAATGTTCTGCCAGTCTGTTTTTGAAGCAGGAAGATCCGCGCGCAGAAAATTGGTGTGCATAAATTTCACGTTTACCAGAGACATCAGTAAGTTTGAAATAAATTAGAAATGTCGATGTTTTCAATTAAACTAGACGTTTTAGATTCCCTTCATTTCGTATAAAATCTATCCTCTATCCATAAAATTTACGAAAACAACTTTAATCCTAGGAATTTGTGCCAAGCGAACAACATATCCAACGCATTTGTTTACGCAAAACATATTCCATTACCCTAACATTCTTTAGAATTCTAAGCAGAATTCAAACAAGCTACAATAGAATTCTAACCAGAATTCAAACAAGTTACAGTAGAATTCTAATATCATATGAAGAGCCAATTGATATACTATAATCTTAGGAATATAGAATTCTAACCAGAACTCAAGCAAGCTACAATATAATTCTAAGCAGAATTCAAACAAGCTGCAATATAATTCTAACCAGAATTCAAACAAGTGACAGTAGAATTCTAATGTCATCCCAGGACGAACATTACAGTGGCCGTAAACAGCCGTAACCTACCGTGACGTAAACGGTGAAACCCAACTACCGAAAACGTTAAAAGCAGTGCCGTGACACGGTCGTATTTTGAACGAAACGACCGTTTACGACAACGAGAACCGCCGCATTTTAACATACACAGCCGTTTACGACCACCAAGGCTACCGTACATCAAAGTAAACGGCCGTTTTCCATTCGTTATTCTCGATGGTTTCACCTGCAAATCAAACAGATTTTATTCAGATTTCAAAAAGATTTCATTTGGATTTGAAATGGATTTCATTCAGATTTCATTCAGATTTCAAAAAGATCTCAAAACGATTCCACTTGGATTTGAGAAAGATTACATTTCTGGGTCAAAAAGACACTACCTTTCGACTTGAAAATCAAGTGGTTTCTGAGAGAGTGGGAATTCGCTGGAACATAAATAGGGATTTAAGGAAAAACCGGAAAACAAACTGAATCGTGGACATGATACTTGACTTGAATCGGGAAAGTGGTCAAACAAGAATCGACGACAAGAACTCGAAGTTAAATCTGGCTTCGGCTTTTAAATCTATCCCTCAACTGAAGAACTAAAAGCGAAGGAAAATCAGCCTATATATAGAAGTTCTCGAGCGAAACAAAAAGGTGAATGATTGCGCGACATGAAATCAAAGATAAATCCGATTTCAGATTTCGCATTTCAAATCTATCCCTGAATTGAATAACTAAAAACGAAAATATATCTTGAGGGCGTGATTGTGGGTGTGGGAGCCCGAATGTGGATTAACGGAAAATAGCGGTTTTACCCAGATCCACACCCTCAAGATTTTCAATGGCGCTAAAAAGTTATCAAAATGAGTAGAAATCATGAGAATTCAGTAGAAATAATTAGAAATGATCAAAAATCATCCGGATTTTGTGGTAACCGATAGAAAGTTTAAGAAATCAAAGAAATCATGTGAAATCGGGCTAATTTACTTGAAACCTTTCAGATCGTTTGAAATGATTTCGAATGATTTTTAGCTATTTGAAATTATCCCTTTTGTTTTCTGACGATTTCCATGATTTCCAATGATATCCATGATTTCTACTGATTTCGATGATTTCGCCTATTGAAATCAGTTTGTTTCCCCTTGTTATCGCATATTCTGAATGTCGTTTACAGTCACCGTATTTCCACGATAGTTGTAAAAGTCGAACGTTTACGTTCACTGTTTTACGATTAACGTAATACCTCGTAAAACTTTGTATAGGACCGTCGTCTACAGTCGCCGTATTTTCACGGTAGTCGTAAAAGGCGAACGTTTACGATCATTGATTACGATTAACGTAATACGCCGTAAAACGTCGTATGTGACTGCCGTAAACGGCCACTGTAAACGAATGCTGTTTTCCAACGTAAATGATTGGTGTACGGCCGTTTACGGCCGGCAGGAACGACCTGGGATATGAAGAGCCAAATTGATATACTTTAATCTTAGCAATATAGAATTCTGTAGAATTCTATTCCATAAGCATTGATTTGTTGAAAAATATTATAAGTTTACAGAATTCTGAATTCTGCTGGGTAGGCATTCTGCAACTGCTGGTAAAAAAATACTGAGGGCATATTATTTATGTTATAAGTCACAGGTTGACTAAGACAAAACGATAAGTATAAAGTTTAAAATTTTGCCAAAACACAAATACTTCGTTATGATCAATTAAGTGGGGCCGAAAACGATGATTTCCTCAGATGTCATTCTTTTTTTCAATGTTCTTTTTATGAATAACATTAAACTAACTGTATTTTGAAAATGGTGAGAGTTATGGGTTGAAACCAATTTTTATCTAGTTTAATTAATGTGAATAATTTTAGAACTTGAAGATTTCATATCGGAAGCTATAGGCTTTTGAAGGTACTCATTTATCTTTAGGAAATCATAATCGAATCAATCTCATACAGTAATTAACCCAAATACAAGTTCCACAGATCAAACAGAAAATTCTTGCAGTCGTGTATTCTCGCTCTGATATTCAAGATGATACGTGAAGTATTTAACTGCTAGAATGATTTTTTAGCTCATGAGTCGTTCAACACATACCCTCATTATTTTTTTTGAGTTCCTTTAAACTAATATCAGATCTCTGTCGCAACCGGATAAGTATGGCATGAACTGCAGCATATCACACCATAGAAAATCATGGAAACAGAATATTGATCTTATGATCGAAAAACAAAGAGAAGTAGGCTATTCCCTTTTAAATTATGACACATATTTTCACATGCTCGTGACATCCTCTATTTTCTGCCATCAGTTTTTATTGTTTTATTTTCAAACTTTTATCATCTCACTTTTCATATAGTTGTAATCTGTTACCTGCGTATCATCACATGAAGATAACTTCTGTCGAATCATCTACATCGTGTCACTCATTTTCTTATCTATTTATCAAGTTCGGAGAGAAAAGGTTATATTTTCGCTGTTTCATTTACTTTAACAGATAGATTCAAAATTTTCTACGACAACAACTTATGATGAAATTCATCATTTTTACTGTCGTCTGCTTCCAATTATTTCTCGGCAAAAGTTTCGGCTTTGATGCTGACAGCTATGCTCGTTTTATTGACGAGCTGAGTGTAGATGAAAAATTTCTTGAAGAGTATGCTAAATGGTCACTTGAACTTTTTTCTCAACCTGACTATCTATACGGGAAACCACGCGGCAATTTTCCATGTGAAATTACAAAAGATACTAATGTTCCAACATCAGTTCATGCTCTTCGGCCAAGTGATATTAAATGTGTTGGTGCAATAGGTGATAGTTTAACAGCTGGCTTAGGTGCTCATGCAGCCACCCCGATTGGTTTAACAGTGGAAAATCGAGGTAAATATTTTCCCTTCTGATTGTGATTACTTGATCGTAGATGTTTTTATTTTTGTCAATAGGTTTATCTTGGTCGGTAGGTGGAGATCATACATATTCCAAAGTACTTTCCGTACCTAATGCTTTACGACAATATAATCCTGATTTGAAAGGTTTTTCTACAAAATTCTCAGTAATCTTTCTTAATGGTCAAAATGCTACAAACAATGGACTCAATGTTGGTGAGTATCAATTGATTACGTTGACTTGTTTTTTTTTGTAGATGAGTGAATACATTTGTTTTTCTGTGTTTAGCTAAATCAGGTGATCGTTCCAATCATATGCCCGATCAGGCTGGCATTCTCATGAGTCGAATAAAAGATGAAAAGTTATGCGATTGGAATAATGATTGGAAAATTATTACATTTTTTGTTGGTGTAAGTTACCAATTTTGTTTCGTAATTACATTTAAAGAACTATTGTTTTCTTTTTTTTTGTAGGGTAATGATTTGTGTAGCTTTTGTGAAGATAAAAATGTAAGTAAACATACACCAGAACAATATGTAAGTTACGTACGTGATACACTCGATAAATTATACAATGCAGCAATACCTCGTACTCTGGTCAATCTTGTGCTTGTACTTGATGTTCGCAGTGTACAATCTCTTAACAGTGGTGGTTTTGTTTGTGAAACTCTTCATAAACGAACATGTCCATGTGCTGCTTTTCCCACACCAGAAGAAGCTAAAACATTAGATGATTATGTACCACAATATCATCAACTTCTTCTAGATTTAGCTGCTTCAACTCGTTACGATGGTCGTGAGGATTTTACTGTTGTTGTTCAACCATTTATGGCAAAAACTAAAATACCAGTAAAAGATGATAATAAAATTGATTTCAGTTATTTTGCACCAGACTGTTTTCATTTTAGCGGTAAGCTTTATGATTTCTGCAGCTATACTTTATCATGATTGGTTTCTTTTTTTAAGGCAAAGGTCATGCACAAGCCGCATTATCACTTTGGAACAATATGTTTGAACCTGTTGGTGGTAAACAATGGTTTTGGCATATTAATGAAGAATTAAAATGTCCCACAAAAGAATATCCATTTATATTTACAAAGAAAAATTCAGCGAAAGCATTAGAAGAATATCAACGTGCAACACATGCTCCATCCATGAGCACCAGTACTTCGAAACCAGCAAAACACACCACTAAACATCATAAACATCATAAATCACATTCCGATTCATCATTTAGCAAGATGCAACTAGTTGTTTTAGCTAGTTTATTTCTTCTGATTCTGATACTTTTCGCATTGGTCATTACTAAACGACAACAAATTCGTGGTTTTGCTCATGGAGCAGGACGTCGTCATTTAAATGGTTTTACAAATCCACAATATCCAGATGATAATGATAATGATGAAGTCGAAATTTGGAGTCGGTCAAATGTAAAATCAGGTTTTACGAATAAGAACGATATTCCAAAAACGCATGGCTCACGTATTTCTTTTGCATAAATATTTCATATGATTCTATCTCGGTTTTGACTCTAAATTTTAATATGAACGACTTTTATTTTTTTTATCAATAAACCTTTTTTTTACTTCGATCAAACTATAACCAATAAAAATTATTAGGATAAGCCGAGTAGTAAACAACGTTCTTTTCATATATCCCATTCATTTCACGGAAATCTTGAACAGTATCATATCGGCTTTGAATAGCCGTTATGCGTCAAACGACAAGCAAGTCAACTAAAATTAATTGTCCAACACAGGTATAGCAATATAAAATGTACTTTCTTAATTATAAAACTGAAACGTAAGTCTCTACGAAGACAATAGACAGATGAGAAGAAAACTATACATCCTTCTTTATGAATTGTTTTATAGAATAAGCTGCTGATAGGTATGGGATTTTTTTTTCTAATTGAGAACGATATCCGATTTTTGTGGACACGCTGCATTACCACAGACTCGTAGTAGTCAACAAAAAATTCTTTTTTGTGTTCGTTGCATTTCGTTTTTTTTCTTACACCTGTAGTAGATATGCATTACAAAAATGCGAGTAAAGACTGCTATGGTGAATGTTTGTGTGATCTAACTTGTAGCAGAACCTAAAAGCTACGTCAAGTACTCGAATCCTATCAGAAGACTAACGTTGATCGTATGTTACTGTAACTTTAGTTATCTTAATCGTTACATTTTTATGATCCTAAAATGCTACCTCAATCGAGCCCAACTGCCAACACGTTTTCAAAAAAAATATATTTTTGTGCCGGCCAAATATAAGTGTGTCACATAGAAGGATTTTTTTCTTGAATTATAACTATTTATTTTTCTTTCATCAATAATGAATCATGAAATTACTTTCCGAACAATATTTATTTGAAAAAGAGATATTTATGAATATTTGTAGTTTCTTCTCAAACTCGGTTTGTTTTCTATTCGATTATTGAGACACTTCCCATTGTGAATAGTTCTTGTAAATTAAAACGAAAAGACAAAGATTCTAATGTAGATATGACTTCCGACTCACCCTTTTAATCGCGAATTGCATGTTTCTTTTTTATGCCAAGCGAAGTTATTGCTTAACTAATCATTTTTGTATAAACATATCCAATAAATGGATAATAAGGTAAAGGAAATAAAATTTTCAGATGTATAGCTCAAAATTTAATTCGATCGATTCTTTTCTCACATCACAATATGGAGTAAATGAATTCGAAATTTTGTTTTTTCCATATATGTCAAACTTGAAACTTGAACTCAATTGAAAATTGAAATTTTCAATTTTGAACTTTTAAACCAATAGCATTCTGAAGACTCGTGACTCACACATATATCGCTATGAGTTGAGGGTGTGGGTCTTCTTATCATTTTCGCACATTCACACCCACTTCCATTTAAAACTTTAACATGATTACCAACAGAAACATATTTTCTTAATTCATTTGCTTTAACTGCAATTTCATCTTTTGAAGCTTCATGTTTCGCTAAGATTCGACTTGAACCTTCATCAATTCCAAAAATAGTACCTTGTAAACTAATTAATTCTTCTTCACATACTTCAACTTGATCAGTTGGTGCAAATGATAATACACAACGTTCTTTTCACATGTTTGATTCATTTCATTCTTCAAATATTCAAATAGATTAATCTTAATCACAATGTGAGGAAGTTCATCATGTTATCAAAGCAATTTTCCGTATATCACGAGAATACCATTTTAATGAATTTTTTATTGAAGAAAAAGCATCTACGAAATCGAAACCTATGTAAATGTGATTTTCTTATTTAACATGAAAAAATATCAAATGTTCTCTCATCAATAAATTTTCATTTTTTATAACTTTGTTGTCAGCATTGAGCGCTGTATATATTAAAAAGGGAACATTTTCTTGAAAAGCCACCTTTACATCCACATCCTCAGTAATGATTTTTCTTTTGGTGATTCTGTGTTTATATGTGTATGGGCGCCATAGCACCTCACATATTGTTTTATCTATCTTTGGTGAGAAAGAAAAAAGACGACGAAACAAAAAACCAATTGTTGTTTTATCCTTTGCGTTGAGGCAAAAAGTAATAGTAGCAGTACTCCGTATTTCGTAAGTGATGTCATTCGCGTTCTCATAGAAAGATAATAAATAGCCATATTGTGTTAACATAGTTTGTTGGAAACTATGATGGAACAACTAGTAGCATGTACCACTGTTATTACCTCTTCGACTTTAAACGAAGACGTTCAACGTATGGAGAAAAAAATTGATCGTAACTTTGTAAATCTTGAATCACATCAACTAGTGTGGCTAGCTTCACAACATGGACATAATTCAGTTTCAGTCGAAACATTAAGACAGATTATTGATTACACAAAATTATTCGAAGACGCTGACGCTTGTGAAGAATATATGAAAACCTCAAGTGAGATAACCACGTTTCTAATGATTTCCGACGGAATGAATCATGAAATATTATCTCGTATACACAATATTAAGCAGGTCTTCAGAGTTTATATTCATGATACAAGCAGCGAAGAGAATAACAACGAATGCTTGGCAAAGTATCCAAAAGTAAGTATTTGAATTCGTCTTTATGGCGTTTGGGTGTGAGTGTGGTTTAAGAAGCGAGTAGCACCAACATTCACATCTATGTCCTAATATGGCAATTTATAAATAACTTGAATCATTGTATTGACTTCTATTATGTGTAGGTAAAGCTTGCATCAAAAGATGTTCAGTTGTTATTAGTGACGTTAACGGAAGACGTTAAAACATTTTTAAAACAAAACAAAAGCATTTTAATTAGCAACAACAATTTGAATTCGTTACCAGAACAGCAGGTGACACATGGTGATAGTTTGTCTTGGTGGTCAGTATTTCTAGATTTTTTACTATACTATCTACCGTATCCAAAGAAAGACTGTTTAAAAAAACTCGTGACCGCAATGAAAAAGTATTATACGGGTAACTCTGCTGAACTACGTAATGTTGAAGAATTCGAAAATAATTATAGAATGGAAGATGCTATCAAGTGGTACACACGTGAAATGTTTGTATACCGTCTGGTAAACAAAGGTTTTCGTCAACGTAATATAACTCTTCTCATTCTCTTCGGATTCTATATACAAGATATTTTTTCGCAATTGAACGATGAGCATCAAAAGTTCAAGTCTACACACTTGTCGTCCGATTTAATAAAAGTCTATCGAGGACAGTCAATGTGGAATGAAGAAATTCAAGATATCAAATATGGATACAATAAAATTGTTAACTGGTGCTTCTTTTCAACGACACGTGATCGGCCTCTAGCATTTGTCTATCTGAACGACTTTGTAAAATCGGAAGATCCCATTCAAAATGTTCTATTTGAAATCGAAATTGACTATCGAACAATGTCCTATCCTTACGCAGATATCGCACATCTAAGCTATTTTCCAGTTGAATCGGAAATTCTATTTATGACTGGAACCGCATTTCATCTAATAGATACTGTGTACAGTGAAGCTGAACATTTATGGTTAATTAAATTGAAGCTAGAAGAAGATAGACGAAAGACAAAAGAAAATAATAGTCTTTCAAGCACCAACAGTGATACTAGTAAACGATCTCATCTCAAAACAGCTGTTCGTACTCTTCTTCAACGACTCGATTCAATACCAACCGGCGATATGAATATCATATTTGATGAAATAGTTGCACTATTTCCTACCGAACAGAATTGGCTTACGGCTGTTAGATTTCATTGTCTAGCCAATCATGAGCAGTATAGGTATGGCAGTATTTTAAGCACATTTAAATCAAGAGCCACCAACTATTACAAAGCACTGGAAATCTGGCGAACTTATGTAAATGACATTGAGTTGAACTGTCATTTGGATATTGCAGATATACATTTTGAAATGGCTGAATGTCATGCACATATTTTGGTCGAAGAGTATAAACTAGCTGAAATTCACTACGACTTAGCTCTGGAAAATTACATATTGGCACAACAAAGTATATCAATTGAAAACAATGATAAAACCTGTATCTATGAGAAGTTGGATGATATTTATCAGATGAAGATGAAAATTGCTAACGTGAACAGCAACAGTGACATTTTTGAAATGGCTTTGAAGAATAGAAAAGATTATGTTACACATTTGATAGAATCTAATCAGCCAAACGATGTTACACTTGCTAGTTCTTATAAAAATCTGGCAGAAATGTACAAGTCCGTAGAAAAATACGACGAAGCGCTGATTAACTACGAAAAGGCATTGGGAATTTACAGAAGCCAAACACCCTCCGATTATTACACTATTTTATGTCTAGCTAAAGAAATTGCTGACATTTATACAAGATACAAAAGGGATAACAGCTCAGCTTGGCAATACCAGGAAATTGTTCGTGACATCGAATCAAAAGAAACATCGAAACTCGGACATTTTATGACGGCAGCAAAACTGCACAAAACAACTACGGTTTAGATGCGAATTATTAATTTAAAAACTACTCTTTGAATTCTGAGAGACTCTTCACATGCCTGTGATAATTAAGACATATAAATCGATTTACCCGTAATTGGCATCTTCAGTCTGACTTTGATGAGTATACAACATATTTACTATAAGAGAAATGAACTAAACAGTCGAGCTACTTGCCTACGGAGATACAAGTGAATAAAAACAAATACAATCACATGAGTATATCTCAACAAAAGCAACAGACCCGCTAAGAAAGAGTATACAATCAGAAGAGCAACTGAACTAGCATCTTACAATAACCGGTCGCGTGTTTGATCACCTAGTTGGTTGCAGCCCCTATTAGTATACCGTACTGGTTGCATATCGAGGAGACAAACATTGACTTGTAGAGAATATTGTATTTATTTTGAAAACATTTTATTGAAAATAAATGATTCTCTGATCATCCCCAAGTAGCCAGCGTAAGATCTCAATGGCTACAGTTACAATATATACTCGAGCTTCTTTGAAAGAAATGAAAATGCAAAAAATAATCAAACACAGAATAGCTGGAGGAAGTGCCATAATCATGATCGAATAGAATAGCATTTTTCGAATGCACTTGACGGTCGATCCGGCATTTCTTGTTGATGTTAACTTTTGTAACCACAGCAACAATCTGAATAAGAGAAAAACAAGATATGTATCGCTAAGGATTATTCGAACAACCTAATGGTCATTCGCATTATGAAAATATTTTTACATGTGCCGAGTATAATCTGAATTAACTGCAGTGAACGTACAAATCATGTTTCAAACATTTTTATTTTATAGGGACTCTGCTACGATCGTTGTCAAGTTAGAGAAGTTTGCGCTGTCGTTTGCCTATGATGTCGTCCTTGAGGCCACGACTATTTTTTGCGGCAAGCGATACTTTGACTGCCTGATATGCTGCAGTTATTCACCTGCGAATATTAAATTTATACGTTCAAGCTCAATCAGACCTTCTTCTAAACATTTCTCAATAGAATAGTTGAGCAATTCGGGTTTTCTGATATTCCTGGAGCACGGAAAGCACTGTGAACCTTGTACCATGCTAATCGATGAGCTTTATTATTGGGAGAAGAAAATAGCACAATGGTTGCATAATAAGAAATTGAATTCAATCACAAATACTTCTTTATCTGAGCTCAGTAAACGGATGTGCATGTATGTGGTAGTTTACTATATAGAGTGGCAAGTTTGGTTCAACCAATTATTGGGCCTGTCTCAAGCCGAAAGCCAAGCTCAATAAGACGCACAATCAAGATTAGCAACAACTTACGCACATTTTCGAAACCAACGTGAAATTAATTTGCATTTTCTATCTTTTGGTAGCAGTGGTGTGTCTACATCGGGTATTAGATACGTAGGTACTTCTAATTGTTGATTTTCCGAATGCGGTTGAGATGAAACTGTTCTGTGTGCATCAAATTGATCTATATGCAAGCTTTGTGACTGTGTCAAAGATAGAATGTTTGACTGTAGAGAGTTCGAATTGCCATTTCTAAAATAATCGAACGATATCCTAGAAAATATATTGTAAAACAGCTTTAATAGAAAATATGTTTTCCGAATAAATTCTACTCTATAATCATCACAAGACGCAATAAGATGAGCAATGCTGTGCGATATATTTGAAAACCAACGTCTCACTTTCTCATGTAATAAATAATTTTAAAAACTAACTTTGAAAATGAAGTTGATGGATGAGGTTCTGGTTCTGGTACGTGAAAACATTCGATATCACTTACAATTAGATCCAATAGGCTCCTTCTGTAATTATAAATTGTTTCGAATTGATCAATAAGTGCTGTATTAGCTCGTTTCCAATCATCATGATTGAGTGCACCTGAAAAATGAATTCCGCGTGCAAGATTTCTTGAAATTGGTCTGAACTCGATGTCATTGATGAGTTCTTGGCGCAATCTATCTCTCTGTGCATCATCTTTGGATTCGCATCGAGTAATAATTATGCACAAGTTTCGTTTCACTTGTTGTTCACTGAAATGATTTACAAAGCGTTGAAATGATTGCAGAGCTATTGTATTAATGCCAGTGTCAAACGATATGCAAAAGCAAACGATATGAAAATCTTGAATACCAAGACGACTACATTCTAGATTAATTTCAGCCAGATTACGATCTTCACTAATCATTTGCTCAGGTAATTCGACAATATTCAATACAACATTCATTGATGCTAAATGAATGTTTCGGTCGCATGTTGCAACTGTTTGTACGATCGTCTGCAATGAATGTTCTTCGGCTACATACTGTGGATCAGTTAAAACATGTCTCAATGTTGTTTTGCCACTCTTCGAGAGTCCCACTAATAAAATATTTCGGCTAATAGAATGTTGCTGATCATGATTTTGTTGCTTTACTCCCTCAAATTCAGCTAATATTTGCTTAATATCAGCTTGAATCTCAGCGCGGCTCGTTTGAATATCAACAGCTGGCCGTGAAATTGTAGACATCTAGAATAGAGAAAAATGTTTGCATGAATAGTGAGAAATTAATTCTTTTTATTCTCTTTTTCTCATTCTATAAATTGATAAATTATAAAATCAAACATTTTTCGAGTTCTCGATGACGTTCTTGAGAACAATTGTGCTGTTCATGCGAAGGCAAGCTGATAGCTGTAAGTCGATCAATGATTTCTGCAATATCTCCTATTTTATTGAGCCGAGCTACTCGCAATTCCTCAATGATTTCTGCTTGTTTTTTTTGTTCGACTTCGCATTTTTTGAATCTCGTCGTCTTTGATTGATTTTACTTTTTCATGTGCTCGTCGAACTTCACTAATCAACAATTCACGAAGTGGAAATGGCTCAATAGAACTAGTGAACAGTTCAATTAATTTTGTTCGATAATCGATAATCGATAATCGTTGAGTATTGATCGTATAGACTCTCATTAGCTTTATTATAATCATCTGGATTGAGTGAGCCAGAGAAATAAATTCCCAACTTGAAGAATGGAGCGATTTCCTTGAAATAAGTATCTTCTGATAATTCTTTACGCATTTTCTCGCGTTGTTGATCATCTTTCGATTCACATCTTGTAATGATAAGACAGGAATTTTTTGAGATTTCATCACCAAGAAATTTAACTAGTAATTTAAGAGAATCAATGTCTTCCCTATTGAGACCAGCTGTAACCGCTGCGCAAAAGCAAACCACGTGAAATTTAGTTATTTCACGATTTACACATACTTCGATTGTATTCAATATTGCATCGTTGTCCCGAATACTCATTTCATCATCACCATGCTCAAATAGACCAGGTGTATCTATGATGTTAAGAACGATTCTATTGTCACTGACGTGAAATGTTTCGAATAGCGGGTCTCTTGAATCTGACTTGAGAGTCAAATCAGTTGGTACGACCGTCGGATCAACAAGTAATGACTTGATAGTTGATTTTCCTGTGCGTGTTCGCCCGATCAGCATTATATTCCTTGGTTCAGCTCGAGTCACATGAAACTTACCATCTGTTGTATAATCAGCCTTGATCTCATTCATAAGTGTTTCTCGATGAGCTGCCACTACACTGGCGCTGCGTCGCTCTCGGATCGACCTTTTCGTCTCCTATACGATAGACCATAATCACGTAGATTCAAAGTAATATCAGTGTCTAATGGTGGGAATTAAAAATTGTTAAGAACTTTCAGAAACTGAATTTGAATTGTGAACATAATACTAAGTAATAGAGTATTGATATATTTTAGAATTTTACGCGTCAGTAGAATTCGAAAGAGCTAACAGTGCTCTAGATCATAGAATAACTAGTCCTCAAAAAATTGCTCAAATGAAACTAATTTGTTATTATTTCTGTAAATTTTTGGCTGGTACAACGGAGTCGGAATATAATAATCACACAGTGAGATCTAGATTATGAGTATTTGAGCTTTCAAGATTCTAATGGATTTCTCAAATAGTTTGCATTGTGGTGGTGATTGCAACTTTAGAAAAAAAAGTCAAATCGATTGCGAAATAAAATTTAAGTATCCTCTTGCGCTGTATAATATTTTATTCATATTAAGGATTCATAATTTATTGAAAACCAGCGATGAAATCTTATTTCGATGAAAAATTTACCAGGCGTTACACTTTAGACAAAGTCATAACAAAATTACCAATAACTAATTGTATTATTTTATTTTTCCTGTACAAGGTAGAAAGTCGACGTAATAGCTAATGTTCGAGCGAATCACTTTTTTTATCATGGTCGAACGACAACTAATCGAACAGAAAAGGAAAAGAGAAAAACAAAATGATATAGTTGATTTCATTTGATTGCTGCTATTTTACTTGTCTTCGTATAATATGTTATGTATGATGAAGTATCTCATGTAGATATGTAGAATCGCTCATTTTTAATAATCACTAACCGTGAATTTAAATAACATAAAAGAAAAGACAAGAAGCAAATAAATTTCTGTTGAATCAGATTAATTAAGGAGTGGTATTTCATTATTGCATCGATACTTTTATGTGTTTTTCAAAATTTTGACAATTTACGTACGTAGCCCTAAATAAATCATTGGTTTGTCATAGCCTCAATACATTTAAAAATGGTTACAAATGTTTCTTTGCTGGAAAACCCACGTAACTTCGTATTAGAATCTGCCATAAATGAAATATGACGATTTCTGACATTCAGATTTCTTATAGTGAACGTTACTGATTTTTTATAATAAAATCATACATGCAGCACATTTTTACGTTTTTTATATAGTTACGCATGAGAAGAGATGAAAGAGAAAACAACTTATGGGGGGTTCTTGACGTATGGACATAGTTATAGATATTCAGGTAAGAACATCACTGGGAGTATTAGTGAAGGCATGGCAATAGTAAGATAAAGAGAACGTGGTAATAGCAAAAAAAAACAAGTAAACAAGATAATGAAAAAGTAACATATATGAAACACAAATAGCTCGAAGACTTATTTAATATTTTATTGTGAACGTCGACTAATTTTTTGTAACGGCTATATTTTATATAAGCTCATAGATATAGGTATTTATTAAAGGATACAGTTATCTTCTTATACTTTATCATGTTTCACGTTCTAATGAATAATTTTAGTATTAGAAGAAGCTACTTTTTAAGAAAATTCTTGAATGTGCTTTGTTTACTACTCATTTTTATTTTTATTTCGATTTTAATATTGTTCATTCAAAGAACTTTTAAAAACATGTAGCTACTAGTGACACAGTATAGTTTTAAAATCTCTATGGATCAACATTTGAAAATGAAAATAAAACCTGAAGAAATAAATATAATATAAGAGTCCTTACGATTTGCCAAACAATGCGCCTAAGACTTATTTCTACTATTAAAAGAATTAAAACAGTAGAAAAAAATTTCGAGATTTTCATTTTCGTTATTAATTGATAGTACATCGAATTTATAGCGTATACATTACAGTTTTAGGAAGACATTTCTGTAGTAATAATGCCTGTAAAAAAAACTAATTGAAGATAGGCTGTTGAAATCTGAGGATGAAGGCGTTTTCATTTAATTTTATTTAGTTGTGAAAAACCGTGTAAAGTATAAGGTATAGTAATGTAAAATTTCTTGAATTAGATCAATTTAATTAATAAATATTTTAAAAAAAATGGTTTGAAATCAAAATCAAATCTATTCAGTATGTAACGAATGCTGCAGAAAGAAATTTTGACCAAACTGCTTCCATTATTATTTTCAGTCAGTTCATTTTTTGCATTTATCTATGTAAGTTATGTGTATTTGTCTTTAATTTATTGTTTTCGTTTAGCATAGTAAACGATATGAACATTCATGTACAACATCATCTGAAGAAGATACCGTCGGCTTTCGAAACGTCATGATCGTGTTTATTTTTATTTATTTTAATAAAATTGAAAATTAAAAAATCAAAATAATTTTAGTAAGAGTACATAAACATCCATTGAAATATCAATAAGCATATTCTTTCTAATGAACCAAAAACAATTTACTCTTGGACGATTTTCGGAATAGTTGCTCATCGACTTGGTCAAAATATTTCTTCTGTATTCATAAATGTATATTCAATAAAAAAATTCTTTGCAACAAATGAAACACGATGAGAATAGAAAAAATTCATTAGCTCGTTGAAAAATGCAATAATAAAGAAAAAGAAACTATCAATTATGCGCTAATGAACGGAAGAAGAATTGTTATAGTAGTAAATGCTTATTCAAAATTTCAATTAAATTATTTCTCTTATCTCGAAATACTTTATCATTTCTCAGTTAAAATTAAGATACTCATATTTATACTCTTGTTCTCGCCTTTTCTCACATCGTTGCTGATACCATTGTGTCTTTTTTTTATATTCGTCTCAGCTATTGATCCTAATGGTGCTACTGATTGCTGTTTCCTTCTGTTTACTGTGAAAGTTATTTAGTAATAATAAATTGGATGGTGGTGAATCTATAACTATAATAGGTGTGCACGGATTCAAAAAAAGACGAGAATTTGATCAAATTGACCTAAAAATTGACACCAAATAGATTCTGTTTACCCGGTGTGGGTGATTAGAAAAATAAGAGTCTGAAAAGAATTCCAAGAGATTTAAAATTACTTGAAATTCAGACAAGCTTCTTTTCTTTTCTTTTCTTTTCAAAAATTCTTATCAGATTATTAAGAAAAAATGCCACATGATGCCATTGTACATGTATACTGATAACAAAGAACAAGAATGCATCATTTTTACGTTAAAAATAAAATAAAAATACTTTCGTTTGTTTTATGTATTTTATTAATTGGTTAAATAACGATAATATTTTTAGGAACGTTCTTAAAAGAAGTTTTGTTTTTCATGAATAAATATTTTTGCTGATTGAAAAGTTATTGCAGTTATTAAGGTGGACGATAATTTTTCTTATTGCTTGTCGATTTGATTCAAGATTCATCATCTGTATCTGAACTAGTATCCATATCTTCGTTGAAACATGGGTAGCGGCAATCACGATCCTCTTCGCTATAGACAATATCTGCTTTATTGTATTCGAAGCGTTCCACTTTTTCAAATACATATTGTCGTGCATCGTCAGTAAAATGGCACGAGCGTAAAGAATCTGTGCACTCATGTATATATTTATTATCAGATTTCATTTTACCATAACGGTGTGGGTCTTCGTTATTCGTGGAATCACTGAAGCGTCGTTTTTTAATCAAACGATAACCACCTGCCTCGCTTGCTTTTACTATGCCGTAAGTAAGTCCATGCCAATATATGCGGTGCTCTTCAGCTGTTTTTTCTTCGTTACCGAGTCGACATACAAGTGTCAACAGTATTTGATCACCTTCTTCTTGTACTTTTCTAGCAGATATAAAAAAGTCTTTGACCATATCCGCTGTCCTCTCCCTTTCAGATCTGTATGGAAAGTTGAAATATATTCGATGAAATCGTCGACCCTTATAGTGCGTATTGAGTTTTGTTGCGTCGATTCCGAATTGAAGAGTTAAGTTGCTTATTGATTTCAATTCTTTTAGGCAGTTTTTGACACGTTGACGGTATTCAAGTGCTTCCGTGTCGTATCCAGGTTCATCTTCGCCACTATCTTCAGGTTTCACATAAAATTTTTGATAGTCCTTTTTCAGCTCAGTAGCAACGATTTCCTCTTTTTTAAAAGGATGCTGTTCTAATAGCACCCTAGTAAAAGAAAAATTACCTTCACCAACCAATAACCTTGTTTTAATTTCAGGTGACTTCTTCGGACTATCAGCTAAATCACCATCCTTATTTACTGTAGTGGATGCAAGGCTATTGCTGGCTGCCATTATACGATATACCTAAACGATAAATATTTCGAAGAACACTCAAATGAGAATCACGTTTGAGAAATGCGTGTGGACACAGTAAAAGAAACGCAAAAACGACTTTTAATTGACAACATACAAGTAGAGGTGCAAGCCGATGAGTTTACGGCGTCGGCTGCTGTTTAAAAGCTTTTTTTCTTCCCGGCGGCGGCGTCTGGAATGTTCAAAAACTATGGGTGGCACTTCCGCTTTCCTTCTGTTTAGCAAAGGAAAGAAAGATTAAAATATTTCATATTTTTAGATATTTTGCGTTTATTTTCTCGTCGAGAAGAAAGAGAATACAACAGTTATTTTAACAGTTAACGCGATCTTACCGTCGCTAACCCTCTACTGGAAGGACAATACCATGCAAAAAGCAAAAAAGCAAAAACGTCTACGTGAAAGAGTTCAGGGATTTATAAACTCTTAAAAAATAGGTATTCTACCGAACTTTTAATGGATATTCCGTAGGGGACACGGGAAGATCCGTTTTAGGCTTCGTAGAATACCTATTCTTTTTAGAGTGTCGTATTGGTTGTAGTTGATAGTAAGATATGAACCATTAGAAAATTTTTTACCTAGTTTTGTAATATCGTACGCTTGTTCAATTTCAAATAAACCAGGTGACAAATCAGTTGCTAATAGATAACATGCAGCTATCTGTTTTATCTCCAGTTAATATGAGAGTTCATGGCTTTGTTATTCTTGTATTTAATTCATTACTTTCTCATACATTTGTTGATATTTGACGATAAAGATCAGATTTATTAATTGATATTTTGACCAACATTGCATTCGAAATGTTGATGGGCCTAAATAAATTATATGTTGATGATAAATATCTATTAAAAGTATCTATGATAAGAACGAGCTTTTCCGTTGTATTTTTTGTATTAATATGATTTGTTCGCGTCTTCTTGATTGCGGACGTTTTTTCTTAATTGTTGGAAAAAAATGTCCGCAAAGTAGAATCGGGGGGAGAGAGACAAAAATGTCCGCATTGTGGAATCAAACGAAAATTGATATTTTAAGATGATTCATGCAAATAGGTGTGCTGAATAATATCAACTGTTTCGAGCTAGTCTAGTGTTGTTCATCACATGTTATCCAGGCCATTTTATAAGCATGTATTGTGAAAGGAAAACATTTAAAGTGACGAAGTTAAACCTAGACGAATCATATAAAAATTTCCATCGTGAAAAATGATAGCTTTTCTCAAATTTCCACACAATCTGATAAAGATGGTTATGGTTTTTAAAAATTATCATTTTGGAATGAATCTTGATTATCAACCTAACACAGTTAGATGTTCAACTATTCTTCATAAATGATTTTTCTGTATTTTTTTTCACCTAATAAATATTGTCTTGATTCCATAATGCTGACATTTTTTCTCTCCTTTCCCCCGATTCTGCTTTGCGGACATTTTCCACTCTGCGACTATTTTTGTTTCTCTCCCCCTGTTTCTAGTTTGCGGACTTTTTCTCTTAATTGGAGGAATAAAATGTCCGCAATCAAGCTGTAGCCGATTTGTTTTACAAGTAAATTGTATTATACTTGTCATTGTTGTTTTCTAATGATCCCCATAACTTTAAACCAGCTAATTTTTTAATGCATTGCTGAATGCTAAACCAAGTGGTGTCGATAGAATACCACCTACGCTATTAAAAATCCAGTCAACAACTACTTTTGAAAAACCTTTTTAAAGAAAAAGTATAACTTGTTTATCGTATTGATGTTTCAATTGATGATGATATGCTAAGCAATGCGGCTGGCTTGTAAATGTGATTTGATGAGATTGTAACAATAGTATAATTAGAATTAGAAGGAATGTTAGTTTCGATTTGTTTTGTCGCTTATATGAGATTAATATGCATCAGAAGAAAGTTTGTTTTTCTCTCAGTTCTCTTGTTACGTAAATACATAGAAAAAAAAACATAAGTATCACAAAAGATGATGGAAAAGATATTTGTAAACTTAACGAGGAAAAGCAAAAAGCAGGTGAGAAAGCAAACAATTAGAACAAAAAATAAACTAGTGAATGAAATACATTTAAAAAAAATCAATTCAATAATAGATTTTCAGCAGATACAAACGCAGAGTTACCATCTAAGCATAGAGCGCTATCATAATGTGAAATATTAGGATTGTAACATATATGTAGTTGATGTGCAAAATCAAGTCTGAGTCAGGTATCAATATAGGCATTTTATCTAACTGTCATGTACAATTATGACTTTATTTTAAACTATTGCTGTCGCTGATATTGTCAGATCCAGATGATCGGCATATGCTGACTTTCGACTAATTTTCTATTGTTGATATCGTTAATCGACAAAAAATTCAAAATCGTTTTTATTTTCTATGAGATAACTATGGCTAAAAAATTGTCACACACAGATCCAATGAATTTGAGAATCTTTTATTTTGCTTTACAAAATTCATGCAAAGAATGGTTTTTACTAATAGGGAAAAACACAATCATTTAAAACTTTATTCATGTGTTAAATTATTACTTTCTCACATTCTGTATTTTATGACACGCAAGTATTAGATGCCTATCATACTTTATTTTTATGTTATTTTTGCATGATCGTTAACTTGCGACAGCTATTCTTACTCATTATTCTGATTGGTTACAAATATCGTCATTGCTTTTAAAAGTTAAAAATCTACTAATACTCTCGTATGCTTTTTTCTCGATCTTTTCCACTCATCTATTTTACATCATCATTCTCGTAGTTCTGTTTGTCATACTTCTTTATTTGCTGTCATCATATCTATGTTTACTTTTTCTCCTGATATTTACTGTGTGTCAATTGTTTAATAACGACTAGTATTATTAATAACAATCTATTCACTCTTATTCATATTTGTTTTTGTTTGCTTATTGTTATTTGTTTATTTTTTAGTTCAGGTATTTACAAATATTTAAATGTCTGATACATCATCAAGAGAAAAAGTTTATGGTGTCGATACATCAGAGCGTAGTACACGACTGTTACGTATTAAAGTGATACGAGCAATCGATCTGCAACGCCGAGATTTTCTCGGCGGATCAGGTGATCCATATGTCAAAGTATTACTTCAAACGCGTGAAAATCGTAATCAAACGATTGATATTGCTCGTACACGTACAATACCAAAAACGCTAAATCCAATGTGGAATCAAGATTTTATTTTTCGAGTATAAAAGATCATAAAAAAAGTAAACAGATCCTTTTTTATTTATTTTTTGGTAATGATTAGGTTGATCCAACTAAACATCGACTTGTTTTTGAAATCTATGATCAAAATAGACTTGTATGTAGAGAAAAAATTTCGAATTCAATATTTTTATTTTGTTTTGATTCATTTTTTGAAGACAAAAGATGAATTTCTTGGCATGTTTTTTGTTGAATTAAATTTAAATATTCCATACGAATCAGCTGAACAAGCAATGTTAACTCGAGAGTATCCATTATTAAAACGAAGGTAAAAAGAATGATTTTCTTCATGTCAAAAGCTTTTTATTCTGTTTCTTTTTAAATTTTAGCGTTTTACAACGTGTTCGTGGTAGTGTAACAATCGGATTTTGCTATCTTAATCCGAATTCATCATCACCGGCAACAACAAATCCAACTGAAAATGAAAACGCACCACCACAACAACAACAACAAACTGATGTATAGAACATCAATTTATTTTTCTTTACTGAAACGTCTTTGTTTTACTTTGACAGTCTGGATTTGTACTTGTCAATCATGAAAGTAGTACAACTGAATCAGTGGTTCCAACTCCTGAAGTACCATTACCACGAGGATGGGAAGGTCAGACATAGAACTTTTGTTTTTGTTTTCATTTATTAATATTTGGTTGTTTTTATAGCAAGAAAAGATGCTGCTGGTCGAACTTATTATGTTGATCATAATACTCGTACAACAACTTGGCATCATCCAAGTGGAGCAGTGTAAGTTTTTAATTTTTAGATGATTCGATTGTTTTTTTTTAATGAATTTGTTCTGTTTTATTATTAGTGCTGCTACACCTCAACGACCACAGCCACAAGTTGGTGATCGACGTCAAATCGATGATATGGAAGTTAATAATTCTCGAGCGAATGCAACTGCCACTTCATTATCAACCTCACGTACTGCAGTTGCTAGTGCTTCTACAGATGACCTAGGTCCACTGCCGCCTGGTTGGCAAATGTCAAAAACAGAAAATGACCGTTCATTTTTTATTGACCACATTAATAAACGAACAACTTGGGTAAAAGACAAGAAAAAAAATGATGAAAGAGTTTTTTGTGTGAGAATCATACTTTTTCTTTTGTTAAGGTTGATCCTCGAACTGGTAAGCCAAGCCCTGTACCATCAGCTCAAACTGCACTCAATCCAAATGGACCATTACCAGTAAAAAAAATAAAATTTAGTCAAAAGAAATTATGCTTTCAATTATGTTTAGGAACATTGGGAAATTCGAACATTAGGCGATGGTCGTGTGTACTATATTGATCATTGTAAGATCTAACGTTTTCTATTGAAATTTCTAAATTCTATTTATGTTGTAGTGAGTAAAACAACAACTTGGACAGATCCACGTGTTGCTGGCCCGGTACGTAAGATGAAAACAAAAGAAATTATATCTATGATTGATCACGAAATCAGATACTAAGTAGATTTTTCAATTAACTCATGCATCCCTCCGGTGACCGATAAGATTCATATCTGTATTGACTTTTAGGGGAAGAAATTCTGGGTGTCTTTAATTGGAACCCATCACAGGAAAACGAAATTTTATGAGTTTACAATAAACATATTTTTAGGCTGTACCATATTCACGTGATTACGAAGCGAAATATCGAGCTTTTCGCCGCAATTTACCTCGACCTCGACCTAATACCCCTCAACAAGTCGAAATACATATTCATCGTAAAGATGTTATGGAAACATCATTTCGTGTTATAATGGGTATGAAAGATTTAGAACTATTGAAATCAAGGTAGATTTTGCTTTTTTTAAAAAGACGAATACCAATTTACTTTTTTTTTTTGCAAAGGCTTTGGATCGTATTCGATGGTGAACGTGGTTTAGATTATGGTGGTTTAAGTCGTGAATGGTTTTTAATTCTTTCACGTGAAGTATTTAATCCTTACTACGGTTTATTTGAATATAGTGCGATGTAAATTGAAGCATTATTTTTGTTTTTTCCGGTCAACTATTATGTTAAATTTTCTTCTTTCTACTAGCGATAATTATACACTACAAGTCAATCCACTATCTGGTTTGTTTAATGAAGAACATATAAAATACTTTCGTTTTATCGGACGTATTATTGCTATGGCTATATATCATGGAAAATTACTCGAAGGTTATTCGCTTGTTTTATTAGCAAGTGAATAAATTTTTTACTATTTTTTTTTTGTACGTATTTTAGCATTTTTTATTCGCCCATTCTATAAAATGTTATTATCAAAGCCAATTACACTTGCTGATATGGAATCAGTCGATCGTGAATATTATCAATCATTGAAATATATTCTTGAAAATGATCCAACCGATCTCGATCTTTATTTTGTTGTTAGTGAAGAAGTGCTTGGTGATGTAAGTTATCTGCACTGATTTATTTCTTAAAAACATATCAATTATTCATTTAAGCTACGTGAACACGAACTGAAACCCGGAGGACAACATATACAAGTAACAGATGAAAATAAACAAGAATACATTGAGTAAGAAACAAAATAGAGGAAAATTTTCCTGAATCTATATTTATCATTGATTAGAATGGTTATTAACTATCGATTTGTACAACGGATAGCGACGCAAATGAATGCATTAAAACAAGGCTTTCAAGATATACTTTCACTTGAAAATATTAAAATGTTTGATGAAAAAGAAGTTGAAGTATGAGAAAAAAAATCATAACTTGTTTTCGTATAAAATCATTTTCATTTATTTATAGCTTTTAATAAGTGGCCTCGGAGAAGTTAATGTTAATGATTGGCGAATGAATACAATGTATAAAGGTGGTTATAAACCAGATGATCCTGTTATACAACATTTTTGGAAGGTAAATATGAGACATAATTATATAGCTCGCCGATCTTGCGTAGAAACTTTAGAAGGTTGAGAGGAGTACGATCGAACGAGACGTATTGATGGCCTTCACATTAAGAGCTGAGAGGCTATAAAATTTATTGTGATTTTAACTTTTTATCATACAATATATGTTACTAATAAGACGTTGGATCTTTGAGAATCCTCTTTAAGGCTAATATTAATTAATGCTTCAATGTATATATATATTTCAGGCTATTGGTTCACTCAAACCGGAAGAACGTACTCGACTCCTTCAATTTGTCACTGGTACATCTCGATTACCAATGAATGGCTTTCGTGAATTATGGGGTTCATCAGGCCCACAATTATTTACTATTGAAAGATGGGGAGATCGAACAAAATTACCACGTGCTCATACTTGGTTAGTTTCTTATTTCATTTCATAAATGAATAATATGAACATTAATTTGATTTCTTTTCTTTTCTTTTCTTTTAAAGTTTTAATCGTATCGATTTACCACCCTATGAGAGCTATCAAGATTTACGTCAAAAATTAATTCAAGCTATGGAAATGAGTGAAGCATTCGAGGGTGTTGATTAAAATATTGTTACTTTTTTTTCTATTGCTTCTCGTTTCTGTTCAATAGTTGCATGTCTTTCTTTTGGTTTTTCTCTTTTTTCTTGATTTATTTGCGTATTTATTCGATTAAATTCTTTGTACAAAACGAGACGAATATATCCGAAAGTTGTTCTGAAAATTTCGAATGTCTATGTACACAGTGAAAAACAAAACAGAAAGCATATATTCACCTGTACGTTACTAAGATTTTGTTATTTATTTTTTCTTTTCTTCTGTACACGATTGATGAATTCACGTTTACTCTCTACTATTGTGCATATCAATATAAACGGCCCGCCTCCCTCCTTATCTTTGACGCTACTATATTCGTTCTCTTTTAAATGTTATTCAACATTTCCTTTTGTTTCTAATTGCTCGGTGTGCTCTATCGAATTTGTTCCCTTTTTTTGTGCCTGCTGTTCTTATACGTACACTAAGACAATTAAGAGAACATGAACAACAAATGTAAACAAAAAACATAACAGAAAATATGAAAGACGTTTTTCTGTCTTTCAAAAAAAATACTATGTAAGTACTCATTTTCTCCTTTGTGGATCCTTCAAATAATGAATGGATGTTTTAATTTTCATGGAAAATTTAGAAGAAATTAATAATAAAACGTTTTATTCACTATCATTGGTTTTGTTATCTTATTCTAAATTTATGTTTATAATTTAATAATACTCCGTGAGTCTAATTAATATTCGAAAAATACTACGGTAGACAATCTGCTACTAGATATATTATCGAGCAAAACTCATTCAATTCACATCCTTCGAAACTAATTTTTTAGCGGAGTTCGGACAGCGCTTACTGTTATCGCAAATGGAATTTTATATTCAATCATCTATTGAGTACTTTTTATTGACGAGACATGATTTCCATTAGTGAATGAAACCATCAAATTCTCATAAGTTATGGAAATGATATGAGATCAACTATTCTCATATTCGATAATACCATATTTTGAAGGCCAAGTTATTTGTCTTATTGCTATTATTAATTACCATCGATCGATCGTATATTTCAGGAAGAATCGTTAAAATTTTGAATCTGGAATTCAATCAGACATTTATTAGTAGCTTACGAAAATTGTATTAGCATCTATCTGGTAGATTTAAAATAGTGATATGATTGGTAATGTGAGTCGATAGAAAATTTCATTACAATTTTGAGTTCCGTTCCAAACAATTATTTTTCTCGTGGTCTTATTCAGTTAGTCAACATACTTATTTTTTGCATAAAATTCATGAAAACATTCTTAAGATAATTCTGACACCATTTTCTTGAGAACTTGCATCCTAGAGAAAATGTCTATCGAAGAAGTCGAAGCTTATGTGTGCACAACAAAAAAACAACATCTATCCTGGAAGATGTTTTGACACCAACATGCATGAAAAGCAAATTAATTGAACAGTTTTTTATTTTTACTGTAACACATACTTGAAACACCATCTTGGCATTCACCTTTTACTCGACTATTTTATTGATATTACTTTCCATGAAATTATTTTTGATGATAATGAACAGGGTTGCCACCTGAAGAAGTCTAAATAGCGGAAAACTGATCTTAAAAAGCGGAAAATAGCGGAAAGAAAAACAGAAAAAGCGGAGGCTTATATTGTTGCAGATTTGTAATACTTCTGAGAATATTAGGCAATTTTTCATATTTATTGGATTTCTTTTTATTTCATCAAAGTTTCAAACATAAAAGAATGATGACTCACGGTATTTGTAAACAATAAGAATTGATTCAATAATATCAAATATTATTCTGTACGTATGTTTAATATGCAGCACGTTTGATACGAAAAAGCGGAAAAAAGTGAAAAAGCGAAAGAGGTGGCAACCCTGGTAATGAATCAACACGAACACATGTACATTAATATTACAATGCACTACGACAGAAGTGAACTACTAAGTACTTGATAGGAGAATTTTACATTTGCCTTATATGCATAAAATATATTATTATGAGATCTCGGTTCAAGTTCATAACCGACGGTCATATGGTCCATCATATTATCGAGTAAAATTCATGCTTTTATCCTCTTCTTTGATTTTCATTTATTCTACTTTAATCTCGATTCTCTTCGATTTGATGAATATTTTCTGTTAATAGTTAATCTATCAGAAAATTTCATAATTAATAGAATACACTTAAATTTATAGTAGATTCTATTTTTTTTAAAGATGTTCTTTTATTTAAACTTGAAATTATATAAATATATAGGCATATCATATACAATAGAATTAAGCAAAGAGAGATCAATGGTTCAATCTGTTATTTTCAAATGAATTTCGATGTTGTATCATTCTTTGCATCGACTGATTGTTGGCAGCAGGTCGTTGTGTTAGCGGTAAGAGTGATGATTTGTTCTGTCCACGTCTACGTAACTTTTGACGAATAAGTGTAATTATATTCTTAACAGCGTGACTCATCACACAATAACATAATGGATTAATAACTGAATTTGATAAAGAAATCAATTGTAAAATAGGATTAACATATAGTACGAGTGTCATTTTCCTATCGGAATTTGCCACATCATTTGCTAAGTCTATAGTTTCATCATCAATGCTTTCTATTTTGGTTCGATTTGTATATATATTGTCGGGCAAATAAGTATTTGATGTTATATCAATATAGATTGAAAGTATATTTGATGGTAATCGTGAGACAAAAAAGACAATTACTATTGAAAGATGAAAAGATAAATAATTGAATAGATAATGTGATTGTTTGGCAGAAAAAAAAGAAAAAGAAATTTTACCTAGAGTAATTAACAATTTTACAACACGTCTACGACTCTTCAAAAACCGACTTGCACGTTCAACATCTATAGTTGATCGACGGCTATTATTATTATTATTATTATTAATATTACTGTTGTTGCTATTATTTCCATTTATTCTTCCAATAACACTTCCAAGAATTCTATTGTGATTGGGCAAATATGTAAAACTTGAGCGTAATGTTCCACTTGTATGTAGACTTGAAAATTTTCCATGATGTGCTGATATTTGTCGTCCTTGTTGGCTTTGGTTTAAATTATTATTAGTATAAGTATTTTCTCCGAAATGTCTCCCAATAAGTGACGATGAACGACGACATGTTGTATGTCCTGTTATTGTTGTTGTCATCGTTGTTGCTGTTACAGACGATGACTTTTGTTTAATATCATTTATTGTTTTACTTCGACCGGGTCGACTATTGGATATTAGTTTTTTTCCAGATGAATTTATTAATGAACGATATTCATCTTGATTTTTTTGATCATTTTGTTGTTGCTGTTTTCGTTTAAAATCATTCTCATATGTTTTATGATAATGAATATAGTACGGTCGAGTTTTTGCAGATGTTGACCGTCGAATATCATTCATATCAACTTGAGGAGTATCTTCAGATATTGTTGAAAATCGTGCGATATTTGTAGTTGATGAGGATGATGACGACCATGACTTACGAAAATACGAATCAACAAACCATAGAGAAAAACTTATACGAATATAACAATATGTCATAAGTGTTAGCGGTATTATAAATAGTAGAAAAAGTAGAATAAAATCATACACTAATCGAGCATTCATATTTTGATGCCATTCTTCAGCACAGGCTGTTAACATTGTATCAAACGGATCAATGAGTCGATGATGTACGATTAGAGGAATCATTAGAAAAAATGCTACGAAAACAAAACATTCAAGACAATTAAAAATGGCAAACAACAAATTAATAACGTACAAGTAATCCATATTATTGCAATGATTGCAAAGATTCTTGTTGATGTACATAGTAATTTCGAATGAATAGGTTTATGTATAGCAATAAAACGATCAACACTGACTATTCATCGAAAAGAAAAATTTGTTAAAAAATGCAATCGAGAACTTTTATGATATATGACTATTCTTACCAGCCATTAATGTAAATATTGAAACGGCAACGGATGTTCCTAAACAAAGAAAGTGTGCTGTATATTTTGAAATATATCTTAAGTTTTACGTCAGTATATTTTACGATTGTAGAGGAAAATGACACTCATCAACCGAAATGTCCGTAGAGAATTGCTGTCATCTAAGATAAATGATAATGTTTTCTCATTTTCTCAAGTAAAACTATAGCTGAAGTTATTTTTAATCTTTGAATAATAATTAAAATGTACATATGAAATGAAAATGACAGACAGAGCAAAAAAAAAGCATCTGCGATATCGTCGGAAACCTAAGATAGAATAAACTTCTTGTCTTGTTGTTCTTCTAATCTTGTTCAAATCGAAAACCGTAATAAATCGAATTGTCTATCAATTTCTTATATGTCATCGTAATATGCAGTGCAAGATGTTGTTCGACTTCTAATGCACTAGTTCATCTTGTCTCAAAGGAATATGCGTCAATTAAATCTATTTTCGAATCAACACATTTCTCTCCCTCTATCTAAAAAAAATCACATATTAATATCAGATGCATCCATGTCTGTAGAAGAAGAAAAAATATATTTACCCTGTATAAATGGAACAAATCGACAAAAAAATTCTCCAAAAATCCAACGTTTATCATAATGGTGATAAGCATTTGGTGGTATGCAAATTAATGTTGCTAAAAGATCGGATATAGCAAGATTCAGTAAAAATCGATTCGTTAATGTACGCATTCGTCGAAATTTAATAATAACTATAATAACGAATATATTTCCGATAAGACCAACAAGAAATATAATAGCGTAAGCAAAGAAAAGTGTAAATGAAAATAGTACAGAGGTATTCGAATGAAAATATTTATCCCATAATGAATCGGATTCATTCGATGCATTCATATCCCCGTTGAAATCTTGTGACATAGTTCAATCTAGAAGAAAAACAAATTTTAAGTTTATGGTTGATCTACAGGATGAACTAAGTGATCATTCGACTCAATGATCAATGTCTATGAGAGCACAGGAAAAAATAAAGAATATTGGGCCATCAGAACTATTTATTACATTTTATCTGTTTCTTTTCACATGTAATAGGCAAACATTAGCTGCCACCACATTGATCTGAAATATAGAGCTTATGAAGAGAATCAAAGGATGTAAATAGATGTATCATAAGGTTCCTGCCGCTTGGCGTATTCTTCGTTCGTTTCCGTCTGAAGTTTACACTTCAGAACAAAAAAGAAACTGAGATAAGTAAAAAAAAGAAAATGATAGTTGATGCCTATGCATATAGATTATATCAATAAAAATAGTCATCACATGTTTTTTATTAATATTAAAAGCACACAATCAAATTTTTCGCAGAAAAAAAGAGATAAAATGAATAAGGGTATTTTTAGAAAACTAAAAAGTTTGTTAAAAAAAAAACACCAATTTGTAGAGAATGCAATAGTTTGTTTGTAAGAACTTACCTAATCTCATATACAATAATAAGAGAAAGGAGAGAGAAAAAATAGAAGAATAGAAAAGTTCTTCTTGTAGATTCTTTTATTGACGATGATAACGATAATGATGATTTCTTTGTGACATCGGTATTAGCCTCTTTTCTTCTTCGTCTTTGTTTCTCGCCTATTCGTATTCACAAAGAAACAAGAACATTAAAGTCATAGTGATTCTTCATTAATGCGATGCGAAGCAGAAAGAAGCATTTCTGTAGTGCGTTGCGAATTCTTTTTTTCTTTCTTCTTTTACTTGAAATCGCACGCATCGCAATCCGTCGTTTTCTGACTCGATGATCTCGAGAACGGAAAATCGTACATAATTGGTTAAAACATGAGACCGAAGTATCGAGGTCGAACTGAGAACATATGTTTTCCAGTGTTCAACCTGAAGTTCCGCTCGCTCAGAAATGTTGTTCCAAAATGACGAAAACGAAAGAAACTTATGAAGAGATAATTAAAACTAGATGGTATTGGAATTTCACTTGTATACGAAATGCGATGCGAAGCATTAATTCGTATCTCTTATGGAAAATCTTCAATTCAGAGAAATATTGAATACTTTTTACATAGCCGTAATGATATTCATCACTCTGAAAACTCTATTCTTACTTAGCGATACATTCCTAAATGATTATTTATCTCCATGATTCATTATCTTAGATCATCTGTAAATGAATAGAGTACAGTGGCTAACATATGCTGATGACGTCATTTTAATTATCTCGCAATAAATTTCTTTCATTTTCATCATTTTCGAACAAAATTTATGAGAAAGCGGAACTTCAGATTCAAGATCAAGGAGGAAGCGGTGGGCTTGACGTAGAAAAGTACGTCAAAGTACTTCAAACTAGACTACTTGAAGTAGCTCAAAGTACCACCCTAATAGCCCAAAGCAAAACCAAGTCGCTTAAAATATCCTCAAGTAACTTCCGGAAAATTTGAAGTTGAAAAGTACTTCAAAGTAAGCTACTTCAAATAGTTGAAAGTAACTTGAAATCCAAAAGTCCGCCGTGTCCTCCTTGTTCAAGATTCTAAAACAGGTGTGAGAAGTTCGATCTTGATACTTCGATCTCACGTTTCAACCACGTTTCTACGATTTTGGGTTCTCGAGATTATTGAATCACAAAACGACGAAAACAATGCGTACGGTCAAGGAAACTAGATGGTATTCAAGTTTCACTCGAATGCAAATGCAATGCGAAGCTCAAATCGGATCTTCACGAAAAATCTTCAATTCAGAGAAATCTTGAATACTTTTTATGTCGACATGATGAAATTCGTCACTGAGAAAACTCTATTCTTACTTAGCGATACATTCTGAAGGGTCGATTTCGATTAATCGATTAATCCATGATTCATTATCTTAGACCAGCTGTAAATGAATAGACTACAGTGGCTAACATATGTTCATGACGTCACTTTAATTAGCTTGCAACAAATTTCTTTCATTTTCGCCATTTTGGAACCATATTTGTGAGTGAACAGAATATCAGAATAAAGAATAGAAAAAATATGTCAGAAGTTCTATCTCGATACTTTCATCTCCGGTTTCAATGAGTTTTTTATGACTTTCTGTTCACAAAATCATATCAACACAAAATGACGATTCGCGATGCATACGCCGAGAAAGTAAAAGAAAAACAAATTGCGACGGACTACATAAATGCTACGCTAATGGCGTCATCAGTATATGTTAGCCACTATAGTCTGTTCATTTACACAGCTGATCTAAGATGATGAATCATGGAGATAACTAATCGATCAATGAAAATCGATCCTTTTGAATGTATCGCTAAGTAAAAATAGAGCTATGGCTACATAAAAAGTATTCAAGATTTCTCTGAAGTGAAGATTTTCCGTGAACATCCGAAGCTTTGCTTCGCATTGGATTTTGTATACTAATGCAGCTCGGATACCATCTAGTTCTATTTGCGATTCCAATCTATGTGAATGCGTAATAGGAAACTTTCACAGACATATAGTCGGTCGCACCAGCTTGCTTTTTCTCTTTTATATTATTGTGTCAAATCATGACATGTCTCTATTTCCGTCCATGTTCTTATATTGTTGTGTTTTCATTGAAATCCGAACGAAGAGAACGAGAAAGAAAAGCTACGTTCTATTGAAATGAAGGCGGTCGACTAGCTCGTACCTTGAGGACAGAGTTTTGATAAATCTTTATTTCGATCAAGAATGATTAACTATCTTGTATGATTCCAATTCCTTTGAACTAATGAAATAGATATGTTTAGAATATCATAGCCTAATTAAAATAATATTAAATGTTTTTTATGAATTTCATGATAACTTATAGATGAATGAAATGAATGTAGATCACTTTTGATTGAATTTATTAAAAATAAAACTTCTGTCGAATATACGATAAGAAGCTAAGTAGATTAAAAGAAATGGAAAAAGTTGTAAATTTAGAATCGCTTAGATACAATATCATCAAATTTTATACTAATCTTTACTATACCTGATGAAAGTCATTCTCTAGTTCAAAGGAGTATTTGAAATTTTATCTACTGTTCATTCACAATCTTGTGATCTACGTCGAAATGAATGTGGAAATCCACAACAAAACAGCAATCAACAACATGTATTATAAAACCTTATTTATTATTCTATGAATGCACTGTATTGATTAGATTTTTTAAAATTAACATGATCAACTTCGCCCTACAAAATAAGTATTCTTCAGGCGATATATTTCTTTTTGCTTTCTGTATACAATCTTTTAAATATTTTTATGTAACAAACAATCTCTAATGACAGTATCATTAATAATTTGATAGTTACTTCCTTTAAAACAACACTAAGACGATTATACACCGAGATAATATTTTTGTTACTTGTTTTAACTTCAATATGATGTAAAAAGTTAATAGGCATATTTCATAAATGGCATTGTTTATTTGAATTTGACTCTAGGCGACATGAAACTATTGCACAACCATTAAATCCAGATGTGTGCATGCGTGTGACATAAAGAAACATGCAAATTTATCATTCTTTGTCAATAAAGTTTCCTTTTTTTGTTCATGCAAGAGCGCGTCATGTGTATCGACAGTCATGTCTCGAATTTTTGTTCGCTTTGATGAAGAATTTTTACAACAACTGCCACGGAAATGTGTGATGCTTAAGTGATGGATGCAAACAAGATACTTTTATTTAAATCAATATATTCCGTACGAATTAAGTGACAAATATTTTACGTCTACTTTTTATTAAGTTAGTTTGAGATTTGATCATCAAGTTAAATATTTACTCTGTACATTTATTGGAACTAATTAAAATAGATTAATGAATGAAAATATAATAAATTATTAAAACGCAAGCTATCACTTCGTTCTCTATTTTATTTGACTAATACAATAATCGAATAATCTCGATTCTCTCATGTTCATTCGGAGTGTAAAGTTCAAGATTAACTATGATCCGAAAATAGTTCTTCATATTATAATGTGTGCACTAATTTGCTTGCTTATATAGAAAAAAGGCGATCATGAAATATTATCTTTTATGGCTTTTTAATTAGTAATTAAATGAGATCTAGTAAATATTCGTAATATCAAGTCTAATTAATTTTGTTGCCTATATCTTAAATCATTACAATAGGGAAGAAAAGAATTTCATCAAGGGCCTTTCGAACTCTATTTGAAATAAAGAAATATCAGAAGGAAACACAAACTTTGATAAAATGTTTTGTTTGGTCTTCAAAAATATTCGTTCTTACTGTAACTCTCTCAATGATTTGTTTGATACTCGATAAACGTTTTTTCTTTTGATTCATATGTACAGTTTGATCTATAAATCTCATCAGTGTTGCTCGGTTGCAATATTTTTTCAATGTACATAGTTTTAAACATAATGCTTTTTTCTTTTTTTTTCTTTCATTTGAAAGGCAACAACAAGTGTACATGTACATTTATATTCCAAGATAGAGACAAATGGCTATGGACTTCGAACCTTCACGTTCATTACCAAGATGTCGTTTCGGACAACTATCTAAAAATATGTTCTTTACAAGACATGTTGCACAACCGAGATTTTTACGATTTATAACAGGTAATCAATCGATTTATTGAAATGAAAAGTGTTATTTTTATTTAAAATTTGAAATTTTTAGGGGCTTCTGGTCAAAGAGTATGTCATGTTCGAGAACAACCACTAGCTCTACCAATTAGTACGACGGGTGATTTAACAAAATCATTAATGTCTGATCCACGTTTTTGCATTGATTTTGCACCACAATCTTACAATGAAACATTGTTACGATCTTATGCAAATAAAATTGAACCAAAAAAACGTCGTGAACGTTTACTTCCTCCTATGCCAGGTTGGAATCCAACTGGAACGGTAAAATTTTCTATTAGAATAATTGCTAATGATTCTAGTTTAATTGTTTATTCTTTTTTTCTTTTAGGTAGGTGAGTCTTTATTGATAATTCATAACAATAAATTTTTGTTTGTTTGTTTGCTTGTTGACTATCAGTCGTAGACACGGATAATTGGAGACGTGAATTAGCACGTATTGCTGAAATGGTTGGTTTTGTAACATCGGATGATCTAGTTGAACTAGAAAATCGAAAAGAAACACCTGTGACACTACCACAAATATCAGCAACAACACCAGCACCAGCGCCAATAACACCGCTACCAACATCTGCTAGTAAAAGACCGAAGAGTTCTGGTCAGTATAGTCGACAATCAGGTCGATGGAATGAAACACCGAAATCTGCAAATCGTATTCGATCAGCAGCAGGCCGACGTACACCTTTTAAGTCTTATTTACCTAATCATCTAGTTTGTGTTGATGACCAAGAACGTGAAATGTGGGTAAGAATCAGTATGTAATAATACTTTGGATACATTTAATTTTTCTTTTTCTTTTGTCAACGGTTCATTTTCTAGATGATTCAAGTACTTAGTCAAATATTAAAAACGGACAATATCAGTGAAATACAATCATGGCTTGTCTCTTCCGGTCCTAATGGTTTGTTCTGTTGTTTCTTAAATGTTTATTTAGTAATAAATGTCATTTGACTATAAATTTTTAAGTATAAAGAAAATGACAATTAAAGTGGGCCATAGGGTGTACTCTATAGACAATGACAGATGATTAGACAGAGCTTACTAATCGTAAACCTTCTGTGACGATTATAACTATAGTCCTATTGAACTAATTCTGTTCATGTTAATTTAACAAAAGAAAAACATCTTACTTAAATATGCAAGTAGTTTCATCATGTTCAACATTTTACACCTATTTTTGACTCTATGACTATTTCAATATAATATTGATAATTAGAAAAAGAAGCTGTACGTCAACTTATCACGGCAGCAATCAAAGGACTTGAAGAGAATGGACGAATTCAAACTCAAGATCGTTTAAACGGCAATGTTAAAGCAATTCAAGTAAATATGGATTCGTTTGGCTCGTTATTAGCAAATAGGTACATTGAAAGAACAACAGACACTTATAAAGCATCTTTTGTTTTTTCTTCAAATCTATTAGATTTCCTCATGTATCGTCAATGGTGATAATAGTTCCACCGAATGGAAATCCATCCAGACCTTTGTCTCGTCCTCGCACAGCTCCTGCAACGCAAGCAACTGCTGCACAATCCAAAGCAGATTTTCATAGTAAATCAGCAGGAGGATTTCAAAATAATCTTGAAACAACCGATGAAAATTCTGAATTAATGTTAACGATGACGGAGTCAATCGTACTCGAACCAACGCCAGTTGATGTTAAATGTGACATTCAAATTCTTACATTAGATGATAATGATAATGGTAATAAAAGTCAACCCACTATCATTGAAGAAAATGAAAAAACGCCATTTTAAATCAATCAAACAAAACAACATGAACTTCAATTCAAACAAAAAAAAACCATTTTCTAATTTTATTTTGTAATACGACTTATCCACATGAATAATAACTAATGATGTTATCATGGTTTTATATTTTAGTTTATCTATATCATAGAGAAGATCTTTTGAGTTATAAAGAATAATTTTTGAGACTTGTATTCGTTGAAAATTATGAATAAGATAATTTAGTAGTGTCAGTATGTTGATATGGTTTTGTACGTATATGTAAATGACTGATAGCATCATCTTGATTTATCATGGCTTTTTGTGTCTTTTGTAAACCCATCACAGCTGCTGGACCAAGCTATAATGAAAAATAGAATAGAATAAATTAGTCATTCAATGAAGATATCAGAAAATGAGAACGATAAACATTAATGAATTCCGAAGAAATTACAGCGAAGTAGTTTTCAAGAAACAAATTGTCAGTGTGACCGCTTCACTTTTTCTCGACTGAAACATCATTTCGAAAAGCGTATGATGGATATGGCCAGCTCATAAAAAGTAAAATTTAACATCAAATAGTAAACACTAATAAGTAAGACAGATATTCTTTAGGATTTGTAACGGAAATATTGTCATCCATGAAGTTTTCTATTTTCCAAATAAGAAAAATAATTCATTTTCTGCTTCGAGAAAATTCGATGAAATTTTAATTCGATCGGTGCATAATTGAAGTAAACGAAAGCTTGATAGATGGCTTCGAAATCTAGAACTAACAAGTAGAATACTTATCCAGTAGCCGATTTAGTAATTTATGTGATTTATCTGCACCGTGACATAAATCCTTATAGTGACATCGAAATATGTTTATTTTCTTTCTTTTAATTACATAAAATTTATTGGCTGCATTGATAAAATGAAACATCTTTATCCAAGATTCTCGTAAATATTCAATATCATGATACAAATACATTTGATAAACCGGACACGAACGATAAAGATAACTATCAATAGCAATAGTTAAATTTTCTTCATTATAACGATCAGATAAACAAGCAATTAAACAAGAAAGAATTTGTGTTGAACGTCGAATTACAACATGGCAAATATATTCCATATAGATTAAACTTATTTTTTTAATTTTCTTTAAATCCAATTTAGTTAAATAAAATTTTAATTTTGAATATTTACCCTGTAAAAGATATGAAATAAATTTAAAGTCTATCGAACCCTGCTCAATCAATTTCGAGTTTGACCACAATTCATAGGGTAATAATTTTTCATGAATACATAATTCAACTATTGTTAAGCGTATAATTTCAAGTAAACACAAGTCACATGTAAATATATCAAAATAATTAACATTTAATCGGCGCATTACATTTATATCGATCGATGTTAATAATGTTTGAAATAATGCGTGACTTTTTATTGATTTATTCGAATGTAGAAATTGAAAATTAAACGAAAGAATTGTTTGATAAAGTGCACGTAATTCTTTTTGTTGAAAAATATTTTTTGAACGTAATATTTCTGTATCTTCAACAAATGATAATTGAAATGTATGATTAAATATAATTGAAATTAACGTATTTGGATATTCAAATGCTACCGATATTAATGCAGCAACACTTTCTTGCATACATGCTGTTAAATCTATACGATAATTCAATATGTAGCGTTGAATTGATTGACGAAAAATATGTAAAAAGTCGCAATTAAGTAAATCAGGACAATGAAAACGATTCGACCAAGATATTATCTCAGCATGATTGAGCTCATTTTGTTTTATAGGAAAATGAACAAGTAAACCAAGTTGAATTATTTGAGGAAGTTTTTCGTTTAATGAAATCTAAACTTCATTATGAACGAGATTTATATGAATTTAAATAGTTGCTCAAAATTTTAGTCGTATGAGGTAGTATTTGAATTTTTCTAGTTAAAGTCAAAGATTAGTTTATTTTAATGACTTTAAAGTTTGCCTATTGTTGTTTACGATAGAATTTTTAAGTGACTTTTTATATTGCAATATTTAAGGATGAACTATGAACGAGTCCGTGGTTTCAATTCAAACAGTGAAAATTGATTAAATTTGCAGGCGATATACGATAAAAGCTAAGAGACATGGAGAAAATAGTTCACGTTCAAATATTATACTCTGAAAACAGTTAGCTACAGAAAAAAATGATACCAGGTTACTGATAAAGTCAATTCACCTGTTCGAGAAAATCTTTTAATCCAATAGTTAATTGGTCGACTAACAAAGTACCATTACTCTTGCGTATTTCTTCAGCTAAATTATAACCTCGACTATGTAAAATATCATAGGATGGTATTTGCTTTCCAAGTAAAGAAACAAGATTATATCGTACATCTTCAATAATATTTCCTAGTTCGATAATAATAAAGATTCCTTTTTCATTACGACTAGGTAATGCATTAACATGTGTTAATTGAAATTTAATATCAGTTCTATTATGATCGGGATGGTTGCCTTCAATGACATAATCAAATGCTGATGTTATCATATTTGCAAAAGATATTTGAATCGTATTTATTGTTGAATCATTTAATATGAAGCCCTGCTTTTCACAATAATTATGTATGCGTTGTAATGTCATGTGACCAGTTTTATGAGATCGAAAACAGCATAGATTTTTGTTATAAACACGATGAAAAATTTCTTGAAATAAATTATTTGAGCAATTTACATTTTTCCATTGTTTTCTCTTCATTAAGGCAAAGTGTTGAGTCATCGTTTAGACTTTAATTAAGAAATTCAAATAAATATACGAATTCGCGTTTCAAAACTGATTCCATATAACGAAAAAAAAGCATCATTCATTCAAAAACTTTATTGAAATTATAGCAGCACTCAATTCTCTATCAAAACCATATACTAACAGAAAATATTCAATATTTCCTTCTTATAAAATAACGATGAAACTTGTATAATTTCAAAAAGAGAAGTAAACAAAATGCTTAATATATTAATATGCAAAGCATGAAACATTAAAAATTTCCAAGGACACAACACAGGGATTCTATATTTATTTGAAAATATATAGATCTACTGAATGTTTTTCTCGAAGAAAGTGATTGACCAGTAAGAACTCGAATTAATGAAGAGTAGTTAGCGCATTAATATTGAGATAAAACAACACATATCATGTATCTCATAGCGATAAAAATAATAATTAATTCTGTCAGGAAATAATTTCAGATTTTTATTAATATTCGTTTTTTACTTAAATGATGGCAATTGTGAAAAATGAGAAAATAAGTGATTTGTGTTTTCGTAATATAATATTTTCCATTAAAAACTCTTAGTCATCCTACTCATAAAGACAACGCTTAGATTGAACGATACAAATGGTACAACGATATCTATAGATAAAATAATAATAATAATAATAATAATAATAATATAAATAAAGTAATCAGAAATTATTAGCGTACGGAATATTTACGCATCGTTAATGTTACTAGCCGTAAATAAGTCATTTATTGAAGCGTCAAGATGAATATTTTGTTAAGCGAAAACAATAGCTATTTAGTATTCCGATTTAGTCTTTTTTTCAGTAGAATGGAAACATTAAAAAATGATATCAAAGAAGGGCGGGTACCAATGCGTGAGGTTAATCTTGTGGATGGTTTATTACTGAACATTGGATGACGTCTGCTTCATCTGCTTGGAATGATGTTTCAGAGAATATTGCCAATCTAGGAGAATATAAAACAATGGAATATCTAGGTAGAATTAGTTTATTTTCTGTTTTGTCATTTATTGTATATAAATGCGTAGGCCACGACAAGGATGATATTCAATTTGAACAACATCGTGATACATTACATTACTGAAGAAGATTTTCGTGATATTGCTGCAGCTAACATGAATACAGTTCGTATTCCTGTTGGCTATTGGATAATTGGCTTTGATAATCAACCAGGTGGTGATCCAGATGGTTGGAAAGTTTATGCACCTGGTGCAGTTAACTACAGTGGTGTGAAAAATTATAGACTCACCCTACTCCTGTGCCCTCTGTCACTTTTTTTTCTCTATTAATGTTGATTTGTCATTGCAAATTCAACGCCAATATATAGATTCAGATGTGCTTTTTCAACATTCATTGCAATGAATGTTGAAAAAGCACATCTGAATCTATATATTGGCGTTGAATTTGCGATGATAAATCAACATTAATAGAGAAAAAAAAACGACAGAGGGCACAGGAGTAGGGTGAGTCTATAATTTTTCACACCACTGTATATAGAAGATATTTTCAATCTATACTATAGTTGGGTATATCATACTGAAAAAAATAGATACATGACGAGTAAAATAATACCAGAGAAAAAAAGTAATCAATAGAGCACCTAGATCTCCTCAAAATTATTGAAAACAAAAACAACGTATGATGATTCAATTCGCCGTACATTTATTAAATACCTAGTCGAAAGTATTTTTGTGCTTTCCGCCATCTTCGATATAAAATATTTCTCCTAGTTTACCATTTTACTTTCTTTTTAATGAAATGTCAAAAAAAAAAGAAAAACCTTATGAATCTACTATGTCAGATTCATTATGTTCTTCCTTGACTGGGTTCACTAACAACACAGGAAGAGTATGACGTGTGATTCATATGAAAAAGCAAAACTTTAAAATTAATATTCAAGTTACTATGGAGTCTTTTTTTTAATGTAATATTTTAACAAGAAAATATTGTTTACAGTTGGGCCTTGAAAAACAAAGTTTTATGGAATCCTTAAACACACCCACAAGATCTACTGCTTCATAGGTGCAAAAATGATGATAAATACATATTCTTTCTGAACTAGAGCTTTACTTTCTTTCTTTCTTTTTCTTTTGAGTGCTAGAACATCAACAAGACGGTAGTCAGCTCTAATAATATTCTAGTGAGGTGTTTATCGTAGACCGAAAGTTTCTGATGTATTCATTTTTGTAGAAAGCTTTTTAATGCACTACTTGAAAAAAGCATGTGTTGAAAAGGCGACGGATTGTCGTATGGATTCCTTCGTTCTTGAGAATATGTTATTGTTTTTCTAGCAACCGTAATTCTTTCAGTTTCACTTTCGTAAATCAACTAAACTTTCAATTTTTCAGGCTAAAAAATTCAAATATGTTGTTGAAAAGAAAACTGATTCTTTTCCAAAGGGGCCTATCTAACAGTTTCCAAGATAGGATCTAATGTAACATTAGCATAAATCCAATAGTGACTGATTTTTATGAACGGAATCTTTCAATACTGGTGCCACGAATTTAACACTATTAGTCTTTGGGCTGAGTCGTTACTAGAGACATGTACTCTACAAGTAGATGTATAAAGTTTTCGAATATTTTTTATCTTTCGATTGAAATATAGTAACCGAATGAATATAACTGAAAGATTCGTGTCGTCTAGCTTATTTATTCTTACTATTTTCATTCATTTGGACTGCTGGTTAACATACAAAATACATAATCAATTCCGTGTTACTAAATCTTCTAAGTAAAAGTACCACAAAAATAAATAAGTCCAAAACGTGCTGCAATAATTAACTTAATCATCGGAACAACTAATAATTAAGAATGTTGAAAATGAATTTTTTCGCCATTTTAAACCGTTGTATTTATAGAAATGCCGTAGAATCATTTAGAAAAATTAAAAAAACAACGAGTCGAAGATATTAAAATGTAAAAAACATACATTTTAGGATAACATTTTTCATGAAGCATAAAAGTTATTAAACTTTGAGCTAACCTCAGTTTGTAACTAATCAAAATTATCGATCGGTATTCATTGTAATCTCTTCTGGAATTTATTTCGAGGAAAAGAAAAGAAAATCAATTCATCCTATACGAACACCTGAATTGATTCAAAAGACAAATTCATTTCCGAGTGTATATATTTGATTGTTTCCAAAACTGCCATGTCTAAATCATTTATTAGCACCGTTTTCCTTTTTTCATATCATCGAAATTGACTGTCAGACGTGCCTGGTGAGTAACGCAAATGTTAGCATCGTGGTAATCATGAATATGCTATTAATCTTTCTGAAAATTGATAAAAATTCAACGAAGCTAATATTATCGAGATATGATAAGGTTAATTATTCAAAGTGAAATGTTTTCCTTTCTCGACTGCTAATCTTTCGGATGATATGAAAATGAACCAACAGAATAATTACCCTTTTGATTATAAAAGACTGAACATATTACACATTAGCAAAACTATATCTTTATAAGACTGATTATGTTTGATCAATATCATTTCCAGTGCTAAACTTTAAATGTCATTCTGAATCTTTGAATAGATCTAGATTTGAGTTTATCATCATCAGATAAAGTTCATACGAAACGTCAAAATTTTCCTCAGCATTTATTCTCTCTGTTTTTCTGAAGACACAATAAATGTCCGAGTGAACCTTTCCCGAACAAGAGATCATCGGATATTTTCAAACTAATTTCTATTAAATTCTTCGGCAAATGATTAGCGAAAAATTATGCATCCATATATTGTCATTTTTCTCTATCTACATTTCTTTCTGCATGTGACGACATAATTGTATCAACAACTATAACAAAATAGGCAAACTATGGATGTGTCTATCCGCATATGTATACTCGGTGACAGGAGTCTTATAATGATACAAAGATAAGCACAAGTCAATTTTCCTTTTTTTTCATATATCTTTTTCTTTCTTGTCTACCCGTTAAAATTGTGCTTATCTTTGTTCGAACTTCTTCTTTTTTTTGATTTCTTCATCAAATTCTCATTTGTCTTGATTTATACAGCTTCTTCTGTTTATCCCATCATCGGTTGCAGTTGTCATTAGTATCTAATAAGAACGTAAAATACAATCATCTTCTAATTGAATTTGAGACTGATATACAATAGTGTCGTTTATATTATGCATACATTTCTAGAGAGAGAGAGAGAGCGCGAGCGAATACAATCCACTGGTGAATAACTGCCATTGGGAATTATTTGCAAGACTAAGAAAATTTCCTTTTTTTTTGTTTTAGATGTTATCAATCTTACTTTTGAGTTAATTCATTCATTGAGCCCGTACATCTTCGTCAACTAGGCAAATGTCAACACATCTTTTACGTTAGATATGGACGCATAGGGAAAGCCAGCCCATCGTTCTTTATCACTTTCCTTTTATGATGAAATATGAAGTAAAATTTTCCGGTATTCAAATAATCTCATTCGTCAATTCCTTTCTACATTGTTCTTCAGTACAGTAGAAAATTTCAAGTAGAGACTTAGAAGCAAACCCCCACTTTTGATCCGAACTATTATCTCCAAAAGCAAAATACCATGCAATATGAGTCCATAGAACTATTCTGATTTGAAAATAACTTGGATAGTCATGATTGCCACTGGCCTTTGCAGTCAATTTTAATAATCAGTTATAATTAGATTTTGATATGATCCAACAATTCGATTGGTAGAAAACGTGAGATGAGAGAGAAAGAGAAAAATATGCTAAAGTTAAGTTGATGTTGATGCTCGTTTACAAGTAAGAGAACGAATGATAACGATTGTCAAGTCGTCATATACGTATGAGAATGTTTCCGCAAGCAAGTCAAATAGGAGATAAACAATTCACTGGATGACGTTGATGAGTCGTCATTGTTGATGATAGTAGGAAGAGCGAGCCATATAAGAGAAAAGCCAACTGATTTACATCGTGTACCAATCGCTTTTTTCTTATATATACATATTATTGCCTGCGGACGAACCGAACAAATGATATCATCTTATCATTTCTCTTGTTCTCTCTTTCTCTTTCTCTTTCTCTCTCTCTTCTTTGCTTTTACTCAACAATAATTTTCTTCTATGGACAGCAATCCTTTAACACCACGTGCTAGTAGTTTCAGTATTGCTTCATTGATTACATCAGAGTACTGCGATGATGAGAATAGTTTATATCATTCTATGACAAATTCAATTCCATCAAATTTTTATTCTAACAATTGCTCATTCAATCAAATCCAAAACGATACTCATCCGAATTCAATTCAACAAGAACTTGATCATTTTCATTCAGCTACATTATCAGAAACAAATAACGGCGAATATCATCAACAACAACAACAACAACAACAACAACAAATACGAAGAAGAAAAACTCGATCAACAAATTATAAACAAATAAAAACTCTTCAAAAACCAACATCAACATCAACAATAACAAATCGAATGGACGGTTAGTAATAGCTATGTACAATGAAACCGAAATCGATTTGTAGAATTTTTATTATTTAGATTACATTCAAATAGCAACCGAAACTATTCAATCGACAACCAATATAAATAAATCTGGCAACGAAAACATGTCCAATGGCAATAATGAAATGAAAAAGCCACTTCATCCTAAATTAGCACATATAAAAATGGTTCTCGAATCGAAATCACTATGGGATGAATTTGATAAACTTGGAACAGAAATGATTGTTACTCGATCTGGAAGGTAAATTATTCAAACAATTCATTCTTCTGTCCATAGGTGTAATTAGGGTACATTGTAATAACGATTAAACATAATTGAGATGTTTGTATTTAAAATTAAGATATTAGAACTAAAACAATAGATAAGATTGATACTAATGATTCAATCGAATTTCAATCTCTTGGGACATCCGAACATGTGCAATTCAATATCGATTATCGATTATTTTCGAAAGAAGAACAAAAAATCAATAGATAATTATTTATTTTTGTTCATAGACGAATGTTTCCAATTCTGCAAGTAAAAATCGTGGGCATGGATCCAACCGCTACTTATATACTTATGGTGGATTTTGTACCATTAGATGATAAACGTTATCGATATGCATTTTATAGGTAAAAAATATTTATTTTCTTTCTTCAGAAGACAAAACAAAAGCTCGGCAAAATTTTAATTTAGCTCAAGTTGGGTTGTTGCTGGTAAAGCTGATCCACACGGTCCAGGTCGTTTTCATGTTCATCCTGATTCACCACAAGTAGGTTCATGTTGGATGAAAAATATTGTTTCATTTGATAAACTTAAATTAACCAATAATTTACTGGACGAAAATGGACATGTAAGAAACAAAAGAAAATTCTCTTCGGATTTGATTTATTCGATTTTTTTCTAACTAAAGATTATACTCAATTCAATGCATCGTTATCAACCTCGTATTCATTGTGTTTATTCGCCATCGGGCAAAACTGATGAATCAATCCTACAACAAACACAAACATTTCGTACATTTACGTTTTCTGAAACAACTTTCATTAGCGTTACAGCCTATCAAAATCATCGAATAACTCAATTGAAAATAGCTTCAAATCCATTTGCTAAAGGTTTTCGTGATTGCGAATCGGAAGATGGGTACGCAAAATTGTTGTATGAATAATTTTCGAAATAGAATCTTATTTTTTTCTTTTTCTTCTTCTTTTTCTTGTCCTAGTATGATGGATGTTATGAAACAATTCAATTCTAATCAACGCTTACTTCGTTCACAGCGAAAATCACCGAATACGCAAATGAATTCATTTAATACAACTGTTGAAAATACACCTTGTTTTCTAACTGATCCGCAAGATTCAACACTGAATTTTATGTCACCAACAACATACTCATTAGTCAATCATGATCTAGCAAATTATGCTGCTGATGCTTTTGTTTATTCACAATTGTCTGATTTAAGTTATCGACGTGAAACATCATCATCATCATCAAGTTATCATACAACACGGATGAGTCCATATGCACGGCAAACATTTTATCCAATGTATACACAACGTGAGATTCATTCGCCATCATCATCATCTTACAATAGCTGATTATGAATGAACAAAATCTAAAAACAAAAACACAATTTCATATTTTTCCTTTTTGTGAGCTTTTTGGTCAGATGTGGGCTTTGCTTTTTCTGTTTTTTTTTTTATAGAACAGCACATATTGTAATTACATCCTTACTAAATAAAAAAAAACGATTTTCTTCTTATTCATATATCAATACATATATATATATATTGATATCGTATATATTCATTCATCTTTTTTCTTCTTCTTCTTCTTCTTCTGTCTATTGATATGATAAGTAACTGCATGTGTTTATGCGATGTCTATCTCTATCTGTCATAATTATTGTTGAGATTAGAATGTGCATGCATACTGTGATGTGTTTATATATAGATCTATATGAGCGTGAGCTAGTTGTGCCAATTAATTGGCAACAAAACGAAATTTGATTGTTTGTTAGTTTATATATAAACACTAGATCAAATAAGGAAAAGAGATTTATTTTCTTAAATACATGAATGGAACTAATTATAAGTCTGTTGTCTGGACCATTAGTGAATGATTTTAAAACGAAATGGAAAAAGTAATAAGTACTTAGCCAAAATTATATTTAGTATTTTCGGTAGTTGTTTGTACACTTTGAATAATAATACATCGTTATCGACAATGTTGATATTCGTTGTAATGAATTCAGTGGCGGATCCAGAAAATCTGTTAGGGGATGGCGCTCCTGGCCAAAAAACAGTTTTCCAAGTCTAATTGAGGCAGAACGACTATTTTCTGTTTCATTTCTGCTGGGAAAAATCGAAAAAAATTTCTTAAGGGGAGTGGCGACCGCCGGATAGCCCAACTGGTAGATCCGCCACTGAATGAATTATGTCTTTTGTCATGGACATACAGGCATATTTAGAAGATAGATATAAGAAATTCCTTGACCGAAGTGTAATCGTGGAGTTGAATAAAAAATTCTAATCTGACAAATTATTTATTTGATCGAAAATGAAAGACGTTATTTGTTTCTTTTTCGATTATTTTCCCGCATCGAATACTAAACGATAAAAAAATTACGATATCGTTTTAAAGAGAGATGCATGGGTTTCATGAAGTCCGTCTTTGCACGTCAACTGAAAACTTGTGCAGCAAAAAGTCATATATCATAATGTCGACTCAAGTGATTTTTAAGTTGGATGTTCTAGAACTAAGTGTTTCAACTTTGGAAAATTTTATTATTCACGGAATTCTACTAAGCTCAAAAGAAATTCGTAGTTCTCAGTTATTGAATCAATTACATCTTATTTCGAGAAAAACAAATATGAGATTAATGAAAAAACAACTTAAGCTATTAGATATCATTTGATTCTATATATTGACTATGGCTCAGTCATTACAGCAACAAATTCGATGTCTCATAAATTTCATTCTCATGAATTCGTATACGAATTCTTTTCTCTTCATCATTTTGAGAAGAGATACTTATAATTTTAATAATCATTTTCTTTTCTTCTATTGTAATTTTACACCATTCTTACCGAAAGGTTTCGATCGACGAGAATATGATATTTCGTCCTACATCATCGTATACATCGACAAAAGCAAGAATGATTATTCTAAAGGCGTCACAGGGTTCTGCACGTGGGTTGATTGCTTTTACAGGTTTTTCTAATCCGAAATAAAATATTAGTCATAGTCAAATTATCAAATTATGCAGTTTCCAATATCTTCAAGTGCTGTCTCGTTGACTAAGAAAGTAAAGTTCTGTATGAAAAGAGTCGAGGCTTATTTCCAATACCATCGAACCTTATTCGTACTCTTCGGTTTCAACCATCCTACATAATATATTCAAAGAAAAGTATCTAGTCTTTAAAATTGAACATAGATGTTTCCCTAGAGCTTTTTCCATAGTGATATAAATATATGAGCATTGGTGATGAAATATTGCTTGGTACTATTCTCACAAATTAAAACCCATCATATTTTATATGAACGTATGTAGATTTTATTGATTTGAAAATAATACTGAATCAATACATGGTCTTATATCAAACAATAAAATATTGAATAAAGAGAAAAAATAAAATAATTAGTATTATTATTATCGATAGTATAGATGATTTTTAAAGATTAAATATTGCTTTCATTCAAACAATAGTTATAGTGAAACGCATGCCATTAGTTAAATCAATTTATCGTCTTACAATTCGTCATTTTTTCATCTTTTCCTTCGTAATTATTACTTGTAGCATTATTGGCTTTAATTTAAAACAATATTTTGAAGAATATTTCATTGATTTCAGTGAATATGATGATAAAATTACGATCTGGAGTAATGATTATCACATTAGGTAAACAACTTGAGCTTATCGATAGTTTTTCAAAGGAATTTTCTATTTTTAATTAGTCCAATAAATGATCTTAAACATTTATTAACACCATTGGGCGTTCGTTTTATTGATAAAAGTTTGTCAGGTGCATGCTATTTAACAAAAACATGCGCAAAGAATCTTCGTATCATATCATCAGCGAATGGAATGAATCCGACGAAAATAATTCGAAGACAATTTTATGCATATTATAAAAATCACCCATTAATGAATCGGGTTGATGCATTTGTTTGTTTTCATCCAGCTGCTATGTGTGAATTATTTATGCCATTTAATCGTACAATTATTGTTATTGCATCAGCACGCTACGAACTTGGACGGTTTTCAGTTGAGGAATGGAATCAATGGAATCGAAATTTACGTACTATTGCTTCGGATCCTAGGTATGCTCTCTCACAAACTAAAGAAAGAAAAAGAAACTTGAAAAATTTTCATACCTATTATTTTGCTCTTTTGCAATGGTTGTTAAATTTGAAGGCGAAACTTTGTACAAAACTTGTACTATAATCTTTTACATTTTCACAGAAGGTAATTTTTCTCATGGCAATGATATCTATCGAACGCCGAGTCTTTCGGTTATGAGTGTAAGATATTAATCGTATTCGAACTATAAATATCGATCAATGCTCGTGTCAGATATGAACATGGGTTTCAATGAGCCCCAGTTGCCGAAGAACTCAATTCAACATTGATCCTGATATTAGATGAGAGAAAATCATTTCGCAAGAAGATTTTATTTTATATAGTATTAGACAAAAGAACACATCTAAATATTCATCTCGATTATTTTATGAAAATCGCACTCATGATCGAATATTACATTCAGTTCTCTTTTATTCTAGTTTTAGAATCATGTGAAATGTAATTAATTCAATTGATAGTCTTCACTATTTGAAAAAGCAGATATATATATAACTGAAAAGTTTCACTCAAGATTTTTGAGCAAAAAGTAATAAAAAGACAGAGTTCATCCGGAGAAACGCGTCATTTTTTTCAAAATTAGATGGGCTAAACCTCATCGGATGCGTTTGATTTTCACTATATGCGTTTCTTCCAGTGTCAATCAAACAGTTTCAATTTCTATATAATTTAATTTCTAAATAATTGAACTAATTATTCATTTTCTATGAATTGCAACATTTTTTTGTTCTTTGTTTTTTATCAGAAATATTGTTGCTGGAAATAATTTGTACGACGCTGAATACATACGATATTTTACTGGTATTAATACAATTGTTTTACCGTCTATATGTAATTATACGAATGTCGTCTATAATCCGTCAGACACACATCGTGAATATATTTTTGCTCCATCAAGTTTATCTGTCGAATACAATAAAGAATTTCTTGACGAATTAAATTTTTCAATAAAAAGATTCAATGCATCAATAATCGTTAAGCCTCTACGTCAACTGTACAGATTTTATCGTTATGAAAATCTTGTTCGTCATCCAGCTATAATCTATTTACCGTATCAAGTATCAATAATGAGTATATTCGAACAATATTCAATGAATATTCCACTTTTTTTCCCATCACTTGATCTTTTAACTGATTTGCATGTCAAATACTGTGTAGTGCGCGAACGAACATGGGATACAACTTTAAGTGGTACTATTAGAAATTCGTCCGCTATACCAAGCTATTATACAAATGTCACTATTCCCGATCCAAATAATGAAGTTGATTATTCGGCCATACATTATTGGTTAAAATATGCTGATTTTTATCAATGGCCACATATAACTTATTTTAATTCAATTGATGATCTTACTTCAAAATTAATACATACAAATTTAACATTTATCAGTGAACAAATGTTAGAATATAATCATAAGAAAAAATTCGAATTACTCCAACGTTGGAAAATAATCCTGAATCGTCTATCTACATCATCATTTTTTTTAAGAAAAAAAAAACAAAACAATTCCAAATAGAAAACAAAAATAAAATAGAAAAATCTTTATACACTAAGTTCAGCTATTGAAACGAGACATTTTGCTCGTTTATTCATTTCATTAATAAACATATCATACGGCATAATTGTTTGTATTAAATAGTTTTGTTCGTCATTACCAACAAAACGATTTAAAGAATATTCAATAGGAGATGCAATTTTCCATGAACGTAAACATTTATAATGTTCACCAATAAATGTTGCAGCAGCTAGTTGAGTTGTCAAAGAATTGGGTCCGCGTAAACTTAAGCTTTTCAATGTTTGTATTCGTTGACAACAAGCTATTAATTCAAGGTAATCATTTGATGAAAAACGATTATAATCAAGATCCAAAACAACAAGACGTGTTTGTTTTATTAAAACAATTAATAACTGTCGCATAAAACGATTTAAACGATTTGTGCCTAAGTCTAAATGTAAAAATTGATGCCGTGTACTCATTTGACTTAGACTAATTAAATCATTTTCATATAATGAACAGAAATCTAAATTTAATACGTCTAATGAATGATCAATAGCATTGAGAATATATTCAAGACGATTTGTTATTGGTGAGCCACTCAATGAAAGATGTTTCAAATATTTTAATTGTGATAGAACATCACAAAATTGATCAAGATCTTCTTGATTAAGACGAAAATCAATAAAATTACACGATAGATCTAATGTATGCAATTGAGTTAAACTTGGTAAACGTGGAAGGAAATATTTTAAATTTTGCCTTGTTAATACATTATATGGAATACGAAGTGTATGAACGAACTAAACATATTATATTTTTAAAAATCAACGAATTTAATGATAAGAAACTTACTCGTTTGTCGACATGATCTAGAAAACTACTAACAAGTGCTAAGCCAATACAACGCATATCGATTGTACATATTTGTAATTGAATATTTGGAGTTGTTGAACGAAGAGCAGATAATAATTCCACATAAGTACGATAATCTTGAATTATACAATCAAAACGAATTATAATTGTGTCATCGGGATAGGAACTTGATTTAACAAGATCGTCACTGTTGTCATGTGAATTTGTTGCATGATCACCTAGAGAAATAATAGAACAAATAGAGTCCATTGTTTTGATTCGAATTAAATTTACCTTTATACTCATTCGAATAGTAATCGGGTGTATTGGATTCTGGTGATAGTTGATGGTGCTGTTGATTGTAAATGTCAATTAATTGATTACGTCTTGATTCTTTTTCTGCTAAACGACAATGCGTAGAAATGTATCGAATTATTAATTCCACCACGGGAAAATTTGTTACGTCAAGTATTCTTAAGTTTGATAATTTTTTTTGTTTTATCTGTTGTTGTTGTTGTTGTTGTCGTATAGTATCAATAAAACGAGGTATTATGATAACAGAATATTTAATAGCCTGTTTGGTTCTTTGTAATGCTGTTTTTTCACATAGCAACATTTTTAATGATGTTAATTTTTCATCTACAAAATTTTCTAAGCGAAATATTCGATATGGCCAACGTGATATGAGAATATTGATGCATGAATCATCTTGTGTATAATGTAATGCTGCACGAAATAGTTGATTAAATAATTCTTTTGGTATTGTGTCACATGCTTGTTCAGTTAAAAATTCATTACGTACAATTATTGAGCAACATAAATCGCTAAGACTTAATATACGAGGTTGATTAAGAGGCTTTTCATCGGTATCATTATAGTTTATTCGAAAGCTAGCACCATTACGAAAAAATAAGTATGAAAAATCGGATGAAAAAGAGTTTGTTTCTTCTAGAGACATTTACTTTCAAGTATGAAAATCAACTGCATCTATTTCAAGGAAAAACAACAATCAAACTTGTTCTTTTTTTCTTCTGTCCAATCAAAGATGAGAGAGGACAACGAATGAAAGTAATGGCTGCAGAACAAGAAAAATTCTTATTTGTAACAACACATATTGATTATACTGGGTACACAATCGTAGTAAACTTTCGAATTCTGTTTTATTCTAGATGTGCTTTGGCACGAGTTCTGGAAAACTAAGCCAACTGGCACATTATGGTCCTATTGGTGCCATTATTCTGATTTTATGGATGTATGAAACCATTTTGTTTTGTTTCTTAATGAAATCTAATGGCATATTTCTTTTTTTTTTCTACGTAGAACTCTTACTGCGTTCCATTGTCTTACTAAGTGGTTTCCACCTGAAAGTAACGATCCATTAAGTGTAATTAATTTTCTTATTTTTTGGATATGGCCAGTTGTGATTTTTTACAATTATTTTCGAGCTATCTTTGTTGGGCCAGGTACGTGCTAATATACAAATTCTATTTGTATTCATATTTTCTATAATTATTTGTTTTTTCTATACTAGGATTCGTACCAAAAGAATGGAGACCAGAAAAAGTTGAACATGAAAAATATCTACAATATTGTAAGATAACATTCGATTGTCCCTGATTTTCATGTCGAATAATATTTCATTCATAGGTGACATTTGTGAAAGTTTCAAAGCTCCGCGCGCACATCATTGTAAAAAATGTGGTCGATGTGTTCTGAAACTTGATCATCATGTGAGTAAAAAATTTGAAAAAAACTGAGCCACTTGAGAAAACTTCAACTTTCATTCGATAATCAGAAACAATTGAAATGTGAATATAATGTGCATTTGCTTTAGTGTCCATGGATAAATACCTGTACTGGTCATTTTAATCATGCAAATTTTTGCTGGTTTATGTTTTATGCAATACTTGGCTGTACACATGGTTTATTAATGCTATGTCCATGTATATATAGAGCGCTGTTTGCTCAATATTATATTTATGCTCGCATAAAAGATGTTCCCATTATTTACTTTACCTTCGTTAGTTTAATTTCTTCTATACTTTCGATCGGTCTCGCACTTGGTGTTATATTTGCCGTTAGTTGATTTATTAAAAATGATTAGTAATTATTTTTAATAAAAACAAAATCTCTTTTTAGGTCGGATTTTTATTAGCTGTTCAATTACGCAGTATTATCCGTAATCAAACTGGCATTGAAAGTTGGATATTACGCAAAGCACTCGACCGTAGTCATCGTCGAAAAAATCCATTTATCTATCCGTATGATCTTGGCTTTAAGGAAAATCTTCGTCAAGTATTTAATTGGCGAGAAACATTCAATGTTATTGGTAATGGTATAATATGGCCTGTTTGTGAAGGCGCTGATGAATATGCTTTAACACGTGAGCAAATTGAACAAAAAAGAGAAAAACGTCAACGTACTGTTCGTTACAGTGTTATTCAATCGTATAAAGGTTCATTTATAACATATCACTATGGCTTTCGTACGTGTATATGTATTCCTTGTTCGGATGAAGCTCGTATACCAATTGAAAAAGATGACTATGTTCTTGTGACACGTTGGGAAAAATATTGGCTATATGGTGAACGTGTTAAAGCTGATGAAACAAAGAAAACAGATGGTACCAAAAGTCGTTTTCGACATCGTTCACGTGGTTGGTTTCCACGTTGTTGTGTATTTGAAGCATTTCGAATGGAAGATTTATGGTCAGGAAAATTAGATCCCGATTCTGATGTTGTACGTGAACAACTAGATAATATAGCTCCAGAAGATCTTGAAGATTACGACGAACAAGAGCGTGTGGAACAAAATGAACAAAATGAACAAGCTCAACAAGAAGATACAATATCAGCATCATCGAAGGAATCCCCGAAAGTATTAAGAAACAGAAAAGCACGCAAAGAAAATTAATTTAAAGTATGTTTAATGATTTCCAATCAATCATCAAATAGAACAAGTATGTATAAATTGAAATTTTTCTTGTTTTTGATGTTTTGCTTAAGCACGCATAGAGATATTTTCGTTCCATGAACTTGTGTATACGCTGCGTCGAATCGTATTGCGAACTAGAATGAAATACTATATTGAAATTTAAGATCGTTTATTCTTTGTTATATGATCAAGAGATTGTATAATCACATTTCAGATATCATTTTTATTTACTATCAAATGATGTAATCTTTAATTCATCGAAAACACAATGGAATATTTACATTTGTCATTCATACTATAGTTTCGATAGATCATCAACCTTGTTTTCTTCGTTATAAAAGATTGACATCGCTGAAATGTCATACGTAACTTACGTGAATATTATATTCTCAGCGGTAATATATTGTAAGGTCAATATCAACAATGAACGCTTTTTTATTATCGCTATTTCATGGTTCTAATTCAAAACAGTTTGGCTATCATATGCTGTAGAATCGAGCGCGAAAATTTGGGTACATCATCTTTGTTGAATTTTTTCATTTCCATTAAGACTTACAAATCATCTATAAATTTTATTTTTACAAACAAAAGTTCCAATTTATGTTCTTTGAAACATCTACAATCCAACATTTTTTTACTATAAAGCACTGAATTCTATACGTTTTTGTGCGAAGTCCCATGGATACTGGCATCGGCTAAACAATTACTATGTCGAAAATTCTCATTAAAAACAATCATTTAAAAAGAGATACTAACAAAGATATCTTTCTTAAGCATCTTTTTCGAGTTCACTTATAAATGAAAAGTATCGAAATATCTCTATCTTTTATCGAACTATATAATATATTACTATTTTGAAAACAAAAATTGCTTCGTTAACTTGGTGATTATTCGAATCTACACGTGAGAAATTGACTGAGATTTTATCACAGAGGGGCATCTTTACTAAGAATTTATAACGGCTTAAAAAACAAATCAAACAGCAGACTCAATATCTCTGTTCTCACCAGTATTTTTCACGCGAATATTTTGAACGAAATCTTTCGCGCCATGAATTAATAAAATCAATATATCGACTGTCAGCCGTGAATCACTCAAACACTATTGATCATATTTCGTCAGTTCCGAAACTCTCCTTTCGCGTGCCGGTCGAGTTCCGTAAAACTGTAAATGTCTATTAATCGTACATGATTTCTGTTCGATTAGTTTATCAATGAAGTGTCCGATAAATCAAGTGAGGAACCAGAAAGACAAATTTTGTTTTTCTATTTATTTAAAAAACATTTTGGATATATTAAATCGAATACATTTTTTTATCATTATCTTCTAGTTTGCACATCCTTCGCTCTCGCGTTTCGTTTCAAATGCGCACGTCTTTTCGCTCCTTATTGTCTTTGATCTATCATTTTACTTCGTATGCGAACGATGATGAACACAATATGATACAATATAGTGCGCCGCAACGATTTATTTCAAAAATAAAAAGAAATCATTTATCTTCTATTTTTTACAAGCACAGTTAAATATGTGTCTGTAATCTTTTTTTCTGTTTTCTTCTTTGTTTTACTGTTGCAAAATCATGAACACATTGTACGAAAAACGAAACTTCATTTCCTTGTTTTCTCTTATTTATGTTTTCCTAGTTTTTCTTTTTTTGGCTCTGTTTCTGTTTCTTTTCACATTGTGATCTTTGATCGATGCGTTCCACTGTTAAACAGCGAACAATGATATTGTTACTATCTACGTGTAATATTCATTGTCTCTTGTGTGGAAAAAAAAGCGGAAGGCCAAGGTGCTTAATTGCGTTTATATTTGTTTTATCTTCTTCAATTGAACTTCTTTTTTTGCTTCTGTAAATCGATTTCTCTTGTTATAGTAAGAGTAAAATTTAACTGATTGGACTTTTTTCATTCTTGTTTTCTTCAAAATTCTAGATACGAGCAATGACAATGAATGGATCAAACAAAATTGTAAGAACAAAACTATTCATTGGAAATCTTGATCCGTCAACACAGCCTAGTAAATAATTGTTGGGTTTTTCGATAAGTAATGAGTATTATTTTATCTAGCTGAATTATCTGATCTATTTGGATCATTTGGTACTGTATTGGAAGCGTCGGTAATTAAAGATTATGGTTTTGTGGTAAGAATCAAAGAATGCCTTAGATGCATTTAAAAAAAAATTATTTTTCTTTGATTAGCATTTTGGTGCAGTTGAAGAAGCTGAAAAAGCAGTGGTTGCTTTAAATAATAAAGAATTTCATGGCAAACGATTACGTGTTGAAGTATGAGATTAATATGATATTTAGTTTTTGAAAATAGATTCGTTTTTTGTTTGTTTTTGTTAATTAGCTTTCAACAAGTACAGTGCGGCATCGACCTGGCCAACCCGAACCTGCCAGTGCTTTAAGAAAGTATGAGTATTAAGTATTGCTTTGCTTGTTTTCTACCTAATCATATTTTTATTTAGTTCTCGTGCTCGTTCTGCAGCCATGGCGAGTGGAAATGGTGTATCACGGTATAGTCCAGCAGCACCTAACAGTGGTGTTGGTCCTATGCGTCATACGGCATCAGCATGGGTTCGTAGTGATGCTCGTCCGTACGATGGAATTTCCATGGATCCAAATGCTTTGGCTGCTGGTTATGGTCCACCTGTTTATGATCGATCTCGTCCGTATGATGCTCGATCAGATCCACGAAATTATTATAATGATCGACGTGATAATGGTTATGCATCTGGATATGAAGCACAACGTGATAGTTTATATGGTCAGCCAGCTTATGCGGGTATGAGTGCAAGTGGCGGTGGACAACCTGGCATGTATCCAATGCGTGATTACCGTGAAGTGCCAACGCATACTCGAGCAGATAGTATGGGCTATGGCACCAGTCGGTAAGAATATTTGCTTTTTAATAGATTAAAAAAGATTCAATAGATTATTACTATTTATAAAGAATAAATAAATCAAATTCAGGAATTTGGACTACATGCATTTCGTAAATAGGACTTTAGCCGCTTGTTTTCTTTTTTGCATTGTATCATTTTTTTTCTCTAATAACGATTTTGTTAAACAAATTTAAAAAAAATATATTGTGTTTTTGTTTATAGAATCTATGATCGTAATCAAGGTACACCACCTGTCGATCCTTACTATAGTGGAGCATTACCTCAAGGAACACAAGCAGCTGTTGATCCTTATCATGGCTATGATCCTTATCAAAAATATTATAGTAGTAGACCTCGTGATCCAGAATATCCAGTTTCAACTGGTCCAAATTCAGCATCACGGTTGATAGTTTTCTTTTCTTTTTTGATAAACTCTATATTTAGATTTATTTCTATTTAGTGATTATGATGTTTATGCCAATTATCGTAATGATCCATATTTAACAGCAAGTGGTCAACCACCACCGCCACTTCGACATGATTTAGCTGTAACTTATCAACAACAACAACAACCAGGTTATCCACCACCAAATCCGCAAAGACAACAGCAAGCATATGGAGCTGCATCTGGTACACCGACAACATCATATCCACCATCTGTTGCTCAATATTATGGTACACAACAACGAACATAATAGACATTCATATATATATGAACGTTTTGGTTATATGATTAATCAATTTTAGTGTGTTTGTCTGTGTTTATATGTGTTCTTAGATGGTTTGATTATTGTTTCCTTTTTGTTTTGTTTTTTCTCTCTCTCTTTTGTAAATCGAAAAACCGAAACATCTAAAAGTGAACGATGCGGTTATTTTGTACAAAGTTATCTTTGTCTTAAACACTTATTTTTGTTCATGATATTGATGTTTATTTGTTTGTTTGTTTATTTATACTAGATGATAACAAAAGAAAAACAGAAATGAAAATGATGAAATTCCAATGATCTGCATTAAAGAAATGTAAGTTGATAAAAAAAAATATCGTTTCTTCTGATGAAAATTTTTTTTATCATTTAGTTCATTGATGGACGTCAACGAGACGACTGTTGAAATTTCAACGTCATGGTATATGGTGTTGTAGATAATTGATATATATTGTTCTTTAATTTTCATTATGGTGTATTTTGAACACATCTAGTAAATTATGTGTGAAATAGGCAATAGAAATTAATAGCTAATGGTTGAAAGACTCGATAGAATAAACAGTAAATGACATACGGTTTTCAACAATCGAAAGAAAAAGAATTTTATTGTACGTTTTATATCATATCATATAAGGCAGAATTACTTTATAGCCCACTATCTGCACAAAAAACATTGACAAGAAGGTGTTGTTTTGATGTATTTTTGATTTTGACATGTGATTCAGGTTGATATATTTAAAAGCTGAAACTGAAGGTACTACTGAGATGTTTATGTTCTTATATAATATATTGATTGGTGAGAAAACAATGTCTCATAGTTACTGGGTAAAATCGCACGATATTCTACGTATTTTCTCTCGTAATTTCTTGCATAACAGAATTATATGTTGGAAATTTTGTTTTTGGACATGATTAATTTTAATAATATATTTATTCTTTTATAGCATCAGACGTATGCACATCTGTAGTTTTTTTCTCTTCTAATTGCTGACAACTACAGACGTCTAGCTGCTGTCGTTGTCGAATTCTTGAGGTTATTATTACGTCTTTATTTTATTCTGATGCAAACATTCGTTAAGAATAAAAAAAAATCATCATACATATTTTTGAATCGCGAAAAAAGAATAATCATTTATTTGATTGATTGAATGCAAAATTTCTGGTTGTCATATTGTTCTACTATATAAGCCCACGATTCGAACGAATTGATGATGATTCATTCTTTCGAAAGAAAATCATTCTTTTTTGTATTCAATGGCCTTGCTATGGTACCTTTTTTCAAGTCATCTTATTTAGAATTTCTCGCCGATTTTGTATGTTCTCTTTGAATACAAATCCTTGATTGAGTATTAATGCAAATAAAATACTTCTATAGGCACTACGTATACTTGATTTATTTTCTTATAGCCAAGAGAATAATCTATAGTTTGCCCTTTGAACTCCGAGCGTTGGATTTTTTTTTAAGTAAGATAAATATAATGTAAAACCGTATTTACTTGTAATATGTTTTTTTCTTCTCGTTTCTTCTATCACCAAGTAATTAATCATTCATACCGTCTTTATCTTTCTATTTAACATGCGTAGCTATGCCTGTTTTATTCATGTTGTCGTATATCGAAGTATGCTCGTTGAAAAAAACGGAAGAAGCCTATCTTCTTTTCTCGCACTAAACATAAATGCTTAATGGTATACTTGAATGACATTTATACCTAGTTGTCATGCTTGTTTCTAAGATGTCACCCAGTCAGACGCCAATAACGTCTGTCTACCGATCGATTTTCCACCATATGCACTGTCAGCTTTCCTACTTATCAACAAAGATATATTTGTCATTCTATGGAGTACGAAAATCTACAAACAATATGAATTTTGTTTTATTGCGATTGTGTATTTCAAACGAAGGTTATTATTTACGCTTCATTTATTGCGGGCAGGAAGAGAAAGAGAAAAAAAACTGAAGCAATACAGTTACATATGAATATGTGCATGTTATCACCATAGATCAATCTCCGGGTTTCTTTTCATTTTTTTGAGAAAAGGTTGTTTTCTTTTTAGATTGATATTGTTTGCCCTTCTTCTTAAATTTATTGCTCCATAAAATATATTTTTTTCCTTTTCATTATTATGTCATTTGTGGGCAAGTAGAACATTGATCACTGAATTTTCTTGTTTTCATTATGCTACTTATTTTTAGTATTCATATGAGCCACACATCTTGGTTTGAAGAGAAGACAGCGACAGCCGGCCTCGTTGCCGGATTCTTTGGGGGTAGAGTAATAATAAAAATATATAATAGAGCTGTTCTATGATTTTTTTTTGTTTATCATGTATTATAGGTCTGGCACTTGGTTGGATTTTCAGCTCATCTGTATTTTTGAATAATAGTGTTAAAGTTGTTTCGAATGCGTTTGATTTTGAAAAGGATCAATCTTTAGATGAAAAATGTGTAAGTGCAAGCTACAAGCTACTGCTATGCTTTCATTTCATCATGATTTGAGAATCAATAGGGATTGAAATAATTCTGATTATACAATAAAAAACTTGATATAATTTATTACGAAATATAGAATTTAATTTTTTTTAGGTTGATCCTGGCTCGTCTGATGCTGAAGGAGAATACAAAGTAAATATAATAAATTTAATTGTTGTTGTTATTTCAAAATATGATTTCAAATTTAGCTCGTACTTGTTGTTAGAAATGATCTGAAAATGGGCCACGGTAAATTAAAACGAAAATATGATGTTCTCTAATCTACTTATTCTTATTTGTTTATATCCTATAGGAAAAATAGCAGCACAAGTGAGTAAAATCAATGCGTGATACATTTGAAAAATCAATGGAAACTATTATCATAATAGTGCTCTCATGCGACGCTTGCATGCTTTCAAAAAGCATGTGAAAAAATACCCGATGTCGTTGATACATGGTTTTTTGGTGGTCAAGCAAAGGTTGTTTGTAAATGTGAATCAGACGATGATTTGTAAGATATTAATTTATAGTTTGATAAAGTATTTTATATTTTTTTTGCGTGTTTCGTAGAGAACAGTTACGTCGTCAAGCTAAATTTAAAGGTTTAACAGCTTGTTTGGTGCGCGATGTCGGTATGTGTAGAAAAGAAAAAGCAATTAAAATTTACATTTCTCTATTGGAATGTAAATTTTTTATTATAGGTCAAACAAAAGTTGATGCTGGCCGTAGAACAGTATTGGGTATTGGACCAGGTTAGTACGAATTCCTTTTTAAAATTTTTTTCTTATTTGCTATTTCTTTATTTTTAGCACCATCGCGATTAATCAATGACATAATTCGTCAGTTGAAAATATATTAAATGATAATGATGGCTTCTGTTTTCTCTATTAAAAACAAAATTAAAAAGAAGATCCTACTGCTGTGCTGTTGTCTTTCATGTTGTTCCTGCTAGTTGTCGTTTGCTGTTGTTTCTTTTGTCTCATCCTAACTTTGAAAATATGTTCGATACAATACTTTTATGACCTCTTTTACTAGCAATCGGCTGTGTGCATGTTTATGTTGTCAATAAAAATAAATCTAGTGTTATCTTTTTTCCTTGTGGAAAATGTTCATTTAGTTATTTTTAAAGAATACAAAATAGCTAACATGCAGATAAAACATCGAATATATTTTTTAGATGAGTGATTCAACATCAGCATCGACTAATAATGCATCAGTATCAATGTCAGTGTCAAATAAAAATTCGATCACTAATAGTTATAATAATTTTGGAAAATATATCAAACTCAATGTTGGCAATCATCTCTTTTTAACAAGTTTTGATACGCTAACAAAAGAAGATACTATGTTTAAAGCCATGTTTAGCGGACGTATGGAAGTTGTACAAGATAGTGAAGGTAAAAATGAATTCAATGAAAGTTAAAAGAATATTTTCTATAGAAAATTTATTCCGCGCGAATGTAGTAGCATTTCTATTTAATAAACACTACAAAGTTTTGAAGTTTTAATGTTTTAATGATCGTTGAAATCTTTAATTTGTTTTCTTCGAATAAAACTAAGTGAAATACTCAATTTTTTGCATTTAATCTAAGACAATCCAATGGTTTCATTTTCTTTTCCTAACATCTACAAATAAATAAATAATAAAAAATTAGTTTTACTGGTTTATGTTGAAATCAGAGAGAAGCATTCTCAACAGAAGTTATTGCATCCGTTCTTATTATTCAAACTCTAATTAGGTTGGGTATTAATCGATCGTGATGGTAAACATTTTGATATAATATTAAATTATTTACGTGATGCTACTTTAAATTTACCTGATTGTACACAAACATTAAATGAAATACTACAAGAAGCAAAATTTTATTGTATACAATCACTTGCTGAACTTATTGAGCAACATATAAAAGTACGTGCGAAAAAAAATACCGGTGATATAGATGGTTGTTGTAAAGTGATAATGTTAACAGCTGCAAAAGAATTACCAAGTATTGTTGCTACTGTACGTAAACCAATTGTTAAATTAGCCATTAATAGACACAATAATAAATATTCCTATACTTCGTAAGTTAATTCTTCAAAAAAGAATATTTTTTTTATCAACTTTGATTTGTTTGTTTGTTTTCTTTTAGTTCATCTGATGAAATGTTAATGAAAAATATGGAACTATTTGATAAATTAAGTATTCGGTTAAATAATCGAATTTTATTTATAAAAGATGTAACAAGTAGTGAAGAAATATGTTGTTGGAGTTTTTATGGTAATGGACAAAAAATGGCTGAAATTTGTTGTACATCTATTGTCTATGCAACTGAGAGAAAACAAAATAAGGTTAGATTTTGAAAAACCAGGAAACTTACGAATCGAATTTAATTTATATTTGCCATCTAGGTTGAATTTTTCGAAGCCAGAATCTATGAAGAAACATTAAATATTTTATTATATGAAAATCGTAATGCATCTGTCGATGAAATTATTCGAGCAACAACACCACGTTTTGTATCAAATGCAGTGAATGAGGATGATCTGGAAGAGGAGCGTTCTACTAATGGAAATTCGGCCTCTGGAACTAGTCGAACACAGAGAAAACGTTGAAAATAAATATTTATTTACATGCGTGTATACACGCAATTCTATTTTTGGTGTTCTTACCGACTGTTGTATGCAAGTATTTGTTTTGTTTCTATACATACTACTAAATATATATAAATATTTATTTTTATCTATTGTATTTTAATCAGTTATGTTCGTCTTTCTTGTGCTAGTTTTATAATCATGAGACAGGAGACTCCTTTGAATGATGAAATAGAAGAAACTATTTTTGGTTGTGCATAACTATTGAAATAAATAGAAAATGACATAGATTTTTATGTTGTTATATAACTCGACGATTGTCAGTCGATTTGCTTTTAACTAGTCTTGGATTGTGAATTTTTTGAAAAAGGAGGACTTTGCAAAGAACCAAACTTTTTAAAAATCCCAGAAAAGGCATAAAAAACGAGAAAAATATCCAGTGTTGGAAATTCATTCTTTAGATTCAAATTATATGTTGTTTTAAACTTTTACTCAATCAAATTAACGTGAACACTAAATATTTGCTCAAGAGTTCAAAATAGATCAAGGTGTGGGCGTAACGGTTTGTATTGCGTTAACACCAGAGGTGTCCACAGGGTCAATTATATTGCCCTCTGCCCTGCCCTCCAAATTAAGAATTGTTTTCATGTATAAATTAAAGTTTAAGTCACTTTTTAATTTGAAAAATAATTCAACAAATAGATGAACGATTAGCAAATAATAAATTAGCCCTAATTGAAGAAGTGTATATGATGAAGTTACACCACCACTGGTGGTCCACAATAGATATATTTAACGAAGAGAGAATAGAAACTTCATTTTCATCATCAGAAGAGGCTGATGATATATCAGTACATGAATCTATCGGCGGTGATAACGATGCATAGTTCTATTGAAATAATAAGAAGATGAGCAACTATTACAATTATATATATATATATATATATGTGCATTATTATGATTCCTTTATTAAGTTCTTTTCTTTTTCTATCACTTTGATTGAATCTCACTGTCATCATACAAACACAAATATAATATAGTAATCTATTTACCATTTAATAACGCCATCTGAATTTTTTTAGTTTCTTTCGCGTTTCTGAGAAAAATAAAATTTCTGTTATTTTCGAGCTAAAATAAGTATATGCAAAATTTGCAGGGTATGAAGGCATAGCCCTGCCTTGCCCTGTATACAAGAATCAATAATTATCGAATCGACTTCTTGAAAAAACAAGAAAACTATAGTAAAACAAAAGCGTGCTTTAGCAAAATTCTTCTTTGTTTAAAATTTTTGTAGGAAATATAGAACGAATTCAACGGTTGATTATATAGCAATACGTTTTTGGCTAAAATGAAGAAAATAGTATTTCAACGAATTGTGTTAAGTTAATCAAAACAAAAATTGAATATGGACAAAAGTAAAGCATAAAATTGATGTTTTCATGTTATGCTTAATTATCATCAACGAATCTTTTAGCGGCTGATCTATTTTTTTCATTGAGTTAATGCTAGACGTTCTCTTTCTCATATTTTGTCCTTGATCAGTAGATAAAAACGGATGCAATTGATTACGAAATAGTACAACCTTGGCTGAATAAATATAACCAATCATCCGCTGCGTTGATCCTGAAAGAGCTACTTTTAATAATAATAATAATAATATCGACTGAGATTATTCGAAGAGTTAAGTAACCATATTTTTTGTTTATCTTCAAAATAGAAAGTTGCTAATTTTAGTAACTATCGTACTGATTTCAGTGCTTCAAAAAGTCGATTAAAAAATAAAATTTACTTTAAATTAATTCCTTTTCAGCAATGTTATTTTGATTATTATTTGATAAGATTCTTACTAGAAAATAAAATTAACAAAAATATTGTAATATTCCAACTAAATCGCTTCCATTTATTCGAGATCTAAACATGATTAAAGGGACATTTTATTTTACTGAATTCATATTGCCAAATCTTTAAAATTATCAAATTTTATTTTGTTCTTACAATAAAAGCAAGGAATTTATGTAGTTTATTGGAAGTATTAAATCCTATTGTGCAACATTTTCAGGCTCGATTAGATAATCCGTTGAGTACGCTGACACTCTAATATTACAGCAACCGCATTCAGACAAAATTTCAAGATGATATATCAAGCATGTAACGAAATCATGGGCATACCAAAGCATCAAATCATTCATATGATTAATTAAATGATGCTTTTTGAAAGGCTGCTATACTGTTCATTGGTTAATTGATTGTTGAGAAATTGAATGAGATATCACTGATTTCATATTCCCCATTCGACCTATTGCTGATTTTCTACGACGATCTGCTGATCTGCAAGTCAAACAATATTGTAATCAGTAAAAGTAAAAGATGAAATTCTCCGATTCCCTATTAATTTGGTGAAACAATTGAAAATCTGACCAGTTAAATTTTGTCTATGCTGCTGCTTCATGAATTAACAATCCCTATCTTTGATTATAGTAAAGAACATGCAATATTTGATGGTAACAGGGAACTTAAAATGCAATATCTAGCTTGTAATTCATATTCATGTTTTACGTAAACAAAAGAAAATATTAGTTTCAATGATTCAAATATCATCAAAAATAGTTTATGTTAACACAGCATCAATATCAAAGATTTCTAATGAGATGAGCACAACTACCCGCCTACGTCTTTCATAATACAAAACAATTGGATTCTATTCATTATGATACATCTTTATTTGTATAGTTATAGATAAAAATAACTTTATAGTAGCTCTTAAATATTGGAAACCAAAGTTTGCGTCGAAATATCGAAGTAGATGCCTAGAATAAAATGAATATGTTTTATTTCATACCAAATATCTAACATGAAATATTTTTCGAACTTAACAATAAAACGAATCAAACAATAAAGTGAAATCTATCCTTTTATCCCTATTCATCTTTCTTGGTTTTCAATTTGCGAACATCCTTCTTCGACGAGTTGCCTGACGAATTATTTTTATTTTCTTTACTTGAATTCATATCTGTTTGCCATTCAATTGGATTCTTACGATATATTGGCCAAGGTGGTAATATGAACTATAGTATAGAAGAAGAAAAACAAAACGTTTTCAAAAACCAATGTAATGTCATACCAAAACGGAAATAAAAGCTCCGAAAAGAACACTATAGACTGCTATACTAAATTGTTGCAAAACGTAAGCACCAAAAAACCCAATACTCTATGATAAAATAAAATAATATTTATTCAGATAAAATATTGTATCTCACAGCGAACAAAATGATAATCAGTTGAAATAGTCTTTCAGCTAATTTTTGTCCGTCAAAGTCCTAAAGAAAAATAATTCTTGTAGAATAAATTTATTTCAAACTAAATTTTACCGCATGTGTAGAAAAAGGCCATTTTATATCAATCATTTTTATGGATAAAAATGGCACAATAAACAACTCGATTATTATTCTAAATCTATATAGATTTAGAATTGGTCGATTGTTTTCTTCTTGATGCCGCCACTATCAATGACATTCTTTTAATTGACTAGGATGCATATACAATATGTCGATGGATGGTGAGTTAAGTTTCTCATCTAGACGAATCATGCTCATGATGACTCATAGTTAATATAGGAAAAGAAAATATTTCTGTTTTACGAACATCGCTATTGTTACGGTCAGCTAATTATCCATCTATTTGTAATGAAATATAAAATTTTGTTTTTTGTGATACAATGATTGATAATGAGTGCCAGTAGTAGTAGTAGTAGTAGTAGTAAACCAAGATATATGGAAAAATATAATCGGCAAAAACTAATCGGCACGGGTGCCTTTGGCCAAGCATGGCTTGTTCAATCTAAAGTCGATGGAAGACAATTAGTAATGAAGGAAATAAAAATTGCTAAAGTAAGTCGCTATATGTTACGTATATGAAAATTTTGTATATCTATCGTTTGGTTCATAGATGAGTAACAAAGAACGTGATGATGCAAGAAAAGAGGTATGACAGCCATTGTTTTTTTCAACTATATATTCTTATATGATAAACATGAAAATTGATTTTAAGGTTGATGTTCTCGCTAAAATGCAACATCCATATATTGTATTCTATTTGGAATCATTTGAAGGTAAATATATATATCTAAAAATAGTCTTTAATTTATGCACTTGAAAACAACAAAAAAATGTATTGTATAGTAAACAACAGCAAAGATGTATGGAATAGGTTTTTTCTCTCAAAACAATGACTTCATTGAAAAGTTGTCATTTTTGATAAAGTATTCATTTTTAAAATGCACGCCTATTGCAATAGATTAACATTGCTAAAAATTAAAAACTTTGTTTGAGGTTATGATGATACAAAATGCATGTAGTATTAATTAAACCAATGAGAAAAAGAACAATAAGTAGAATGGCATGCTAATACTAACAAGAGGAGCCCAGTAATATGAAGATTAACATTCAATTTAACTTTCTCTTGAATAATGTAAACTGCAATGAGCTTTTAAAAAACATATTAATGGCAAAGATGTTCTAACTTTTTCTACCAACTTAAAATTATTTCACTGGAAGATCAATCTATAGAATGATGTTTATTACAGAAAAACAGTTACCATTTAATTCTTCTTTACATACTGCTCGATGGGCTAACATTTCAACAAAGTGGCTATAACTCTATTGCTACCGCCTGGGGACCTTTGTTATGTTGAGATTTGTAATATGTTGCTGCGGTATACCTTATGAAACATGAAGTCACGAGAGATGTTGAAAGTGAGACCAATCTCTCATAGGATCCTATCAGCTAATTAATTCTATCAATATCAAAACGAATGTTTGTATTTTTTCGCTATTGTGCAAGCCGGGAATGGCGCCGATGATTTGTTTTGCATACGATTCCTATTTTTTGCTTTAACAATAAAATAAACTTAATAATTTTCAATTAGATGCAACAAGTTTATATATTCTAATGGACTACTGTGATGGTGGTGATTTACATTCACGGATAAAAGCGCAACGCGGCATTTTATTTAATGAAGATCAAATACTTGATTGGTTTGTTCAAATAACATTAGCGCTGAAGCATGTACATGATCGAAAAGTGCTTCATCGTGATATTAAATCTCAAGTATAACAAAAAAAAAATAAGAAGTAGGAGCAGAATATTTAGTCGTTCGCTGTTTTTCTAGAATGTTTTCCTCACAAGCGATGGTACAGCAAAACTAGGTGATTTTGGCATTTCTAAAGTTTTAAATACGTAAGTTTAACGAAATAAGAAAGCATATTTTTGTGTTAATTTATCCATCTGAATCTTTAGAACATGTGAATTAGCTCGTACACAGATTGGCACACCTTATTATTTATCACCTGAAATATGCCAACAAAAACCATACAATAATAAATCTGATGTATGGAGTCTTGGATGTGTTCTGTATGAAATGGCAACACTTAAACATGCTGTAAATAAAATAAGAATTGTCTTGAAATTTAAAAAAATGTTCTTCTATAGTTCGATGCTGACAATATGCATGGTCTCATAATGAGAATTGTTCGGTAAGAGAATTACGTTTTTCATTAAGATATTCTATTTTGTTATTGTTGTTTTAGTGGATCATTTAATCCAATTCCACCGAAATATAGTGGTGATTTACGAATTTTAATAGCATCTATGCTGCGACGTGAGCCACGGTACGGTTAAATGATATTTGTTTTTCATTAGTTGTACATTCATTTGATTTCTAGCGAACGTCCAGCTCTTACCACTATTTTAAGAAAACCATTTATAAGTCGACGCGCTGCAAAATACGCACCAGAAGAAGTATAATTTTATCTATATGAATTTTTAATCATGCTTCATATCTATGTATTTTATAGCCACATAAAGAAGATCTCAATCAAACTGTTATACAAAATAATAAAGCTTCTGTGGATCTTGGGCGTTCAAATGCAAATCGGCCATCATCACCTCGTGTAGTCCTAGTCCCAAAACCAGTCGAACTGGCTCGGCCAACATCTGCACAACGTGCTTCAGTTGTACGAAAACCTTTCCCTCGAGAACCTATTAGAGTCGCACAAGGTCCATCGATTGTTAAACGTCCAGTTTCAGCTTCTCATGGTGACAATCGGTACGCTAAATCTTGATTAGAAATTTCATAAAAAGCTTATTCAATTTTCTAGAATGTCAAAAGAAAAACAATCAATTGATGCCCAACGACGAGTGATTGCATCTGTTGATAAAGAAAATGAGCTAGATAGACGTCGTAGAGAAATTAACAAACAAAAAGAAACACGAGAAAAACAAATTAAAGAACAAGTAGTAGATCGAAATAAATTGATGTAAATTAGGATTGAAAAATTTTATCTTGTTTAGGCTGAAAATCTGGCGAAAAAACAACAAGAATTCATAGAAAAACAGCGACGAGCAAACATACAACGAGACCGAGAATTTTATCGATCAGAATTAACCAAGAGTTTACCGGTATAATTCGCTGACGATTTGATTAATTTCTATGTATCGATTTTTTTTAGGAAGCCTCCGACGATAAAAGTCAACGTCGAACACCGCCTGTATTTTTGCCTGTAAGTTAACATTCGAGAATACCTGATTTTGTTTTTTCAACCATACCAGGATATGGTTCAAATTTAGATAGTGTTAATGAAATTTTCTTCGACATAATTTTAGATAATTACCTAAAACACGATATGGTAATTTTTCAATCCCTGGAGATTTCATGAAAATGATTATTTTTTAACATAGAGAATATAAAAATATCGATCAGAATGAGAGATAATTGCATTTATTTAAAAAGTTAGAGACATTAGAAAGCAACTATGTCCAGTTTTTCAACTATCAATTGATTTTTTTGCAATCCCTTTATCAAAATTTTGTTTCTTTTCTAGCATAAAATGAACCAAATATCTAATCCATCATCAACCAGAGAGCCAGTATGTTTCAGTTTCTGATTAATTATGTTATCTATTTTTTAATTAAAAAATCTTAAGGTTATTGCATCGCCGAACCAAAAAATAGAAAAAAACGGTAATAATCATCAATACCACGAACAATTAGATCGATTAAAACAAAAATTAGCTGATGATGAAAAGAAAATGGACGAATGGAATAAAAGTATTTATTGAAATTAAATTTCACATCAAATTTTTTTATCATGAAATTCTAGTTAATCAAATACAAAAACCTAATCCTCCTGTCGAAGTTATAAGAAAACCAGTTGTTGTTCATCATAACTTCCACCCAATAGAAATGTAAATATTCAAATTGATTTAATATATTTGTGTAATTTTTTGGAAAATATTTCTTAGTGGAAAGATTAATCGACCAAAAATAGTAGGAAATAAACGACAAGTTCAATTGAATACACCTCGTGTGAAAAAGAAAGATGGTATTGCTGTTTTATTAAATCGAAATCTTGAAGAAATTCGTCAAAAAAATCTTTTACATAAGCGAGAATTTGTAAGACGACCATTAATCAATAAAGTATGAATTATTATTGTTATTAATACTTTTTTTCATCTCTATTTCGTTTATTCAATAGCCAAAAGATTGTTTTCAAATTAGAAAACGATGTCGTTCAAGAAAACATGAAAAAGAAGTAAATAGCAATTTCTTTCATTTTAAAATTATCAAACTCTTTTATTTTTCTTCCTATAGAAGAAAGTTCAAGAAGTTTATAAAAAAATCGAACCCGCTGATAATAATCTTACAGATCTATTAAATAATATTGGTGCTCATCCGATAAGGTTGAATATAATTTTTTGTCTCAAGAATATCTTGAAAAGCAAATATTTCATTTTCAGTTCTGAACCCACTAGAACAAATGTTCAGGAAGCTTGGGAACAAGATAATGAACTACCAAAACCACGTTCATTGTGGAATGAACAACCACACGTAGATTCGACAGTTCTCAATCGTTTTACACCATTGGAAAATTCATCTGGTAAGAAATTAAGTTCTTGTATTCAAAGAAAAATGTTATTTATCATAGTTTCAAATGCACTTGATCTAATGACTCAAGGACAACCTATGAATACTGTCACGGAATCAAAATCTAATCGACCACATTGGTCAAATGCCGCACGAGGAAACATTATTAGTGTACTCGAACGTGCTCTTACACAAGATCATACTATGTCCAGTACATCTGGTTCAGCAGAGAATACTCAAACATTCGATATTACTTTAACAAGTTTAGCACATCGAGTTGATCCCGATAAAAAACATGAAACTTGTGCTATATCGAATAAAGATGAATCTAAAAATTCAACAAGCATTATACCCGATAAGTCTATCATAGCTGATCTTCGTGTTGAAGATTATGATTTAACATTAACTATTCAAACAAAGCACGATGATCCAAAAGAGTAAAATAACGACAACAAAAGATGTCCATCTAATGTTTCTTTTTACTATTGAAAAAAATAGACCCTCAACACCATCGGACGATTTTGATCTACTTGAAGGTTTAACTACTGGCCGTTTTGATGCAAGAAATAAACTTGTAAGCATTTTCCAACTTATTTTCTTGAGAATCAAGACAATAAAAGTCAAATATAGGTGAGCTCGAAATCAATGTACTCTAGTCATATGCGAAATGTTTACGCTTCATTAACCATCGAATATTGAAAACGACATGCTATGAAGCGTGTCCTATCTCAAACTAAAGTTTGACTCGGTCTAACGCTTTTGAACATAATGCGCACTCATTAGGAATGCTCAAAAACGAATCAGTGAAGTTAACCAATATTTTTTAGCGTCTTAAATGACTGCAGCAGCAGCAGCAGTACTATTTACTGTACAAGTTGCGTAACTGATTTTGTTTTCGTAGCATCAAAGACAAGATATTTTTTTAAAGCCATCATTTAATAAGAAGTTCCTATTTTAAGAAATGTTTGGCAAAGGAAAGTGCATTTCAAATAATTTATGAGCCTGGAAAATGTTTCACTCTATTTTCATAAAGAACACAGATTTCGTATTCTAGCCCAGTGTTATCGAATTTCCGTAGGTCTCTTTAAGAAAGTTATAGCTCAATAATGTTCAGAACTATCAGCAAAACGAAATAGTCTTTCTTTTCATAATTTTGTTTTTTCTTACCTTGGTTTATAGTTTCTACGAACTATTTCTAATCCTGAATTACATACAATCGATGAACTTCCAGAAGAATCAACCATAGAATCATTGAAAGCCACTCGAAGTTTATCGGAATTGAATATAACAAATACAATCATCGAATCAACACAAAAATATTTGTTTTCATGTATAAATATGCGAAGTACAAGTGACAGTAATCTAGCGTCGAATAATACAAATTTTGAACATGATGACAACGATGATAAGCAAATATTAACATCACAAAATGGTTTACATGATGTGGAAAAGAAACTCAGACATACAACAAGTGAATCAGATATGAAATCAAACGGTGATAACGATGATGATGATGTTTGGTGTAATCCAGAAGATGAAAATAATCTTGAATATCGTATCAAAGCTGATCAAGAACGAGTAGAACAATTAAAAGAAATTCTTGGTGATGAAATCTTACGAAAAATTCTTGCAGCACTCAAAGTAAAATTAAATTTCCGCGTCATTTTTAATTATTTTTGTCTTTTTTTCTTTCTAGAAAAACGAAAACGATATTGATGCTTTGAAGAATATTCTACCAGAAAATAAACATTATTTATTGGATTCTGATGTTTTATTAATATTAACTATGATAAATACACGATCAAGTATAAACTAGAGAATCTGCAATGTCTGTGTTGTTTGTGATAATAATATTATTATTCTGTACGATTTTAACATTTTGTTTTTCGATATTCTTACTTTATTGTATTCATTTCATGAGAATCTTATATGAATTTTTGCTCTTCTTTCTAATATCAATATATTTTTAGATATAACCATGACTAAATCTTTGGTCATCTGGTTTTTCTTCGCTATAATTGCTGCATTTATTGGAAAGTATTTGGTAGATTTGGGATTATTTCGACAGATCGAAACAAAAGGACTCAATAAATGTCGATTAATGATACCATCGGGTGGAGGTAATTCACGGAAAATTTTTCTTGCCTTTCGAAAGCAAGCCAATAGTCGGCTATGAAAAAAATCGATCGGTATCTTGTACCTTTTGAAAAATCGTATGACTTATTTTATTTAGAAACTCGTTTTTCGACAGAAGTGTTTTTTCGATTGAACAACATTCTATTCTTTGTGAACTTCATTTAATATGAAATTCGTTTCGCTCTGAGTTTTACGAGAGATCTTTGAGTCTTATTCATTGGTTATCTTTCGTGAATGTCTTGATATAGGACAGAAAGTTTTATCGCAGTATCTTCAATATGATTTCATTATATTCTGAAAACTTAATACAATTTGACTTTGACGAATTTTTACTATAGAGGATCTAGCTTTTGAAGATTTGGTAATTGATTATGGAAAGAGTATTGCTTATTTGGCTGGTGATTATCGTGCTTTATGGCTTAATTCGTATAATTTATCCGATGCAAAAGACAAAAAACGTGGAAAAATCTACATGTTTGATATAGAAGCAGAAACATTTAAGGAATTACATTTAAAAAATTATCCATTCGAACATTTTCATCCGCTAGGAGTGAATCTATTAAAAGGAAAAAATGATCGAGTAAGATAAATTCGATACGAGATGTTTATATTCGAATTTAATTACTATTTAGTTATATATGACAAATTATCGAATGAATAATGGAGAAATTATAGGATCTGTAGAAATTTTTGAAATTGATTCATCAAATGGCGATCAAATCAAGTGGATTGATTCAGTTGTTAATCCTCTTTTTACGGGTAGCTGCTTTTTATTGAAATAAACGCATGCTAAAACAGCTAAACACATTAATGCTCTCATATAAATAATCAATTGTACAATATTGTAACTATTAACCTTTGTTACACTGTATATGAATAAATTAATTTCTTAAAATTATTTTTAAAACATAGCACCTGACGATGTATTAGTAATCGACGAGAACGCATTCTATCTCACAAATGTTTATCATCATACAAAAGATAAATCAGTCTTAATGCATACTTTCGAAGTTTTTACCAAACGCCCTTGGACTGATTTATTATTATGTTCAAAAACAAATCGATGGAAATGTTCTGTGGTAAACGAATAGAATATGTCATTATTTTTGAAATTTCGATACATTCATTTGTGTAGATTGTTGATTCTATTATTTTGGCCAATGGTATTGCTAGTTCATTAGATCGTAAGACAATATATGTAGCTTCAAGTATAGAAAAAAGAGTCAGTTAAATGCTATATTGTAATCTTTACAGAAAAAAACAGATTCTGATTATTTGTTTTTTCAGGTTCGTGTGTATCAACGTCATGCAGAAAATAATTCATTAACTTACACACAAAGTCTTTATGCACCATTTTTAGTAGATAATATTAATGTTGATTCATATGATCAACTTAGTGTTGCCGGTCATCCAAAGGCAATTGAATTCTTTCTGCACGTAGCAAATCCGAGCAAATATCATGCGCCTTGTGAAGTTATACTTTTCCGTAATCCGAAATCAAGTAAAAACTTATTTCGTTCTTCGAACTACTAACTCATCGATTTCCTATCAACATAGGTTCAACATATGAAACTCTATTACTTACACGTGGTGAACTGCTGTCAGCATCAACTATCGGTGCATTATATGAGAAACATCTTCTTGTCGGTGGCTTATTAGATCCTGGAATTTTATTATGTCACGACATCTTCTAAGCAAAACATTTTTCATATTGTTATTGGTTGTGAACAATATAATATTAGAAAAACTGACCAGCATACGATTAGATAGAATATTAATATTATTTTTATTTTTCATATTTTTAGCCTAATCATAAATAAATAATCTATTTTTCATTAATTATTACTGATGTGTAATAGAATAGTTGATGAAGAGTCTCTTTCACAGAAGTTTAAATATACTTATCAGTGGCAAAACTAAACTTGAATAAACTAAGCGCAGTGCATGTAGCCCATTCTTATGGACTCACAATTCCATGTATGTACCAATAAGTTATTATTTTGATAACAATGCTGCAACTGATGTTTCATTTTTTTTACACCCGTTGAATCATTCTAACTGCTATATGTATATAGAATCATTTATACTGCATGTATCGCTATCATCTTTTACAGGAACATCTTTTATATAGAGAATGAGTCAAATGTAGATAGCAGATATTTTGATGAAAAAAAAAATGAGAACGTAATCTTTTACAAAACTTTCAAAAATGACCTTTGCTTATGATGTGTTCTCGAAGATAAATTACTCAAGATCCGAAATCCGTAATGCTAAATATTCAAGTCATGTTGTTGTTATTCTATTATTTAAACCAAATTTATTGCGAAGGCAAATGATTCGTTTTTAACTAACATATCACCACAGTAGTATATTCATTCTTTTCGTCTCTTTTTTGTTTGCTATATTGATGATAACAACACTATCAAAAAGAAAAAAAAGTATCTTTACATTTAATGTAAAGATAAGAATGTGTATTACTAATATGTTTACTTTGAAATTTTATTCTGAGTAAACCAAATTGACAACATGTCTACTGCAAAAAAATATGCTGTGCCTCCTGCGGAACCAACAGGTTTCCGTATTTTTGTACGTGCTACATATTCAGCAAGATACAATTTTGCTGTTCAAAATTACAATGCCGTATCCGCTAATCGTAAATTAAGTATGTTTGGTAACCGTTTTCTCTTGTTTCGATCAATCGTAGCTGTTGTATGGATCGCATCAATGGCTTTTGCAGTTCTTGCTTTACTCAAAGCTGCATTTGTTGCCGTTCCTATTATTTTTGGCTTGATATATATTGCAATATCAGCTTATAATATTTATGTATTTATTGAAAATCGTAGTCTGCTTAATGCAACACGTCTCTTACGAGCAAAATTTGCTGGGCCAACCGGTCTTGATTGTGAATGGATAGCTGTGCCACTTGATTCACGTAGTGCAAACGAAAGATTAGCTGCTGTTGAGCAAGCTGCACTGGATAATGTTCGACGAGAATGTGCGGGAAATAGTGTAGCCGAAATCGATTGTTTAGTTTATACAAAACGTTATGCTGACACGTTTCCTTCATTTCCAAAAGAAGTTCTTCTACATTTCTTGGCATTCTTGATAGCAATTGCAGTTGGTATTCTATTGGCTGCACTTTAAATAAAAATTTTCTTTATTAAATTTATCATTATATGAATAAAAATGTACCAACGAAAAACATTTTTAGCTGACGGATAGGTGAGAAATTGTCGGGCAAAAATTATTAAGAGCACGCAAAAGTAATATATAAAAGACTTGATCATGAGAAAAAAAATTCAATTCAATACTACAATGGAGCAGGGCATTTACAAGTTGAACAAATATTGCGTTCATTTGGATGATAATCATTTACTGTTTTACAACCAATACAGGTGAAATGTCTAATTGGATTGCCCGTACTCATCGATGCACCGCGAGTAGAATTTAGTGGCATGCCTGTTCTATATGGTATAGATGTAGATTCTCTGGAGTAGACTTGCTGATAAGGCATAGATTTTTTACTATTTGATACTGAAAAGAAAACTAAAAATGATTTCTATTGTGTAATTAAATAAATAGTTTTACGTGAATCAGAAGGATTATAGAGATTTCGATTTGTTTGAAAATAGCTTGGCGCTGGATGCTTTTGAAAATAATTTGGTGCTTGATTTGCTTGAACATTGTTTGAAATTGAACTTGTTCGACTTGCATGCATGGGCATAACACGTATTAATGAATTCCAATCAATATTATTCGAAACAGAAGTATCAATACGAATTTGTTCATTAGATTGTTGTATAATACTATCAAGATTTTTGAATTGTTGTCTTATTCGATTAAGATCATCTTCAATATATCCACCAGTTTTTTGTCTTTCTTGTAATTCTTTTGAGATTTTATCAAGTTCAATGCGAACATTTTTACTTGATTCTGATTGAAACTGTCGAACTTGATCTCGTGCTGTAGAGGCAATAAAATCAATATGTCCATGCATTTCTTTTTCCCACAGGTCAATGTCATCAAAGCGTGGATACATTTTTGTTGAAAGATTACTAATATTTTCAACAAGTTCGTTACGAACATTAAATAGACCATCGAGCTCTCTCGATAGTTCAGCACGGTGCTCAGATATACATGTTGAGCAATATTTTCCTTTACAACCTTGACATGACGTAGTACTTGGATTGTGTTTGCATATAGCACACAAGGCTGAATAACTGAATGACATTATCTAACTATCTAAAATTATACAAATAAGTTGATAGAATTTATTTTATTCAACATAAATCAGAACATAAAAATTAAAAATGATTTTATTTTGAAAAAATTCTTATGAAATTGAATTCACATTTGTACTTGGTTTTTTTTCTGACTATGAGTAGTGCGTATTACTGTTATGAATCATTCTATTGACTTTAGGCATCAGAACCCTGAGGAAGTAGTTGATCATAGCTATTTGTAGTTAAGGAGACGTAATTCAAGGATTCTGCGTCCTGAAGAGAATTTTGTCGCATACCATCAGAGATACTTGGCATGGAATAGGCATCAGAATGCGCCTTTGTAACGGAACGCGTCGGTGTACCGATTGAAGTAAGAACGATTGGCTCAAATATCGAAGATGTTTTACATTTAGGAATTGACTGCTGACCTTTGATATCCTTGCTTAGATGTTTTTTTTTTATGAATTTTCGTATATTCTTCCAAATTTTATCTTGAGTAGTTTCCTCTTCATAAAAGAAATCTGACAAATCAAAACAACTATCTGCAATTTTTCTTTCCATTGAATTTTTGCTCATGGTAACATGCAACAGAGAATTCCAATCGAGTTTGTTAGTTGTCGAATAATTAATTCGGATTTTTTCATTTGCATTTTTAATCGTAGAATTTAATTGTTGTAGTTGATTTCGTATTTCATTGATATCATTATCTAAATAATTTCCTTCTTGTTGGCGTTGTTCCATATCAAAAGTAAGTTGATCAAGTCGATGACGAATATCAGACATATGCTTTGCCATCATTTCATTGGCAATTTTTCGAGCGTTACCCGCAATCAGTCGAATACGGTTTGTAACTTCCAGTTCCCATTGATCGATTTCAGTTAAACAAGTAAAATCTTTATTGTTTTGCCAATTTAATTGAACAACACCCAATGATTCTTTTAATTCATTTTGAACTCCGAATAATGTTTCGAATTCTACCATAAGTTCGTCGTGATGTGCATTCATGCATTGGAGACAAAATAATCGTTGACAGCCTTCACAACGTGTACTACTCTTACGTTGGTTACAGCACGTACAGTTCATTTTTTCTTTCAGTCAACGTGATAAATCGTCTGGAAAGAAAAATAAGAATTCAATTCTGATGAATGAGAAAAAAGCGTATAATAGAGATACGAATATTTAAGGACACATTTGATACTATTGTTGAACTTCTATCTTAGTCGATATGTAATTATATGAAAAGTTCTCAGCACGAACCGATTCAACAGAGATGTATCGTATTTTTCATAAGTCTACTATCATAATCAGACGTATATTTTTATGATCTATAAAAGTATACTTATCAAAGATAATTATCTAACAACGATAGGACAAGAATGAATTTGTAATAAATTCTTCTATAGGGCTTTGGCAACTAGTTATATGATAACATTTCTATTTTGTTTTGTTTTGTCAAGGATACATAAATATGAAAAGTAGATTTGATAAATTCAACAGAAAGTACACCAATGAATTGTTCTTCAGTCATATGACTCAACTGCCTCCAAAGTTCAAAAATAAAAAGTTAAACGAGTAAGCCACAAGAAACAGGAAGAATAATTCTCTAGATCATACGACAACAAGATATGTAAATACAAGAAATAGTTTTTAAAAAAAGATTACTAGCGATTTTTGAGCTTTGCAATCAAAACGCAATTCTATTTCAGATGTAGATTACAACAAGCAAACAATTTTCAACCTTTGTGCAAGATAAGAAAGTCATGTCTGCATCGTTACCAAGGGCAAGTAATACAATAAACTTTGAAATAGGCAAAAAAAATAGCGATAGCAAATAGTCGACGTACTAGTCACGTTTAGTAATGTTAGAATAACTGAATTTAAGGAAATCTAACATGGTTTAACTACCTTCATCGTATGTACAATGCTCATCTAAAGAATTAGCCAAATCGATGTCAGCCAAGTCTATCTCTAAGAAATGAGAGAGAACTGATATGTTCTTAGAGTTGATTCACGTTCTTGCTTAGCCTTCTAAAGTTTCGAGAATAAAACTCAACATTTAGAAAAAAAAGTCACTTAATTTTAAATCTAATTTAATGAAAGAAAACTTACAGTACATCGACTTTTCCTGAAACTGCTTCTAATGCTGCTCACTATAAATATTGCTTAAGAATAATTATTTCTGATGAATTTTGACTGATTGAAATTCAGAGTTTCGAAGTATTTGAAGTTGAAAAGTTATTGTACTGATGTAAAGTTCTTCCCAAGGTTAAATGCCGACGCATCTAATCTCACAAAAATTGATAAGACCAACAACTAGCAATCTTCTATTTTCAGCAATTTGAGAAGAAGACCTTCGGATGTCACCTTGCTTGATACTATTTAAAGCAATATTCTATGAAGAAAAATCATCGCCACAATGAAATTCATAAATAGACAATATTCTCTCAAGAAAATCGAGGATAAAACAATCGAAGGGTATATAACTGCTATGAATTGATATGCAACTAAATACTCAAAGAAAGAAAGAAAGGAAGGCCATGCAAAAACAATTTTTTCAATCGTCGTCTAAGCTATAAATCTCATGTACACTTATCTAAAGGCCACGAGTCACTTGCTTTTGCTATTGACAAATTATACAGTTTATTTCTATCATTCTTTCCTACTGAAGCGCAGGATACCTTAACAACTATCTTTAACAAGAACGATTTCTTACTTCCTTACATACGCAGTTTATCATAATTCTGCATTGATTTTACTGCTGTTTTAATTGCGATGTTGTCTACAATAATATAAATCCATGCATTTTCGTTGATATTGTAAAAGTAATATACATATGTTTCTTAACATCAGCAAACTTTAAAGTTGATAGTAAATCTTAACCATATTGTTTTCTTTTATTGTATTGAAATATTTTGAAATTATTGAAACCTCTACTGCAATTGTTAAATAATTTGTTATTCTTCATGAATCAATATCAGCCAAGACTATGAGTTTTCGTTCTATTGGTCTTGTCGAAGTATACGCAATTATCTGTTTTCGTTTACTTCCACATCGTTATTCGTATAGAAATATTTCTCGTTTCATACAACAATCCTCGCGATTTGTACATATCCATTATGTACATAGTATTAAAAATAGATTTCATACTATTAATAATCTAAGATTAAAATAAAACATTGAATGATTATTTTAATATATTGTTATTGAAAATTTTTACTTTAATACCATCGAGAGAAAAAAAAATATAGGGAAAATATTTTCATCGTGAAAAGAAACACTAGAAATAAAGCAAAAAAGACACCACATATTAAAAAACCAAAATAACACAAGAAAAAGAATTGTAACTTTTTACATTGTTCGTTGTTGTACTCGTAAGACATAAAACAATTTTTACCAAAAAGAAAAAAACTATACAGAGAAAAGGAACTAACGCATTACTTCATCCATCAACTTAATGTAAACGTAACACTATCACATGAAAACACACTCGAGATAATCATCGTATGACTGTTCTATTTTTGTTGTTTTTATAGATTAACTCGATTATTATTACTCAGTAATGTGGCACATTTAAAACATTCTGACATATTGAGCATCTACTCGCTCCGTATGCTGTGCCATGCAACACATTTAAATAGTTACATTTTGAACATAATATCTTTATTTGGCCTTTCATTTTAGACGATGATGATATTGGAGAAATAAAATCCGAGCTTGAATATGATGTTGGATAAACACCTAACGGTGAAGGTCGTAAGAGAACAACTTGTCGTGGCAACGGGCGATTTCTATTATAATCACAGCAGTTAGAACATAAACCAGTTGAGGATATATCATCAAAATTCATTTTACAAATAATACATGGCCGAATTCGATCTGTTTTTTGGTCGAAATCGATCAAATTTGTTGATGACGAGTCCGATTTAACATAACGTGAATTGCGATATTTTCGATCGTTCTCACATTCCGTACATAGACTAGCTGATGATAAACTACTAAAATAATGATGGCAGCCATAGCATGTGTGAAGTTGATTTAAGTGTGGTTCGAAATCAATAAAATGCGGTTTTGAAAAATCGGTTTTAACATAACTAACTGGAATTCGAGTAAGACCAAGGTGCTGTTCTGAGCCTAAAAGGTGAATTACGTAAAATATGAATTAAAAAAACTAAATCAAGAATGCAGTTTAATATTAATTCTAGTAAAGTGATAAAAATCGCAGCGTTTCGATCACTGTTCTATGATGCAATGCAATTTGCGAAGCAAACCAAAGTTAATCAGTAAATTGAAGAAAAATCAAACGTAAAAATTCAACAAGAGAACAACCAAAATCAATGCCTCACTTTTATCTCCTGAATATTTAAATAATACAACACATCGAACTTCGACTATTCGTGTCTATAAAAGGATATATAAATAAAATATGATTTTAAAGAATTCTACTCGTAATAAATGATTACGATGACCCCATGTAATTCTTATTAGAATTTTACATGTATGCGTGTGTAAACGAAAGCGTTATATTATACAAAGAAAAAGCAAGCGTAGGCAAGTATTGTTGGTAAATATTGAAGGAAATGAAAGAATTTTCGAACAAGAAAATTATTGATGTAATCAAGAAAAACAAAAGAATTAATCTATAACGCACTCTTACATCAATCATTAACAAATCTAGGTCGTAAACACGCCAGAGCCACTAGAAACCAGAGAAAAAATGTTCTAGATTTCGAAATCGTGATTAAGAAACAAAAATTAAAATTCAGTCAATAAAAAATATATATTTAATTTGTAGAGCTTTTGTTGTTAAAATTAATAGCAGAAATACGCACAAAAATCAACAAAATATTAGCAATATTTTATTTTTCAAACATCTAAAAATTATTTAGTAGAAAAATAACTTACCTTGTTTTAGTTTTGACTCATTTCCTCGTGGACTATTATTATTATTGATTGCTGTTTTACCATTAGACATGAGATCATTATTAGTCGAATCCCATTCACTTGCAAGTACTGTCGATTTCCCATTACTTTGTTGATGATTATCATACTTTATGTATACGTGAGTTTGTGGTTTTTGTAAATTTTGTGCTTCAGAATAGTGATTATTCGATGGTGTATAAGTTTCTCCACGAGACACAGCTTTATCATATGACGCTCGTCGTTCATGACTAACTTGATTTCTATTGTCATTGAATCTTGTTGACACTGATGAATAGGCTGGTGGAGATACACTATCTTGTTCGCTTAATGTTCCTTGACCATTGTTATATGATGGTTGATTGGAAGAATAATGTTCTAGTTCTTGTCTTTGTATATCTTCTCCGTTTTGTTTCTTTTTCTTTTCTGTTTCAATAAAATCCAAAACATATTCATAGTAGAGAAAAAAAAAGTTGTCTCTCTCTCGTAATGATTTAATACCCAGTTCAGCACATATGATTTTTATCGGCTGAGCCTTTAAATCTGGATAATAAGCTAGTTTTTTTATGCGTAGATAACTTTGAAGTAATTTATTGTTCTGTTCGAGATTGTCCTCTCTGCCTAAAAATCGAATGGGTAATAATTTTTGGTTTCGAGCATGTTCACTTGATTGATAAAGTGGAAGAAAATTATCTTGTGTTGTTCCTGAATCCAAATCGTTAGCTTGTAGAGGACAAAAATGAGATTGATCATAGGCTAACACAATCGGTACAAGAACGCAATCTGCTGCCTTTGAAAGAGTAGGTAAATAAACACCGAATAAGTCGTTGTATGCAATAGCTTCTCCATGTTTATTACGTACAACATCTTCAGATAAAACAATAATTGGTCGTCGCAGCATATTACATATAGAAAATATATGTACAGCTTCGAGAAATTGAAAACTTGATGCTATTTGTCCATCATCAGAATTTTCATATCGAACAAGATCACACAATTCTTCCCATTCCTTGTTACAAAGAAAAAAAATCATCATATGAATTGTATTTGTTTAATTGTTTTTTAAAAACTTAGACTTACAATATCAAGTTTAGAATCTTCACTTTGAATACCATACATTTTGTCTGTTCTGATTCGTTCAGTTCTCCAACTTCCTTTCAGTACGGCCTTGTTCTTATCCATAAATTGACGAAGTCGATCACGTAAATATAAGTCAAAATCATGTACTCCAACCATAGCTATGAGTACAGCATGAAGAAGACAATTACCATTGCCTGATGTGCGAACCGGATACAGTTTTTTCAATGATGACATCCAATTAATAACTTGAGTTTCATGCATCATTTTAAACATAAGACGATCGATTAAATATCGCTGACTTTCTGTTAAATCGTCTCGATCAAAGAAGCCACGTGGTAACACACTTGTAAATTGTGCAGTTTCAGAAAGGCGTTCAATTAGATTTTGATTAATACTATTTAGTATTTCACTAGATTGTACTTTAAACCTTTCGGGAATTGGCAAATGGTCTTTATTTGATGATGATGATGTTGATCGAGCTTTTGGACCACAACAATAATTTTGAAACGAATTAAAATAATGATGATGTACTGTATCAAGTTGTTTTGAAGTACGAGTCAACGTTCCTGATAAACTAGTTGATTCAGTCATCGTAGAAGAAATAATTGAATATTTAAAAGCAGATAAAAATTACATGGGGTCGAATATTAAATAAATAAATATCATTTGCAAGACATAAATAGCACACAACAATGAATATTATATCTAAAAATGTGAAACCTATGCGATTCAAATGTTGTCAAATATTGAAGGAAATAAATAAAAATAAAATAAAAGATAATGGGCGGTGTAGATGTATGCCTGCCTCCAAAGAATCAGGCAAATACGAATGAACTGTTTTTTTGTTTTTATGCTCTTCAATACAACTGTGATTCATGATATGATGTGATAAATAAAAGTAAATACAATCTTATCAATTGATGATTCAAATGATTTTACGATTGTTGAAATGGTGTTTCTATGTTTTGACTAGTTGTAACTATAGAAGATTGTACAAAAATGCAAGAAAATAAACGAAAAAGGATTAGCTTCTATTTTTACACATAAAATTACTGTTAAATAAAAATAGAAAAAGAAAATTCAATCACTAGTCTTCTCTCTACTAAAACTATTTTCGTCATTCATCAAATATGAAAATGTCAAAAACAATTTGATCGTAAGCACAAAAAAGTAATGCACAACGCGTTTTTTCTCTCACCATAAAGAAAAAACATTTGTTGATGTTCTTCGATCCTATTTCTTCTTCCTCGCCTATAAAACAGAAAAAAAACAACAGCCATATCGGTATTCTAGTTTTTTTCTTTTTCATTCTGTCTATCGTTTCTTCTCAAAGGCGAAGAACGAAACTCAGCTAGTAGACTAAAAGCATATTTTATTCTATACAGCTTTTTTACATTCCATAAAAATGTTATCATTGATCACTCTTATCAGTGCACTCATTTATCCTGCTCAAAGCGTAAAAATAGTTTCGACTTCAACCATTATCGAGTCTGAAACTCCTACTGTCATCTTAAAAGAGCCTACTTCAAAAAGTGAGGGTACGTCAGCTGCTGTTTTTTATGCAATGCCGTCTTTGTTTTCCTTGTAGAGCAGTTAGTTACTACAGAAGGACGATTCATTATAGCAGAAGGAAATTCAAATCATTTATTTGAGCCGTCCGATTTCATAAAAGAGCATATTGTTCAAAATTACGACGATAACACCAGAAGAACAAAAACTGATGAAAACGTTAGGTAATAGATTTTATTCTAGATTATTTCAACTGCGAAATATTACTTTAGATCTTCAAATGATGATACGCACATTCAAGTAATCGAAAATCATTTTATTCATTAAGAAAATGATTCTGATGAACAGTTATTTGGCAAACTAGAAAACAGAATGCTAGCTTACACTAAACTCTATCAAATAGATCTATTGATGTTAGATAGCAATAACTTAAACAAACGTTATATTTTTCATTTACATAAGAAATATTTTATTATTCTTTGTTATGCAAAATACAAAATTTATCCAAGCAACACGCGCATAACTAACGATACAAGACTGCATAGATTTTTCTCTTGTGCTAACATAATAATATTTCCGTGAATAGTAAATAAAAATATTTTGTCATCTGTGAGAGAAACATTAAGATTTATGTAAAAACAATATTATTGATAAAATTTTGACGAAAGTACACGAGAATAAAAACAACAAACAAAAAATATTGACATAACAAACAATAACAGGTGAAAACAGTTTATTGAAGAATTCAAGGTAAAATTGTTTTTCATGTGAATAGATGTATTTGTTCGAAAAAATTCTACGTTATATTCAAAGTCTGCTGATCAGTTTCTTGTATATAATAAGTGTTGTTTATTTGTACGGACGAAATTCGAAAAACAATATTCTTAATTATTAAGAAAGTATTTATTTTTAGAATTTAATAAAACTCAATCTATATAATCACACAACATATCGGACTCAGCTGACTCGAAAAAAAAACAAAAGATTGTTAATAGAAAGAAGTTTCATCATCGAATACACTTCATAATGGCTGCTATTCAGTTCTTTTTTTTTGCAGTAATATTTCCAAATAAGTGTATATAAATTAAAGTTACTCGTCTGAAAAAAAAGAAACATTTTCGCTGATATCTTGCAATTGATCTTTACCAGAAAAATATTTTATAACAAATTCTACTATCGCAAAACTACACTGATTTTTTTATTCATTGCTTTTCACAGAAAACATTCACTTTGTTAGATTGTTTATTAATTATTAATTATCTTTTTCAAAGCATGCATATGTTATGAAATGACTTAAAGTGACGAATAGTTTTCGTATTTACGTTATTTTTCAGATAAATATATTTTCATCCTATTGATCTTTAGTTTGAAATATTTTTGCTCGGCTCATCATGAAAATAGTCAAATCCTGAAAAATAAAAGTTTTATTTAAAATAAATGATTTTTTTTAAAATATACTGTAGCTAGTACTCAATTGTTTTTATAAATTCAATGAAAGATTTTCATAACTTATATCCTGATGATTTTGTTATTTACTCGAGCTTTTTATTGATTAGTTTTTAATTAGTAAATATACTGTTCATAATTAAGATATTACTATTTAAAAACGATGAACGTCCAATGAAACGTCATGATAGTTTTACAAATAATAAATGCAATGAGTTCGCTACTTGATTTAGTTTCATTCAAGTAGAACTGATTTCGTCGGTTCCAATTTTCTACAATGGTGAAGAAAAAAGAAACCACGTCAACAATGTCATCAGCTCAGCCTAGAAAAAACTCACGATAAATATTATTATTTTGGCGTTTCGACAGGCGTTTCTTTTTCTAAACAGAATGAATCTTGATAAAATTCTATTCGAAGTATTGTCTTTTACCTAGGAATGTGAAAATAAAAAGTTTCAGTAATTTGTATTTCATTTTCCCAAGGGCAAATCAATTAGGGTAATTCGTTCATTTTCATACATGGAAGTTAATTGCTGAGTAAAAACCTTTATATAGAAGTTCAATCAATATAATAGAAATAATGAGAAAAGGATATGTGACCATAATTTATTATTATTATTAAGCCGATAAGCGAAAAAAAATATACAAGCTAAAAAATAAAATAAACTCAAAAGATGTCAGTACTGTGCAATAAGTTGATTATCTTTTATCCTTTGTTGAAATATATGGCATTTTAGTTTGTGAAGATTTTCTTAATGACGATGAAAGAGACTTTAAAGATGTTTTGATTATTGGTATTGGAGTCTTGTCTTCGAGACTTAATGACATACTTCTTGTTGTTAACATCGGAAACGTTTTTACTGTAGAATTAGACTAAAAAAAGAACAAGAAATAAAGATATATAATTATGTATAATTTTTCCAAAACATATTGTTTTTTTTAATAATGTTTACTCTTGGTGTTAATCTTGGAAACATTGTGTGTTTGTTTGTGTGTTATTATTATTTTCTAATGGTAAATTAGTAGTAGGAGGTGATATCGATGCTATTACATAATTAATCATATTCGAGTGCTGTGGGTCATTAGAAATTGACCGATAAATTTGTTTTTCTCGATCTTTTAAACTAGTGAAGGATGCAATTGTTGAAGAATTTCGATTTGAATGAAAGTTTTTGAATGTCAAATTGATTGGTGTTAATAGTTTCGTTTTCACTGATATACGATTATGTCGAGATATTGACTTGTCTGGTGAATAACAGCGAATACTTTCTTTATTGTTAGTCATATTTTTGCAAAAAGTCCATTTCAAATATTTCTCAATTAATGAAATGATATGAAGAGAGAAAGAGAAAAATGTTGTTCTTTTTAAGAACATTCACCATTCAAAAAGTTCATTTCTTCTTTATCAACAGGAGTAACAGCAAGTTGGCATTTTTCTGCAGCTAATCAAATATTTGTTTCTTTCTAGAGAACGGTGATTGTTATAGCAAATAACGAAAGCAAAAGTAGAGCATCATTTCTCTTATCTGGTCGTTTATTTTTGCTCACCACACACGTTGATGAATGAACATATGTGAGAAATATGAAATTGGAAGATGACACAAATGCAAAAACAAGAGGCGAAGAGCAACAAAGACTGAAAATAGCTTTTAGTTGATCTGATAAATAATTGTACGGATGCATTACAGGAATTTTTATTCGTTTTATTCAAGGTCTACTTCAGGCAAAGAACCACTACCTAAAGCGGCCGAGAATGCAGCGGAATTTTCCATTGACTAAAAAGAAAAGCAATTTAACAAAAAATGTATAAACGAAAAAGATGTTGAAAATATACTTGAGCAATTTTTGGTATACGTGTGATCAACTCTTGGAACAATTCAAGCGGTAATGATTGTTGAAAGAAGGCCATTAGACTTTGAGGTTGACTACAAGCAAGAATAGCTTTTGCCAGACAATTGAGACCAGTATCGATATCACCTATTGAGATTTTGATAAATGATAAAATGAAACATTATTCACAGCAAATTTTACTCACCACGCGTTAAACAATCTTCACCTAGTTGAATTTGTTCAAGAAAATAATGACGCATTTCTTCAGCATCATCTGTTTTGTTCTAATAAAAATTTCGAACAAACTTTGAATTAAATTATATACTAAGTTAGAAATTTCTTACAAAACTACTGGTACCACCAGTTTGTTGTGGTTTTTGTTTTTTTTGTAGTCGTTCTAAATGAATAACATTTCATTAGGTATGTAACATGCAAAATTCTGCCTATGTACTAACTAGCTTTTAGTTTTTCATGAAAATCAGGTGCACTTCGTCGTTTTCGATCGAAATACACACAGTAGCCAACAAAACTAACACCAACTGCTGCTACTAAAGGCCAAAAACGTATATTAGGAGTAATCATCTAAAATAAGGTGAGAGAAAATTTTTAATTTTACGATTCACTTGAACTTTCTAAGTATTACTCAATATTTGTCCACGTCATGCAATACATAAAATAGAAAGAGAACAACAAAACAAAAGCATGATGCCCACGTTGTCAAATCCACGTTGAATAGATTTTTCAACTATATATATGTATATACATCTCTTTGTACAAGTTTATAGCAAAAAATTAAATTTACTATTTTACATAAAAATCATGGGCCTTCTTTTAAGTCGATTGTACGATGCATTGTCATCATTTTCTAATGAAACACCATCTCGTATTCTAATGCTGGGTCTTGATGCAGCTGGGAAAACGACAATTTTATACAAGGTAAAACTGAATGAAACTGTTCAAACAATTCCAACTATCGGTAAATAATCATCGCTTGATTGTAACAAAATAATGTTCTTTTTTTCATCTAGGATTCAATGTTGAAACAGTGACGCCTGCACCTGGTATTACCTTTACAGTATGGGATATAGGTGGACAAGATAAAATTCGTCCACTTTATCGACATTATTTCGATAAAACCGAAGGTCTTATTTTCGTTGTTGATTCATCAGATCGAGATCGATTCTTAGAAGCTCGTGATGAATTGTTCGGTATTGTTAGTGATGAACATATGTCTACAGTACCCGTTGTCATCATAGCTAACAAAGCTGATTTACCAACGGCTGCTAAACCCAGTGAACTTATAGAAAAACTTAATCTTCATTCGCTCTCAAGACGGCGATGGTTTGTCCAATCAGCCTGTGCTCTTAATGGTGATGGCATTGTTGAAGCAATGCAACAATTATCAAAAATGATAAAAGACAATAAAAAAATGATTTCTAACTAAAGTTTTATATGAATTTTTTGTTTTGTTTGTATTTGCTCTTTTTTTTTGTTGTATATACAGATCTTTACATAATAAACTAAATATGTATACTGCCGTAAAACAAACTTTTTGTTCCTCTGATTCGATGACAGTGTTTATTTTTGAAATTAACTAGATTCTCAACAAAATAAGAACGAATTTTCGTAAGAACTAAGAGCAATGCACAGCTTTCATTCATAGAAAAACAAAAGCTATTTTTCGAAATTTATATGCGTCATTTATTTGATGAATGATAATTCATTTCTCGTTTTCAAATTTCATCTGCATACAATATCTTGCGTTAGAATAAACCATCAATGGTTATGTCGCAAGTATTTGAAATACACTATGATATTATGACTCCTCACGGTTGTATCATTCTGGTGTAGTAATTATGAAAAAAAAATCATTATTTTGCTTCAAAAACAAAAAAGCGTTTTTTTCTTTTTTCTTTTTTCTTAATCTTTCCTGTCGTCTCTATTTTGAAACATAAAATAGTTTTAATGATGAATCATATCGCCGCGACACGTTGTCCAGGTGAGAGAATCCGAATAATTCATAGAGACGCTGAGTCATAAAAATATATTCGTCTGTTCACCGTGTTGTTGACGTGTCTGCTACGACGTGGCAGCGGACAAAAAGCACCCGTTAAATAGCGATGGTGCATCACTTATTTTTCGAAAATATCATTCGTCTACCTTTCATTTATTGTCAAGAAATCAACAAAAAATGGGTCTTTTTCTCAGCCGAATGTACGATGTTTTTGGGTCATTCAGTACAGGAAAACCAGCAAGAATTTTAATGCTCGGTCTTGATGCAGCTGGTAAAACAACAATTCTATACAAAGTTAAACTTAATGAAAATCTTCAAACTATTCCTACAATTGGTATGTATTCTTGCGCATAGATCTTTAAAAAATTGATTTACTATTTCATTTCACTATAGGATTTAATGTCGAACAAGTGAGTCCATGTCGTGGAGTTTCATTTACTGTGTGGGATGTATGTATCTTACAAAACAAAATATTAAAATTCAGTTTGAATCTAAAAATTTTCTTCTTTCTGTTTTTCCTTAATCAGGTCGGGGGACAAGAAAAAATTCGTCGTCTCTGGCAACATTATTATCAAGGCGCCGATGGTCTTATTTTCGTTGTTGATAGTAACGATCACGAACGAATGGATGAAGCTCGAGAAGAACTTCATGGTATCCTTTCATCATATGATATGTCTCGTATACCCATCGTCATTATAGCTAATAAACAAGATTTGCCTAGTAAGTTCGAATTCTTATAACTGACATTTCTCAAAACTTTTCTTTCCACAGATGCAATGAAACCTGCGGATATTATTCAAAAATTAGGTGTGAATGAATTACGAGCAAAAAATAAATGGTTCCTTCAACCAGCATGTGCAGTAACTGGCGAAGGTTTACTTGAAGCAATGATTGAAATGTCAAATCTTGTTAAACAACATCGAAAAGAAAACGATTAATAATGGCGAAATAGAAAAGAGCTAAATGAATGATTATTATTTGTAAATACATCACTCGAAAATTTTTCTAGTTTTAAATAAAACAAAGACATTATTTTTCATGCATATGTACGTGTATTTTTTTCTCTAATCAAAAGCCGACCCAAACAAAAAGAGAACGACAGTGGATTTATAAAAACAAAAGAAAAACAGTTAATCATTTATCTCCCCTCATTGAACAAAATAAATATATATATATATATATAAATAAATATAGTTGATGTTTCTTCTACTTCAGATAAACTTATTTGGCAATGTTAGTATAATGTTGCTGATTCATCGTTAGTATTTGAATTAAATCGTATTGGAAACATTAATGCTTTAGCGCTCATAAAACTTAGATTAGGTAAATTATCAATTATACGTTTAGCATCGTCAGTTAATGTTGTTGTAGAACCAGGAAATAGATCACTGGTTTTTATTGGTATTGAATGAGATTGTTGTTGTGTGGATTGAATAATGGGTGTATCATTTCTTGGAAGTGATGACAAAGATGTTATATGTTCATCTTCATTCGATGATTTTGTCGTTGGAACGTAAAAATCCAAATCAAGTGTTTTATTTGCGTCAAACACTTAAAAAAGAAAGAAAGAAAAGTAGATGAAAGTTTTCTTTTTCGTGATCAAGAAGGTTAATTTTAAAAACTATTAGTTAGTAGCCACATGCAAAAGAGTATTCATTCATTATTAAAAGAATTATTGAATTGATTTGAATTACGTGCGCTTAACTTACCACTATTCTCATCGTTACTTATATTGGACGAAAAATCATCATCTAGTATATAATTAGGTACTGTTTTTTTTTATCTTGTATGTGATTTTTTAAAGAAAGCATGCTTTTCAATAAAAGCATGAATGAAAAATCATTACCTGCTAGTGGATTTTCTAAACCACTTCGTTTCCAATCAAAACGTGGACGAACATTTTCGGATGATAACTAAATTAATCGAGAAAATAGAACGTTTTTTCTCGTTCTATCTGTTTATTCTAATTAAGAAATATCTTACTTTATTTTCGTTGTCAATATTTTCCGGTGTGCTATTTGTTGAAGCAATTGGTTTAACTTTTTCCGGTTGTAGAATTTCTGGTGTTAATGGAACAGCTTTAGTCTAAGAGGAAAAAAATGCTTCTGAATAAATATTGATGTTTAATTTCATAAGAGAAACTACATACACGTAAACGTTCACTAACTCCTAATGATTGATGAAATAGACGTTCTGTATGAGATTTTCGCCATTGATATTTAATTCCTATTGGATCATTTGTGATAGTTGATAAAGCATCCCATAAACTTGAAAAAAAATAATTTCAAGATATAGTTTAAGAGAAATTAAAATTCTTACGCTAGACTAGCTTCAAGACAAGATATTCGTTTTGTTGGATTTTTATAAGAAGTAAAAGAAGGTAATTCAGTATAGATTACAGAATCATCATTGGTCGATGATATAGAAGATTCTACAGGAAAACATGTTGATATCAACGAGTCAATCTGTTCAGTACTTAAAGTATTCTAAATAGAATGAAGGAACGAATTGAAATTCAAATAGAAATTCAAATGAATGAACTTACATGTGATATAGACGATATTTGAGGTTTTGGAGCTACTTGAACTTCACTGAATTCACCGAAATCATCATCCTCATCATTAGCAGCAGCATCTTCTACTTTTGTTTCAGTTACTTCAACAATTGGTACATCGTTGGATAGTTGTGTTTGTGATTCAGAAACCGGTATTGTATTCGATTCAAAATCAGCCCAACCATCATCGTCATCATTTTGTTCAATATTAGTTGGTGTTGTCATGGGGGAAGTCTAAAATTATTGATAAGCTTAAACATCTATTTCATATATTGCATTCAAAGTGATCTTCTGCTTAAATGGTGGCAGATGTTGGATGGCAAGAAATAAAATATAGTTATGTAATCTATTCTAAATTTTTTCGAGCACTAGTAAAATAGAGAACAACAAAGTAATAAATTCGGAGCTTTATTGTTTTCTGTAGCTCATAAAGAAGCTAGACATAACAACCAACGAATGTTTTAAATGACTATAAAAAGAAATGGTAGTTCTTGTTTCAGCCTTGTTTTTAGTAAAAACAAATTTTTCTACCTGATTTCACCAGAGCATCCTAATCCCTATCTAAATGAAATATTTTGATGTAACGAAAATTGTTTTATTTTTTATCAAGTAGATCTTATCTATGTATTCACTATCAATATGGCTTTACATGGTTCAAGTACTTTCAATAACACTGTTGTTGACATCATGTGAGCAACTGTATGACATTTTTTTATTTTCATTGGATTAGCAAAAGAATCATATTATTTTCTTCTCCTCTGATCTTGATATACCGACTAGCGGTTAATCAATCAATTGTTGTACGAAATGAAATTTTAGATTTTATCAATTTATCTAAATAAAACAGAAGAAATCTAATCAACTATTCACCTCTAAAACTTCATCCGTTGCATTTTCGAATGTCGCAAAATTAGCCCAACCATTATCATCTGTATTTGCTTCTTCAAAATATTCTTCATCTGGAATATTAATATTTGTTAATAAGATATCTTCATTATTTACGATCGGTTTATCATCTTGACTCTCAAAATTTTCAATATCACTATAAACCACCGGTTGATCATCTTGAATTGTGGTGATTTCAGTTTCATAATTAGCTATTGGTTCATCGTGTTGAATTTGAGCGTTTGTATCTCGAGTATTGTCGATTGTTGGTTGATCATTTTGATTTTCAGTGATTTTAATTTCACGATTAACTATCAATTCATCATGCTGAATTGGAGTGAGTTTAGTTTGAGTATTGTCTATTGTTGGTTGATCGTTCCGATCTTCCGTAATTTCGATTTCATCATTATCATCCATTGATTTCCAGTCATCATTACTATTGTTGAATCCATCCAATGATGAAAATTCATTATTTGGCATTGTTGAATTTACATCATTATCATCAGCATCATCGTCAAATGGTGGCGGTGACGTATCATGAACAGGAGGTACAATGACAGACTGGCTCATAACATCTAAATAGATAGAAGAACATCGATTCATAAATAAAACAATTCCATAGTGATATGTACGCGAGCGCGCGTAACAAAAAATTAAAAGAAAAAAGATAGTTTTTTTAAACATTTTTATTTGTTTAGTGTAACTGATTTACAATGGGATACGAACGAAAAGCAAAGATGAACGAAAAAAAACATCAATTCTTTGTTATACTTCCAGAACGAAGGAAATAATTCATTTGAATAAGTCAAATTTATTATTTATTTGAATACCCAGGAGGCAGTTGAGAATCTTTTGATCGATTAGTACTTAAAACGATGTATGGTTTTCGTAATTCAATTTGTTTTTGTTTTAATAAATTACATGTTTGTAATGGAGTATCAACGCTTGACATTTTCCTCATTGTCTAAAAACAAATAAAAATTAGATTTAGTTTGTTTTTAACGAGAATTTTTTTTCTTGCCTCTTCTTCAACTAATTTTTTAGCACGCTTTTCTGTTTTATTTTTACCACTTCCTTTACCATGGAAACGATGTGAAAGAAAACGAAAAGCTTCTTTTTCATTCATACGGCGACCAGTTTCATCAACATATTCGAGTTTGACCTCAGGACGGTAATGTTCTTTTTCTTTGAAATCTGTTAATGGACCAGATGTATAACGATCACGTCGAGCATGTTTATCATCGATTTCACTAAAAAATAAAAAAAATGTTCTTATCATATTAGCAAGTCTTTAGAAATATCGAAAATAAATTTTTGATCAATCAAAAGAAAAAGGTTGGCATGATAAATGTAACGAAAAATAGATCCAGAAGAAATATTTCTGAATGAAATTAAAAACACATTTCTACACATTATTTCTATGAAGAATGAGACATTCAGTATAAAAGCCTTGAAAAATTCTTATTTTCTAGACTTATGAAAGCAATTAGATTATTTCTCATGGGTTATAATATGACTTTTTATTCTGCACTTAATTCATAACGGTCTACCTCGTTCTTAACACTATACAACAACAAATAGTAATAGAAAGTGTTAAATAAGAATATTATTACTGTGAAGGCCGTAGAGATCATCCAGATATTGATCCAAAAAGATGACAAGATGTAATGCACTCATGTAAAAGGCAACGAGACAAGCATTGGAACCTGTTTACTTATCAGATAAAATCACAGGAGTTTCCTCATTATCGATATAATTATATCCATATGTAAATTCTTCTCGTTTTCTTTGATTATTACCGATGCGTAATAAATTTTCTTTTCTTCCCATCTGTATTCTTCTCACATATGCGTATGTGTGATGAAGACTTTCCCATTCTTATGACCTTTTTTATATGTAAACTTGTTTGACAGATCTCCTTGTCCTCTATGTAATTTATGAGAATTTTCACCGCATGCTATTCTTACTTCTATCATTGCGCTATAATCTATAAGTTTCTTTTTATTGCCGAAAGCATTAACAAAATGAAACGCCTCCATGATAAAAATAAGCTATTATTAAAAAAAGAAACAGTAGATAATTAATATCGAACAGAAGATGATAAAATTTACTGTTTATAGTGAACGAGTTTCAATTTTCTGACGAGATTTCTTATTCGTTAAAAGAATAAAATAAAAAAATTTGTTCAGAAACTTTCGCACTACCTATTCATATTATCTTCCTTATTTTTAAGACATATTTCATAGATATTGCTTTTTATGATATTATACTGAGATAAAAGAATACTTACTAAGAATTTTTTTCTTCCACTGTATAATTTTTCGCTGAAATATCACTGATAAAACGAGCATTTTGGCGATGTTTTTCTTGTTCAATATATCCTATTTAAAACATAGAAATAGTAAAATATCGATATGATTAATTGTAGAAAACGAAAAAGAGACAAACCTTTTTGCACAGCAAGTTTGAGTGCACTACTAAGACCTCGATCAAGCGTTGGTTCAGACGCTAAAATTGACTCTTCAAGACGAAAAGGTTTTGTATTAACATCATCAGCAGGTGTATCATCCATAGCATCATCGTCAAGGTCTTCATTTTCAAGTGCATGCTGTAATAATTCATCATCGGGATCTAATGCTGCATTATTTTTTGTTGATGCTTTTTTAGTTGTTTGAACATTTGCTCGTTTGAGTTTTGCTGCTGCACGCAATTTCGGTACAGTTGCTGTTGAATCAATAGCATTTTCACCGACGTTGCGACAGAATTCTGACATTGTGTCAAGTACAAGATTTTTATCATCGGGAGGAATAGGAGCCAATGAAGGAATAGATCCAGGTGGAAGAATAATGCCAGTTTCCATTGGTTCAGATTTTATTTCAATTTTAAGTTTACGATCACGTTCTTCGATTAATTCACTCAAAGCCTAAGTTAAGCGAAAAACACAATGGTCCTATTTTCAGTCTTTTATATCTATTGTTATGAAATGTAAAGTTTCTTAATCAATGTTATTACTGAAAGTTTTCTCCTGGTTATGACAGATTTTCAACACTAGTTACAAAAGGTTTTGTTTCTTTACATAATTTGCTCCAAAAGAGCACGACGAATTGTTTCATGTCAGTGACAAAATATCATATTTTTAAACACAATAGATCACATGATGAATGTCGAGAATAATCTTCTGTTCGCCACGACACAATATTGAACAGAATGAATACGGTGTCTTTTTACTCAACTCTTTCAGAAATACTGTAGATTTCAAAGTTTCATGTGCAAATTGTCCAAAAACTAAATCACTAATGCGTACACAACTAGAATGGATTCTTACCTTTTCAGTAGATATACTGTCTTTCTTTGTTTTGAGTTTCATTGTTTTATTGATAACAGTTTGAAGTTCATCATATGCATCATCTTCAATGGCAAAGTTGGAAATATCATCATTAGGACCCATCATATCCTCTAAATAAAGTAAAATCGATTGCTTATTACCACTTACTTTACTGAGAGAAAGATACTGAAAACAAAGATTTCGATTCTCTTTAAGGTTTCTCCGAAAATGAACACGTATGTCTTGCGATAATGTATTTTCTTATGATAGACGACTATTTTGCGAAATTGCATCTCTCGAAAAACACGTTTTTGAAATTTTCGAATCAAAAATTGATACGCTTCGCTTTGATATTTCTTTTTTGACAGAACTATTTCTTTTTTCTCAAATTCTTAGAAAACTAATTTGGACTGATAGTATGAAATCGAAGGATATCCGACAATTGGATCAGTTCTCTTATCAATACTGGTGTATTCTTATAAAATCAAAGACTACTTTCTGACAAAAACCATTGATTCGTTGGCTCGATCTCAATGAAGAGATTTTCTAAAGTGATCACTCACCATCATCTGATGCAGCTGTTGTTATAAGTTCTCGCTTGATTTTATCAAGGGAAACGGTAACTGGTCGTTCTCTAAAAAAACAAAACTTTCGTCATGATTCATATAAAAGAATTTCAAGGCATACTTTGATGTCGAAACAATTGCAGTAGATCGACGGTTTTCAGCTGGACGTAAAGTTACTGATGTTGATGATGTTCTACGTGGTTCGCTACTGTCCATTGCTAGTAGGTCGTCAGCCTTAAGCATTTTCCGTGATCGAAGTTTTTTCTTAGTTACCTTTTTTGGTTTTTTGAATCGCTCCTAGAACATTTGAATAGACAAAATCTTCTTCTAACAACAGAACCTCATGCTATTTACCATTTCATCAGGTGTATAAAATTCGCTTGCTATTTTTGGTGTTGGTAATGATAGAGTTTGCATTCTTGCTCGTATTTCTTGTTTCATTTCATTGACTACCCTCTCATCAGACATATCATAAGCACCATTCGATTCTAAAATAAAAAGAAAAAAAATTCTGTTGTTGTTTTTGTTCAGTGTATTATTTTATTAATCTATTTACCAAGTCGAAATGATGATTTCTTTTTTTCATCGTATTGATCTAATAATTTATTTGGATTGAACTAAGAAAATGAATAGAAAACAATACTTTTTCTATTTAATAAATTCAAAAATAACAAACCATTCCGAATTGATCTGCTGATTCACTATCGTCATAGGCTCGATAACCAGGTGTTTTCTTTTTTGCTAATTCAGCACGTTGTTTGGCCAATTCATTATCGGCAATATTAACATTAATTAAAACATCATCATCATCATTATCATCTTCGTCTTCTTCTACTTCGCCAGGTTTTTTGTCACTTATAATTTCTAGAAAGAAAATAAATATATATATACAGGCAATATTACTCGGTACCGACATGATAGATACGAATCTATCAACGAAAAGATGCGCTTCAAACCAATTCCAAAAGTTAAAGATTCTGCTTGAGAATCTCTAGAGAAATTTTTCTGCAATCAGATCGTGCTGAAATTTTCACCATAGATGTAGTTGATGCTGCGAAATGAATTCTAATGATTTAGAATCCTTTTTTTCATGAGAAATTCACTTTTTACCTTTTTAAGTCAAATGAAAAGTGGATCTGTCTGAAATGGCTCGCACGATCATGTCAAGAAAAATATAATTAACCTACTTTTATCTTTTAATGTTAAAATAACTTGTTGCCCTTCTTTAAATTCATCAATTGAATGTTCAATACGGAGACCAGCTAGATTTTTCGATGTATATTTCTAAAAGAACAAAAACAAATACTAAAAATTAACTTTAACTATTTATTTATACCCTTTGTTTTTGTCTTTCCGATTCTTCATTTATGATATTACTAACACCAAATTCTTCATCCATCTGTTGCAATGATTTAGCCTTCAATGAAACAGAAAATTAATCAAGTTTAGTTATTTGAATGTAGTTCCATAATAAGAAATACATACACGTTCAGCTGCTTTACGTTTTTCTTCCCCCATTTTACGCATCTTGTCAACCCATGATGTTGCAGATTCAGCTGATTCAGCTGCTAAAATTGGTGTTGTACTATGAACGAAAAACAAAATAGAAACCAAAACTTACAATGAATAAGATATATTTCCATGTCGGAATACATACAGAAATTTTTCTTGCAACTGTCGTTTTTCTCTATGTACACTAATTTTCTCCATAACTTGTTCGGTTCGTTTTTTTTCTGTAAGATTTGCTGCTGGTCGATGAACAAAATTTTCATCACTATTCAAACCCTTTTTTGGACCATCTGAATCTTCATTTGCATTATCATCAACTGCTAATGGTTTGAGACCGAGTGAAGCACGTAATTTATTTGTTTCATCTACTGATAAGGACATGCGTTCATTGCCATCGCGTGTAGCGTTTGATGGATCGTTCGAATGTGACTTTGTTGGTGTTGGTGAACGAGATTTATCGTCGTCAGATGGAGAACGATGTTCACGATCTCGAACTTTTTCAACACGATCATGATCACTACGATGTTTATCTAAATCAAAATGAGACGATGAATCGATTGAATATTAATTAAATTGTGATACTTACATTGTTTCGAGCCTTTTTCTTTTTTCGAATTTGAAACCATGATTTTTTTCTGATATTCTGGTACGAAATAGATATAAAAGAGATAAACTTTTTCTATTGTGTATTAAGCAAGATTGATGAAAAGTGTTTTCGTAAGTATAAATGCCATAGAAGAGTAACACGAAAAAATGTTGCCTCTAGTTTTAAAGCGCTGATGAGTAACTTAATTTAACGTTTACTACTGACATCTATTGTGTCATGATACAACCGTTATCTGTAAGATTTTAATATTCCCTAGTCGAACTTTTTCTTGCAATCGCATGCAATTCTTGACTTTCTTGATCAAGAAAGTCAAGAACTATGGACACATCTTGAGGGCAAGACATGAACCCTTTCGGTGAGCTCAAGTTCTTAAACTTCTTGTTCATGCACTTGAATTTTTATCTAAGCGTTTCTGTTATTAAAGAACTTTTTCAACTTTTGTTTTCAATTTTACATTCACAATAACTCAACTTTTAATAAAAAATTATAGTTGCTTTTTTTTGTAACTCATGCAAACATTGAAGCGCTTGTCTTGAGCAAGAAAGTCATGCGCTATGGATACATCTTGAGCTTAAGTCTTGCAAGCGCATGAATAAAAAGCAAAAGTTCGACTAGGGTTTTAATAAGTATAATTTTAAATATCAGAAATGTAAAAATCGTAAAAGTTTTGTGTTAAACATTTGGCTATCAGGAAGAAGCGCTCGCTTTCTATGTTTATGCATTAATTTAATTAACAAGTGATGATCGACTACAATTGATTAACAAGTCAGAAAATGTTGCATGCGATTTATAGTTAACAGTCCTAGCTAAAAGATTTGATTTTTTCGATTTTGAGCCTTATGAATTCGTTAGACAGTAATGAAAGATTTGCTCTTTTTTTCTACAGAAGGTCACTAAATCCTGAAAGCAACTTGTTCACTAAAAATTTTGAAGGTTTAGACAGTAGTTGAACCAAGAGAATAAAATGATTTTGTGCAGTCTTTCTTCACTTTTAGATCATTATTCTGATAGGAGTTAAACCATTCTTATACAAAAACTTCTTCTCCCCAGGTCGAACAATGCGGCCTGAAAACGGTCGGTTCCGGGTAGTTCCGTTGATTTTGTGAAGCAGTATTCCGGTTGGAAAATTTTCACATTTTTTCCGGTGATTTCCGATCAATTCCTGTCGAAAAGCATCGGAACTTGGCAGGAATTCGCCTGAAAAGTCCGACCGTATTTTTGACCGGAATACTGCTTCCATGTTCCAACGATTTCCCGTGTTTTCCTGCAGGATATGGTGACTTTCCCGCATATTCCCTGGAGTATCCTATGGGATCCGGTGTCTGGAATGTTCGACCTGGGTCATATTTAATAGAATTGTACTTGGGTTTCTTCTAAATATGCTATCTCGTGATAATACAGAAGTAGCCGATTTTCAAAGGTGAACAGACAACCAAAGAATACAGAGTAGAGATATTTAGGTTTTCATTACAGAAATAGATGAAAGTTTCTGTGTTCGACTGTGGTATGGTATTATATAGGAATTTATTGCTAGATATTTAAAATTCTGAATGTATGTGAACTTTTACTGTAGTTTCAGATAAAAAACACTTCACCGAGTTCCTCAAATGTGATAACAATATTTTTTTGTTTAATTGAAAACATGTCACTACATTGTTTTTATTTTGAATCTAATAATAAAATATTCTCTTTCATGTTCTTTAATGAATAACTGAAATTATAAACAATTTTACTAAAAGATTTTTCGCCTGAGGAAAAATAAAGGGATTCTTAAGAATTTTGTCGGGGCTGCTCCAGTGAATAATCGTGATAGGAATGAGAGAAGAAATCGTAGTAAATTGCATGTTAAAATAGAGTTCCAATAAATATCACTCGGTAAAAAGAAAGGAGTAATCATCTGTAAAACCAGGTCGTAGTCAGAATTTTATATTAAAACGTCTCTATTTATTTTCGTCTCACCATTTTACTGGAAATATATATAACTGTAACTTAGATAATCTGAGAATGGATTGAAATAGATCCAAGTTATGTAATGGGTTAAACTTATGACTCTTGTAAGACTCACACATGTAAGCTTAGTTATAGATTAAGAAAACGTTTTCAAGGAATATCAATCAGACAGATCAGATAATGTTGTTTAGGCAAATTGAATCTCATCAACACTGCTACTATGAAGTAGAGAAACTTGCAAAATTTATCATCAGTGCTTTATAAGGAGCTAGTTAACTTTTGAGTCGAAGGAAGAAGTCATCTATAAGGATGCTTTTCGGACTTGTCCCTAGATTGTATAGACATAGGATGAAACCGCAAATTTTCCATAAATTCTATTCTTAAAAAATATTATCAGTTCACCAACATCTACCGTTCCTAAATACCATTGAAAAACTTTCAAAATCAACTTTCTTATTCAAACTGAATAGTTAAGCGGGGCAGAAGTCAAGTATCAGAAACAGTTGATGTTAGTGAGTTGATATTATTTTTTAAGAATAGAATTTATGGGAAATTTGCGGTTTCATCCTATGTCTATACAATCTAGGGACAAGTCCGAAAAGCATCCTTATAGATGACTTCTTCCTTCGACTCAAAAGTTAACTAGCTCCTTATAAAGCACTGATGATAAATTTTGCAAGTTTCTCTACTTCATAGTAGCAGTGTTGATGAGATTCAATTTGCCTAAACAACATTATCTGATCTGTCCGATTAATATTCCTAGAAAACGTTTTCTTAATCTATAACTAAGTTTACGTGTGTGAGTCCTACAAGAGCTAACATTCATGAATCACAATTGTGCCAATTGCTTATTATACTTTTCTAATCAACTTTTATTGATTACCATCAAAATTATCAATTGGACTATTCTACAACAAAATCAAAATTATAATCGATTATAATCGAAATCAAAATCACTCTCAATCGATTATTCGTACTCGATAATCGATTGATGTCGATTGGCAATCTCGGTTTCAATCGATTAGAATTTTGATTTTGTTGCAGAAAAATCCGATTATCAATTTGGATTATGCCCAGAGGATTTCGAAATTATAATCGATTTTAATCCCTAAAATTTTTCACTGGGTAGGTGTGTAACCAGGGGGGTCTAGGGGGCTCAGCCCCCTCCCCCTACAATTTTTTCTGGTGATGCCCCTATATCATAGCTGGTTCAATTTGATTTTTTTTCGATTTATTTTGACTTCTACAATATCTTGATTATTTAATGCTGCTATGCCTATTTCTCTTTCTTTTCTAAGCAGGATTACAAAAAAAAGTCAGTTAACAGAGTCCATTTAAACAATTTCAATTTTGTAATAAAAGTCTACTCTCCATTCATTAGTCATAAAATACAATAAGAAATGATTTTATAAGTATTATCGATGCCGAACTGTCTGGAACGAAATAATTTTATTTTGTACGAAGTGACAAATAAAATGTTAATTTGATGCTATTGCAAGCAATATCCGGTGTAAATGGCTTCTCTCGATTACCATTTCCGTAAGTTTTGGAGAAATTCAAGAATAATCTCATTTTTTTGCATAGTAGCAAAAATCTTTTATTAACACATAATAACAACTGTTAAAATTGCACTTGAAAGAAGCGCGATCGTATTATATAAAAACATAAAATTATTATTGAATATAGTAGGTAGTAACAAAGAGTCAATTATAATTGTCATTTATTCAAAGATATATCAAAGTAGAGGTTAGGAAACTTTTTTCGATCACTCACTAAAAGACAGATGTAAGTGTTGTTGTGTTGAATTATCGTCATAATTAATACATCTTGATAAATCATTTAAAATAAATAAATAAATTCCCTCGACTGAATGGAGGGTCATATGGAAAAAACTAAAATGCGTTTGTTTGTCTGTTTGTGGCAGGTCAAAAAAACATTATGCGGGCTTCCCTTCGGTTTAGACGTAACAGCCTTTTCCTGTAACTTTCCATCAGGTTAGCAGGGTCCGGAAATCGGAATCCGAAGTCAGATTTTAGCAATTTTAAGTTCAGTTTTTCAGATGAAGGAAATGTTGTTCTTAACGAACTATTGATATCCTATAAAGGTTGACGAAGAGGAATCGGGTAGGAAAATCCGACTCTGAAGTCAGAATTTCGAAATCTCGTAACGAATTTTCTTGAACGGAGTATGTATTGGAAGATATTTAGTTTGTATTCAGTTTGAAGATAGATAATCGAGGTCTCAGAAGTGCTACTTCATATTGGCTATGTGAGTTTAGTCTTTGATTCTCCTGGAAAAGGCAGTGTCTTTGAGATTGTGAAGAATCATTCAGGAATCAACTGGATTTTCTTCAGGGCTGAAGTGTACGCCCAATATCATTTTAAGATACGCTGATGATTGACTAGTTTCTAATGCGAATATTTCAGATCTATTTTGATCTGGGAAGTGTTTCAGTATTAAAGTGGGAGTTTGTTTTCTGTGTGATGATACTTGATGTTGAGAGTGGCGATTTGGCTTTAATGCAGGCTCTCAGAAATGGTTACGCAGCACTCTTTGTTAGAAATAGATTTAATGGATAAGTAATTACCAGCTTCAAGTGAAGAGTTCGTACCTGAAGAATCGATTGTTTTTCTGAGTTTAACAAAAATGCAGTGGGCTGGAAATTCTGAAATATGAGTGCTGTGTGGTATTGGGGGTAAGGTAGAGCAGCAGCTGCTAGGCGTGAGTGGCGCTCCATAGGGGCGCCGACGAACGGCTAGTTGCTGCTTTACTGATGGAGAGAATGGTCAGAAGTAGTAGACATGCATAAATATATCTCGATTATCTAGATATAAGTGGTTTCAAAATTGCTCAAAAGTATCATCGAATTCTAGTGTTTAAATGAACTCAAGGATAAGTTACTTTTAGGAGTCGCTGATCGGGAAGCTGCATTCAATGGGAATCATATCTTGGTTATTTTAGATTTCATCGACTCAATGGAAGGTTTAGCTCCTCTGAACCACTCAGGAGAGTCATTATTTTCAAGAATAGGTAGCTTTTTACAGTCTTTCGAAAGATTATTTTCATATA